GCCTTAGGGTAGAAAAGAGCGGGTGCATCCTATGATTTAAGACGAATTCGTCCGCACTCACAGGACTGCTCTTACCTCTTTAGCCCTTTTTTTTCTTCGATCCTACTTAAGTAGTAGGTCGATGCAACGGTTCGCGACTTCGCGCAGCGGCTAGCTAACGATCGCTTATAGACGATGTCCAACCAAAGCCGCTCCTAAGTCCTGATGGACTTTTTCGTGGATGCAGACTTTACGAAACGCCCTTCCTGGGCACACGCACCGTCTCCCGAGAGCGTAGGTCTCCGCTGGCACGGCGTCCGCTAAGCGATAGCTAACCCCATGGTAGGCTCCGTGTCTGAACTGCGTCCTTAAAGCCTATCTGGACGTCTACCACGAATTCTCGTGTGTAGCCACGCCAAAGAACCCGGCGCGCTGCGTCGGTTGTGTGGCCGACAACACGTCGTGCTTGCCAGTGAGTGCGTTAACTCGTGTGCGCCGGTAGCCGATTGCTAACCGACAGCTCCCCGAAGAGATCGAGGGCTTGGCCCGATACATTTGGGAATTTCTGGCCGGCACGAACGAGTTGCTGCTTCAGCGGATGACGGTCAACAATATCGTCGCAGCGCCGGGCGATTGCGCGGCAATCGCCCAAAGGTTGATAGCCCTGACGGCGGTGACCAAGGAACTTGGCCGCGCCTTGCAGGAAGACAAGTTGGAGCCCCCGGCGACCGACCAGCGCTCCCGGCGCGAACGTTTTGAGACGGCACAATGGGCTGCATTGCGTCTCGGTGTCCTCCACCAGTACCGGCGGGAGCCGGAGCTAACCCTGACGCCCGCCCAGCAGGCGGCAGAGGTTGCCCGGCTCCTGCCGCTTACGTCCCTAGACGTGGGCACGCCGTCGTAGGCGTGGACCCGAGTTGCCACTGCTCTTGAAGCAATGGCAAGTCCCTTTATCCCTATTGTCGAGTTATCGCTAACCCGTCGCCTAGGCCGATCCTTGTTCTATTATGCTTACCCTAGCACAGCGTGCTGCGGCTGTTTAAGCTGGCCGTAACGGCACGCTTTAGTACACAGCGGGAGCGGAGGGGCCGCTTAAGCGGATCCCGTAGACTATAGCGGCCCTGGTCGAGCTGGCCTAGACCAACTAGGTAGTGGTCTTCCCTCGGCTATTGCCTCCGGCGGCGCCTGGCAAGCGACGGGCCCGCGCTAAGTTGCCGACTTTAGCTAAGCGCTAGCGAGGCGCCAAGACCGTTTCCGGTGCCGCAGCCAGCGGCAGTGGGGCGGTCGCGGCAGCCAGTGGCAGTAGTGCGGCAGCATCTGGTGGGAGCGCGCCAGCGGGCGGCCAGTTGGCGGCCGGTGGAAACCATATGCCGGTCGGCGGAGGCTTGCCCAGCGGCGAGGAGGAACAGGGGGACGAGGATGACCCCGGCGAGGAGGGGGACGAAGAGGTCGAGGGGGCGTCTGCGGAGGAGGACAGTGACGAGTAGCCGGTGGCTGAGCGACAGCCCGCCGACGGTATTTTTTGGGTTTGTAGCTCTGGGGGGCGCCCCCAGAGCCGGAACAAGTAGTTCATAGTGCGCAATCGCGCAAGAAATGGCAGGAGTGGTCGACTAACGGTCGGCTTGCATGCGGCTAACCGTTGCCTCGTAGTCTTCCCATTTCTTATGAGTGCGCTTTGCAGTCTCTTGGTAAGACTGCAACTTGCGGCTGGCGTGCGCCAGGTGCTCTTCTGGTTCCCAGGTATTGTACTCGGCCGGCCAGCCTTTCTATTTTACTAGGAACCGGGTCCGCGACCCTTCGCCAAGGTGAGTGATGATGTCTTCGACCTTATACTCCTCCTGGTCTTCCACTATTTCTGGGAACGGGAGCTCTTCTCCCTCTTTCACTGTGGCGGTCCATGGTTCGAGGCGGGAAACGTGAAACACGTCGTGTTGGCGGGCGTACTGCGAAGGCAAGGCGACCCGATACGTAACCGGGCCCAGCTTCTTCACAATGCGGACGCGCAGGAAGGTCGGGTTTAGCTTCTTCGAGCCGGCCAGGTTTAGGTGCTTCGTCGACAAACCCACGAATTCGCCTTCAACGAATTCCTTGTGTAGGCGCCGCTTGTTGTAGCCCTTCTCCTGTTGGCGAATTGCTTTTTCCCACGACACTTCTAGCTTCTGCCTGACGGCCTGTAGCCGACCAACACGCTCTCGCACGCCCTCTACCGCGGCCTTAGTGAAAGGGAAGTCGTCCATGAAACGAGGGTGGTATGCGTATAACGCATAAAACGGGGAAGTCCCCGTTGTGGTGTGGCGGGCGTTGTTGTACGCGAATTCCGCAGTACTTAACACCCGCGTCCACTGGTGTTGCGAGCGACCGCAGAACGTTCGCAGAAAACGCTCCAAGGTCTGGTTCAGGATCTCAGTGCCACCGTCTGTCTGTGGGTGGTACGCCGTCGACATCATCAGCTGGACCCCTCGAAGGCACATCAGTTCCTGCCAAAATTGGCTGGTGAATAGGCTGTCCCTATCACTGACGATTACCTCCGGGATACCAAACTTGGTCTCCACGCGGTCGTAGATGAGTCGGGCGACCTCGGCAGCCGTGACCGTCTTCTGGGTGGGGATGAACATGCCGTGCTTCGTGTAGCGATCGACTACCACCAGGATAGCATCGTACAGACGGCCGTCCAAGCCCAAGCTTGGCCCAAGACCGGTCACGAAATCCACACTAATGTGCTGGAATGGCCGAACAGGCATAGGTAGGGACTGGAGGTATCCGTACGGCTTGTGCCGTGGGACCTTGTTGCTCATGCATAACGAACAGTTCGCGACGAACGCACGAACGTCAGTGGCCATGTCTGGCCAGTGGTACTTCCTGGTGAGGAGTTCCACGGTCTTGTGGACTCCCATATGGCCTGCCATAGGGGAGTCGTGGTGTAGACTAATTAGCCTTGCCCGCAGCTTGTCCGCCGATAGGACGACGATGCGATCCTTGTAGAACAAGGTGTTCCCTTTCCGCAGATAATAGGTGTTGTTCCCCCGGCTTCGTCTAGCCTTTGCAAACAGGTCGTCCAGTAATCGGTCTCGGCCTTGAGCGTCGCGAATGGTATTATACAGTTTGGAGGAGCACTAGGGTTGCAACGGCCGTTCTTGGCTGGTGGCGACCCGCGCCTCCTGTACTGATAACAACGGAGCTCTTGGCACAGGGAGCCCCGACGACTGGTCTGCGATCTGTAGCTTGCTAAGAAGCGAGGGGAGCACGTCATCGTACACAATATTACCTTTTATGTAGTCTGGTCGGCGGGACAGACCGTCTGCCGGGTTGGTAGACCTTAGGCGGTGCTCGATCTTAAAGTCAAACGCTGAGAGGCGGAACACCCATCGGGCAATTCGGTTCCGGAGATCCTTCGCCGATGCCTTGACGACGCCTTTTAGCGCCTGGTGGTCGGTCAGGACTACGAATGGGTCCTTTAGACCTTCCAAATAGTGACGCCAGTGCTCCAAGCTCTCGATGATGGCTAGGAGCTCTTGCTATCCTACTCTCTATCGCATCTTACGGTCTATTAACTTATGTAAGTAGTAAGCGACTAGTCGCTACTTGCCGTCTGCAAGCTAGGAGATAATGCCAGAGATGGCGTGGCCCGACGCATCCGTTTCCACCCGCGTGGGCTTCGTGTTATCATAGTGGCGGAGAATTGTTGCTGTTATAAATGCTGTCTTTAGCGATTTAAAAGCAACCTCTGCCTCTTTGGTTAACACGAACGGTTGCGTAGCGACGGCTCCGCGCTTGCGCGGCAGGCTAGGGCCTATCTTTGTTAACTTTGTTAGGGCCCGCACAATGCAAGAGTAGTGGGAAATAAAGCGTCTATAGAAGTTCGCGAATCCTAGAAAGGATTAAACGTCCCGTACGCACTCGGGGGCCTTCCATTCGGCGATGGCTTTGACCCGCTCGGGGTCCATGGCCAGCCCCTTTGTGGTAACGACAAACCCTAAGAAATCGATTTCCTCTTTAAAGAATTCGCACTTCTTGGGATTTGCATACAGCTGCGCGGCCTCTAGCCGCTCGAAAACCAATCGGAGGTGCTTTTCGTGCTCCTCCTTGGTCTGGGAGTAGATCAAGATGTTATCTAAATACACCTCGCAGACCGTGCCCACCAGCCCTGCCAGTGCGCGGTGGATATATGCTTAAAATGTGGCCGGCGCGTTGGTTAGTCCAAAGGGCATAACACGAAACTCGAAGAGCCCGTATTTCGTTCGGAAAGCGGTCTTCCACTAATCGGAGGCCTTAACCCGGATCCTGTGGTACGCTTCCTTCATGTCTACCTTAGAGAACACCTTCGCGCCGTCCAAGCGATCCAACAGCTCACTGATTAACGGGAGGGGGTAGCGGTCCTTCTTAGTCACCCGATTCAGACCCCGGTAGTCGACGCACATGCGAAGAGTACCGTCCTTCTTCGGGACGAAGATCACTGGGGCTCCGGCCGGACTGTTGCTGTGGGCGATCCGCCCGTTCGCCAACGACTCGTCGATGAAGCGGCGGAGCTCCTCTTGCTAGGCGGGAGACAGCAGGTATAGCAGGCTATACGGCACCTTTACGCCGTCTTCTAGCTTAATCAAGTGCTCCGCGTCCGCTAACAAGGGTAGTTCCTTCGCCTTGTTAGTGTTGAACACTTTAGCGAAGGGTTGTATGCAGAACGGCGGTCGCTAGCTAGGGTCTAGTAGAGCCGGATCAACGTCTACGGTAGGAATGTCTAGTTTATAGAGACTTAGATTTAACTGCGTTAAGCAGATGGCAAACGACTCCTCGCCGTTGCATAGGCGTTAGATCATCCGCTCAAAGGTCTTAAAAACTATAATAGCGAATGACCAAGCCTGTTGGACAGTGTCAATGACAACGCCTAGAAACCCTAGTCCTTTATAACTTAGGATGAGGAAGGCCCTTGATTGGTATTTCTTCTCCTTGATAATCTCAGATATCATCGTCCGGCTTCAATGTGCCATTAGCATTCCTACCCAGCTAGACGAGACGGTGAATGCTCACATGATTCCCACTGTGCCGTTGATCCCACCGCCAAAAATGCGCCAAAAGGCAGACCAAAAGAAAGACGTCGCAAATCCATAGCCGATACACGACACAGCCGTGCCGGCAAGCCCAAGGACGAGAACTGGTTTGCGTCCGCACCAGCTAGTGTCCGCCGCCTTTCCCCAGAGCACAGCAGTGAGGACCTGTGCGCCCGTGAAGCAGCCCTGCAAGATACCGGCCTGGATAGAGACCTGGGCGTCTGATAAGGTGCTATTGAGCGACTTGAGCTGGTAGTAGGCATACGCCTGCAAGGAGGCGACCTGCAAAAAGTCGACAAAGCGACACAAGAAGAGTATGGCGAGCTGTCCCTTCCGGGGTAGTGCCATCCAGGTTATCGGTCCCGTCTGGTCGGCCACAGAAATAGGGACATCATCAAGGCCTATGGCTGAATTGCGGATACTTTGTAAGCTCTCGGCCGAGCTAAGGCGCCGGTGCAGAGCTGCGGTTGCCGTCCTGGAACCTATTGCCATAGCTGGTTTCTTGAATCCGTTTCCATATCTGCTTGTCAAGTACGACGTACGGAATACCTCCACCGAGCAATAAGTCGCAGACCTATATACCCTTTCTCTACTCCGTAGATATCTTCTTTTCCTCCACGGCACCCCCTTATGACCCCCTCCCACCCCATCTCTCCCCTAGCCCCTCTTGATTAGATATGAGCTGGCAACCTACGCGGCCGATAATTATGGGGAATCTAATGGTTTCTACGGAGTACGTGTGTGTTGTTAAATTGCACCTAACTCGATGTTCTCTACTCCACATACCCAATATTTTTGACAGACATTCATAGGGATGATCCACGCAGCCTACGTCAGATAAATTACAGTGGGGAAATATACGCGGCCGATGAGTTCCATTTAGACATCCAGAACGATGATCAGCGCAGACTGCAATACCTCATGGGGACCGAACATTATTGGATAATACATGAGTAGCAGTTCCATGTACGTGGAAGATCTATGAAAATCTAGGCCATACGTTGTGTCTATGGAAACAATATATACAGGAGGGAAGTAATACAACATTGGGAAAAAGTGCATGGCGCGGCAAAAGTCTAGGCTATTTCGCTGTCCCCAGCACCCTGATAATCATTACCCAGAGACCTATAACGGCAGTGCTTCTCAACAGCCAACGCAGAGTGACGTTCGCTATCTGCATGCGGTTTCGATGGCGCGACCGAGCCACAAAGACGGCCTTGTCGTTGATACTGGGGAACTGCGCGTACTTTGGCACAGGTTGTTCCAGAAAGCGACAAAGTGGTTCCCAGCCGTCAGAGATGCGGTACTCGAGCAAGCGTTCTGGAGGCACGAGGGTGCGCACATCGTCGTGGTGCCGCATGAAGATGGCCTTGCCTCGATTGGGAAAGTCACCCTCGAAGAAGGTGTCAAAGAACTTGCGTATCATGGGCTGATACATACCGGCAGCCCAACTAACGTACGACAGCAGACGCAGCTCTGGATCCATAGCTCGCCAGTAAAACGTCTTCATCGTGGACGCATGCCAGCTGTCGACGTCGCGCGTAATGAGGATAACCTTTGCCTCGGGATAGGCCTCGATCAGCTCGGGAGCAAAGGCCACTGCGGGCCAGTCGCAAACGGCCTGGCACTTTCCCAGCAGCCGGTCCCAGTCATCGCGAGTAAACGGCTTCCCCACGCCGTCATACTTTGCCGTAAGGGCGTCCATCCACATGAGCGCATCGGGCGGGTTCTCGATCGAGCAGCTCATCATATGGTACGTGTCTACGTAGCCTAGCATTTGCATAGCCTCCCGCATAGCTATGTCGTCGGTCTGTCAGATACGAACCAAGAAAAGGTAAGAGACGGAGGCACGTGGCCAAAACATACATGCAGTTCCTGTGCGGCCGAGCCCAAGGATCAGGACACGCATAGGCACCTTTCGCCTACATGTTCGCCGGTCTATGTCGGTGTCGTTGGTGAAGATGTCTGTGATAGGCTTACGCCGGTATTGTGCTGAGTAAGCCATAGTAAGTATATGATGGTTTCAGCCGATTAGGAGGGTTAGCGCAATGAGAGGAAGCTGAAGAGAACGTCATGGCTATCACGGACAACTATCTTTCTACAGGAGTATTAAACAAAATTCATTTGTTTGATAACTTACGGCGTACGGAGTACGCAGCACTTCTACGGTGCTCCACTACTCCTTTTCAAATGTACAGGGAACTTGGCGGCCCGCCGCGTAATCCCCCTTCTCTATACTTTCGCGTCATCCTACATCGTCTGATACCATTTGTAACATTGTCTTAGCATACTCATTAGCCCCTGTCGCCAAATTCTATTTCGGTCTTCTGCGAATCGAGATTAACTCTAGTATTCAGGGACAAAGGTTAAGGGCACTTCGGCTTTTTGTTCTGAATTTGTAGATAATTCTTAAACCTTCGTCTATAGATGCCTCGGAAAATGTTGATCCAAAAATAAAGTTAACGGACGGCAGAAGGTATTTACAACTTCGTATTGTTCACAGAAACGAGCAATGTAGAATAGAAAGACATGTTAGATATCGAAGGGGTCCTTTTTAAAATAAAATTAAAGCTATTCTGTGTTTCTCTGTGCACACATTATCGAAACCAGCCTATTTTTCTCTTACGCCTTTCCCCTTTACATTTAAAACTGGCAATGGCTTACTGTGCAACAGCAAAAATCCACGCATCTTTTAAGGTTAGAAAACACGTCCAGTCGCTCTCCAATTTCAGTGCAATTTGTCAAACGGGAGGCAGAACCACTGTCATCCTCTGAAAAGCATTTGGCCAGCCTGCCAAAGAGCTAGCAGGTTACCTCGGCTGCTCGCAAACCCCTCTCTCCCCCCCCCCCCCCCCTCTTTCGTGGGTTTTTCGCGGCGCACTCAGCACCTTCAAGCACGGGTAAAGAGCCAAAATACAACCACAATCTATGCATAAAACGTGACAAGAAATAGACTTTACTACTCTTGTGGCTAGGTCCTTCTCCTTCCTCTCCTCTCTCTGTCCTTGTCATATACCAAGGCAGAACAGTCTTGGACATAATGGCGATAAGATGTGGTTCTTGAAAACGCATCACCAGTTCGAAAATCTTACCGGACGGACCCTATTGGAGGCGCAAAGTCGTCTTTGCCTCTGCCGAAGATTTCTTCATGTACAAGTGCAGCGAAGGCCTGGTGTGGAGTTGTTGTCCCGATGATCTTTGTATCTGGATTATGAAAACCAACATTCTATATTCAGGAGTATGGACCGAAATGGTGGCATCCATTTCCGCAAATTAATCGGAAAAGGACTGCGAAATCACGCTTATACAGAGTCTTGAGCACAAGTCGAGTAGGCACGGAATCTGTTCGAGCAACGGGCAGCTTTTGATAGTATCGTACCACCTACACCATGTACAAAAGTAGAGACCCAACACCTTACAGGTTGCTAGGTTCGGTTTTCGCGGGCCTAAGCCTGCCTCTTTTTCCGTGCTCGCCAAGAAGGGTAGCACAATAGGCTTTGGCTGCAGTCATGGTACTTGCAGCACTGTGCTTCAATTTAGAACATGCAACCGGCACAAGGCATACATAGTTCCACCAAAGAGTGGCAGCTAAATTAGGGGGTGGTTGTGCGCGGGGCCTTTTCTTAATCTGAGAGATAGACGTGGCTGTAGAGGTAGCGAGTTTCGCACGTTAATATATCTGAACACGGCTACAAACAAGGCTTGCCAACGACAAGTCTCGAACTCGACCATGTACTCTGTTACCCTGAGCAGGCCGCTCTGCATCTTCTCTGTAAGAACGGGCTTGGTATTAAGCTCCTGGTGATTGTTTAGCTAAATAGCTTTTGCGTCGCTATTATTGAGCATAAACCGTACCTAGAGGTCACGATACACCTGGGCTCGATCCAAGATACCAGAACATAGCGAAACGTGCTCAGACATGGGCGGTTCTGCACTCCAATGCGGCTACAAGTCAACGTCCTTAGGATGCAGTCCATCGACAATATGCGCATATGTTAGCTCGGTCTCGGGCAAAGAGAGTAGATTTTCAGCGCCTGACAAAAGATGGCTAACGATACAATAGTTAAACTGGCAGATAGAGCCATCGTGGATGTAAAATCATACGTTCACTACATTTACAAAATCCCTGTGATCGGATTATTCGCAGTACTCCGTAACCCGCCGTATATCCTCTCCTACATACTATCCAGATAACCGAATTTAGTAAAGTTACTTGTGAAACAATAGGCGCTGTGTACGGAGTACTAAATATACGAATACTCAGCTGTCGTGAGGGAAACAGACGACACTTGACATTGCATATACTATCCGTGTTGCCATCAATAGTGCATTCTACCAAAGACGTTTAACGTAACTACCAGCTATCGATCCTATCAGTCATTTTCCCTTCCTAGGGTACCTCAAGGGGCTTACTGTTCTTGTCCTTTACATCTCCACCGAGAGCTTTTGGTTTGAAAGCTAGTCAGTCAAATGAAACGCATTAGTGACATCTGAGATCTTTTCCTTATCCTATCGGACTGGATGAAATCATTTATAACGTACAACGGCCATGTAATTCCGTCCCTCCCATAGGTCGCATCCGAGCAGATGTGCATGCTAGCGAACCGGCCGTATCTTTTACAGTTACATGGCGCAGCAGCGTGTGCCCGGTTCTCGTACGTGTGTTTGCTTACTAAGCGCCGCCCCTTCGTGCACTACGACACATCTTGACGGCATCTCGCAAGCACAGTCAAATATTGCAACTGTCTTGGCTGTTTTAGGGGTGCTTCTGGAAGTCCCTGCCGAGAAGGCGCCGAGAATTCCGTTATAGATATGCAACTACGGGGATTGGTAAGTGGGAATTTATGGTCGATGGCGTCATCGCATCCATGGATAACAACATCGAAGGTATCGCACAGGTTATGACATGACCCATTGGCTTGTCGTTGTCGAACGATCCCCCCTGCTCGTGCTGTACTAACGGGAGCCCCTCCTATGGCGTATGGGTGCCAATGGAGTATAAAGACGCGCCGGCGGGCTTCTACCCTTTGCTGGAGAAAGAATGCCGTGGCTTCAGTTTCTCCCTCAGCATCTTACTCTCCTAGCAACATCCACAGGAAGCAGTTCTTTTCGGAATTCTCTGAAATTCTCTGAAGCACCCACACCAGGACCATGGCACCACCATCTGCCGTCGAGACCGTAACGGTGCCGACAAAGCTGCAGCCGCTGAAGCTGCACACGACCACTGCAGCAACGGGCGACTACAAGCAGCTGTCGCCGGCCGAGATCGACCGGGAGGGAGAGGAGCATGGTACAGACAAGTTTGCCGCAGCCAAGGTGGGTTTCCGGTGACGGCAAGTGCATGAAGGCGCTTCCCGGCTGACTCCAGCTTTGCGCTGTTTCGCAGTACACAAACTACCTGCCGACATGGGACCACACGGAAAAGTACCCGCCGCTGGTACCGTTTGAGCACGTGGAGCATGGCAAGGATGCGGACCGGACGTTCCCGGACCTGTTGCCGGCGACGGCACAGGTAACGGAGCTGACGCCGACGACGGGCAGTGAGGTGCGTGGCGTGCAGCTGAGCCAGCTCTCGGATGCAGGCAAAAACCAGCTAGCACGGTTCGTGGCCGAGCGCAAGGTGGTAGCCTTCCGGGAGCAGGACCTGGCCGATCTGCCGATCGCGGACGCGCTCGCGTTTGGTGGCTACTTTGGGCGTCACCACATCCACCCGACGTCGGGCCAGCCGGCCGGCTATCCGGAGATCCATCTGGTGCATCGCGGTGCCGGCGACAAGTTTGCGGAACAGTTCTTTGCCACGCGCACCAACAGCGTCGCCTGGCACTCGGACGTCTCGTACGAGCTGCAGCCGCCCGGCACCACGTTCCTCTACATTCTTGACGGCCCGGCCAGCGGCGGCGACACGCTCTTTGTCAACGCCGCTGAGGCGTACAACCGCCTCAGCCCGGGCCTGCAGCAGCGCCTGCACGGACTTCAGGCCACCCACTCCGGCATCGAGCAGGCCAACACCAGCAAAGCCCGCGGCAGCATCACGCGCCGCGAGCCCGTCTTCCATGCCCATCCTGTTGTGCGCACTCACCCGGCCACTGGCGAGAAGGCCATCTATGTGAACCCGCAGTGTATGTCTTTGCTCTCTTCTTTCTTCCTTTCTTCCTTTCTTCCTTTCTTCCTTTCTTCCTTTCCCTTGTTCCCGCTGACCATCAGTCACTCGCGAGATTGTCGGCTTCAAAAAGGAAGAGTCCGACGCTCTGCTCAAGTTCCTCTACGACCACCTCGCCTATGGCGCCGACTTCCAGGCCCGTGTCAAGTGGGAGCCCGGCACTGTCGTCATCTGGGACAACCGCGTCACCCAGCATTCTGCCCTCGTCGACTGGAGGAGCGGCGACCGTCGCCATCTGGCACGCATCACGCCCCAGGCCGAGCGGCCGTACGAGACCCCGTTCGTCCCGGCTTGATGGGCAGGCGTAGGTGACGTGGATATATGCACGCAAAAGAAATGTACTGAATAGTCTTTGCTCGTTACAGAAATGACGGAATGATATCAAGACCTTCAAAGGGGAACACTCATCTGCTGAGGATAGTACTGCAAATTGAGCAAACTTGGCGTAGAGGAGCAGGTATTCCGTACAGCAGCGCTGTTCCACGTCCAGAACTGCTGAGGTCTACTGCTTTCCACGATAGCAGTGGCAAAAAGCGCACACAGGACCAGTGAGGAAAAAGAGCGGCGCAAGCAGACATGCGCACTCTAAAAAAACCGGTAGCAATAGGGTTCGAACCTATGCGGCCGAAGCCATAAGATTTCAAGTCTTACCCATTAACCACTCTGGCATACTACCCAGTTAAAACGAGAAATCGGCTATGTCAAATCATGATGGATAGAGCCCCGGACACAACGTCTCGTCTGCTGCCCGCTTCGAGAGCGCTGCGTATGTTGAGGTTTTACCTTTACTCCGCCATTGGCCAGCCGCCAAGGTCCCAGTGCCGGGCTGCTTTGCCACTTTCAGCCTTTGCAGCTGAACAGGTCCACATCCTCTGTCTCTTTCTTGACTGCTGCGCTCGCCATGTCCGTGTTTCTCTCCTGCCCCGGTCTCCATCTCTGCTGATTTTGCTGCTGTCGCTGTGCCTTTTCTCGCTGACGGCGCTGGCGTATCTTCTGCAGCAAGCCGCTCATGTCCAGGCTGTCTGATGCGTCGCTGCTGTCCGTGTCTCTGTTGTCTCGACCTGCGTCTGGCCTGCTCTCGTTTGCGGTCGTCGACGTGGCTGAATCAAAAGAAAAGGCCAACCTGTCCATAGTGTCGACAGCGGCCACCTGACCCCGTCTTAAAGCAGACTCTTTCAGGATGGACGGTCCGTCCAGATCGTCCTCGTCGTCCTCATCATCCTCCGTCTCTACGTCGAGACGTTTCGCCTCAACTGGCCGTCGTGATGAAGCCGCCAGAAGCGGCACGAGCGCCACCTTCCGCCCGGTGCCCTCCATGATGTTCTGCAGCGCCGTGCCCTTCCACGGCGCATCCTCGTGCACGTCCGCGTCCTCGTCCTCGCCACCGCCGCTGCCAAACGCCCACTGCAGACCGCGCTGCAGCTTCTCGGCGCGCCTGTCTGCCTCCTGCTGTCGCCGCACCGATGGTGTCGGGCCGTCCGTAACGGGCCGCGAAATGTTGCGTATGGCCTCGGCGCCCAGACTCTTAGCCGTCGTTTTCAGCCGATGGTACTCGGCCGCGTGCAGGTGGGCTGTGAATTCGTGGGCCACGGAAAGAAGCTCGTCCTCCACCATGCGGTACTGGTCGTCATGATCCATGCCGGCGATCATGAAGCTGGGGCCAGAGGTTTCAGCTTGTAGCAGCCAACAAGTCTCTACTGCGAAGCAAAAACTTACGTCTCTGAAGGAGGCGCCGGTGGTGGAGATGTAGACGGCGAACGGACTGTAGGGAGTCCGGTCAGAGAAGAAAGCCCCAAACACCATAAAATGTAAAATCACATGTCGCAAAGTGCAGGGCAACTCACATTTGCGCGCCACGGCACTCGCCCGTGAATCTCTCGATACTGACGGTTCTCTGACCCTCGCCTGGGGACTGTCATCGTCATGTGCCATCGGCGCCGGACGCGACGACGAAGAGTGCCGCGGCACAGAATTTCGTGAACGTTCTTGTCTCCTGTCCCATGGAAGCTTGCGGACCATAGCGACGATGGCGCATGGGAGAAATTTGCAGGGCGAGTTCGCCCAGTTTGCAGAAACCGTTTGGAAGAACGGTAACGCGACAGTTTTAGTGGGGTTCAACCCACAGTGCCTGGCACGGCTATAGGATACAATATCTCCATGTTGATACAGTGTGCAGATCCTCGAATACTGTATGGGATGTTGGGTTTCCCTTTCATGCATCCTGGGTTGCCTCAAAGGGCCATTTCCAGGGGTATAGTATGCATAGACATGCGGCTGCATTGCTGCGACCAGGATCCAGCGCATCAAAGCAATCCTGTCAGGTTGGCCGCAGCAAACGGTCGCGCAAGGGCTGCCTCTACTTCCTACTTCGGCTTTTCCCCTGCATTTCACGTCTTCTTTTCTGCCAGTAGCAGATCGTCCCTTGGACACCACTCCGCATCGGGCTGAAAGGATTTTGCAAGGCAGCGCCAGTGACAAGCCAGGGCATCTACCGCAGCTCATTCGCACAGATCAGACGCTCTGCGATCTTTGGGCACAGCCCCACCGGTGATCGAGACAGCCTGTACCTGTTTGCCACTGTGCACTACTGGGAGGGAGGGGAAGCGCTACGTCTCACCACCTCCTGTCTAGCTGGCCGCGAAGTGTCAGCCATTCAGGCATGCTGGGAAATGCACAAGCGTGTGGCTCACGATGGTGGTAGACGCACAGGTCGCCTGCAGCCACGACAGAGCAGGCAGTGCTGGCCAATGGCTTAGATGCCCCGCTGTGAACCCGGTTCCAGGATTAGACTGCCCCGTCCAGTCGCTACGCTGTGGTTGGTCACGGCATGCACGTTCGTTTCCTCGTATATATGCATATTAGTGTATATATGCATATACCCAGAAACGCCCCCTGCTTTCCCTGTTCACTTCTTGTTCAGACGCTCTGGCCTGCAGTGCCCATTGTTTGAAGGACATAGTCACAGAAAGTCTGGCGGTCCAGCAGCCCATTCAGAGCTGCTGCCTGAAAGATCTTGAAACATGTCGGTGGGGGTAGGACTGCGGATTATGAACATGATCCGAGCCATGAACAGACATGCTTATGAACAGCAAGAGAGCGTTTGGCTGGAGGCCTGTCGAGCCCCATCTTGTCCAAAGTCCTGTTCAGGGCCTTGTATTCTACTTGTTCATCAAGCCGCGGCGCCTTCGGCCAGCCGTTTGGTAGCCAGGTATAAAGCAGTCACTCCGTCATGCTATTCACATCGGCCCTTCTTGGCTGGACAACTACCTACCACCATTTTTTATTTCTATTCAGCATATCAGGCTTTTTTCATATCCAGCTATTTATTCCTTCATCGCTTTTCTCCTCCTCTTAACCATCGACCTACAGATTTTCCCACCTCTATACTCCATTCTCTCGTACAGAGACACTCAATCCTAAGAACCAACTTTCTCATTCAAAATGTACACATATATCTTCACGGCCGTGGTCGTGTCCATGCTCTGGGCTTCGCAGGCGGTAGCCCACTTGACACTGGCCACGCCCGTCCCCTTTGGCACGCCCGACAACTCGCCCCTGAGCACATCTGGCTCCAACTTTCCCTGCCAGATCGTCGGGACCGCTGCCACTTTCTACGACCGCTCCTCAGCAACCAACAACACCATGGCCGTGGGCGAGACGCAGACGCTCAGCTTCAAAGGCAGCGCGGTGCACGGTGGCGGCTCATGCCAGCTGGCCGTCACGTCTGAGCAGCAGCCGACCTCATCGACCACGTGGCAGGTGATCCTCAGCATCGAGGGCGGCTGTCCCACCACCGACGGCAACGGGCCCAGCACGTACGACTACTCGATCCCGGACTCGATCTCGCCCGGCGACTACGTCTTCGCCTGGACCTGGGTCAGCAAGGAGTCCGGCGCCCCCGAGTACTACATGAACTGCGCGCCCATCACGGTGACAGCGGCTTCGCCCGGCAAGCGGTCAGAGGTCAAGACTACGGTGGCCGCCCGAGACTCGTCGGCGCTGCCGAACCTGTTTGTGGCCAACCTCGACTCCATCAACAGCTGCAAGACTACGACCGGCACCGACCCGCTCTTCCCCGACCCGGGCCCGAACGTGTCCAAGCCGAGCAAGATGACGACCAACTACCAGTCGCCCGCGGGCACCAACTGTTTCCCGCTCGGCGCCACAGACAGCAGCAGCAGCTCGACCTCGGCCGCTTCTCCCTCTACCTCCGGCAGCTCAGCCACGGCATCTGCTGTGACAGTTGCAGCTGACTCATCGTCTTCCTCGACATCGACCACCCTCTCGACCGCCGTGGTTGCTACCTCTTCTGCCAACGCTGCTGCTGCTACGACTGCCGCGACCGAGACGGCAACGACGACACCGGCTACTGCCGCTGCCGCAACCACCTCCTCCGTCTCTGCCTCAACACAGGCGTCTGGCAGCACCAACGGCACGCCGGCTGCCGGCAGCAGCCTCAGCGGCTCTTGCATGTCCGAGGGCACCTTCAACTGTGTCGGGGGCAGCAAGTACCAGCAGTGTGCCAGCGGCTCGTGGACAGCATTCCAGGCAATGCCGGCCGGCACCAAGTGCCAGGACGGACAGAGCACGACGCTGTGGTCCCGCGACCGTAACATGCGGCGCATGCGGCGCGTGCGTCGCAACCTGTAACAGACAGAACGACGAGAATGGATTTGTAAGATATGATACCTGTATTTGAGCGGATAAACGCCGATCTCCTAAAGAGCTACATCAGAGCAGGTCTCATACATTTGAAGCTCTACAGAGGGACATAACCGAGGGGAACGAGATGAATCAGATAGAAACTGCAATTCAAACACTACCCATACGCACAACTATAATTTATAATGCGCCGTAGCAAGACGTCTATTTGCCGTTGTACTTGTGACGGATATAGAAGAGACAAGCCAGCAGGTCTAAGAGAGCAGTACCACACGGTAGCCACAGTTTCTAGCTTGGGTGTTGAGAACTTGCGGCTACGTGACAAACTGGTGGCTATATGTGTCGCCCACGCATCGTGAACGGCACCGACACAATGCGAGTTTGTGTCACTCGTGAGAAGGCTGACACCGTGCCTCTGACAATTATCATCTAGCATGGTGCAACTCGATTCTCGAAGTCGAAACGAACGAGGTCGATAAGTCACGTGAACGCAAGCTGAGCATTTGCAAACGCATATAATTTGAACATTGATCGTCTTGGCAAACCATTTACATCAGACATTTAACCCATTCCGTTCCGATCCCAGACCCCCTGACCAGAATACAATATTAAATACATAGCAAACGCCGTGCCAATTCACGTAGCACTTCCCTGGAACTCTTCAAAAGCGCACCTCAGCTCTCTCTGCGTCCACTCTGCCCATTACTTGAGAGAGGACCAAGTAGGCCTGCTGTGTCGTGCGTTCCTGGCTCCAAAATCGTTTCCAATTTGGACCAGTTCTCCGTTCTTGGGTATCTGACCTTAAATTCTCCTCGTCTTCTGTCCGTTGTCGCTCTTTACACGCGCACCTGCGACATGTGCGGCGCGCTGGAGCCGCCGGACGAGCCGCCAATGCGGCGCCCCATGCCCCCCATGACCGACATGGCCAGCGACACGGCCAGGGTGGCGGCCAGGAACCAGAAAAAGGCGGTGCTGGCCTGGATCTCGCGGCAGCGCTTCTCGTCGTTGGAGCTGCCGAAGCCGATCCAGCTGCTGTGGCGCCGCGATAGGTCACCGCCACAATCGACCGCCTTGAGCTTGGCCGCGAGCACGATGCCGGCGATGAAGGTGAAGAGCGTGGCCAGCGCGTCCAGCGCAAGTGCCACGTATCCGAAGATGCCGTCACTGAACGAGCCGCCCGTCAGACTGGTGGCGAGACCGAAGATCAGCGCCAGCCACGCCATGCAGACAGCGAAGAGCGAGTAGTTGATAGACGACTCATGGCCGTAGTGGTTGCTGGCAATCACGTTGCCGATCAGCGCTGTGATGAGAATCACCCATAGCAGCTGCACGAAGCGAAGGATGCTCTTGATGATCTCCATTGTCGGAATAAGCTTTTAAGAATGTGGGTTGTGGGGAATTCGGACTTGAAAGTAAAGTTTTTGTCCTCAAGTCTTTTTCCAATTTACAAATTGTGCGATTGTTCGAAGCGTCGACCTTTCTTTTGAATGAAAACTGTAAGAACTATTCGTATTCGTGCTGGCCCGTGTTTGCTACTGTGTTGTTCGTTGCGTAGCGACGGTGATGAGGGTGCACAAGAGTGAGCTGTAGCTCGCTGCAGGAGGTTGTGTAAGACGTGATGCTTGCAGGGGAATTCTAATGCAAGAGGGTGAGACTGCCGGTTGAAGAAGCAACCAACCGGCCGGGATCACACGTCTGGGCTTTGTCCTTTTATGCTGGCAGCCTGGCAGCAGCGGCTTTCTCTCGCATTCCTTCCCACTCGTCGCAGCTTTCCTGATTCTGCGGCTATGACGTGACCTTCTGCGCCGGTTCGCCAGGCGACCATCGCTCATTGGAAGAAAAAAGCGGACCTCTTCTAGTGGATAAATTACTGATGAATGGCCATCTCTTTGCCATTACAGGGGGTGAATCAGCACACTGCTGGACGGGGCCCGCTAGCCAGTCGCTGTGCCCACTATACCTTACGGGGTCGAGCGCCTGACCAGGATCTTGAAGAGGACCTCTTTGCAGCGGCTTTGCCGGTCGCAGATGCCACCCATTTACATGATCCAGTAGCCTCTCCCGGCCAATCATGCGCACCTGACAGGTGCTACCACCCCAGTCGCGTCGCCACAAAGGGACTTTTTTCTGTTATTTTTCTTCTTTTTTCTTCCCGTGTGGGTGGCCTCCCGCTTAAGTTCGGGAGTTGGCCGAGAATGGGAGCCTATCGTCATCGTTGTAACTTGCTTTTACACTTTGGTCGTGTCATCGTAGCCGCGCAAACTGAGCTGCGAGTGTTCTGGCCGTGTGCGCGCAATGTGAAACCTTCTTCTTTGTTACCAGTTCAGTGGCGCTGTCAACCCAGCAGCAGCCATTCCATATATACGGCGTTTGTTTGCCTGTAACAGGATTGAAACCCGAAGCTGCACCAGCAGCCGCCTCTTTTCACAGACCCCACGACCGTACTTACGTCGATTATCACATGGATGCTATGTTTCCACAATAACGCAGATGCAGTATGATTTCATTGTGTTGTAACCCAACGCTCCCCCGTAGCTCCAGCCCAATGATGTAAGATTGCTCCCCCACCACCAACTGCCAGTACTCCGTACGTAAGCCGCCTGGGCCTCGAATTTTAAGCATGATCTCGAATGACGGATATCGAACCGTTCCCGGACTTCCCGGTGTAGAGGCTCCGAAGGGTCAGTGCCTTCCGTCACGGTACGGCACTCCAGCAGCGTCTCTTCAATCGAAAAAAGATACATAAGAGCCGTTGGCGGCACAGCGGTATAGTTTCTCGGGACAGGTCCGGATGCGTCCCAGATGTTTCGTAGCCAGTCGCCCGCCCGCGTGCGATGTGTTTTGATCTCGGTTGTCTATATTGTCCCCCCCACCCTGCTCTCTGGATCTTGTCGACCTGTTTGTTCCTCATAGCGTCGCTGCAGCCTCGACAGCCCCGGCGACTGCAAAAGCCTTCTTGTTTGTCCACCGGATCTCGACGTCGTGGACCCACTCCATGTATCGTGCCCAGCCTATTTGGTTAGTATGCGTCTTGCATACGTAGCATCTGGCCCGGGCGACTCACTCCAATAGGCAAACTTGCGGCCCAGGAACTTGCCGACGAACGGCACCAGCACCATGGTCAGCATCAGCTGCAGCTGCTCCAGGCTGGCCTCCCATTCCCGCTGGGCATCCGACAGCGAGTCCGAACCGGCATCGGACGGACTGAGAATGCCGGTCGAGATGGACGGCAGCGAGTCGAGCTCGCTCTGGTTGTCGTCCTCGTCGTCCTCGTCGCCGACGTCGCCCCTCTCGAACCGGGCCTCCTGCGGCGAGAGCGTGTTCACGGCCGCCGGGTCTGCCATGACAAACGAGTCGGCAGTCGATGCGGGGGTGTCGACGGAATAGTCGGAAGACGATGCTATCGATTCGGAGGAGGCCATCCTGGCGGTTGTTGTGCGTGTGTGCATCCGTCGTCGGCCGCTGGAAGCTCTCTCTCCCTCGAAATCAGCTCGTTCTGCGGGGCGGGCTGCAGATGCTCTCTGATTGGCTGTGTGCTTGGCTTTGTCATGTGACACACTGTTTGGGCACACGGGTCGAGGGCTTTCGATCTCGCCGGACTGCTGCGCCTTTTCCGCTTCACAAGCCTGGTCAAGTTGGGTCGGACATCGCGTGCATCTTACAAGACAGCTCACCGCAGCTCACGAGACCGTCTACAAAAGGTATCTCCAGCCGCTCCTGCAATAAGCCAGACGCAGACGCACGAGTTTGCCCCTCCAGTCTTGGCCGTTATCCCAACGACTAGTATCCTTACAAGCACGGAGTAAGTCTGACTCGCTGTCATAGTCTCTCTCATTATTATCTAGTGTGTCTGCTTCCTTTTCATCCTTCCGACACTTACGCACATACCTGCCCCATCTTCCCCGTTGCGCAAACACGTCCCCATACCCAGTTTGGGCTGCGCAACTCTATACGTCATACGCAAGTTCCAAATACAGGCGCACAGATCCTTGGGCGGGCACTCACATCGTCAACGTCCAGTACAGACCGAGAACAGCTGCAAACATGGCAACCGAACAGGTGAGTTGGCTATGCGAAGCGCTTTGGCGGCGTCGCTTTTCGCTAGAGTTTACTTGTCTGAGTCATCGGCCCCCCTCCTTCCCGTTCGTTGGTTGGGCGGCTTAACCCCGCCGTTGCACAGTGCCACTAGGAGGGCTTTGCCAATTTTGAACAAAAAGAAAAAGGAACGGGGCAAAAAACAGAACAGAGTTTCCGATTGAAAGCGGACCAAGAACAACCACATCAGGCTCTACCTTGAAACTCCCTTTTTTGTGTTGTGATTTCGGAAACGCAAACCCCTTTATCCTAACGCTTGAACTGCAGCTACCTGAACGTAAAGCCCGGAAATCGGTCACATTTACGGATCAAGCGCTTGTGATTGACGCAGACGGAACCGTCAGCATGCCTCCGACGGAAGCGATCAACGACGACAAGGACACGGCCGTGTCCCACAGCCCGCGGACACCGCCCCTGGCGGCAGCGGCTGGGGCCTTTGCAGAGGCGCGCCCGGACGATGAGGCGGCAGCAGCAACGGCCGGCGATGACGGCCTGGACCTGAGTCTGCTGAAGAAGAAGAAGAAGAAGAGCAGCAGCAGCAAGAAGAAGGCAGAGGGCGAGGATGGTGCGGAGGGCGCGGCGGCCGGCGAGGACGGCGGGCTAGACCTCAGCCTGAAGAAGAAGAAGAAGAAGAAGGCGATCAAAGACAAGGCGGGCGAGGACGAGTTTGCGGAGAAGCTCAAGGCGATGGAGCTGCGGGACGAGGAGGTCGTCGAGGTGGACGAGGGCGACATGGAGAAGGGCACAGGCATCTGGGAGCACGACGCGTCGAACCCGCCGGTGCCGTTCTCGCTGCTGCTGCACCGGTTCTACCACGTGCTGGAGCTCAAGAACCCGGACCACGCGACGAGCGGCACGCGCAGCTACAAGATCCCACCGCCGCAGTGCATGCGCGAAGGCAACAAGAAGACCATCTTTGCCAACATTGCCGAGGTGGCCAAGCGGATGAAGCGTACGGAGGAGCACATTACGCTGTACCTGCTGGCCGAGCTGGGCACGACTGGTTCGGTCGACGGCAGCCGGCGGCTGGTCATCCGTGGCCGCTTCCAGCAGAAGCAGATCGAGAATGTGCTGCGGAAATACATTAGTACGTTGTGACCCCGTTTCGGGTGGCCGTGGCCGTGGCGTGACTGTGTGCCATGACCAACGTCTTGTTCGTGTTCAGAACCGAACGGCTAACCAGAACAGTCGAATACGTCGTCTGCAAGACGTGCAAATCGCCCGACACAGAGCTCAGCAAGGGCGAGAACCGGCTGTATTTCATCACGTATGTTTTCTTTATGGCTCTTGTCTGGCTTCAGAGACTTTGAAGTGCTAACCTGCCCAGGTGCAACTCGTGCGGTTCCAGACGGTCCGTCACGGCCATCAAGACCGGTTTCTCGGCCCAGGTCGGAAAGAGAAAGAAGATGCAGGGTTGAGCGAGACTCTGGCAGTGTTTTGGCTGTTTCTCGGTCGATTTTGCTGGGCAAAGGGCTCGAGACTACGTCGGACACCCAGCCCAGGCCAATCTTTTTGGTTTTACTGGATTTGGTCACATCATGCCAGCGATGGGAAAGGAGGAAATGGTGTGGAAATCGAGGATAGGCGAAAAAGGGAGCAAGCGGAAGCATGCCGAGTCTGGCGGTTTGACAACAAGACATGACTGCGTTGTTGCTCGTAGATGGGCAGGTTGTGGGTTTGCTGGCAGAATAGCATGAACCCCGCCATTGGCTATCTGTATCTGCGCTATCAGAGATAAAGACGATTTATATCCCGCCTTCGGAGCAGTGGTGTCATCCTGTCATGACCACGCCTGTTCACACCAGTTCTCTACTATCGTTTTTGCTTTTTTGACTCATCGTCGACACCATGACTATCCGCGAGGCCATACCCGGCCAGGAAGCCTATTCCGTCTCGTCGACAGCGCCGATGGCCACTCCGGCCGGACTGCCGAGTTCGGAGCCCTCGACGTCGTACTGGCTGCAAAAGCCGTCGGCGCTGCTGCACGGCTTCCGCTCGACGGACGCGCTGCCGGCGACGGTGGATGTAGCCATTGTGGGCAGCGGCATCACGGGCGCTTTTGCGGCAGACGCGCTGGCCGAGGCCGACGGTCTGTCCGTGTTGGTGCTGGAGGCGCGCGAATTCTGCTATGGCGCCACCGGACGGGTGAGTCTGTCCGCTCTCCTCTCTTCTCTGATCGTCTGGTCCAACTGACCTTTGTCTTGCCAGAACGGCGGCCACTGTCAGCCCAGCGTCTACGGCAACCCAGCCGACGTGGCCGATTTCGAGCTGGCCACATTCCGGTTCCTGCGCGACTTTGTGGCCACCCACAACATTCCCTGCGACTGGCGCACGCTTCCGGGCGGTGGCGTGCATGCATACCTGGACGAGGATCTGTTTGCAGCGGCGGCCGAGCTCGTGGAGTCGCTGCAGCACACGCGGCCAGACCTGGCCGAGCTGGCACAGGTAGTGAAGCCCACGACGGCGACAGCGACACCAACCGAAACAGAAACAGAGGCGGCCTCCGAATTTGCCAAGCCGACGCTGGAGTCGCTGCGGCTGCGCCATGCGGCCGGTGCGGTCGTGCAGACACATGCAGCCTCGGTGTGGCCGTACAAGCTGGTGTCGTGGGTGCTGGAGCGGCTGGCACGGTCGTCATCGTCGTCATCGTCGGCCTCTGTGAATCTGCAGACGGCCACGCCGGTGCTGAGGCTGTCTCGCTGCTTGTCGTCGGGGGCCTGGGAGCTGCACACAGGCCGTGGCATCGTGGTGGCCCGGCGCGTCCTGCTGGCCACCAACGGCTACACATCGCACCTGCTGCCGTCTCTGGCTGACTTGATCGTTCCGGTGCGCGGCCAGGTGGCCGCTCTGGTGCCGCCGCCGATGGCCTCGCCACCATCGCCGCCACAGCCCGTTCGGCTCGACTACAGCTATGTCTTTCTCGGCCACGATCTTCGCACAGACGAGGCGGACCGCGACGAGTATCTGGTGCAGCAGCCGCCTGCCACACTGCAGGGCGGCCATCTGATCCTGGGTGGCGGCCGCCAGCGGGCCAGCGGCCGTGCCGTGGGCGAGTGGCGTGACGATGCCGTCGAGCCCGAGGTGGCCACATACCTGCGCACACACCTGGCGCCGGTGCTCGCGGTCAAGGACACCGACGGCGACGGCGACGCCCTGGCTGCCGACTATGAGTGGACCGGCATCATGGGCTTCTCGCGCGACCAGTTCCCGTGGGTGGGCGAGATGCCGACAGACATTTTGGGCGATGTTGCTGCCCAAGGCGAGACCGAATCCGAGACCGCTCACACAACCGATGTCGCCTCTGGTCTCTTCCTCTGCGCCGGCTACACCGGTCACGGCATGCCGCGGGCAGCACTCGCCGCTCGCGTCGTCGCCACCGAGATCCTCTCCAGCCTCGGACTGTCGTCGTCATCGTCGTCCTCCTCCTCGCCTTCGACCGATGCTGTCCCACTGCCAGCTGCATTCCGCGTCACAGCCGAACGGATCCGACATGCGCGCGCTGCGTGTGCCACCGTGGACGAGGCGGACCAGATGGGACTGCTGGCCGATTTCCGCGAAACGCTCGAGCTGTTGAAGAAGAGGTAAACAGATGCAAAAGAGAAGAGAGAGACGGAGATAGATAGTAAGAGATAGAGCTATTAAAACATATTAAGAAAGGGTATTGCTGCCTATTCGTTACTTCCATTGCAGGAAGAATCATACTGATACATAGACGGTTGTTCCTTCCGAAGCGTCGTGCCTTCCGTCCTGAAACATTATTACATAAGATGCGTAGTCTGCCAAAAAAACATGACCAGGAAGACGACAGCTCGAGATGACACCGAAAAAACAACGCTCTACACCTTAGCACCTCGACACCTCAGTGCGTCACGATGCGTGCCGCCTGCAGCAGGATCCCAAATAGCAGGCCGCGCGCGACCTCCTCGATCTGCAGGCAGTCAAAGACCCGGCCGAGGGCGTCGGCCGTGGCTGTCTGGCCCATGACGCCCATCAGGGCCGCCGGCACGCCACTCTGGATCAGCAGTCGGCGGGCCTTGCGGCGCAGCTTCTCGCGGTCGTCGGCCGTCAGCGGCGGTGGCGCAGCAGCACGGTCGGCCTCGGTTGGGACGGCGGCCGCCCGCAGGCGCTGCAGCTGGGCCGCCAGGCCGCCATCAGACGTCGTGCTGTCGAGCACTGATGCCTGCAGCAGTGCCTGAATGGATGTCAGTGACGGGTTGCCGGGCCGCAGCAGAAACGACTTGGCTGCCGCCAGGAGCGTGCGCCGGATGTTCCAGGCCGACGACAGCGTGTACAGCTCGTTGATCACCGCAAACAGCAGCTCCACCGCCACCCGCGTCTCGCTCTCGCTAATGCCCGCATACTGCTTCGTATAGGATGTCGGCGGGGGTGCCGGCTTCCACGGCGGCGGCGTGTTGGGCAGACTGGGCAGATTGGGCGTGTTGGGTGTGTTGGGCGTGTTCGGCATCGTCTGTGCTGTCGGCATCTGTGGCTGCGTCTGTGTCTGCGTCTGTGTCTGCGTCTGCGTCTGCGTCTGCGTCTGCGAGAGTGTCTGGGCGATCGTCTGCGAGAGCGTCTGGACCTGCGTCTGGGGTCGTCCCTCGGCTGCTATAGACCGACCCTGACGCGCCGGCGAGCTCACTGGCGACAGTGTCCCAAAGAGGTCTTCGCTAGCAGCACCGGCCGCTGCAGCCGCACCGGCAGCAAAAGCAGCCGCAGCATCGGTCACGGCTGTCGGCAGAAACGACAGACGTCGGCCACCGCCCAGACTCGTCGCCGACGGCGACCGGGCCGGCCGGCCGATCAGCGACGACGCCCGGCTTCCGCGATTGCTGGCTGGTGGCGGCGCCGGCTGCTCGCTGCTCCAGATGTCAGAACGGCCGCGCGTCGAGTCGCCGTCAGCCCCAATACTGGCCTGGGAGCTGTGGCGCTTCTCCAGTGGCACCAGCCGGCTTGGCTGCGTCGACACCGACGATCGCTGGCTGTCCATGCTGTCGCGTGACCGTCGTGGCGGCGTCGAGATCGACAGCCGGTTCGTGTATGCTGTCACGTCTTGCAGTACTGAGCTCGTTGGTGTCGTCGCTGGAATGGTGCTGCTGCTTGTGCTGCTGCTGCTGTCGGCTGCGTTCGTCGTCTCGTTGCTGCTCGTCTGGACAGATGCTCCGCCCGTCAGCGACGGCGTGCTGCTCTGCCTCTTCTGCAGCGCGCCTCCCAACGCGATGCTGCCAATGTTGCCCAGCGCTCCACTTATGCCGCCCACCATCACCTTGCTGCTCTCGGCCATGCCCTTGGGCGCATTCGTCAGCGCGTCCAGCATGTTCTTGCCCATGCTCTCAAACGCCTGCAACCCCGTCTTGCTCGCTGGCATGTTGTTGACGTCCTTCTCCAGGAAGCGCTTCAGGCCCTCGCTCTCGGCCAGCGGCTGGAACCAGCAGGCGTCCCGCACATACCGCTCCAGCTCGCCTCGCAGCGACGCTCGCGTGTGCATCTTCCAGCTCGGCAGCGCGTTGTGCTGCTCTGTGAACGCTGTCGCTCCCGAGACCGCTGCAATTCGACGCATCACCTCGTGCAGCTTCTCAAAGTCGCCGTACTTGCGCACAATCATCCATCCCGGGTAGTGCGAGTTGGCCGGCTCGATCTGCACCAGAAAGTCCCATGCCGGCTTGCTCTTCAGACGACCCTTGTCCGGCGCCGGCTCGTCGTGGATCGTTATTGTCGCGTTGTGCAGAGTCAGCGGCGGAGCTGGTGTCTTCTGCTTGCGGCCCTGGCCCTCCGTGTCGCTCGTCTCCTCCTCATCGCGTGCTGGAGGAACGAGCATATCAAAGTGGGTGAGCTGCCTATCTATCTTGACATCCGTCTTGGCATCCGTCTTGGCATCCGTCTTGGAAAACAAAGACTGGTTGGGCGAATCGCCAGCCGACGACCGTGGCGTCAGCGGTGTCGACAGGCCATCGGCCACCTGCGCAGACTCGTCTCCCGAGAGGCTCAGCGATGGCTTGGACGACGTGTGATACGATGTGCTCGGCGATGACTGTCCGGCCCTATCGCCGGCCTCATCAGTCGTTGCCTCATCACCCTTGTCTTTACGCCGCGCATCCTCGTCGGCAATCATCTGGTTCATGCGCTTCATCTCCTCAATGGCCTCTTCCATCTCCTCGTCGGCTCGGCTGAGCTGCTTCTTGTGCGTCATCGGCTCCTTCCGGTGTCCCTTGGTCAGCGCGATGCTGCCTACGTTGCCGTCGAGGTCGACGTACAGGGCCGACTTGCTGGTCGCGGCGCCCGAACCAGAGCTGTCTGTGCGCGTCTGCATGCCCACGTCGATCGCCTGGCTGAAGTCGGGCTCGCCCGCCTCGAGCAGATACACGATCCAGCCGTTGATCCACTCGGGCTTCGAGCATGTCTGCAGCGTCGCATCGAGCACGGCACTGGCTAGGACCTCGCGCAGAAACGTGTGTGCCGGCGCAAACTCGTACGTCTGTCGGTCGAGAAAGCCTAGGAGGTCGTCCGAGACCATGCGCAGCTTGCTCGTCTGCTGGCCCTTGTCCAGCAGGTTTGCCAGATGGGAGTCCGGGTTCGACGCCAGATAGTTGTGGATGGCATCGGCCGCCATGATCGAGGAAGCCGATCCGTCTTCCTGCTGTTGCTGCGACGGCATCTCGGCAAAGGCCGAGGCAAGCTCGGAGAAGAAGACAATGATGATTGAGGACGAGTTGGTGAGGAAGTCGAGGAAGGCGTCGGCCGGCCGCTTCCGGCTCAGATGGTTGGAGACCGTGACGAGGAACGCGGTGAGCACGCGACGACAGGACAGCGCAAACGACTGATCGGCCGGCGCGATGGGCTCGTACCACGACTTGATGTACTCGAGGACGATGGAGTCGACCAGGCCGCTCATGGCGAGCCGGGTCTCGGGGCGGAAGCTGTCGAAAGCGTGGCTGAGGGCCTGTTCGTCTGGGGCTGCCAGGGCCATGGCTGCTACCGGATCGGCGACCGGATCGGACGTCGTCTCGGCAGCACTCTCATTGCGCTGCTGGTGGAGGTCACGTGAATGATACTCGATGATGCGGGCGAGCGCATCCGTCCCCGTCTCGCCCTGGACGACCCGGGAGACGATCGGATTGCGGGCTTCCCACGCGACGAAGAGGACGACACCACCAAAGGCTCCCATCAGGACCAGGCCCACACGTCCGAGGACAAAGTACGTCGTCGCAGCCAGGCCGACACCGACGGCACCGAGAGCGTCGGGGGTCGCGGTGGACAGCCATCGGAAGAGCCTGGTGGACAGGTCGTTGTCGTTGTCGACGCCGCTGCTGGTATCGGAGTCGTCTTGGCTGGGTGTCGGTGCACGCTTGCTGCTGCTGCTGTTGCTGCTGCTGTTGCTGGCGGGTAGGGAGATTGGCGAAGTGGGTGGGATCGGGGAAGGTAGAGGAGATGGCGAGGACAGAGACGGAGACAAAGACGGGGACGAAGACAGCGAGGCAGTCAGGGGTTGGAGGGCGGTGGAGGAGGTCGGATGTATGTTCTTGGAGCTTGTTTCGGACATCAATGTGACAACTCGGCCGGATTCGTTGGCAGTTGGCCTGTCCTCCATCTTGTCCGGAGCGGCACCGGTACGTTGATCATCGTTCCGCCAGCCCATGAGGGTGTTTTGGTTGAGCAGAACTCGGATGGCGATTCTCGGGATGGGGAGGATAGATTCTTGATCGGAATTGCCGCTTGAAAGAAGGTCGGCACAAATTCGTGATGTAGCGAGGAAAGGAGAAACAATCGGACAAGCAAGATTCAGACAGAATCGAGATCAAGCATGGGACCCCAGCCTCGAGCGATACTGCATGCTGTTGGTAATATTACGATGGGCGGGTCCCCTGGATTTTGGTCTCGATTGGATCATTTCGTGTTTGGGTCTACGTAGTGCAACTGATGTAACCTGGCATTCCCTTGTCGTACATGTACGGAGACGCAGGGACGCGTATTAGTCATTCCTGTTTGAGACTAGTGCGACAACCACTGAAGAATCTCGGCGCCGTCCAAAGGATGAGTAAGCGCCAATCGCACAAACGCAAAGACTGGACGGTCGGTGCTCCAGGTCACGCTGACCTAGGCAATGGACATTTTCATGCCGCCGTTGGCACAGATAACGCTGCCGGTGGTCCAGCCGGACTCTTCGGAGCAGAGCATGTCGATGGTACCGGCGATCTCGGCGGTGAAGCCGGGGCGGCGGCCGTTCATGGCCGTGCGCACGAGGGCATCAAAGCGGTGAGCGTCAGAGCCAGCCATGGCGAGCACGGCGGGCTGGCCGTGGTAGGCGGCCAGCGGGGCGGCGTCGACGTATGGCTGGTTGATGTCCCAGAAGGCGGGCCCGACGCGCTCGTACATGTCACTCCAGGCCGGGCCCGGATTGACGGCGTTGACGGTAGTACGCTCAGCCAGCTCGCGGCTCCAGACGCGCGTCATGGCCTCGAGCGCGGCCTTGCCGCCGGCGTAGACCGACTGGCTCTGGTAGCCAATGGAGGACGAGACGCTCGAGACGGACACGATGCGGCCGGACCGGTCATGTGGCAGGTGTGGCGCCACGGCCTGGGTCAGCAGCAGCGGCGCCAGCACGTTGACGGCATAGACACGCTCGAACTCGGCGGCGGCGATGGTGCCGAGCCGCTCGTTGGACGCGACGCCGGCGTTGTTGATCAGGATGTCGACACAAAACGGCTTCTGGCTGTACGACGCGAAGAGTGTCTGCGCTGCCTCCACGATGCGGCCGCACACAGCCGCCGGCTGTTACAGGTCAGCCTGCACGGCGGCCATGTGGACGGCATGCGCAGCCGTCAGCTCAGCGATCAGCGCATCTGTCGGGCCGGTCGATGCGTCCGACGTGTAGACCACCAGCACATTGCAGCCCTTGGCGGCCAGCCGCCGAACCACGGCCTCTCCGATGCCTGCAGCAGGGACGCGCCCGTCAATAATCGTTCCGCACACCGCAGCACCGGAACTGGGAGAGGCTGAACGGACCTCGAGATCCCCCGGTGACAATGCCCAGTTTGGACTCGTAGGGACGATAAGGTGCCATAGGATCGATCGGATATGGGAACGGCTGTAGATGTTGTGTACATGTACAAAAAAGCACAGTCTGTTCTCTGGCTGCCGTTTCCAGAATCCGGCTGGTTCGGACAAGGGGAAATGCGGTCAAGGCCAATCTTCGGAGTGAAAGAAACCGGCGCCAGAAAAGAGTGCGGAATGGCATCATCTGCTAACATCACAGCTCTTGCCCGAACCGGAAGTGTGGGTTGTGGGGTTCGCACGACGTCGACGACGGCTACGCTTACGGAGTAATCGTGGTAGCGACAACAGCCCCACATACATAAGAGGAAGGCACGCAGACGATCGAGCATCAGCAGCCAAAATGAACAAAGAGCCAGCCTCAGACACGACGCGCCACGCGCTGTCGCCACCGCTGCTGCACGAAGTGGCGGCCGTCTTGGCGACGGCGCTGCCACGCAACTACAGGTGCTCGTCGGCGACGGTGGTCGAATGTCCGGACCTGCGCACGGCGCCGTTTGGCCTGGCAGCTGCCGGTCTGAGCGGCCGCCCGACTGTTGCCGATGTGGGCGGCCAGGGCAACCTGTTCCCGACGCCACGTCGTGACAAGAACTACGGCCTGGTCGACGTGGCCGCGCGCATGCAGCTGGATGAACAGCGTGGCGCCCTGTTGGGGGCCGGTGCCGGTCCCAACCGCGTGCACGGCATCAACTCGGAGCTGGCGGCCAGCCTGAGCTGGCAGGGCGGCCAGGAAGCCAAGAACATCACCGACTGCAGCCGCAGCATCCGGATCGCTGCCGACAATCACGGCCATGATCACGTGCAGTGCGTCCTCTCCGGCAGCACCGAGTGCGCCCTCATGGCCAACCTGTACGGCTCTCTGGGCCTTCCGGGTCCCGTCCTCCGCGTCACGGCACGAGGTCGCCACGGAAATGCCGCCAGCTTCCCCGAATTCCTGCGCGCTACCCTGCACGACGCCTACGGACCCGACCGCCAGGTCTCGCTCGGCGGCGTCTTTCTCTTCAAGACCGGCCGCGCTCGCTTCCACGTGATGCCCGATTTTCCGCCCGCCAGCGCGCTGCCATTTGCCGACCGCCAGGCCGTCGAGCGCTGGCTGACCTTCCACGACTTTGCTGCGCCCATCGTCTGCCTCTCGGTCTTCCACTCGGCCGATCCCCACCAGCTCGGCCTTCGCATCGAGCACACCCACGGCTTTGCCGCCGACAGGCCCGCCGGCGGCCACTACCACTACGACCACCTCGCGCGCGATGGCCACGACGATGACGAGGTTGAGTACGAGGCCTACTTCAACGTCGCCGATGCCCTCGTCCAGATCGATCCGGCGCGAGCGAACTACGAGGGGCGGGGCGAGGGGCACTGACACAGAAGTTTTTCATTATAAACGTATTTCCCATGTCTTCGGTGACACATGGACAGCCAACCTCGTTGAATATACCGCTAGCTACAAGCCGTGGCAAACAAGAAAACCAGATCCTCTACCACTTGCGCAGCTTCCACGATGCCGTCTCGGACCAGAGCCTTGCGTACCACTGGTGCAGCTCCTCGATCCACGGCGACATTGGACCCTTGGTGCCCACCACGTTGCCTTCGCTCTGGAACAGCACGCTCTTGAGCCGCAGCTCGACCTCCTCGCGTGGCTTGTCCATCGTCGCGCTGATCACAAAGAGACCGTCCGACGCGCGCGGGCCCTTGTTGCGTGGCGAGTCGCCGCAGCGCACCGTGATCGACGTCGGCGTCTTCTCCACCACCTCAAAGTGGTCCGTGATCACCGTGCCCTTGTCGTATGTGCTGGCCGCTAGCTCCTCCGTGTCCCACAGCTGGCTGGCTGTTTCGGGGCCGCGGTACTTGCTGTCGAGAAACTTGCGCTGGATGGCGTAGCCTGAGGGTGTTAGCGGAAGGCGAAAGAAAAGACAGAAAGGAAGAGGGAAATCACCATATCCACTCCATAGCCCCCGGCAGAACTCCAGCACGAGCGGGCCATCCTTCTGCAACAGCTCCGGGCGGATGCTCGACATGGGCAGACGCTTGATACACACATCCTGCGTCGCCGGGTTCCTCGCCGGATTTGTTCTCTTGTACACGCTCGAGCTGAAGATTGGATCCGACGGCGCCAGCGGCGAGATCACTGGGTTTCTGGACGCCAAATAGGCCGCTACCGTCGAGGTGCCGAGCAGACCGCTCACGATCGACGTTCGCTTGAATCCCATAGTCGCAGCTGTCGTAATGCAAGAGCTAGACGGCCGGCGGGGAGGATGAGTCTGGTAGAGGAGCTGCTGGAGCTGCTGGCGGAGAGAGTCGGCTAAGTTGGGCCGGTTTCCGACATTCGGTGATGCGGGGAACTCGATTGGCCGGCAGCCAAGGAAGAAAAAGCAGCGGTCAAGTCGAAAACAGACTAGTCTGCAACAGGCCTTCTCGTTGTCCTACAAGCACGTGATCCATTACACACCCGCCTAGGAACAAGGCTTCGTTTTCTGCGAGGCTGTAATTCTCACAAGTTTCGCTAGATCCACGCCACGTTATATTCAGGAAATACTGTAAAACTATCATACTATGTAGAGGTACCCTCCAAGCCCGTCTCGTTGTACGGACACCAGAAAATACCCTCGCCGTCCCAAAGCTTCTTGATCTGCTTCAGCTCGGCGATCCGTTCCCGGCTCTGCATCTCCTCGAGCGCGGTATTCTGCCGCATGTTGTTGACGATCGTCCGGGGCGCATCTGTGGCCGGTTGGTCCTGTCGGCAGATGGCCTTGAAGTCCCGGATAAAGGCCTCGCAGGCGGCGCCCGTTGCCGGCTCCGTATACGAGGTCATGGCCATAGCGTTGACGGCCCGGTTGCGATTATCAAAGGAGCGCGTTCGACCACGGCCCTCACGCTCGAGCTGCAGCTGTGCCGCCGTGCTGCAGCTTCCAAAGATGACGGCCGTCTGCCGCGCGTCTGCGTGTGCATCGGTGAAGGCGAGCCAGCGCTGAAAGACGGCCACCACGGCCGCGGGGCTGATTGCACGCAGTCGCGTCGATGCGATCTCTTTGTAGCCGCCCTGGCGATCAAACTTGGCGAAGCCCTGGTTCATATGCGCAAACGGCGTCGCGCCGGTGTCGGCCTTGACGGCCTGCGCCATCACAGCCTCGTCGAACAGGGGGGCCGCAGCGGTCAGGCCATCGTCCGCTGGGCCCATGTACGAGGCGCTCAACATGATCATCGGCGCAGCGGCCGGACCGCCGCCACGGACAAACAGCAGGACCGGACTCAGCGTCGGCGCCGGGTTCTGCAGGCGGGAGAAGGTGGCAGCAGCAACGTCTAGGCTTGCTGTCGTGAAGACCAGACGACGGTTCCAGATCGACCCGTCTGTCAGGCCGAGTTCGGATATCGGATAGACCCGGAGCGTGACCGACACGACGACGCCAAGGCCGTGGCCGGTGCCGCAGAGGGCGTGGAAGAGCTCCAGCTCGTCGCCCTCGGACGTCGCGCTGATGTCTACGGTCTGTCCTGTGGCCGTGACGACGCGGAAGGATAGGACGCTGTCGATGGCCATGCCGTGGAGGCCGACCGCGATACCCTGCATGTCCAGTGTCAACGTCGCTCTTGCTCGTCACCACTGTCGGCCGCCGCGTTGCCGTTCCATCTTACGTTGCCACCGCCTAGAACAAAGCCGGTATAGCCGACGGTATCGCTGTGCGGCCAGCTGGTGTAGAAGCCGGCGTCGGTACAGGCCTTCAAGACCTGGCCGGTTCGGGCGCCACCGCCGACAGTTACAGATGACGCTGCCGCGTCCAGGCTGACGGTGTTAAACCGCTTTAGGTCCAGATACAGCGTTTGTGCGCCGACAGGCGCAAATGTGCCGTTTCCGCCGCCGGCCGCCAGGAGACACAGACCCTTCGCCCGCGCATAGCTAATAGCGTCGACAATGTCTTTCTCAGACTCGGGGACGACCACCAGGGCTGGTGGCGCACTCAGGCCGCAGTCCGACCAGCGCGAGACGGTCGCTTGGGGCGAAGCCGCAGGATCCGGCACGATGACCTCGCATGTCAGCGCAACAGATTCTGCAGCTGCCGATGCGTTCATCGTGTGTTAGAAGAATAGAAGGAGAACAGCTAGAGGGAGAAGGCGGGCAAAAAGCACAAAGATTGGCTTCGTTCCCAATGTCAACGAGCTCACGAGCTGTCTCTAGGAAATCTCACACCATAGTCGGCTGCTGCGGAGTCGCACGTGATCAGAAGTCGCCTTATTCAGCCTATATGTAAGCAAGCTGGGAGAGTCCACTCGATGGTCTTTCAACGTGGCATCGGGTGTTTCTTCTGTGTTATCGGAAAGGGCCAGCTACGTATGTGACTAGGTCTTCGAGATAAGTCTTTGTTGTCACCTCTCTTTTTCTCTCGGCAAAGTAGGCTGCGAGACATCAATCCGTACGTTGTACTATAACTCGAAGCCAAGAACAAGAGCGAAGACCCGCCAAGGAAGGCCCCATATATCGTGCACCGGCCCGGTGCACCCCAGTCTAATGCGGGTGTCAGGAAGCGGATAATCCTAACATGGCAGTGTTGCTGTCAGTCAGCGTCCAGCGAGAAGCACTAGACCTCTGTGTTAGCGCTTGTGCAATTCGGATCCATACTATTGTCATCGTCCAAGGTCCGAGTCTTGTAAGATGGAAGAGTCTTCGTGTGCTATGATGGGCGAGACAAATTCTCGGGCGGGGGATCCGCTTGCACGAATGAGCATATATCCGCGGCGCCGTCTGCGTGGTATCGGCCTGAAGAAGAATAGAATGTTCAAACTAAAATGGCTGACAGAAAGGACGCTGAAGCTGCTGTGGGAGTGCCCGAAGACGTGCTGCCTGTAGCCTACGAAGACGAGGCGTCGGAAGACAACAATGCCGTCCGGATGGTCGAGATCCCCGGCAACAAATGGCTGAGGAGATACCGAAGCGTGGCTTTCCAGATGATTGCCATGGCCTTGCTCGCATTTTCCGGCCCGTCCATGAGCAATGGTATGTGGAGGCGACCACTCCTAGCTACGAGCTTCGTGCTCTCTCTCTCGTTCGCATCGCTGACTCTCGTCATCCGCTTCAGCCATCAGTGGCCTCGGAGGAGGCGGTCTTGCCACTCCGTACACGGCCAACGCGGCATCTGCCACGCAATATTCAACATCTGCCCTGATCGCGTCAGTAGCCTTCTCGTCTTCGCAGCCTCCTCCAGTTGTCAAACTCACCATCTCTCTGTCATAGTCTGTTCGGTGGCCCCATCGTCAGCGCCATTGGCATCCCTGCCGCCTGCATGATAGGTGGTGTTGGCTTTCCTCTGTCGGGCTCTGGCTTTTATGTCAATAGCAAATACGGCGTCCAGTGGTATCTGATTTTTGCAAAGGCGCTGTACGGCATCAGTCAGTAGAGCCCTCCTTTCTCGACATCCCTCGCTGCAATGACAAAAGTGATAGTGACTAATTGTCGTGTTTCTACTAGCTTCTGCCTTCCTGTATATCGCCGAAGCTGCGACTATGATCTCCTATCCCGAAGAGCACCGCCGGGGCTTTTACATCAGCATATGGGTGGCCATGCGCAACGTTGGATCAATCATTGGAGGGGCCATCACCTTGGGTCTGAATATCAAGAGAAAGGGAGGTGGCGGGGTGTCAACGAACACGTACTTGGTGTTTCTTGGCTTGGAATGCATCGGTAAGCCAAGCGAGCACTGGCTACTTTGTGCAACCACAAATCTGACTTCCCTAGGTCTACCTTCTGCACTGCTCCTAACCAAAACCCGCAAGGTCATCCGGTCTGATGGCTGGGGCGTTCCCATGCTCCCTAAAAAGTCGTGGAAACGAGAAGTTGTGCTGCTATGGGAACATCATAAGCAGAAGCGGGTATACTACCACCTTTCTACTGCACTCGTCCCGTTTTCTCTCTCCTGTCTTTGTTTGTATTTTCTGACATAGCCAATCAGACCTTGATGTTGGTTCCCATCTACATGTTGACATACTTTGGGGACGGTGTCTGGGGAACCTACGCCTCGAAACACTACTCCGTCCGTGCTCGAGCACTTTCCAACTTTGTCGGCCCTTGTTTGGCTGTTCTTATAAACCCGCTTTTTGGCAAGATCCTGGATATGAAGAATGTTCGCCCGAGAACCAAAGGCATGATTGGGTTCTGGGTCTGGACTCTTCCATCAGCGTAAGCTACTACCAGCGGATGGTTTTATCTAAATTCGGCTGTTTTATACTGACCACCGCCTAGAGCTATGCTCATATGGGTGATGATCAATCTCAAGTGGTTTGAAGGTCAGCCTAGCAGCCTTCGCCTAGACTAGTAAGTCACGTCATCGACTTGCGAGTAATACTACACAGACATACTGACCAATTTCAGCGCTCAACCTACGACTGCCCGATGGGTGAGGGCTTGGTTCCCACATCTGATCTACGTCGTCAACGGGTAAGTATTTTTACTTTCATGCTTGTTGTTGCCACTTGCCAAGGCTATCTGTGCTAACTTGTCCCAGTTGGATGTCTCAAACTCTTGTCTATTGGATCTTGGGCCAGTTCGCCTCCGATGTCGCTACAAATGCACGTACCGGTGGTGTGTTTCGCTGCTGGGAGACTGTCGGCCAAGCCGTGTCGTACGGTATCAACGCAAAGGCATCCAACAAGTTTATCCCATTTGGCATCTACATCGGCCTGTTCATAATTGCCGTTCCTCTTCTCTGGCTGATCGTCCTGGAGCTACCGACTGAGAAGAGAGTGGTTAGAGTGATTGACGACGAAGGGAACGCGGTTGGCGATCTTGGCACCGTGAAGCCTACTCTAGTAGAAGAGAATTCGACACGAGACGGTTCGCTCTGACTTGGGGAACAGCAAGCAGCTGCCACACAAAAGCACAGATATACTGGACGCCCTGGATAAGAGGCGATGTTGTTCTTTGTGCAGGCGTATAGCTACGTAACTATTCAACGGATCAACATCTGCGATCCAAATGGAAATATATTGTTCACGACGTAGTCGTTGCTACTGGTGCTGCCGCTAAAACCTCTCCTCTAGCAGCAATATAGTTCTATAGTTCTTAATATGCCTAAAGATATCCTACTGTTCAAAAGCCGGCACATTCCACAGCATTTATTTGGCATTTGTTTCGGAACAGGTGCGTCTTGGAGCAAGCCATGGCCGAGCACAAATAGCCGTCAACAAATCATTTGTCATGAAAACATAACATTCTTCAGCGGACTGCAACTGTTTTTAGATATGATTAAAAGGATAAAAAGGCTTCTCGCCCCCCCAGTGGCGATAGTAATCTAGACCTTTTCAGAGTAGTATTATGATGTGGCCGGCATTAGCATAGTTCGTGAGACAGTGCGATACAGTGTGTAGACCAATTATTAGAATTGCACTGTACTACCACCGTGAAGAGGGGCAAAGGAATGTTCTGCCACTGCTTCGAGTGACAGCAAGTGCACACGGCTGCTGGAATTCGTAGTTGGGCCACCAACGCTACTTCCCCCTCTTCTCAATTGCCGCCTGCCGTTTCCAGCCATCCCCGTCCAACACATCGTTTGAAAAGGAGCGATACTTTTATTCCAACCGACCTTCATCATCAACCTTGACAGGTCACCGCCAATTTTGCTCTCCCTTTCCCCGCGCACTCGTGCAGCCCCAGCCATGGGCCCCAGCCGGCTCGAAGACGAGGAGCTCTCCATTTCGTTGCCACGCTCTCAGAGCCGCCGCTCCCATACCACGCTGGCTTCCGGCCAGCCTCCGCCGCAGGTCAGCGTCACCGACTATGGCGCCGTCGATGATGCCAAGGGCCAGGGCAAGACCGGCACTCCCACGCATCTCCCCGACCGCATAAAGTCTACCGATGCCCGGCTCGACCAGTACAATGTCATCCGTACCTTGGGCGAGGGCTCCTTCGGCAAGGTCAAGCTTGCCATTCACAAATCGACAGGCCAGAAAGTAGCCCTCAAGATCATCTCGCGCAAAAAGCTCATCAGCCGCGACATGACCGGTCGTGTTGAACGCGAGATCGAGTTCTTACAGCTTCTGCGTCATCCCCACATCATCAAGCTGTGTGTACAGGTCTTTTTTCTCTTCCCATCCCTGACAGTCTCCATTGCCGCACAGCTTCAACTCCGTCCATGTCCATGCTTTCAGGCCTCCCCACGCTCACGATGCTGACAACCATGTCTGCCCAGGTACACCGTCATCAAAGACTCGAACGATATCATTATGGTCCTCGAATATGCCGGTGGTGAGCTGTTCGACTACATCGTCAAGAAAGGCCGCATGACAGAGCCCGAAGCTCGGCGTTTCTTCCAGCAGATGCTGTGCGCCGTCGAATATTGCCATCGCTACCGTGTTGTGCACCGCGACCTCAAGCCCGAGAACCTGCTCCTCGATGATAAACTGAACGTCAAGATCGCCGATTTCGGTCTCAGCAATATCATGACAGACGGCAACTTCCTCAAGACCAGCTGTGGCAGTCCCAACTATGCCGCCCCGGAAGTCATCAATGGCAAACTCTATGCTGGCCCCGAGGTGGATGTTTGGAGTTGCGGCGTCATTTTGTACGTCCTGCTCGTCGGCCGCCTACCCTTCGATGACGACCACATCCCCAGCTTGTTTGCCAAGATCGCCAAGGGGGCGTATATTTTACCCTCGTGGATGAGCCCTGGTGCGGCCGGCCTGATCAAGAAGATGCTTGTCGTCAACCCCGTTCAACGTGCGACCATTGAGGAGATCCGGCAGGACCCTTGGTTCCTGGCTGATTTGCCCGACTACCTGAAGCCCCCGGCCGAACCCTTCTTGAACACGGGCATTGATCCGGATAAGGCGATCAGACCCAGCGACATTGCACCACATGCATCTGCCAAGGTACAAGAGAAGCTTCACGACGAGGTGACCGAGAAGATCTCAAAGACAATGGGGTATGGAAGGAAGGACGTCCAGGAGGCGTTAGAGGCCAACGTGCCTTCTGCCATCAAGGATGCATACATGATTGTTCGGGATAACAAGCTTATGCAGATCAACCGTGAGCCGCCACCCCCTTGGGAAACATCTTGGCACCCGAAACTACTTGCTAACAAGCTCGAATAGCGACTCTAGGCGCCGACAACCCGTACTTTGCATCGTCACCAACAGAGAACACGACCTCCAGCTCCATCGCCATGAACATGGCAGGAAGTGGTGAGCTAGATCCCGGCGCCAGCCCTCTGGGCATGTCATCTAGCCGGTCTATCAACTCGAACAGCACGAGCGCCTCGCCAAGGCCTTACGTCTCAAAAGTCGGCGTTCTTCCTAGTAGCTTGCCGGCCTACCACAAGGATTACATGGCTGGCAGCGGGAACATCATGGAGACCCCCTCCTTTGCCGACCCGCCTGCAGCAACACGAACATTGGCCGATCAAGAGGAAACATCTCGCCGCCTGCGTCCTCACTCCCGCAGCCAGATCCGCCTCGACGAGTCCAGCATGAGACCGCAGGGTATGACGCCGGTCAATCCTCCTAAGAAGTCCAAGCAGGTGCGGTGGCAATTTGGCATCCGGTCGAGGAATGTGGCGTGGGACGCTCTGCTCTGCATTTACAAGGCATTGAACCGACTGGGCTGCAGTTGGGTTGTCGACGAAGACTTCAACAAGTACAGTAACGAAGAGGACGATAAGTGTGTTACAGCCCCTCGGACAACCACTCTCACGGTGCATGTAGTATGTCCTGTTGTGCTAACTTGTGGAAGTCGATCCAGAGATGGAAGCGGCAGCTTTGACAGCTACAGGGGGTCTTCCCAGAGAAACAGCAGCTCTGACATCACAAAGAAGTACAAGTTGCCTGCAGACCCGTGGCACATCCAAGTCCGCTGGGAAACTGAAGGTATTTCCCATACCGAAATAACGACCAGGCAATGAAGGGCATGGCTAACTCTTTTCACAGGTATTCGCCGATCAGCAATAGGAACGAATGTGGCCACCCCCGAAGAAGTGGAGGCAGATAAGCTCCTGGTGCGAAAGACCGAAGACGACAGCAAGATCCAGGTGGTGGCTATGCGGCTGGATATCCAAATCTACGAGATGGAGCCATCTGTCTATTTGGTCGACTTCAAGTGCAACGGCTACGAAACAGCGGAAGGTCACATTCTGGAGGAGAAAGAAGTGACAAGCGCTTTCCCGTTCCTCGATCTTGTCGCTAAGCTCATTCTCATGCTGGCCGATGGCGAGTAACATTGGTGTTTCTTCAGACGTTTCTCGACACGTTCATCCACTTGTGTTTTTTTTACAGTCTATTATTTTTACGCATCGGGGGTTCATGTGACACCCCATTGTTCGTTTCACTTACAGGTAGGATATAGAATATACCTGCAGACTGCCCACGGCGGGAGGGACAAATCGGTTGGAGGGCTGGGTGACGGAGCTTGTGTTTTTGAAGCCGTGTATCAGGCAGAACGCGGCTTCAGGCGTTTCGTGGGGAGCCAAGGTCATTTACTGTAGTTTAGGGATACCTCTGGTAGAAGAAATGGTTCGGAAAATTCATCTTTTTTCACCCAACTTTGTACGTGGCGGATGTCCGTCGTAGCCGCCGAAAGGGACTGTAAGCTGTAGACAGCAAACGGTCATGACAGCCAACATTGGGTCTCTCCTTTCAGCATCGTCTTTGGGCGTCTGCTTATGTTACTACAAGGGTCTTGGTATCTGCACCAGAGTGTCTGGCCCACGTCAAACCCACGCCTTTCTCTGCTTCTTCTTTGTCATTTCCAGTGCTTTTCAACTCCTAATTCCAGTCTGAGGGGCTAGGGTTTGTTCCACGGTCTACAAAACTCCTCAATCTTCTGCAGTCTGGTAATCTAATTCCATGTATCGCAAGACACTCTCCCTATCTCTACACCCTTCGACCTCCTGTATTCTCGTGCTTTTCCGTTATGCTTCCTCTGGTAGCTCTCTTATTCTTGGCTATTCTAGCTGTCACCATCTACAACATCATCTATCGCCCATTGGAATCACGAATTTCGTTTGTCAACAGCAGCCGCATACGTAATGTGAAAATCAGCCAAAGGCAAGCTGCTCAAGACAGCGAAGACATAGAGGATCATGAGCTCCTTATGGGTGAAGTCCCTGATACGCCCTCTCTCCTCCATACCTCTGTCGATGGGACTCCTCCAATCGAAGATGCCAATTCCGCTCACTCTTCGGAGGCTCCGGACATTGATGACTCCAGATCCCTTGTAGGCAGGTCACTCTACTTCGATAGAACGCCTACAAACACAGAATCGTCCTATGGTGCTGTTAACGACTTCATAAAACACGGAGAGGATCCCGAGCTCCCACGAAACTTCCCTGTGGGTGCAGACCGAGAAGACTGGCTGATATTGTTTGACGACAACGGTATCTGCAATGGGCCAGGCTACAGGGACCTGACGCACACTATACCAGAGCCTGGTGGGTGGCACATTGCACATCACACGTTAGAGATTATCACTTCCGAATACGGAACCGTGCCTGAGAACGGATACGACACTGGCCAAGGAGACGAGACGGCCGCAGGTGTGTTGATTGATACCAGGCTTGGCGACGCAACGCCTCCATCGGCGACGGACAGCGACTGCGGGCGTGATGCAATCCTGGAAAAAGTATTTGGGGGGGCCCTGGTGAGTCTGCGAATCAATGTCCTTAGGGGCCAAACGGACCACCGACTAGGAGAGGGTAGCGTAGAGCTGCTGCCTGAAGTGAGCTGCTAATACCGTTAGCCCGACTTTCCCACCGCCTGTGGAGAAGAGGATCCGGTGGATATGCTCTCGCTGCAGCTGTTTCACCTGCGTCTGTCGTATCGCGAATGAGCGCCACGGGCGAGGACGGCCTCCAGGGCAGGACATGCCGAGCTGTGCCAGCTGCTTGCGAGTCTTGGCCTCGGCCCAGAGACCAGTTTCGTGGGTCGCGCATGAAATATATTGGGGGGGCGGATGTCGGCATATACCCAAGAGTTGCTCCCGATATCTGCATTGGATATCCGACAACGTGTCTTGCAATAGTGGTGCCATGTCAAATATCTGTGACCTGTTCTCTATTCGAGCATCAGTATCAGGCCACTAATAGCCGTTGTGTATTTGGTTCGTCTATTTCTATCTCTGGCCAGGACGTTCTCTCTCTACTTGGTGGAACCTGAGCGAGTTCGCAACTTCGTCCACCCACTCGTCCCGGCAGACCTGACCTTCTCCGGCCGTCGGCTCCTAGGGCTCACGTCCATTTCGGCCAGCGCCAGGGTGTCCTCGAGATCTGTAATTACCGACGCCACGCTCTCCACGCCAAATAGCCTCCTGTCGGGAGCACGGCTGCCACCGTTTTGCTGACCGCCCTTGGACAAGACACCGTCCTCCATGTTGTTGTGATCGTCTGCAGCCCAAGACTCGTCGTCGAGAACTTCCCAGTCAGGAAGCGTACTCTCGCTGCTCAGCCTGGTCTTCAGGCGGTCGGCGAGACGGTTTGGACTCGGGAGCTTGAAGGCCCGAATGACGTCGTCACCAAGGAAAGTGTGAGCCGTTCCGTGAGAGTAACGTCCCATCATTGTGGCAGCCTTACCAAACTCGTTTATTTCTCGGCCGCCTCCAACGCCGCCATCGGTCTGGCGCATAGTCCCCCCAGGAGACGCCGGCGTGGAAGACGTGGAAAAGATGCGGCCGGCCGGGTTGTTGAGCAGCTGGCTGCCAATTAGCAGATTGTACAGGTTGCGGCCGATATTGAAGACGTCGTCAAACGACGACCTTTCGCCAATGGGCACGCCCTGGGATCCACAGGCCCACGCAATATCGTATGCGAGCAGGGCGACGCCCTCCAGAAACATGGTGTGTGACCAACTGTCCTCTTTGGAGAGGACAGGCAGCTGCTTGTCAATGTAGAGCGGCCGCGCACGCGGCACTCGCTGGAACGGCTCGTGGTCTCGGCCGGCGGCGTGTGACGGCTGAAAGGTGGCGGTGCCGGGAAACGGCACGTCACCGTGTGAGTATGATGAGGAGAGAGAAAAGATGGTCGGTCGAGGATAGTCCCGATGAGGGAGCGTGACTTCGGCCGGCAGCCGGATAGACAGGTAATGGCAAGCTAGCATCAGAATATGTGTGACGTGGCCGAGGCTCGTGGAGATCACTTCTGGCTGCAAGTCTGCACGGCAGATGGTCAGTAAGAGCAAGGATAAAAGCTAAAGAAGAATGCGTACTGCTCATAGAGTAGGGATTGACAATCTCGCGGCCGCCAATCTCGTAGTGAACTGTGCTGCCTCGCTTCAGCCGGCGAAGGCCGTATAGCTTGGCAGCCTCCATGCATAGGAAGCCGCGGGTAGCAGCCATAGCGTCATAGCTACGGTTCCACTTGAACCGGGTCATGGAGATTGAGCGCTCGACTTCGTCCTGCATGCGCGACCGCCGGGTGGCCGTGCCGTTGGAAGCTGCCGCAAGATCGGAGCGCCGCCGCCGGTTGGTGTCTTTGCGGCGCTCGAGCTCGCTGCGGGCGGCCTCGAGGTCGGCACGCAGCTTCTCAGCGCGCTGCACCACGTCGTTGGTGCGCTCGAGGATTTCCTGCCGCTCGCATTCCCAGGCGTCGAGCCGGCTCTTGGCCGAAAGCGCATCGCGCTGCTTCGGCTGCCGCTTCAGCTGCTGCTGTCTCTTCGCCGGCGGCTTCTCATCCTCTGCGTCCGCGGCCGACGACAGAAGCAGCTCGCCATTCACCTGCTGCTCCAGCTGCTCATTCTGGATCAGCGCAGCCGCATGCGCCAGCCGGTGCTCATACAACTGGTTTCGGGCATCGATAGGACAGAGAAAAGGCAGACGCTGGGCATGGTAGTGACGGCCGCAGATATCGCAGTTCATCTTCCACAGAGGGGAGGACGGGTTTTATCCCGGGAGAATGCACAGGATTCGAATGGAGGATATCGGTCAAGGCTCGAGGCGCACAACCACAAACAGACGCAGAGCCACGCCGGTGGCCCTAGTTCTGCCAGTCCTTGGTCTCGATCCGAGCAGCAGCGGCAGCATATCCAACCAGCGACGGAAAAGGGGGGAGAGGGCGTGACGATAGAAGAGTGGTGGCGACGTGCAGCTGCTCGATGGCAGTCGATGGCGGAGCGATGGCGGTTGATAGTGGTGGATTGTTCGAGTAGGGGCAGCTGACAGCCTGGAATGAGTAATGAGGAAGTACAGGCAATTCACGTCAGGCATTGGCGAAGGAAAGACTGCTTCAGCTGTCAGCTGGCCAATCAGCGCCGCGGCTTGCTTTGAATGCTCTAGGCTCCAGCAGTGGCCGCTATCGTATTAATACCCTTCGACTGGCGGGGCATTCAGAGCGCCACCTCCCCCCACCCACCCATTAACCCCTGCTGTGACGCTAGTTGTGCTTGCTGTAGGTCATCTGACAGCGCGTCTGCCGAAAACAGCTCTTCTCCATAATCAGTGCATCCACAAAAGTAGTTCCCACGTTTGGGCATCCAGATACGGGCCAGCTTGGAACCCAGTCAACCACGTCTGATTCATGCGTCTTCCTCTGTGCTTCACTGGGATAGGACCATGGCCTCAGGATCTGCACCGTTGCCCTCCCGCGCATCGCCGACAAAAAAACCCTCTGAGGAGCTGCCATCGCGGCCAAGCCAGCAACGCCACGACGGCAGCGACAGCAGCAGCAGCGGTAGCGACGGCGAAAGCGACAACGGCAGCGACCACGCCGGCGCGACAGGGCCGTCTACTATGACTACTGCCGACGTTATTGCCAAGATAGCGGCCGCTGAGATGGTTCTCGACAACGGGACCACAGCGTCGGCTGCCCGGGATCTGCGCGCCCAGACACGCACGCCCGAGCTCCAGACGAATCCGCCCAGCCAGAGCGACGGCAACGGGAACCGCAATGGCCGCGGCCGACCGATTGGCCAGAAGGCCTCGATCCTGGACGCCCAGCATCCTCCCGGCACCCCGGGCCACATCCCGCCGTTTGACTGGGACGAGTTTGAGGCTCGCTACGAGCAGGCCCTGGTCGAGATGAACGGCGAAGAAAAGGAGCTGCTGGAGGATTTCGACCAGCTCGTAAACGTGCGCATGGCCCACACAAACCCCTTCTCTTGCTAGTGACCGGGCTGCTGACCTGTCCGCAGTACTTTAACGTGTGGGCGACTGCCGCGTCTGCCCACGACGACGAGCGGGCCGTAAAGCGGTATGCAGCAGTCTTCTGTCTCTTATATTCTCTCGTATCAATTCTAACACTACTCTCTGCTTTACCAGTCTACAGACGAGGGAGCGATACGTCAAGATTGCCGAACAGAGCCTTGGTCAGAGAAAGCAACACCGTGAGTCCTCTGATGTCCGCTCACATAGCCACATTATTTGTCTCACCGTCTAATCACATACAGTCACCGAAGTGGTCCGCGCCTTTCAGAGTGCGCTGGCTTTGCTAAGCCAAACATAGAGCCTTTTGACAAGGTCCCAGGTTACATGGTGTCTATGGCGTTTCCCTTCAGCAAGCCTTCCTCATCTTTTTCCGGCATACCGCTGTATTTCAGAACCTCCATAGTGCTCTCTTTATGTAACACGATGTTATCAACTCTGCCGGACATGAATAACATTCAATGCTTTTCGCCGTGAGATAAAGGTCAGGCCAGCTAGATGTCTCACGTGATCGAGCGGATCCCTACTTAAGCTCCAGCAAGGCAGGTCTGCTCCAATAGTCTCCTTAATCCTCATTTAAATCGAAATGGCAACATACTTGAAGTTCAATGTGCCGCAAATAACACAGGTCAGCTTTTTCTCTCCGAATGATCATATACTCCGTAGGTGCACATTCTAACACATAATTGAAACAGGCAGATCTGTTTGCCTTTCACGAGGCTCACTTCTCCGGGCATGCAACGAATGACTTCAAGACCACATTTCTAGATGGAGAGCGTCACGGTACACGCGACCATTCCCACCCCCTTCTCGACACATTCGATGAGCTTGTCGACGGGGAGGGCGGAGATAACGATGAGAGTGGCTGGACGACCCAAGACCTCACGCCTCTCAATTTGATATCTGGCCAGGAAGGAGCTTCAGAGATTCAGTGCTACAATCTATATGCTGCTGATGGCGAGGTTTCGGAGTCCTTTCGAGAAACTCTTAGCGACGACGTACCCTTGATGGACGGCGACAGTACTAGCGAAGCCCTCGGCGATGCCGCAGGGGGACTCAAAATGACTACCTCCCAGAAGAAAAGGAGGAGGCGTAAGAACAACAGCAACAACACAAAGCGATACCAGGAGAAGCCTGACTTGCGGAAGCGAACATGGGATGTTGTGGACAGCGGTCTCGGCAGCCTGGATTACGATGATATGGAGCAGCGCCAGGCTTCGTGTCTAGTGCCACCACAACGCCGGCAAGTTACATATGACGATGACTGATGCCAATTTGTGAGTATTTTCCATACTGTCTCGCCCGAGCCTCTGCTGCACACATGATGAGAACACTTGTATCGTCATCCTTAGCCTGAAATCCTGCGGTCAATGCAGCCGGACAACTTGTTGTCGCTGGTGGCAATGTCCCACCTAAAAAGGAGCATGTTGAGACACCTAATCTTCTCTCTGAACATTGTGCAGCCAAAAGGCGAATTGGGACGTTTTGCGGACTCTCATTTACCAGTGCATCTGCTAATTGTTCTGATGCGCCAGATCCTGACTTTCGTGCTCTTTGCACTTGGCTTTCCTCAATTTTATGTATTTGTGCGGTTTAAGATACCCCTTGACAATGTAGCAACTTATGATGAACCGTATTCCTGTTTTAAGACGTAAATTGAATTGAATAGCATGCGTTACCGTCGCCAATATAAGATACCCCTATACTTGCATGTATTGGATATCGTTATAGTGAGGTGTCAGCCCTACTAAAGCGGGCGGTCATACCAAAATAATCTGCGCCTTTGCCCCTCCTACACTTTCACCTCCTCCTTACCTCTCGGGTGTCTGTTTGCGTCTTCGCAGTCGTCGTATTCTTTTGCTTGAAAGAGCGAGGGGCATACGGGGAGCTTGGAAGAAAAAATATCCAACCCAAACATCCTAGTGACGGGGAACCTTCTCTCTCGTGACAAAACACGTCGAAAAGTACAACAACGCGCAGCCAATTTGCCAACCATACAGCCGACGACTCTATTCTGCTCTGCCGAGTTGCAGCGTCGGTTACACATACTTCCACTCGTGAATACCGGTGGACGTCGGGAGAATCGCAAAGATGGCGCGTGTATATGCGGATGTCAATCAGAACATGCCACGTTCCTACTGGGACTATGACAGTGTCAATATCAGTGAGCGCTGCCTTGGATGAGCGGTGGCGTATTTTCTTTGCGGCTTCCAAAGGCGCATCAATCTGACCATCTGTCTTTTCTAATAGGCTGGGGCGTTCTGGAGAACTACGAGGTCGTCAGGAAGATCGGTACGTCGTCGAGGGAGAGAACACGAAGAGCCATATCAACCAAGCTCCGGCTTTGCGCGCAAGTTGCGCTGGGATAACATAACAAGACGGAACGAGCTAACATTGTCTCCCTGTGCCCCATTAGGCCGTGGAAAGTACTCTGAAGTATTTGAGGGCATCAACGTCGTCAACTACCAGAAGTGCGTCATCAAGGTGCTGAAGCCTGTTAAGAAGAAGAAGATCAAGCGCGAGATCAAGATCCTGCAAAACTTGTCTGGGGGTCCCAACATTGTCGCGCTGCTGGACGTTGTGCGCGACTCGCAGGTACGACACGATTTTTGATCTCCATATCGTGTAGCTGTCCAGAAATAAGCCTAACCCCTTGCCATAGAGCAAGACACCGTCGCTCGTCTTTGAGTGCGTCAACAATACGGATTTTCGGTCGCTCTATCCCAAGTTTACCGATATTGATGTGCGCTTCTACATTTTGGAGCTGCTAAAGGCGCTGGACTTTTGCCACAGCAAGGGCATCATGCATCGCGACGTGAAGCCACACAACGTCATGATCGACCACGAGAACAGAAAGGTGAGCTCCCGGTCGCTGTTCTCGTATCTCCATCTCCATTGTTCCCTCTCTTTCTGACGAGAACAAGCTGCGCCTAATCGACTGGGGCCTGGCCGAGTTTTACCACCAAGGCACCGAATACAATGTGCGTGTCGCGTCGCGTTATTTCAAGGGACCCGAGCTGCTGGTCGACTTTCAGGAGTATGACTACAGCCTCGACATGTGGAGCCTGGGCGCCATGTTCGCGTCCATGATCTTCCGCAAGGAGCCCTTCTTTCACGGAAATTCCAACTCGGACCAGCTCGTCAAGATCGCCAAGGTACTCGGCACCGACGATCTGTTTGACTACCTGGACAAGTACGAGATTGAGCTTGACGCGCAATACGACGACATCCTCGGCCGCTTCCAGAAGAAGCCTTGGCACAGCTTTGTCAACGTGGAGAACCAGCGATTTGTCAGCAATGATGCAATCGACTTTCTTGACAAGCTGCTGCGTTACGACCATGCTGTACGTGTTTGTTTGTTTGTTTTTTTCGCATATCCACGTACAGTCCTGTTCCAACCCTCGTTCTAACCTCTCGCTTTTATAGGAGCGGCTGACTGCTCAAGAAGCAATGGTACACCCCTACTTTGATCCAGTCCGGGAAGAGGGTACGAGGCAACGGTTGCTTCTGAACCCGCCCACGATTGCAGCGCAGTCTTGAGACGGCCTCGATGCGGTAAAGTAACAATTCCAAACTGTCACTACATCCCACTACACTTCGCGGCCGAACAGGCTTGCCAGCTCTGAGCCTGTTCTGCGCTCTCGGACTCGATATATGTCTCAATATAATATCGCCGTTATGGACACTTCACTCTGAGCGGAACAGTACTATGTATGTACTTGTTAGCTGTAGCAGCTCTGGCTAAGGCGGATGCATCATTCTGAGCATTGAGAGGGAGGTTGGGTCAAACAAAAAGCGGGAAGCCCGATTAATAATCCATAGGCATCGGCGGTTTCTTTAGCTTGTCTACTTGTTGCAATTGGGGGCTCTCATTTCATCTCGGCGAGGATGCCTGACCATCTTGTTGCTTTACACTGTCTCCCTTTCATTTTCTGACGCCATCGTTTGTTTTTCTGTTTGGGTACTACGTGTCTGTACGAATCTATGTAGCTGTCACTCCGGATTACCATCATCTTTGCTTTTAGCTTCTTTACATTGACACGAACTTATTTTGGCACTTGGGTTATCTTCAAGTTCTCCCGCTATTCTGTAATCTGCGTGCGGCTCAAATGAGGCATCGATTGGTTGCGTATTACAACGGTTCAACAACAAAGCAACGGCGTTATCGATGTTGGGAGGTTTTGAGAAAATTCCAGCCTTGGAACCCATATTTTCTTCCTTTTTAGACGGTACGTTTTTTGTCAATGGTTGGTTGATTGCTATTCATGCCGAAAGTCTACATATCTTATTGTTGCTATCTCTGCTCTTGTGTCAAGTTGTATATGGCGACTACAAGCACTGGAAACAAAAATCTCGGCCACATTTAAAGCCATCCTGTCCACAGCGTCGTATAGTGCCACCCGGCGTCTGGATGGGCGACCCAGCAGGGCTACCGGTCTCGACAACTCGGAGGCCTTGCCTGCTCAACAACGGCGACGAAAAGGATGTTGACATGAGCCGTGAGGACTTGTCATTGCTCTTCCTAATTCGCTTCGCCGTGTACGCTCTCCTGACCACAGCTCGGTTTGTTTCTGACGACGGTCTTCTGGTTGGGGTGTGAATGCTTTTAAGGCGAATGATTTTTTTAGGGGTGAAGGTATCGTGCCCCAAAGACAGCTCATCCTCATCGGCCGAGTCATCGGACACGAGCGAAATAATGCTGCTGCGGTGACTTCCCGGATTGGTCGGCTGGGCTGCCATCCCTTTCCGTCGTGGTGTGCTTAGGACAAACGCTTGATTTTCTTCCACAGAAGCAGTCGATGGCGCTTTTTCGTCTGTCCTGTCAGGAGGCCGCTCAATGTCAATACTAACACTGGGCTCTTGGACGGCAGGCGCATCCTCCTCCATCTTGTCTGGCTCGCTTGCTGGGGTAGTCAATACGGCCGTGTCAGGATCAGGCCGGTCCATCTCCAGTGCGTCTATGAACACAGGTGAGGTATTTTCCATCGCCACACCATCTTTCTCTTCCTCTTGGGGTAGTGGTTTCTCCTCAGATACTGGTTGCTCTTCGCACACTGGTTGCTCTCCGGGCACTGGTTGCTCTTCGAATACTGGTTCCTCCTCGGATACTAGCTTCTCTTCAGATACCATCTTCTCTTCAGACACTGGTTTCGCTTCAGATACAGGCTTCCCTTTTGGTGGTGGGCCCCGTGTTCTGAGGCCTTCATTCTCGTCGTCAGAGAAAGCATAGGAAGGGTCCACAGTGTTCCTGGTGAATATCTCAGAAGTTCCCACAGCCTTCTCTTTAACATCAACCGCATTTGCAACACTATCTGGCGGCTTATTCTCATCCGTTTCCGCTTCCGGGATATCGACCTCCTTGAGCAGAGTAGGAAAGCCATCAATCTCTAAACAGTCGCTAGGGAAAAATAGAGCTGCCTCAGAAGATGTATGCTTTCTCGCAATAAGCTCTATCACCAATGCAGGTCTGATGATTGTGCCTTTGGAGGCATTCTCCTTCGTCTCTGTCTCTCGGCTGGTCTTTTCTGTTTTTGAAGAATATTTCCGTGGGGTCCGTCTTCGCAGTTGTTGCTCTGTGTCAAAAGCGATTTTCTTGCCGTCCCTCAACTTTGAAGCAGATACCAGGACGGCGTTCAGCTTCACATCCGTACCAACTCCTTTAGTTGTACGAGTCTTTTTGCCTTCTGGGGGTAATGCGTGTGTGGCTGTTTCCGAATCCTCAGGATGAAGATGCAGGGGTAGCTCGGCAGCCGACGTCCGCAAGTCTGACTGCTTGTTGTTACCAGAATTATGCTGGCTGGCAGGAGATGTTTGGCTTAAAGTTCCTGGATGGCTGTCATTGATGCCGAGAATAAGGTCGTCGTCGTCACTTCCATCTCTAGAGGCTGCAGTAAGAGATGCTGGAAGCGCCTTACGAACAATGCCACGGCCCGGGATATTTTGAATTCGCCCATAGTAAGGTAATGATAGCCCAATGCTTCGCGAACGGGAAAACGCTTCTTCGGGGAGATCAGGAACACTCCAGGCTGAGTCGACATGGTTATGGTGGAACCCTGGAGGGCCCGAGGCCCCGAAGCCTCCATAGAGATTTCCAAAGGAAGGCAGTTGGCTATTGAGCCCATAACTGGGAGGCGACAGAGAAGACAGGCCCAGACGCCCATTTCGATCTTGTCCCTGCGCCGGCCAAGTTATGGCCCGGCTTGGCATCACAGCACTCAAAGTTTTAGGCCCGGTGGCAACGCCGCGCAAGATCCGCTCCTCGTCCTGTTCCTCTTCGTCATTCTCCTTGTCCTTACTGCTAAACAGAGAGCCAATGTTTGAATCTTGTGCGTTGGGAAGCGAAGCAATGTGTCCGTTGTCCACCTCGATTTCGTCCGTATAGAAGTTGATCTCGTCGCCCGTATCCCCGAAATCCTTCCCATATTTTTCAAAAAGTGATTCGAACGCAGACTTGAGTTTGTTGTCGGCGGCGGCTCGTGACATCTCTAGCCGGTAATTTGGATCTTGCTTGACGGCGAACTCTTCAGGGTCCATGGAGATTTCGTCCTCATCCTCGTCGCCCAGCGCAAACGGGTCGTTCGGTGCTGAGGCAAGCCTTGCGCGCTTTTTCGGCGGTTCCATAATGCTGGCCCCATTTGCGGTGGCGAGTGGTTGCAAGCTGAGACTGAGGCGAGCGTAGGCGCATTTGCTCGAGTACGGAGTATAGCAGTCAATACTCGCGAAAGTCGTGTGAAGATTTAGTGGGGCCATTGCTCCCTCTGCAGACGCGAAGTCATGTGATTCATCATGTGGCCAATAAAGGACGTCAGTGGGGGACCTGCAAGTCAGAGCAGGCGACCAACGACAACAGCTTTCTCATGCGACTTTGAGTAAAGTCATATAAAATACAACGCCAGCGATTTCGGTCTTTACGGCGAATCATGCAGCGCATTTCGAGTTGATTCACGACTGCTAAATATGTATTGCCAAAAATGCCGAACGCCTCTGAAGCTAGACAGCTCCTTGGAGAATCTAAACCCTGCAGCGTATGATCTACTTGTCGGTACGTTGTTTCTAAACAAGAGTTTACGGGACCTGACATAAAGCGGGCGCCTTCAATGCTTTTCTTTGTCTTTGTAACTGACTTGTGCCTCTGCACCAGCCACGGCATCACAGTCCCCTGGCCGACGGCGACCTTCCGCGCAACTTGCGAACTCTCCCGATGCTGATAGGCGGGCTCTTTACGACCAAGTTTCCAGAAATGCCGGTCCGTCTACCTTCAAACGCCATAGTGGCGGCGGCTTTCGCGGCGAAGCTTCCGCACGAGACAACTCTGCAATGTCCTTTGTTCTTCTGTCCGACTCCGCAGTAGTTCCACCAGAGGCACGAGGGCTGCCAGATTCAGCCGGTATGCCAGCAGGAACCGGGCGGTCTGGTGTATCGTTTGCCGATGGTACCGGCACCGCCACCGAAGATGCCAATTATATGAGGAGTATGGAGCGGATCACTAGGCTCTTCGAAATATTGTCAGCACGCTCCGATATAGACCATCCAGTGTGTGTCGAGTGTACGGAATTGCTGGTCGAGGGCCTGCAGCAGCGTCTAGACGCAGCGACACGTGAGCGTGATGCCTTCGTCGGCTTTCTCAAGAAGACACAGGCGGATGCGCCGAACGAAGAAGAATTGCAGTTGCAAGCAGAGGCGTTGGAAAAGGCCAAACAGCAAGAAGCCGACGCCATGGCCGAGCTGCTGCAGCTAGAGAAAGAAAAGGCGAAGCTGGATGAAGAGGTGCGAATGCTCGAAACAGACTCAAAAGAGCTCGACCGGGATGAAGAGCAGTTCTGGCGCGAACGAAATGCATTTGCCACCAAGTTGGCCGACTTCCAAAATGAGCGCGACAGCATCAACGCCAAGTACGACCATGACGCCCGGCTGCTTGAAAGCCTGCAGCGCTCCAACGTGTACAACGACACGTTTTGCATCAGCCACGACGGCACGTTTGCCACGATCAACGGCCTGCGCCTCGGCCGACTGTCATCACGGCCGGTCGACTGGCCTGAGATCAACGCTGCCTGGGGCCATGCCCTGCTGCTTCTGGTCACGGTGGCCGACAAGTTGAACTACCGCTTCGAGAACTACGAGCCGCTCCCGATGGGCTCGACGTCACGCATCATCCGCTACGACCAGCCGTTGCCAACCTCCAGCAGGCTAAACGGACCCGGCAGTGGTGCAGCAGGAGCCATTGCTCAGCGGATGAGTGCGCCGCCACCAGCACCCAAGAAACACGTGCTTGAGCTGTATTCATCAGGTGACATGCCGCTTGGCCTCACTTTCATGCACCGGCGCTTCGACAACGCCATGGTTGCCTTCCTGGAACTGGTCCGCCAGCTGGGTGCTTTTGTGCACCAGCAGACCTTGGCAGAAGGAATCCACACGCTGAGCTTGCCATACCGCATCGAAGGTGACAAGATCGACGATGTGAGCATCAAGCTGGGAATCGCGCAGGACGACGGTTGGACAAAGGCGTGCAAGTTGACGCTGACGTGCTGCAAGTTTCTCTTGGCTCACGCAAGCAACGTAAACTCGGTGTCCCCACGGAACCCATAGCCGCGTTCTTTAGCAGCATGTATTGGCCATGATTTTAGTTCTGCTTTTCATTATTAACAGGTGTATATAGACTAGGAGTGTACGGGAGGCTTATATGGCGCTCATGACATTTGCTTTGGGACGAACGGTAATGAAGGGAGCCGAACTTGAGTTTAGGATACTGCCTTTTGGAGTTTCATGTCGCATGCAAGCTAGGTATATTTTATCTGCTCAATGCTACTTTCTGCAGAATTGGAAATGACCATCCGTTGGCTCTGTAAGCTTACTATATGTACATATCAGGCAGCCGTGAGCATCACGAGCATCAGGAAATCACTTGCAGTTCGGACATCAGCCTCGTTTCTCATAACCGTAAGTCTCTTTAGCGCCGTTTTGCATTCAAGCTGGTATCATGGCAGCGGTGCTTTCTATAATTCCCTGCGGCCAGACCACCGATATGTCACCGCCTTTTTTTTTAAGGTCCTATCAAACGCCCAACTCCTCAGTGCATCTTTGGCACTAAACTTTGCTAGCACATTGAACTAGCATGACTAGGGAGGATTCTTCTTCGCCAGCCTCAGCTGTCAGGAAACCCCGAAAACCCGCGTACTTGGAATTTCCAACAAGACGGACTTGTGCTTTCATGCATACAGCTTCTTCTCGTACGACTCCATGTTGACGTTGCCTTCCAGTTGGGCGCTAGCCGTGCGAATCTCGAAGCGAACAGTGCCGTTGGCCACACCATCGTGGAGCTTCTGGAGGCTCTGGATGCCGCAGTCCTGCATCGAGTGCTTCAGGCCGGCAGCCAGGTAGGGCAGAAACTTGTTAATCGACCTGAACGACTGTTAGAAACTAATGCACACCTGCTGAATGATCTGTCAGGTAAAACTAACCCTCTGTGTGCAACAGCACCAGACACGCCCTGCGCAACCAGCACGCTGTCGCCCTCCGAGAAGTAGCGAGCAGTGCCAGCATTGCTCTTCTGGCTGTCCTTGCCACCACCACCGGCCTTCTTGTCCTGCATCGCATCTATGCTGCCCATGCCGCGGTAGGCCTTGACGAGCTTGCCCTCGCGGGAGACAAAGGAGGTACCGGGAGACTCGGTGGTGCCGGCAAGAAGACCACCCATCATGACGGTCGATGCGCCAAGAGACAGACCCTTGACAATGTGGCCGACATTCTGGATGCCACCGTCGGCAATGCAGGGCACACCGAAGCGGGCAGCAAACGAGCTGACGCTGTAGACAGACGTAGCCTGGGGGCGGCCGACAGCCATAACCTCCTGGGTGATGCAAGCACTGCCACTGCCCATGCCAATACGTAGACCATCCACGCCAGCAGCAATGAGAGCCGCAGCCTGCTCCCGGGTCACGACGTTTCCGCCAATGACGTCGAGGTTAGGGAACTCCTGCTTGATCCACTTGATCATCTCGATCTGGTACATGCTGTTGCCCTGGCTGCTGTCCAGGATCACAATGTCCAGGCCGGCATCGACCAGCTTCTTCAGACGGAGCTTGTCCTCGGGCCGGGTGCCAATGGCAGCAGAGCAGATGAGCTGCTTGGAGTCCGGAAGCTTAGAAGCAAGCGGGAAGTGGATGTTCTTGGTCAAGTCAGAGCGAGAGATCATGGACACAAGGTTGCCGTCCTTGTCCACAATCGGCAGCTTGCCCTTCTTGGACTGCGACAGGATCTTGTTGGCCTCGACCAGAGTCACACCCAGCGGGGCGGTGACTAGATCGGTGACCATCACATGAGACACCGACCGACTGGAGTCATCCTCAAACTGGATGTCACGGTTAGTGACAATGCCCAGCAGCTTGGAGCCCAAGCGTCCCGTTTCTGCATTTTCTCCAGTTAGCCGTGCTCTGTTCGGTTTACACATCACTCGCCACGGTGGTTGTTCAAGGTCGATTCATAAATATTTTTCTCCCCAGGACGTTAAGTCTTTGCGGTGGAACGAAAGTTATATGTTTAAGAGAGATAATCATAATCGGTCGAGGAGCGGCACTACCGCTTTGAAAGACACAAAGGCCAGACAGGGGCACTCCAGCAGGATTCAACAACTCACCAGTCACAGGGAAGCCACCAAACCCCCACTTCTCCTTCAGGGCCTTTGCCTCCTCGACAGTAGTATCGCGGCTAATGACGACGGGATCGACAATGAAGCCGTTCTCGTACCGCTTGACCTTGCGAACCATGTCGGCCTGTGCGTCCGGAGAGCAGTTGTGGTGGATGACACCCAGACCGCCCTGGAGAGCCATGTGGATGGCCATCTCATGCTCGGTGACAGTGTCCATGGGCGAAGACACAAACGGCGTCTTCAGCGAGATCCGCTTGGTAACGGGAGAGTCAAGGACGACCTCCGAGGCAGGGAAACCGATGTAGCCAGGAAGCAGCAGGAAGTCGTTGTACGTGAGACCGCCATGGGCCTTAGCGTCCATCAGGTCATCAATGCTGAGGCCATCACGGGCTTCATACTCCTTCAGAAGCTCCTCGGCCTTGGCGAAGTCAAGGAACTTCGAATTTCCGTTGACCACAGACACGGAGCTGTTTGAGAAAGGCATTGTGAATACGGATCAAGTCCTTTGAAGGAATGGTCAGTACTGATCCGCAGCCAATCTCGTCCTCATTGCCCCTCTTCCACGTATGTCAATGTCGGGCTCAGGGCAGTTTGCCATATAAGCATAGAGATCACGGCATACCTTTTATGAGGAGTTTGAGACCACGAAAGACGGAGAGGTGGCGAGTTGAGTTCGAAGACTTCAAGCGAATTTGGACTTTCGACCAGTGGCAGTTTCACGTACCGTTCGATGTTGTCTTCTCCCCATTAAAAGAAAGAAGGAAAAGGGAGAAATTCTTCGTCCCCTCTCTTCCGCAAATTTTTTTTTTATCGCCGCCCACACTTAGCGTGCAAAGAGAGATATTCTGTACTAGTCGGCTGACTAAACTTTGCGATAGCAAGACCTTTTCGTAGTTAGACCAACAGCTGTTTTTTTGCTCCTCGTCTAGACAGACGTGAGTCCATTAAACCTCCAGCTCCATTTTCCTACTCCGTAAAGTGGTCCTTGCTGATCTAGCCTGATCTCTACGCCTTACGACTATGCGTCCACTTTATGTTCCAGAAAAGGCGCCATTAGATCCAGAATCTGGTAGCCAGTCCGGGATCCTTACTCACAGACACAGGGAACGCGTCATTGTAAACGATCCAATCATTGTGCCTTACAACAGCTTGCTGGAGTACGAGTACTCCGTAGAAACGGAGTTTGAGTTACGTCGTACTCCGTAGAGAGCACGGCGAAAGTAAGATATCTCAAGCAATAAGCTTCTCACGTGATGCTGTCACCGCCCACGAGATGCCCCAAAACAACCGTGCGCGTTCTGTCAATCCGCTAGTTGCCGAGGTCAGCCAATAGTGACGTCGTTTGCTCGGTACGCTAGTGTTTTAGGCGTATAGCGGTATTATATTGCGATTGTAAACAAACAATTACTCGATCTCCAGGGCGACAAACCGCCAAATCGAGAAACAGCACCCCTCCATACACTCCTTCCTCCCCAATAGCGGAGTATTATCGTCTGCATTTCTCGTCCAGGCTTACGATCAGACTTTGCCATAAACAAGAAACCTTCCTGGGCGTTGGTATGCAGATTTTGTTTCGTATCCTCCTTCTGTCTGATTAATTTTTTCCTTTGTTTTCTCCGCTGGTAATCCCGACCCGACCGCGCTTGCGCTTCTTACGAGCCGATGGACATCACCGGCACAGTCTTACCATTCCGAATTTACAAAACACAGTAGCCAACGACCACTGGCGCTGGCCTTCCTTTGTTTGTACCCGCCGCTGTCTTCTCATGCATGGAGACCTACTACCCAGAGTGCTGGTTATAGCTTCTGCCGATCCTGCCTTTGTTCCGACTTTTGCGACGCTTGACGGCGTCTTTTGCTGTGGGTTTCTTCTGCTCAGTCACGGTTGAAAATGTACAGACAACACCCGTTGAGACAGTCCCAAACAATCGACTACCCGGTCACTCGACAGCCGTCGACGGCGTCTTCGTCCGCGTCGTCGGGCTACTCGACCACCTCGAACCAAAGCTCCATCGCCAGCAGCATGACCTCCCATGCCAGCGCATACTCAACGCCGAGCCATAAACGCGGTCAAAGCGAGGCTAGTAAACTGACGCTGACGTCTTCCTTCTCCGGCCTCAATATCACATCATCCCCACCCAAGGCGGACCCAGACAACATCTACAACAGTGCGCGGCGTTCCTTGAGGCCGCTGCCTCAGCCCCCAGCTACTAGTTCACCGCCAGTGTCGCCCACAAAGTCTCCAGTGTCGCTCATAAGTACTCCAGGGGCGTCCGCAAAGACCCCAGTGTCGCCCACAAAGAGCCTTATCCGACATGAACGTGGTCTGAGCGTCGACACGGGCAAGTTGGCAAAGTCTTACGAGAATGATCGCTTTGCCGTCGCCGGATCGCCGCAACCTCGCCCCTCACCTCTTCGACCCAGTTCTATGTTCCTTTCCCGATCGGACGCTGTTAACCACGGAGGCAGTGCCGCTGTAGCTCATGCTAATGCTCCCCTGGCTCTACACCACGGCCATTCGGCAATAATACAGGCACCCGATTTCAAAACGCTGGGCAAGTCCTCTACAAATCAGCTGCGCACACTGTCGAAACTCGCCCAGTCCGGCTCGGCCGACGAGTTTGCGCTTACCGCCCCGACACAGGAGGTGGTCGGCTTGCGCGGTCGCAGACGTCTACAGAGAGCCGACGATGCGGCACCAAACAGGCTGGGTCACCGAGGCGGCGCCTATGGCTGGGAGGGCAGGAATTGGATGGATAAGCAGCGGCAGTTCCTCCAAGCCTATGAATACCTTTGTCATATTGGAGAGGCCAAAGAATGGATCGAGGATATCATCCGACGTGCCATTCCTCCTATCGTCGAGCTTGAGGAAGCGCTGCGGGACGGCGTCACACTCGCAGAGGTCGTGGAAGCCTTGAATATCGAGAGACGCTACAAGATTTTCCGACATCAGAAGCTACAGTACCGCCATTCTGACAACATTGCCATTTTCTTTCGCTATCTCGACGAGATTGAGCTTCCCGACTTGTTCCGCTTCGAGTTGATTGATCTGTACGAGAAAAAGAACATACCAAAGGTTATCTACTGCATCCATGCCTTAAGTTGGCTCCTCTTTCGCAAAGGGATTGTCGATTTCCGCATTGGAAACCTGGTTGGACAACTCGAATTCGAACACCATGAACTCGAAGCAATGCAAAGAGGCTTGGACAAGCTGGGAGCTAACATGCCGAGTTTTGGAAGCATTGGTGCCGATTTTGCAGAGGAGCCCCCAGAACCCCCCGAGCCAGTCGAGACAGAAGAAGAAAGAATCGATCGTGAGCTCGGCGAAAATGAGGCGGTCATTTCAGACCTTCAAGCCCAGGCCCGTGGCGCATTGCTACGAATGCAGCTCGGGCAGACAATGCAGCAGCTCTGGGATTCCGAAGACTGGCTAGTCGATCTTCAATCCCGTATTCGCGGCGATTTTTCAAGACAGATATCCGACTACCGTCTGCAGATGAGGAGTTTTGCAACCAACTTGCAGAGTGCTGCACGCGGCTTTCTTACACGCCAACGGCAACAGCAGGAGGAGAATGCCTGGAAAACCACAGAAGGCGACATTCTCGAGCTGCAGAGCCTGATACGCGCCGGCAAGGTCCGCAATGAGATTCGAGACACTCAATATCAGCTGGAAAAAGCATCGGGGCCACTGCGCGAGATCCAAGCCGTTTTCAAGGGCTTTCTGACGCGGCAGAAGGTGCAAGATGCCGACTCCCAGCTGAAACTAGCATCAGGGCCAGTGCGCGATATACAAGCTGTTTTCAAGGGCTACTTGGCACGCCAGAAGGTGCGGGACACTCAATCTCAGCTGGAAACAGCATCCGCACCTGTGCGTGCAGTCCAGGCCGTGTTCAAGGGCTATCTGGCACGACAAAAAATACAGGCTCAGCAGCAAGATGTGGAGGATGCAACGGCTCCGACATCTGCGCTGCAAGCGTCTATTCGGGGTATGCTGTTGAGGAGGCACCTGGCTGAAGAGCAGAAGGCGCTCATGGCCGAGAGCGGTCCTGTCTCGGGATTTCAGGCTGCCGCGAGGGCAATGTTAGTCAGACGCGAGATCGACGAGCAAAAAAGCGCCCTTGAGGGCTTTGCGCCCCAGTGGGAAGAGCTCCAGGCCCTTGCTAGGGGCAAGGCTGTTCGCGACGATGCTCACGCATTGAGAGCAGAGCTTGGTGAGCACACTCCACTGGTGGAAACCCTTCAAGCTTGCATTCGCGCGGCTGCCGTCAGGCGCGATGTTGCCGAGACGCTCGATGCGCTGCAGGTCTGCGAACCCGAGATCATCGACCTGCAGTCGCGGATTTGCGGGATGCTACAGCGTCGACAGGTGGCTGCCGATCTAGAGGCTCTCGACGCGCAGGTTCCAGAGATCATCAGCCTGCAATCTCATGTCAGAGCATTCCTATTCCGTCAAGAGCAGGCTGCCTTTCTCGAGGAGCTCCATACGCATGAGCCGGAGATCGTTTCCCTCCAAGCGTTGGCACGGGCTATGATGCTGCGAAGCGAGGTTGCTCAGCTGTTGGCAGAGCTGGACGAGCACGAAGAGTCCGTGGTAGAGCTGCAGGCTGTTGCCCGAGCATACCTGGTTAGAATCCAGTTTGCCGAGAAGCAGCGCTTCTTCAACGAGAACATGCAGAAGGTGGTCAAGATTCAGAGCTTTGTCCGTGCAAAGCTTCAGGGCGAAGCCTACAAGAGCCTGACGACGGGTAAGAGCCCGCCGGTTGGCGCGGTGAAGAACTTTGTGCATCTGCTCAACGACAGCGACTTTGACTTCAATGAGGAGATCGAGTTTGAGCGCCTGCGCAAGACGGTGGTGCAGCAAGTGCGCCAGAACGAAATGCTGGAGCAGTACATTGATCAGCTCGACATCAAGATCGCCCTCCTCGTAAAGAACAAAATCACGCTAGACGAAGTCGTCCGCCACCAAAGCAACTTTGGCGGCCACGCCGGAACATTTATTGCCAACAGCTCGATGTCGTCGACCAACCAGTTTGATCTCAAGGCCCTCAACAAGAGCTCTCGCAACAAACTCGAATCCTATCAGCAGCTGTTCTTCAACCTGCAGACACAGCCACAGTACTTGGCCCGGCTTTTCCGTCGCATACGCCTGCAGGGAATGCAGGAGAAGGAGTGCAAGCGGGTTGAGCTTCTGATCATGAGCCTCTTCGGGTACGCGCAAAAGCGGAGAGAGGAGTACTACCTGCTCAAGTTGATTGCGCGGTCAATCAGTGAGGAAGTAGAAAGCGCGGCTACCGTCCAGGAGTATCTCCGTGGAAACTTCTTCTGGCAAAAGCTGCTGTCGAACTACACCCGATCGCCGCGTGATCGCCGGTATCTGCGTGACCTTTTGGGGCCCATTATCCGGGACAACATTATCGAAGATCCGGCGCTCGACCTGGAGAGTGATCCAATGCAGATCTACCGCTCCGCCATCAACAACGAGGAACTCCGGACTGGGCAGCCGAGTCTCCGTCCGCGTGAAGTGCCTCGCGAGGTCGCCATCAAGGACCCCGAGACACGCGACCTGTTTATCGACCATCTCCGTGACCTGCGGGAAATCTGCAATCAGTCCCTACTGGCGATCGAGGATTTGCTGCCGCGCCTTCCATACGGCATCCGCTTTGTCTGCCAGCAGATGCTCAACTCCTTCTGCCAGCACTTCAAGCACGAAAGTCCGCAATTCCTCCTTCAGCTTGTTGGGAGCTGGTTCTGGCGTTTCTATCTCCAGCCAGCGGTGACAGCTCCCGAAAATGTCGGCGTGGTCGACAAGCAGCTGAGTCCGCTGCAGAAGCGGAATCTTGCAGAGGTGGCCAAGGTACTGGGTCAGATCGTGTCCGGACGGCCGTTTGGTGGCGAAAACATTCACCTGCAGCCTCTCAACGGGTTTATCGCAGACTCGATCGGCAGGCTGGGCCGCATCACCCAGGCGGTTGTTTCGGTGCCGGACGCTGAGCACACATTCGACATTGACGAGTTCAACGACCTGTACGCGAAGAACCGGCCGACTCTGTACATCAAGATGACGGACATCTTTGCCGTGCACCAGCTTGTGACTACGGAGCTGCCCTCGATGTGCCCGACCAGAGACGATATGCTGCGCGAAATCATGCATGAACTTGGTAGCGCCAAGAACAACGAGAGCGAGATGATGGCGGCCGGCTCATCCGATATCCAGATGATCCTCACGCCAAAGCTGCACGATATCGAAGACCCCGAGGCCGAAGTGAAGGCGTTGTTTATGGAGACCAAGCGCTGCATTCTATATATCATCCGAGTGCAGACGGGCGCAAACCTCCTCGAAATCCTGGTGAAGCCAATCGTGCCGGCCGACGAAGTCAAATGGCAGGCACTTCTACATGAAGACTTTGCCGTCGGCACAAACACCCGAGGCGCGTACTCTGATGCAAACATGGTGGATGTTACTCGCATGACCTACCACGACATGAAGCGCACGGCCTTGGAGAATGTTCTGCGCCTGGAGCAATGGGGACGTATCTCCAAGCAAAACCAGTACCAGGACGTTCTTAACGCGATTGCCCTGGACATCCGGACGAAGAGCCGTCGGCGTGTGCAGCGGCAGCGCGAGCTGGAAGGCGTGCGGCTGACTCTCAGTAATTTGCACGAAAAGGCCACGTATCTGGAGCAGCAGCGCAAGAGCTACGACGACTACATCGAGCAGGCCATGGCGACTCTGCAGAGCAAGAAGGGGTAAGTCGTTCCATGCTGTCTCTGACATGTTAATACCATCCTAACCACAAACAGGAAAAAACGGTTCCTCATGCCGTTCACCAAACAATACAACCATCAGCGAGAGCTGGAGCGCAGCGGACGCGTGCCAAAGTTCGGTTCGTACAAGTACAGCGTTCGGGCACTATCAGACAAGGGTGTTGTCGTCAGCTGGGTTGGGGTTATGGACCGCGACTTTGACCGGATCAACCTGACGATATCGTGCGACGAGGTCGGTGTCTTCTCCATCGAAGCTTCCCGAGGACACGTGCAAATTCCCGGGGCCAGTGCTCTGGTGTCGATTGAGGACCTCCTGCAGGCGCAATTCGAGTCGCATCAGTTTATGAACCTCTTTGAGAATAGGCTGCGTCTCAACGTCAACCTGCTGCTGCATCTGGTCTACAAGAAGTTCTACCGAACACAGTGATGCATTGCGGAGGAAACACAATGGCGCATCGGCATTGCGTTTCGACGCACAGCAAGGAAGCCAAATGAGACACGATCGTACGACGGCAGAGAGCTGGGCTACTTGGAGAACACGGAGAATGGGCTGGGACGGTGGCAGGAGCATAAAGGGTTTATGATTGCGCTGATTTCTTGTCTTTTGTTTTCCCTGTGTCTTTTGGGACGGCGCAGGACTGTTCTGTGCCTCGTTCCGCTTTCTAGGTCGGTTGGAAGCAATCAGCTCAAAGGAACGACGGTTGTTTGATGCACTGCCCGTCTTTATCTTGAGCTACTCTATGTTATCTACGGTAGATCTTGCTGTCTTGCTGCTCCTTTACCCTCTTCCGCGGAAGATGGGGTAGATCGGAGCAAGTGTGGAAACGCTGGAAATGAAGGCTGTTGCGATTTGATCATTTGGTCACTCAAGTCCATGGAGAGTGCAGACCCGTCCTACTTTCCGATTTTGATTTGCGGACCTATGACTTTTGCATATCTTGGCCAAAGAGAGGCCGCTAATGGAAACCTGGGCTTGTTGTGATGCGATTGTAAGATGTCAATGTCAATATCAAACTTCATACTTAGCACTTTCATCCTCGTTGTGTATCCAAAAGCTCGATTCAGACATCAAAGCGAAGGGTATTCTGAACATAATAAACGCCCCGAAACAAACTGATACGCCCATCCTATATTCTAACCCATTATCCAATCTTATCCAATCTCGTCAGTTTCAGTGCCCAAGCATAAATGCAAACTAAATTGATAGCTCATTTACGGTCCACCACCGGCGACAGCGGCACATCCTCGTCTCTTGCCGTATCCTTCGCCGCTATCCGAGACAGGTTGCTGACGCTGCGGAACCGGCCAGTACGCGGTGTGGTCGGGGCAGATATATCGACGTCCGCGAGACAAGCGCCGTCAGCAGTGTATATCTCCGGCTCGTCAGGCTCAGGGATCTGTGCCTGCTGAGCAACGGCAGAAGACTGTAGTCGGGGAAGCTGTGGTCGCTGTAGGAATGATGGTGTCGGCGTTTCAGGCCTCGCCATCTTGTTGCCGACGATGAGATCAGTCTGCTCCTCATCTTCACCAATTTCGGGTAACAGCTCCTCTTCAAAATCGGCATCGCTATAGTCGTACGCATCGGTGTTGCTGTCATCGCCGTCTTCGATATTTTCTTCAAGCTCCTCTGGACTTCTCCTATCTGCATCGTCTCCATTTTCAGAAGTTCGCTTAAATCCTGCTCCTTGAGTCATGAAAAAAGGCGTGACAGCACCGATGGAGGCGATGCATGCTAAGAACCACCAGCCCGTAATAATGTACCCATGCCGTACGCCCCATGTAAATGAGGCGCCTGCCATGGCCGGCCCGACAGCTCTGCCGACGCCGCTGGCAGTGGTGGCAATTCCGTTCAGAGTGCCGAGAACTGCCAACGAAGGAGCCGAGTTGGTCAAGATGATAGTGATGCAAGGAAATGTGACTATGCCGAGCGAGCCCTTCGCTACAAACACCAACATGAAGGCAAGAAAGCGCAGCCGTTCATTGGGGACTAATACGGTATATGGCGTGAGAAAATAGACAACGGGCAGCACGATGCCTTTACCATGTCAGTTCAAAAGACCACTCAATTCTAGCAGGCGTGTGTATGGAGGCTTACATGCAAAGCGGTAGCACCTGAGTTCACCAAAGCGCGAGCACAATGGGGGGAAGACGATAAACTGGGCCAAGGCCGAGACGAGGGCGGTGATAGTAAACATGGTGCCAATATGTCCAGAGCTCATTTCAAAGCCGCCAGAAAACTTAAAGGGAAGCTTGGTGTTGGTCTCATCCGGCACTTGGCGCGGATGATTGAGGAAGACGGGAATGACCTGGTCAAAAGCAGTGGAATGCATGGCCAGCATCGTGTAACTCAGCAAGGCCATGTTGGTCTGGTGATTGAATATGCGAGTGTTGGCAGGGGGAGTAGAGACGCCTTTGGCCAGACGACTGCTTGGAGCCGTAGGGGTAGGCGGAGTCAGGCCGTCTGGGGAGATTTCGGTGTCATCAGGGTCCATTATGGGGGTTGACAGTAGCGGAGCGCTGGCTTCGTCGTCGGCATAGGTCCGGTCCCGGATTGCCCGTCGGGCCCGATGCAGATTTCCCTTTGACTTCTTCCCACCGCTGAAATAGCCCACCAGCTTCTGACCAAGCTGCAGACCCCAGTCCGGTCGATGTTGCTTGGAGGCGAGTGTTTCTCTGAGGAAAAGAACTGCCGTCACGAGAGAACATAGAAAGAAGACACCGGCTATAAGGTTCGGCAGCAGGAAGGGAAACTTGATAAAAAGCTTGTTGTTGCCAAAGAGGCTTGGAAACTGCTGGGCAGGACGAGCAAAAAACCCTCCAAAGGCCGGGCCAAAGACGGAGCCGACGCTCCAGACCATGGGCATGATGGAGAAAGCGACGGGCTGCAGGGACTTTTCGGGGACCAGCTCGGCAACAACGGTGCGAATGATACCGACTAGGAGCCACAATTAGCAAACGAGGCACAGCCAAGCAGAAGGTAGACGACATAAGATTCACATACCATTTCCATTTCCACAGCCTTGTATGGCTCTGACAGTGATGGCCATGGCCAAGCTGGTAGAGGTGCCCCAGAAGAGGAAGCAGAACATGGTGCAGATCATGCCCAGAATGAGGGTTGGCTTACGGCCAATGGTGTCAGAGGTGCGGCCCCAGAGAACGGCGGTCAGACTTTGGGAGATGGAAAAGATGGCACTGGTGAAGCCGGCCCACTTTGCGATCTCATCTCGAGGCACACCGAAACTCTTGATCATCTCGGGGAGGTAGGGGAAGACGGATGTGAGAGCCAGCGGCTCAGCGATCCGGACGATGGCTGTGGGAGAAGGAATCAGCAGGGCACACAGACGAGGCTCTGAACAACAGCATGACTCATGATAGCAAGACTTGGAGAAGGAAATGTATGGGATGTTGGGCAGACATACCTAGAATGCATAGCTGTCGGACTGGCAGCGTTGGCTTAGTCTTCTGTTCCTTAGAGGAGGTCATGGCCATGACAAGATTGGAGGGGACAAGGACGACTAGAGGCGTCTACTGAGAGAATGCAGCCTTGCATATGCAACAACAGGAAAGTCACTAGTGAGAGGCTTTACAGATCTTCTTGGCAAACGAGGCTTAGATTAGGTAAGAGGGTCAGGAAGGCGGTACAGAGGAAAGACTAGTAAGTTGTAAGACAGCTTGAATCTAGAGAAAGTAAGTGTAAAGCGACGAGGAGTACAAAGCGAGAGGAGAAGAGGGAGAGTAGTGGGGGGCAAGGAGACGGCAAAGGAGGACGAGAGAAAAGGGAGAAACCCGCCTTATTCTACTCGTAAAGAACGAAAGAGGAGGGGAAACAGATGAAAGGAAGACGGTTTTTTTTCTCGAGGTCCGTATTCCAGTGTAGGCCAGCTTAAGTGCAAAAAAAAAAACCGGAGACGGCAAGGCCTAGAAGAAACTAGCAGGCTGGGGGTGCTGTGAAGCATGGGCTGCAGGATTAGCGGTAGCCGAGCCAGACGAGTTTTCCACAATTGTCAAGCACAAATCACAAGGGGAAGCCGCAACCATGCGTCCTCGGCCTGCCGATCATGAAGAATCGGCAGGCACAGCCGCGGGCCCTGCCTATTCTGTGCATCCCACCAATCCGGCCTACTTCTTCCTAGTCAGTTCGATTCGTGCACAGCTTCAGACAAAGAGCAAGATTAGCCTGTAAGATACAAGTGCTACGAGTGCTTGCTTGGCACAATGCTTTTTGCCCCAGTGACGGGCCGCGGTGGTGGCCAAAGGGTCTTGCGGGCGAGTGGGAATCCCATCTGGCAGCCCACCTGCGGGAGCGGGTCCCTCCTCCCCTCTCCGACGAGTGAGGTGCCGTCCAATGGCTGGCAGGCACACCTCGGCCTGGAACAGCTTGAGGCTCGCATGGACAGAGACATTCCGGTTTTCGGAAGGAAGGCGCGGCGGGATAGAGCTTGTGAACGATGCACGCAAGACACAGCTGACCGGCCCGTCTTATGTGCAGATGCTCAGGCTAACCCCGCTCTGGCCAGAGGGGCACCATTGGCCGTGTGTTATGGTCCGCTTTTCTGACCATCCTATTCGACAGCGCCGAAGCCGGCGAGCGCGCTCACAGGTCAAGCCACACTTGACAGCCACACACCAGCCAGCACGCAAAAAGCACCTCAATTGACAGCAGACAAGCGACCTGCCTAATCCGACTCGTCAGACCCGCAAAGTGGGTGTTTGCCGATCTACTTATCAATGCTCCAAATGTCTCGTTCGGACACCGTCGTCTGCCGATTTCTTTCTGCATCAACTCTCCTTGTCGGAGACTGAATTAGGTCCTTTCAATCGAGGTTCCAGCATTATCTGTCTTTCCGCTGTTCTACACTCTCAGTCCCTCTCTGCACGACAGCGATGGCTGCCACGGAGAAGACGTCACTGCTACCGAAGTCAGGCTTCGGTCCGACCGAGAAGCAGGGCGACAGGTTCCGGACCAGCAGCCGTAAGAGCGGCATTCGCCGACATGTGACGACGCTGGTAGCAACGGCATCGGCGCTGGCGCTGCTGTGGACGGCCAGATCAGCAGTGCCGGTGCCGCAGTCGCTGTCCGGAGCCCTAAGGCTGTCGTCGGCGATGGCATCAGGCGGCATCACGCCTGGCGAGCTCAAGGAGATCTTGCTGACGACGCCGTCCAACGACTCGGCGGCCGAGTGGCTGCGCTACTACACGGCTGGGCCACACATGGCGGGACAGAACTACTCGCAGGCTACCTGGACTCGCGATCGGTGGACAGAATGGGGAGCCAAGTCGCACATCACGGCGTACGACCTGTATCTCAACCGGCCGGTGGAGCACGCGTTGAGCCTGCTGCGGCCCAAGGCGACAGAGCCGGGGGAGTGGGACGTGACGTTTGAGGCGTCGCTGGAGGAAGACGTGCTGGAGGCAGACCCGACGACGGGGCTGGCCGACGGGGTGCCAACCTTCCACGGCTACTCGGCGAGCGGCAACGTGACGGGGCCGCTGGTGTACGTCAACTACGGCACATACGAGGACTACGCGGACCTGCAGCGGGCCAACATCAGCCTGGAGGGCGCGATCGCGATTGCACGATACGGCGGCATCTTCCGCGGACTCAAGGTGAAGCGGGCGCAGGATCTGGGGGCGGTGGGTGTGCTGCTGTACAGCGACCCGGGCGACGACGGCGAGATCACGGAAGAAAATGGCTATGCGGCGTACCCGGACGGTCCAGCACGGCAGCCGAGTAGCGTGCAGCGCGGCAGCGTGCAGTTTCTCAGCGTGGCGCCGGGCGATCCGACGACGCCAGGCTACCCGTCGAAGCCGGGAGTGCCGCGAGGACCGACAGACAAATACATCCCATCGATCCCTTCGCTGCCGATATCCTATGTGGACGCAGTGCCGCTGCTGCAGGCGCTCAACGGCCACGGCCCGTCGGCCAAGCAGCTGGGTCAATGGTGGGACCGGAAGCTGGGACTGCACAACCACGGGGTGGACTACAACGTGGGCCCGACGCCGGCAACCGAGGCGCTGGTGCACCTGTACAGCGCGCAGGCATACACGACGACGCCGATCTGGGACGTGGTCGGAGTGATCAACGGGTCGGCGCTGCCGAACGAGGTAGTCGTGGTGGGCAACCACCGAGACGCGTGGATAATCGGTGGAGCTGCAGACCCGAACTCGGGATCGGCCGTGCTGAACGAGGTGGTGCGGGCGTTTGGTGAAGCGACGGCACGCGGCTGGCAGCCGCTGCGCACGATTGTGTTTGCGTCGTGGGACGGCGAGGAGTATGGGTTGCTGGGCAGCACGGAATGGGTCGAGGAGTATCTGCCGTGGCTGTCAGCGACGAGCCTGGCGTACGTCAACATTGACGTGGGTGTCAGCGGGACAGAGTTCTCCGCGAGCGCCGTGCCGCTGCTGCATGACCTCTTGCACGTGGTTGCCGGCGAGGTTGCATCGCCGAACCAGACAGTGGTCGGCCAGACCATCGCCGACACGTGGAGCGGCCATATCGGGCCTCTCGGCAGCGGCAGCGACTACACTGCCTTCCTCGACCACGCCGGTATCGCCAGCCTCGACGTCGGGTTTGGCGGCGGCCCTGGTTCGCCCGTCTACCATTACCACAGCAACTACGACAGCTACCATTGGATGGCCACGTACTGTGACCCCGGCTTCGTCTACCATGCGGCCATGGCCCGGTTGTTCGGCCTGCTGGTCGCCCGTCTGGCCGACGACGCCGTCGTGCCCTTCCGCGCCGCCGACTACGCCGCCCAGCTGCTCGTCTACGTCGCCAAGATCCGCACGCAGCTGGCCCACCACGACAACAGCACCGCAGCCGTCTGGACTGGCCTCGCGGAGGACGAGCAGGAGACATCACAGGGCGGCTATCGGGGTAGCCACCAAGTGGACGAGCAGGTGGCTGCACGAGGCGTTAATCGGGCTGGCCATCAGGAGGACATTGACGTTCAGACCACCAAGAAGCACTTTGCCCACGCGCTCGACCGGCTCGAGGCCGCCGTGGCCGATCTGGCTGCTCCGGCCGATAAGCTCGACGACAAGGCCGACTCGCTGCGTGCAGCTCTCGAGGCGATTTCCGAGACGACAGGCTGGCTGGACGGCCTGCTCGCACATCTGCACCGCATCTGGCTCGCTTTCCAGGTGGCCGTGGTCAACCACAAGTACCAGCGGCTCGAGCGGCAGTTTCTCTACGACGGCGGGCTTGATGGCCGCGACTGGTTCAAGCACGTCGTTTACGCGCCCGGCCTGTGGACCGGCTATGCCGGAGCCGTCTTCCCCGGACTCGTCGAGAATATCGACGCCGGCAACTGGACGAATGCGATCCGGTGGGCCGACATCATCGAGAGCCGCGTGCGTCTGGCAGCAAAGGTGCTGTAAACGTAGGCTTTTTGTGTTGACTGCTAGTACAGGTTGGATCTAATGCGAGTGCACGTGCTTGGATTTGTATGATTTGGATAGTGCAGGCTGAAGTAGGGAGGGTTATTATAACAAAGCGCGAAATGGGAGTCAAGAACGAGCATCTCCGACAGAAGCGCACCCTCAGGAAAGAGTCTACGCCTGAGCCTCATAGTAGGTCGTATTGGGAGCAACACCGGAGTATGTGGCCTGGGGCGAGACGGCGCCGGGAGTAGATGATGGAGGCGGCGGCGTAAAGGTCTGGCTGTAGGCGGCGGCCGGGGCCTGGAACTGCTGTGGCTGAGTCTGTGGCTGAAGTTGTGGCTGAGCCGGCTGCTGCTGGAACGACTGGGCCGGTTGGATGGACTGCAGGGCCACCGGCACACCCTTCTCGCCGGCCCCGACCACGGTTCGTTCCTGTCCGGGAATGCAGTGCAGGCCGAGGGCGCGGTGACGGTGGAGGGCAAAGCCACTGATGGCGAGGCTGACGATGAAGAGGAGGCTGCCTGTCGTCAGTGATGTATTCAGGGCGACTAGAAAAGGCAGGCAGAGGCACGTACAACTCCAAGCCACCGAGTCCGGCCACGGCAGCCATGCAGTCGGCAAACGTCTTGGCGTAACCGTCGAGCGCGTACGTGTAGCAGTAGTCGCCGTAGCACTCATCGTACGTCCGCATAAAGGGAGCCACCTGCGAGGCCATCAAGGCAAAGGAGACCAGCCAGAAGACGACCAAGAAAATGTCCAGCCCGAGGGCGGCCCAGTAGTTGAAGATGGCCGAAACGGCGAGCTCGGCGACGAGGAGGTAGACACAGGTGATGACGGTGGCGATGCACTGTGGACGTTGGATCAGTCAGGAGCAGATCACACACGGGAGACGTGACGTATAGGCAGATAGCATACCGTGAACATGTTGAGCCCGTCCCCGGAAAAGGACAGGCTGTACAGGCCGTAGGCGTCGAGGCCGAGGACGATCAGGGCGAGGACCAGCTGTGCGATGCGCAGGCCGAAGAAGCCTCGGGGATAGACGGGAAAGTGCTCGCGTCCGACGGTGCGCGCGCCAGAATCGGCGCCGAAGCCAAAGACAGATGCCATGGCGTCAGGACTATAAAGAGACGTGTAGGGGAGAGGTATGGTGGGCGGACGGGAACAGATGGATGCACTACGCGAGAAAGGCAAGGCAAGCATGAGAGAAGGAGAGAAGGAAGACAAGGCCCGGGCTGTCTTTTTATACCAATCCATATATGGGCTTGGATGCTAGAGACGGGCGGGAGAAAAGACCAGGGCTGGAAGAGCCCGCCCATGCAGAAAGCCGCCAGCACCCCTTCCTCCTGGGCCTGATAGTCGGGAAGGGCTAATCTTACATTGTCAAGCCCCAAGCCTGCCGTCTTCAGCCCAAAGGGACGCCCTATCCGTAAAGGCGTCTGCGATCAGCACACAAAGTAGCTGGCCGAGAGGAGACCAACCCGGCTGCTGCTAGAGAGAGAACGGTCTAGATCCCGGACCCCTGTGATGAGCTGCGGGCACATCGGTGTGAAAGCCCGTGCCACGACGTCTTGCAGCAACGTTGGGACGCAGTCGAAATGTGACCGACTGTTGGTCTTGCTGCTTATTGCGCCTAACCGTAAAATATGGGGCGAATACTGTATAGAGCTGCAAGGCACACTCTTGGGTGTGCTGCGGCTGAAGAGTCCGGACGTCGCAATGAAACCTCGACCATGAACTTGAGAGCAAACGGACAACCAGCAGTGGACCAGCAGTGGCTGTCACGGGAGGAAGAAGGAACCCGTATGATAGACTCGGGAAAGAAGCAGTCACAGACGCGTTCACACACGAAAACAAAAACAGCGCCACACGATCCCATCGCCGAATCATATCGCATCTATTTTGGGCAAAGTGCTCACAAGGCTCGTACTGCTCGTATCTTACTGCGTACTTGCCGTATTGCTCGTATGCAGCGGAACCAGCATCTTGATTCCGCACCCCTCGTCAGTATCTTTCATGTTTCAAGTCTGCCACGACAACACGCTCTGAAATGCGCCGTCGAGACATTTGCAAAGGTTCAGCTAGTGTCATCGTTGCTCAAGCATGTTGTAAAATATGTAATATGACTAACTTGCAGTGTCTCGTCTTGATGACCCTGTGGCTGTCCTTCCTATCGTCCTTTCCCGCTCTTTCATACCCCCGATCACCGTCTATCATTCAATAATGCGACATTAACCAACACAGGTAAGAAATGCATCAGACTGCACATGACGGGTCAGGCAGCGCGCTGTCTATGCTCCGCCCCGTCCGTCCCTTGTCCGCCCACTCCTGTCGACTTTAGTATGCAAAAAGGGGAACAAAATCGAAGTAAAACCCCGGAACTGATAAGAGCACAGACACGAAAATGCTGAAAACGAAAAGGGTTAAACAGGCCATGTCCAGCCCCCCAAAATATATATACCAGAACGTCAAGAAGCGCAGAGGCGCACTAGTAACGTGATGTTGGGTATCGAGCGCCACCGAAATATGTGATGAGAATGAATAAGAGAAGCCAGACAACGATACAAGTTCCCGACAAAAAATGAAAAGGGGCCTGTTGTCAGGACCTCTCAGGAGAAATCCTCTGCCCCTTCGCCCAACACGATCCGATCGACCCGCTTGACCAGCTCTTTGGTCTCACGCGCAATCTCAAACGCGATCGGTGGCAGCGACGTCGTCCATGACCGCCAGTCCATCTGCTGGCCCGTCGTGTCGTTCATCATCTCGTCACCCTGGTCTCCAGCCTCCAGCAGACGTTGCCGGCAGTCCACCAGCTTATCAAGTCCTTGTCCGCCATGGCCGCTGGCCTCAGTCTCGCCGATCACCTTGCCCACAATGTCCGCAATCTCGTTGATCTGGTCCGTGATCTGCTGCACTGGCGCGTCGCCGCGGATCGACCCCACCATTTCCTGGATGATCTGTACCATTGTCGCCGTCTGGTCGTCGAGGAAGGCCTGCCGACACGTCAGGTCAGCACGCGTCCTTCTCACCAGCCTGCCTCCGTCCCTTGCAAGGCTCCTCCTACCTTTAGCTCTTCGGCACGCCGGTCCGCCACGTCGTTCAGACCGTTCGTGCCAAGGCCCTTGTTCATGACCGGAAAGTTGCCGGCGTACTGGCTGGACGACTCACGCGGCGAGTTCACCGGGCTGTACGCCGACGAGTCCGTACTATTGCGGTATCCCCCCAGTCCTTGGAAGGGTGGCGGTGGCGGGAGCGAGTCCTGCGTCGTTGCCGAAGACACGGTGGTGGCTGAGTTGGGCCCGTCGTTGCTCCGTGGCGAGAAGAAGCCACTCGAGTCGACTGGTGTTATCGTCCCGTCCTCCTCTTCCTCCTCCTCCTCCAGCTCGTCTGTTGGCGTTGGCCTGATCTTCACCGTCTGCAACAACTCGACCACGGCGGCCACCAGGTTGGATGCCGCTGCGTCAATCAGGGAGACCGGTGACAGGCCTGCCGATATGGAGAAGTTCTTCGTGGCCGTGATCAGGTTGTTGGCCGTGGCTGACACACGTCCCCTCAGCTTGCTGTACAGTTGCACTACCTCCACGTCTTGCTGCCCTGCCCCGCCCACGACATCCTTGGTGATGCGCCGGACAGAGACAACCACTGCCTTCATGGCGTCGACCGTCTGCTCCGGTCCGTCGACATGTGCGTGGTGCAGAAGCTCGTCCACGGCTATCTGGAATTTCGTCACGTGTACATCCTTGACCAGACCGTTGCTTGCCGTGAAGCCCTGCTCCCGGATGTATTTGCCTGCATCGTTCCGTGGCAGCCCCATTGTTGACGCCCGCATGCTCCTCATCTGGGTTTTGGCTCGAGCATAGCGATTGCGCCACTCTATCACTTCGGCTTCGAGCGTCTCGATCGTCTTTTCCAGCTCGGCATGCTTTTCGTAAGTTGCGCCGCTCTGTTGTGACAGTATTCGCATCTCCTGCAGGAACTGCTCTGCGTCTCTGCGGACTTCCTCCGTGACTTCTTGCTGTTCGCGGAGCGCCTGTCGAAGCTCTTCGTTTTCTTGTGCGAGCTCTGAATCGCCGGCACCACCACCGGCACTGCCAGCCTCTAGCTCTGGACGCTCTGCTAACGACGCTTGTAGATCGTCGATTTGTGCGCGAAGCTGCTGTTCTTGGGCTTCATGGTCATTGCGCATGCGATCCACGTCTTGCTGCAGTGACTCGGCAAGGCCTTCAGCCTCGGCTAACCGAGTTTCCAGATCCCGGCGGACGTCGGAGGACTCTTGGCTCTCCTCGGTGGATGCTGATGCGCGGGTTCGTTCCTCTTCAAGAGCGGCATCTGCCTCTTCCTTCTGCTGCTTCATGTCAAGCTCCATGGTCTCAACCTTTTCTCTCAGCTCCTTCAACTGGGATTCGTAGTCATCAATCATCCGCTTCTTCTCATTCTGGGGAGGTCAGTCTCTGTTGCCGGTCGGTTCAAAAATCAGCCATGTAGACACATACCTCAGCTTCCTCCGCCTCCTCGTCCGCCTTGGATGTGTCGAGCGGACTGGTAGCGTCGTCGTCCTCTTCTACCATCGTGCTCTTGTTCGGCACGATCGTGTTTGTCTGTGACTGCTTCTGCATCGGCCGATCATAGCCGTTTGGAGGCAAGCCTGGAGAAGGTGGTACCGACCCCATCGGGCCCCCGGGCCCCAGAGGCCCAGGACCGCGCAGTGACCGTACGGAGTCGGCTTCAGACGGTCGCCGCCGACCCTGGCCCCGTGGCGGGAAGCCGTTCATGCCGCCGCCACCCATCGGGGTTCCCGCTCGACTGGAACCGCGAATGGAAGTCGGGCTGCCTAGACGCGGAATTTCACCGTCGACGAATCGGGGGAAACGGCGTTCGAGCTCGCAGAAGACGTCGGTGGCGAGATCGCGAAAACGCGGCGGCCCGAGAGAGGCAAGCTTCTGCCGGGCTTGGTTCCGTTTCGGGTGGAAGTTGTCTTCGGGCAAGAGGTAGGTCGGCGGACCGCTGCCTGGCGGCGCGTTGGGTGGCCGACGGCTGAAGGTCTGGCGGCGTACCAGCTCGTCGTAGACATCGGTACTGAGCTCGAGAAACTGCACCGAGGTAAGCCGCTGCAGCTTGTCGCGCGCCTTGTTTGCGGGGTTAGCGGGCTTGCCGTCGCGCGACGTCTGCGACAAGAAGCGCCTGAGGGCGACATAGTGCTCGCCCAGCTGCGCCTCGGTCATTTCTATTTCGCGTGCGCTTTGGCCGCCCTCGCTGGGGGCGTACAGGTTTGTCGCCGTGCTCGAGCGGCCGATACTGGAGCGGCCGATGGAGGGCGGCGGAGAGGGCCCTCCATTTCGCGGCCCGGCCGAAAAGCCGTTCATCTGCCCGGGTCCAGGGCCACCGGAATTGGGCGGCGAGGTGAGCTGGCCGCGGCTGTTGGCATACGGGTCGTCCTTGTCCATGGGGTAGGAAGAGGGCCAGTCACTATCTCCTAAAGATACGGGTGAGAGCGGTGCATTGCGTCCATTCATGGTCCTGGACGCTTTCTGTCTCGCTTCGTGGAGCCTGATGCACCGATGTCGTGCGCTTTCCGCTCTGAGCTACCGCGTTTCCTTTGTCCGCAACACGTGCTCCGTCCCAGTCTTTTGATCCCGTGCTGCGCGCCTGGTACAATTCTCCGACGTGTTGCATTCGTATTACTCGTCGGTGGCCATTCAGTCGTGGGCGGTGTGCGTGTGGAAAGATGCAGGTAAAAAAGTATGTAAGGAAGCAAGAGACAAATAGGGGGCGGATGATCAGGACGGCAGGAGGCTAGCGAAGGGGGCTAATGCATGCAACAGAGAAGGCTAGGTATTAGGCATACAAGAGAAGGAGCGATGGAAACTGATTCAAGCTGGCCAGTCGAGCCACAATAGGGGGTCTCACACGGGGTGGGTGAATTGGGGAAAGAGCTTGGATCAGTCTCTAACGCGTGGAGAAAAGAAGGCAGGAAGCACCGACGACACAGGCGGCGGGATGTGCTGAAACGTCAGACTGGCTGGGCAATAGGGAATTCGGGGAATGGGGGCGTTTGCGACGTACATGGTAGCAATCCAGCAATATGTACAGAGTAGGATACTTGTATTTGCGGAGGATAAGGGCAGCATCGAGTACCGTCGTACTATGTACGTCGTAAAGGGGAGCAGACGAGCAATGCAGGGAGGCCGGAGGGTCGGACTAGGCAAGGCAAAAGAGCAGAGCATTGGGTTCCCACAACGGCTGAGCAAGAGAGGGCAAAACAGTAAGATACATGAGATACATAGTAGTAGCGCCAGGAACAAGGCCGCGTGTGAGTGCGGAATGTTGGTATTCTCGCAACGCGGCCGTCTGATTGGCGACTTGTCGGGCGGCTGGCCCCGGGGAGAGATGTTCAGGAACAGCACGGAATGAGTGTTCTCAGTGGAGATATCTGGCGCGCGCCAACGCACACTGTATTCGTCGATTGTCGAGTATCGGGATACATGCACCCTAGTGGACAAGGCACAGCTCAAAAATAGACTGCAATTACCGGGCGAAATCGTATGAGATCTTGGGCATGCCTGTTCCGGCCATTTGGCGAGTATTGTCTTTGAGTACATGCAAGTCTTGGAATGTAAATCACCCTTTCAGACATCGCCGCCAGGGACCACACCCTCCCCAAGCAGTACTTCACCACAGCAGGATTTCCTCCCCCGAAGCAAGAGATCTCACACGGCCTCGCTGGAATATTGGCGCTATACCTGCTCCTGTGGAGCTGACTGACGACCCCTGGGCGGCTGTGCAAGGTAATTGGCACGTCTCAGTCCCCGAAAGAGGCTCAATCAAACCCCTGACCTGCTGTTACATAGTCGTGCTTTTGTGACGGCCATTTGTCTTCATTTGGCGCAAAGCGGACTGCTGCTAGCAGCCCGCTACCATCAGTGCGATACCCCCCTTCCGGAGGCCTTGACAAATTGAAACGGAAGCTTCTTTCTTCTCCATATGATCGGTGCGTAGTGGTGGGAACCTTGTCACGTGTAGCCCACGGTCTAGACCGTGCAGGCCTCCGATCGTGCACAATCTGCAAATCTCGCTTGCACAGGGGACCTATGTATGTCGCAGTATTCCGTAGCATTGGTCATGCTATGTAAAAAGGCACGGAGTACATTCCGGCGCGTCTTGGTTCTCGACCAGTAAATGCTGTTCCAAAAACAATGCTTCTTCACCGGTCCCCAATACGAGACTCTAGAATTCGCCTCTGGAATCAGCCCTTCCATAAGGATACAATTGGCACTGTCGTTATACGCTATCGGAAAAGTGGCTACAGCATACGCGGACAAGGAAAAGAAGCAAGTCTCTCCTGAAGCTGCGGGTCTGCATAAAATTGCCTGCTTTGCACCCGTGCTTTGCGCGTCATGCGCTCTGTTAGGTCTTCTCCCGGCGAAGCAAATATAGGACAACTTCCACGCGAAGCACAACTCGAACATTCACGGCTAGCTAGCTGTCTCCCTTCCGAGCTCGCGTGGCTGTCCGTAATCGTGCTCCGTATGTAGCAGACACGGCATGGCGCCCGTAACATCAGCCCGTCGTTTCCGCCGCCTACGACACGACGTTGCTTCGTAACATACTCCGTACTGCCGACTGATCAGGCCCACAGAATAATCATTCTTACAACGCAATGCGGCCGCGCTTCCTTTACAAGTATCTGTGCCACAATTCCCGTACCTCTGGTTGCGGGCGTTCACATGGCAGAGGTCGCAGATTGCTCATTTCAGAGACAGCAGGTTGCCAACGTCACCCAGTGTGGCGCATACCCCAGAGACCTTATCCTTCCATGCCCTCGCAGCAAGCATTCTAGCTGCTACCGGCCAATCCGGTCTCTGGCCTTGTCAAACTACTCATGTCATGGAAGCCTTTAGAACCATGCCAAAGTCCATGTGGCTGGCAAGTTAGGCCACCGCTCTTGCCACTCAGCAATGATGTCGGGGACGCGCTCATCAAAGCCGGACCGACTGGCAGCGCCGCCTGCATCAAAGTTTGCGGCCCCGACCTTTTCCCGCTCTGTGGCAGCAGTTTGATTCAAATTGTTGGCAAGGTCGAGAATGGCACCTCCGCCCACTGCAGCTTCTTCGTGGTTGTCGCGAATATCAACGTTGACCACGTGGACTGGCCGGTTGAGCGGTGAGCCACGGTTGAGTAGATCGTCAATCACGGCGTCCCAACAACGCTCTTCACACGTTATCACAACGTCCACAACACCACCCTCGGTGCCAATACTACCCAGGTCCGAGGCATGTTCCAGCCGCGGAATGCCAATCTGCCAGTCTTGCCACCGCTCCGGTCCCCACTTCACGCCCCTATTGCGGTCAATCATGTTGAGGACGCCATTGGCGCGGTAGAGCCGGTCATCCTTGGCCTCGAGCTCGCGGTACATGCTATCGTACGAGGTCTTGTTGAACTGGTATACGTTCGGCTGTGTTATGCTTGGCCCCGGTAGACGTACGAGAGACCCCGTACCGAAGGAAACGACTGGGAATCCGGCCTTGCCAAGACGCAGGTGTGCCTCCATCGACCTGCACTGTGTATTAGGGTTTCCAAGTCCAAACAACTCGTCGTTAAACTCGCCGCCACACATACCGATTCTGGTTGCTGGCACAAACGGTGCAAAACTTCAACTGGAACTGGTGAGGCGGGTTCGGCATTGCCGTGGCCGCATCACTGGTGACAGCCATGTCGATTATGTAGCTCGTCAAAGCACGAGGGCGCGGGACTGAAGCTGTAGAGGAGACAGATTGACCTTGAGTCTCTGACCTGAAACATCAGTCAGCAATCACGGTTTTGAACGGGCGTGCTTGACAATGATATAGTTTTTCTTGCTCCATACAAGGATCAGATTTTGTTGCGTATGTGAATGTCTCATCAAGAGTATCAGACAGCTCCAATAATAAAAGTTCATCATATGTAGGAGGGAGAAAGACAGAATATGTATAATCGAACCGACCTACCTTTCACGTCATTTCTTGTAATTGAAGTCGCATCAAAGAAAAGGGCACGCCCTATGATAAAAGTTGGAGCTGCTCTGCATGGGGGTTGGGAAAGCAGGAAGCGAATTGGCAAGGCCAAGTTGATGTTCTGCTCTGTGTTTTGGGTTTGTTCGGTGACTGTTTTTTTTTCTTCTCAAAAGTTGCCCTATTAATAGTGCGTTCACAAAGCAAGCTATAGCGGTTTTTGTTATTGCTGACTCAGCGAGCAGCGTATGTCTATTGGTCCCATAATATAGCATCATCCTGTAACAACCAATCCAGGTGGGACTCCGAACTCGTAGAGTGAACGGAGAGGCTTACTTCTACTCCCTATCTCAAAGCTGCATCTGTTTTGGCTAGCTTTGGGAACTGTGAGGCAGTGCAAGTAGGCTTTGTATGAGTAAGAGAATGGAAGTCGGCATTTATTTAGATTATGTATTACCATGGCGAATCACTTTTGCCCAATTTGCAACCACGGCTTCCGACGCGCCATGTGTCTCAGCGGCTGCAACGTTTCGGACCATCCCAAGCTCTGCAGAGATCGCGGGGATTCTGCAACTCTAGAACGGTCCTTATAGGGGGTAAGGTCACTGAATTGGCGTTATATGATTTCATAGTGGGTGACAAAGAAAAGCGAATGATAAGAGACACAGTAGTCTACTTTTGGTGGAACGGCGACCTGATCACCATCAAGAGTATGGTTACACATGGCATATGCATGCCACTTTTCTAGAAATAGAGAAGCTGCTACAAGAGTTGTATGCGCGGAGAAGTCTAGGATAATGTGAAGCACTGCTATGGATGAAACGAATATCTGAACCGTAACTAGTTGGTGTTAGAAACACAACAAGCATAGTGCACGATTAGACGGGTAGCAATACTAATACCGCTGAGCCAGAAATAGAAGCGGACATATCGATGCGTGCTGTCGACAGTGACCAATGCGGTGCTACGACGCACATGGAAGACTGTGTGAGCTCAATAGTCCATAAGCACACACCCGAGTCGCCAAGATAGCCTTTCTGGCTGCGAAGGTCGAAGTAGGATATCAGTAGAGGGGCACCGTTTCTCTTCACCACGGCCTTCGGGTTCGGCTAATGGCCCTAAGCGGGACACTTGTCTCGTATTGGCAAATTTCCCAGTCTCTCAGGCATTGCTGCTAGCTTACTCCGCAATGCTCGTCAAAACCGGCGCTGTGCCAGGAGCACTGCTCCTCCTCGACCCGCAGGAGAGCCGTCGAGCTGGGACCAGGCGATTCTGTACATGGAGGGCCATCATCTCAGAGAAGGCACGGTTGCAGCATCTGATGTTCACCGGGAGTTGGCGCATGCGCGGCATTGTGGGTGGATGCCGGCCAAAGCAAGGGCCATTAGAAACTGAGCCCACTGCACCTTGGATGCAATTCGACACCACGCATGGCTTTGGCGCCCGAGCGCCAGCTGGTTAGTGGCCACTCAGCGTTCTCTCCTGCTCCTGCCCTCCCCGCTCAGTTACCCCTTCCTTTCTCGTGTACCCTGTCGTTCTATCGCTCCTTCCTTCCTCGCGCTTAGCGCTCACCCCAACTGGTCTCGTCGGAAACAGCCCGTTTCTTTCCTCTTCCTTACTATTGACTCTACCAGCTGGACTCGAAACGACCTGGTCTTATTTTCTCCCTGTTGACTTCCTGCACCGTCTCTGGCTGGATTATCGAGTACGACGTCGATGCTCCCTCCCTTGAGTGCGCTCGATTGCACCTCATTTCTTTCCTCGAACTCTATTTCTTTCTTCCACTGTGCCGCCGCCGACGTGCCTGGTCGCCCTGCGCCGCCGCACTTGTTTTGCTTTCGTCGTTACCCGAAACAAAGTCTGGCAACGGCTTCTCCTTGTCGACCGATAATTTCTTTCTCCCTACTGCACTGGCTGCCGCCAATCTGAAGGAGTCGCATTCAAATTCGTCCTCACTGCATTGCCTCCGTCTCTGCAAGCTGTTGCCCCGTTCGTCCATCTGCGAGACCTTTACGAGGAAGCCCGGCTACAGACTACGCTGCCTTTGTCCTCTGACATTGCTGGACTCACATTACTCTTCTCTTGCTTCTGTTGTCTTGGATACCCTGTCCGCTGCGCGACGAATGCGAAGACAAATCAACGCGGAAATTGGCTCCCCCTAGCACGGATGGGACGAAGTGAAACAAGAATATACGCAGTCGTCAAAACGAAGACCGCCGATCTCGACAGCAGCACCGCCAGCGACCACCATCACCCGCTCGCCGCAAAGACCCTTGGTATAACGTCTCCTGCAACGGCTGACGAGTCTTGGCCGAAAATCGCATTTCTGAAGCGGTGACCGGGGCGCCATTCGAGGGCCCACTCCGACGCCAGCACCAGACGAAAGCGCCCCCTCCATCGGGTTGCCCATAGTGAAAATCCAGAAAATCTAGCATACAGTGGTGCGACTGCATGTTCGAGGTCTTTTCTATAAAATTTAAAAATAGCGTCTTTGGCCCCTCCTCCTTCCAGCCGCCCCCCCTCCGACCCCCAAGATGGCGGCCATTGTGTCTCCTTCATCTTCGCCTGCGACATCACCGCCTGTCGTCTCATCCTCGCCTCTGCTTAATCCGACCCAGGCCCCCGTCCCCCAACCACTTACCTCTCCAACCACTCGCCGGACAAATCTCCAAAGGCCAATGTCACACGCATCCAAGAACAGGCTTTCGCAGTACTCCGTCGGCTCGGTTCCTCCACGGTCACGACCTACCTCCCACGTGTTCCCCCTATATCCCTCTAGCCTGCCATACGCATCGGTCCGCGATTTCGCCTACCCTCCTGTCCATCCCTTGCACTATGGGCCTCCTCCGGAGCCCTCGAGGCCGGCATCTATCGTGTCACCATCTTTCGACACGCAATCACAGCGTCGTCTCTCCGACCCGCCCTTCTCTTGGGAGACAAAAACAAGCTGGGACACGGATTCGTGGGAGAATGGGTCGTACAACCGTGCAATTGATCTACCGCCAATCTACCTTGCCGATGGCCCGCCTTGGAGCGAAGACGAAGATCTTCAGAGTCCCGTCGTCAGCTCGAGGCATCGGAAACACAAGTCTGCATCATCTGCGTACGCACCCAGCCGTCGCAGAAGTGCCCGGGTCATGGAAAGCATCGATGCGGAGGAAAGCTTCAGTGGCAGTGTCGGTGTTGCTGCTGATATTGCCGCCGCCGCCGGCACTGGCGGTGGTGATAATGGCAATGGCGCTGGCGATGCCACCAACCTTCTGAATCCTAACAATCTCGACCACGAAAGAGGATACTTTGCTGGCACAAGCGGCGACGGCAGCGAGCGGTACTATGTAAACCAGGGTGGAGAGGCGAACGGACCTGGCGGTGAATATGTCACATACCCAGCAGGCCAAACGCGGCAGTCTGCCCATCAATACCAGCTGGCTAGCCAGCAGCCTCGAAACTACGGAGGCTACCATCCGGAGTCCGACGCGTCGAGCCCGGTGTCGTCGCCGGATTTTCGCGAAGATGACCAGTCTCGCTACTCACGCGACTACCAATTCACTATTACCTCACCCGACGAGGAGATGCACGGAAAAGCTGTTGCCTTGTTTGACTTTTCGCGCGAGAACGAGAATGAGCTGCCTCTCGTCGAAGGCCAGATCATCTGGGTGTCGTACCGCCATGGCCAGGGCTGGCTCGTGGCCATGGACCCGAAGACACAAGAGAGCGGGTTGGTCCCAGAGGAGTACGTCCGTCTTCTTCGCGACATCGAGGGCGGTATGACGAGTCTTACAGGCCAGGTGATGGCCAATGAGAACCTTGGCAGTCCTAACGACGCGGACACACCGACACAGCTTGAACATAGTCAGGGCTTTGGTGGACATACGCCCACTCCGAGCAATGCGTCTAATAGCTACCCCCAACCCGTCGTGTCAACCTTCTCCACCTCCAGCAAGGACCTCGATCCTTATCCACAGCACCTACTCGGTACGCAAGCTGGACAGGTACCGCCACAGGTAGTCCATTACCACGGTCAACGTGGTGGTTCCCAAGCCAACACGCCCACCCTTCTCAGCCACCAAGACATTGGGACGATGCGCCGGGGAAGTCAAGACTTGCTGCCCGCTAAGAAGGGCGAAGCCGTGAAGCATTCGTCTCTCGGCTCTTTGCTCGGCGATGCTGCGGACGCAGCGGAAGAGATGTCCCCGAACGATAGACACGGAGACGCAGCTCGTAATGGGATTTGACACCATGACAATCGTTCATGGGTGTTTGTATTGACTTTTTGTATACTACTATTGGGGTGGGCATGTTGAGGCATGCTCATCTCGCTTCTTCTTCTCCCAGTCTGCCTGTGGTCAGACGTATTTCGGGACTGGCGTTGTTGTTCTGACGTCTTGCTTCGGCATCCTGGCACTGCTACCATAGTTCTTTGCGATCAGGCACTATCGGGACGAAGTAGGACCTGCACGGGACACGATATTCCTCTCTTGGCACGTTCTCTTTTTTCACTTTTCTTTTTTTGGATATGAGCTATTAGTGTACGATTTACGCATGGCAGAATGGATGGCTGGCCGGTGAGCTTGGCCGAGCAAGGCAAAACGGCCGAAAAAGGAAAAGGAAGCAGCATGTAGAGTATAGAGTGATATGGATTGCACGTCACTGTAAGCAATCTTAAGTCAAGCCGTGCTTTTTCCCTGATAGTTTGTTGATGAGCCTATATAAATTGTTTTCAAGGGTGTCATCACGTGGGCGGGAGGAAAATACAAAATTGCATCACCAGGAACAGCCGGCCTTGACACCACCGGCGGCAGCATTGATTGGTTGGGCGGCTCGGATATATGAGGAAGACCTCCGTTCAGATCAAAAGCCACATCCGGCTGAGGCCCTCGTTCTTTCTTTGCCGCCCCATAAATCCCCACAGCGTGCTCTTCTTTCCCTCATCACTCTGCCATTGGCTTTTTCCAATTGCACCCCGTCGCATTTTTACGTCTTTATCTGCAAATACAGTCGCCATGTTTGCGCGCACCGCATTCCGTACGCTTCAGTCGGCAGCGCCGCTGAGACAGGTAAGCCGAAGCCGTGAGCTGCGGCAGTAGGTGAAAGGAGCTGTCTATTTTGTGCAGACCAATGCCGCAGTACAAATCGGAGGCCGAAGCTGACACACTGCGCAGCTGACATCCTGCCGCCGGTATGCGACTGGTCCTTCTCCGAGCAGCGGCAGCGGCAGCAGCACACTGCTGATTGCGGCAGTCACTGCGGCGGCAGCGGGCGGCGGCGGCTACTACTTTTACTCCACGAGCGCGGCTCCGGCAGAGAAGGTGACGGCGACAGCGAAAGAGACGGCAGCGGGTGCAGCATCCGAGGTGACGGGCGCGCACAAGGAAACATTCACGGGCGGCAGCCAGGGATTCCTGAGCCTGGAGCTGGAGAGCGTCGAGACGCTCAACCACAACACGAAGCAGTTCCGGTTCAAGCTGCCGGAGGAGGACAGCGTGTCGGGGATGCACGCAGCATCGGCGCTGCTGACCAAATTCAAGCCAGAGGGTGCAGAGAAGCCGGTGGTACGGCCGTATACTGCGGTCAGTGACGACGACGCGGTCGGCCACCTGGATCTGCTCGTCAAGAAGTACGAGGGCGGGCCGATGTCGACGCACATCCACTCGCTGGTGCCGGGCCAGAAGCTGGAGATCAAGGGTCCCATCACCAAGTACCCATGGGCACCCAACAAGCACGAGCACATTGCTCTGCTGGCGGGCGGTACCGGCATCACGCCCATGTACCAGCTGCTGCAGGCCATCTTCAAGAACCCGGGCGTCGATAAGACCAAGGTGACGCTGGTGTTTGGCAACATCGCCGAGGAGGACATTTTGCTGCGCAAGCAGCTGAACGAGCTCGAGAACACGTACCCGCAGCAGTTCCGCGTCTTTTACGTCCTGGAGAAGCCGCCCTCCGACAAGTGGACCGGTGGCTCCAAGGGCTACATCACCAAGGACCTGCTGAAGGAGGTGCTGCCCGAGCCGACGTCGGGCGATATCAAGCTGTTTGTCTGCGGACCCCCGGGTCTGATGAAGGCTGTGTCCGGCCCCAAGAAGAGCCCGAGCAACCAGGGCGAGCTGACGGGCGCCCTCAAGGAGCTCGGTTACACGGCCGAACAGGTCGTCAAGCTGTAGATCGAAGCGGCCGACGTCCTCCATAGATTGTAGAGCCAAAACGTTTGGGGCTCCGCCTTTTTTTTATCCTGACAGCGGTTACTGTTGCCAGCCTGCCTTCGTACGATATATATACACGTCCTGTGTGATCCTTGCAGCTAGCCCCTCTTTGGCCACGTTTTGCTGTGTTGGTGCTGGGTTGCGCCTGCCAATCATATGCTGCTGGCGCTTACCGGCGGTGCCTTCCCCTCGATGGGGCGGTGAGACAAACTGTTTTAGTTAACTTCGACCGCGATTGGGCGGTTGGGCATGTACGCAAAAGCCTCCTGCCCTTTTTACCTCATTGTGCCTCTCTGCTTCTGTGTCTCCTTGTCCTTTTCAATTTTCGCTGCTAAAGGCCAGAAAAGCCGGAAAGCTGCATCTTTTGTCCCATATTACATGACCGCCGGTGCGACTCGTCATGTCGGACACTCGCAAGCGATCCCGGCACTCGTCGACATCGGGGTCCCACCGTACACCATCGTCGCGCCACCATAGCTCGCGCCACCTTTCTGCGACGTCATCGTCGTCTGTCAACCGGTCGTCGTCGTCTGTAAACCGGGCCCCTCCGTCTTCTGGTGATGGCAGTGCCAGTACCAACGACAGCGGCAAGTATGGCGGCTCGAACGAAGTCCCGCCCGTTTCTGGAGGAGGCAGCCGGCCAGATGCTGGCCAGATCTACGGAGGCATGGCGACACCGGCTGGCGAGTCCCGCTTCTCGCTGACGGACCAGTTTGCGGCCACAAGGAGTGTGATCGACTTTGACTTTGACGACGGGGCATCGTCCATCTTTGACTCGGCATCGGTCTTCTCCATGGGGACATCTAGGGCGCCTTCCGTCCGGGCACCGTCCACGCGGGCACCGTCCATTGCACCCAGCTCGGTCTGGAGCTCGGGCTTTGGCGAAGACAGCTTCTTGGGCAGCGAAGGCGAGGACACGATCATGGGCGGGTACGACACGCTGGTAGAAGAGGATGAGGACAGTGACGAGGACGATGACGAGGATGACGAGAATAACGACGAGGATGACGATGAAGACGGACGACACACACCAAAACTGCGTGCCGAAGGCAACGCTGGCGTCAGGGACAGCAAGCAGCGGACCGAGAAGCTCCAGGACCAGCTGCTGCAGCTGCAACAGGACCAGCTTCTGCTCCGCTCTCCCGTGCTGCAGGCCACCCTCCCCGGCCAGCCCCAGCCAATGCGGCGTACTTACTACGAAGTGCTCTGTCTTGCACGGCACCCAGCGCCGCACTCGGGCGAGATCCGGGCGGCCTATTTTCGCCTGTTTCGACTGCTGAACAACGATCACAGCAGTGGCGGACGCTACGGTATAGCAAAGGCGCTGCAGCCGACGGCAGCCTTTTACTTTGCACAGGCGCAGGCAGCGTTCGAAACGCTGATCGATCCGGCACGAAGACTGGAGTATGACCGATATCTGGACGATCAGGAGGAGGAGGACAACGACGAAGAAGAGGACGGGAGCAGCAGCAGCAAATGCGACAGCGATAGCAGACTGACTGCGGAGGAAGAAGCCCGAGACGAGGAAGAGATCCGTCGCCTGAGAGCTCTGGCCAGCCGACAAAGCTTTCAAGCCACCACCGACATGGGCATCCGTTACGATGCCAGCCGCGTGCTGCTGCCCGAGTACCTGCAGCACGGGGACGCGCAAGCCGACAGCAGCGCGCTCAGCTCGGTCGACTACTCTCTCACGCAGGCTGTCCGCATTGGATTGCCCAGGTTAGGCCGTTGTACGGAGGCGGGGATACTGCAGCTGCAACGCCGTCTGTACAGAACACAAAATTCGCTGAATCAGCTACGTGTGCGATTTGGTGCCAACCGAGACAAGATAGCTGCCAGCACGCAGCGGATGCAGCCTTGGCCGGTGTTCTGCAGCACGCCAATCGTTGGGGTGTCTGCCTCGACCTACGCCATGACGTCGACCTCTGCCAACTGGAGAAGCGGCCGCGATGCTCCTCTGTCGACAGACCGCCACCAGCCACTCCTGCCCGAGGCGTTGGCACCCATACGGGCTGTCCAACTGGCCGACACCCGGTCGACGGGCCGCGTTGTGCTCTCCTACCGGCAAGAGTTTGCTTGGGGCCCGATGCCGAGCCATCTACCGCCGACGGTGGCGGAGGTCGAGGCGGAAGTTCTGCCGCATCTGAGCGTGACAACGCGTATAGCGCAGCCTGTGCCCGTGACAATACCGCGTGTCGACGAGGCCATGGGCGTTCCCGACCAGGAGCCGCTGTATGTCGAAGTCATGGTGCACGATGGCAAAGGATGTTCGCTTGTTGGCTCAGCCCCTCGTCTCGGCCTCGGCCTGTCGCGACGCATGGGCGAGGGCGATGTATTCCTGTGTGCAGACAGTGGTAGCAGCGGTGGCTGGTCGCCGTGGTGGCCGTTCTCTACAGCGGCCGATGTCGCGACTGCAGTCATTGCGCCGGGCATTGCGTCCATGGTCGAGGTTGGCTACAGCCTGAGCGCAGACGAGCTGGGGCTGCATGCGGGGCGACCACTGACAGGGCCTGCGGATCGGGGTCTCAAGGGCATCGACGGTGATTTGGACGCCCTGGAAGCCAGCAGCAGCAGAGGCCATGGCAGAGGCACATGGACTGCTTCGGCGGCGATCACGGGGCAGTTGACGCTGGCGGGCTACTTGCGATACGGTCGCACTCTGTTTCTGACGCCATGGGGGCATCTGGGCAAGAAGCTACAGAAGGGACGGAGGACGGACGGCAGCCGACGAGCGGTACGAGTGGAGGCGGAGTTGTGTGCCAGTCGCTTCTCTGCGGACGGATACCTGGCCATTCGAGGCCTGGCACCGATTCGATGGTGGGGGGTCCGGAACGGCTGGACATCTGGACCCAGCGCCAGCAGCACGCCTCCAAAGCTGGGCCTGGAAGTTGCTCTGAGTGCCGGCAGCGGCAGCGTGCACGTGTCTCTGTACTGGTCGCGCGTGGGCCAGCGGATCAAGCTGCCGTTCTTGCTGCTGCCGGCATCGGGGGATCTGAGCGTGACGTCGAGGCTCTTCCTCTGGGCAGCCGGGCTGCCGGTGGCCGTCGTGGCTCTGCGGGAGCTGGTGCAGGCGTTTCTGCGGGTCCGGCAGAGGCGGAAGCGAAGGGAGCAAAAGGAGCAAAAGGAGCAGAAGGAGGACGAGGCCAAGATCGAGACAGGCGGGTTCGACGACTTTGAAGAGGAGCAGGCCATTGAGCGGCACCGGGCCGAGGCAGACGAGCTGACGATGGTGCTATCATCGGCCGTGGACGCGCTCAAAGCGATTGCAGCAGGTGGCAACAGCAGCAACGGTAGCGGCGACAGAGACAAGGACGCGAGCGGGCTGATCATCCTGAGCGCCAAGTACGGTGTGGCCCTGGGGGACGACTCGGACGACTCGGACGGGGCTGAGCTTCGAAAGCGAAAGCGAAAGCACACTAGCGTCAACGGCAGCGCAGCAACATCGACAGCCATGGCGACGCGCAACGGCTGGTCGCCTGACTATGAGGTGGCTGACGTGACGGCAGCCCTGACAGCTCTGGTGGTGTCGGCGGGAAGCAGAGGCAACGACATTGTTCCTGCTGCCGATGCTGACTCAGACTCGGACTGCCTGCTCATCCCCCGTGGTGTCCGCAAAAGCCGCATGCTGGGCTTCTGGGATCCGGCGCCTCACTTTCACCGGAAGCAGCAGCAGCAGCAGCAGCAGCACGCCGCGCATGCCAGAAAGGTCCTGCACGTGAGATACCTGTGGCATGGACAGGAGCGGATCGCCGAGGTCGGGAACCGAGACGGCCTGCGGCTGCCGTGAACCGATGGGCATGAACACATGAGACCCACGACGATGTGGTGATGGGGAAATAGCAGTAGATCGAGAGCGACTCTTATTCAACCATCAACAGCACCAAATTTTCTATGAAACAGCATATAAGAACATAGCCAAACAAGCTCAGTCTATCCTGAAGATGGGTACATTTCCAAGAAATAGGAAAACAAAGCGAGAAAGCAGGAATCAAGACAAGCGGCAAACGTGGAAAGATGCAACACCCTGTATTTTGAACACGTGACACCTATGACTCGCCCAGCACGACCTTCTCCAGCCTGTCGCGTTCGCCGCTCTCTTCGCACATGGCACGGAAAACGCCGTGGTCGGAACCCTTGGCCCACAGATCGCGCGGTGAGCCGTACTCGGCCACGGTGCCGTCCTGAAGCACCAGGATGCGGTCAAAGTCGGCAATGGTGCTCAGGCGGTGGGCAATGACCAGCAGGGTGGCGCCGGTGAACTCCTCGCGGATGCTGCGCTGAATCAGACCATCGGTGTGCATGTCGACGGCCGATGTGGCCTCATCCAGCACCATGACACGAGGTCGCCGCACAATGGCGCGGGCCAGACACAGCAGCTGCCGCTGGCCCTGCGACAGGTTCAGACCACCCTCCGACACGGAAGATTGCAGGTCGTCAAAGATGTTGCTATTGTGGACGGCCGACGAGGCCGAGGCTGCGGACGCGGAAGAGTCGGACACCGGCGTCGTCAGGTGCACGCGCGCGAGGCAGTCCTGCAGCTCAGCGTCGGTGTAGGCATCAAAGGGATCCAGATTCGTGCGGATGGTGCCCGAGAACAGGACGGGGTCCTGGGGGATGATGGCCAGACGCGAGCGCAGATCGTGCAACTTGATCTTGCTGTTGTCGATACCGTCGACGTGGATGCTGCCCGACTGGGCCTCGAGGAAGCGGAAGAGAGCCAGGGTCAGCGACGACTTGCCGGCACCGGTGCGGCCAACCACGCCGACACGCTGGCAGCGGTCCACGTCAAAGGACACGCCCTTGAGCACTGGCGGCAGGTCGGCCGCATAGCTGACGACCAGATTGTCGACCTCGATGCGACCCTCTGTCGGCCAGGCAGCCGGCGGACTGCCCCCCTCGAGCGACTCGGTCGACAGCTCCGTGTACTCGATGATGCGCTCGGCCGCGTTCATCTGCAGCTCCACGTTGGCGTACAGTCGCACGGCCCACATGATGCTCGCTGCAAACTCCATGGCATAAGCCAGCGCGAAGCCAGCCAGGGCCGAGTCCATCTGCGGGGACGACAGCACGATGGCCGCCACCATGACCGAGAAGAAGGATCCGACCAGACTCATTCGCCAGCCGACCCAGCGGTTGAAGAGCATCATGTGCCACGTCGTCGTCGACCAGTCGTCCAGCCGCCGGTACATGCGCTCAATGTATACGCTCGGCTTGTCGAAACCGCGAATCGTGGCCACGCCCGAGAGTGCCGTTCCAAACTGCTCAAATACCGGCGACTTGGCCGTGCTCTCCAGCCGCTTGACCGGCCGCACCGCTGCGATGTACAGGAACGCAAAGTACGTGCAGGCCAGCAGCAGCAGCACTGACAGCAGCACCACAAAGTACGACACCATCAGGCCGGCGATGATCACGCCGAACACGCGGATCACTGCTGCGCCACCAAAGCTGATCGAGTTGGCCATTTGCGTGTCGATCGTGTTGAAGTCCGCCGTGAACCGGTTCAGGATCCGGCCCACCGGCACCGTGTCGAGCCAGCGGAGGGGTGACCGCAGGATGATAAAGTTGAGCTTTGCAAACAGCGTCCTGCTGGCCCGGATCGAACCGCGATAGACATAGTAGCAGCGCAGAGAGCCAAACAGTGCCGAAATCCCCGCAAGCACCACATAGATGGTCATATAGTACTGGGACGAGTGAGAGCCCGACTCGGAACCGGAGCCGGCCAGCACAGGCTGATCGAGGCCATACGAATACTGCAGATCGGCGGACTGCTGGACCACGGATCGTTGGCTCAACGCAGAAAGACCCATGGCTGACAGGTTCAGCACCGTCTCTTCATCACCGCCTTGGTAGTGGCCGGTCCAGATCCGAAGCCACCATGAGCGGCCTGCAAACACGTTAGCGAGACGACAGGAAGAACGGAGCCAGCATCACCTACTAATCGCGTTCAGCTCCAACAGCAGAAAGAACACCAGAGCCCCGGTCCAGAACGCCCAGCCACCACTGGCATTGAGATAGGCCATGTACACATGCTTGCGCACAGCTCCCTCCTCACGCTTCTCTTCCTCGACAAACTTCCGCGCCTGGCGCTCCGGCTCCTGCGGCTGTGTCGCCCTGGACGCAACCTTGTCGAGGGCACTGCCGCCGTCGGCTTCACCGCTGTCTGTGCTGTTGTCCGAGTTCACTGCCGTCGCGTCGACCGTCTCGTCCTCAGCCGCCTCCTCGGCCGTCTCCACGTGGCTCTTTGAATCTTGGTCCAGCGTGCCGTCCCTGGCTAGCTCCGACAGAAGGCCCGCGTGAGCGATGCGACCGTCGCCCAGCTCCACCAAGAAGTTGGTCCGGGGCGCACACAACGCAACGTGATGCGTCACCAGAATGCGTGTCCGACCGGCACAGAGCTCGCCGGTGAGACACTTTTCAAAGATGTGGCGACCCACGTGGGCATCGACCGCGCTGAAGATGTCGTCCATGATCAGAATGCCGGCCCGGGAGTAGATTGCCCGCGCCAGCGTGATGCGCCATTTCTATCCACCGCTCAGGTTGATGCCGTTCGCGCCAATCTCCGTATTCTCGCCGTCTGACAAAATTTCCAAATCCTTTTTGAGCGCACACACGTCCACCGTCTTGCGGTACCGGTCCTCGTCAACCGGAAGGCCAAAGACGATGTTCTCCTTGATCGTTGCGTTTTCGATCCACGGAATCTGCGCGATAAACGCCATCGACTTGGGCAGGATCCAGTTGGCCTTGGTCGCCTTCTCGTCGTGACGCTCGGCAATGGGCAGACAGTGCGGTACCTGGATGGAGCCGGCCAGAAGATCAACCTCGCCCAGAATGGCAGCCAGCAGCAGGCTCTTGCCAGAACCCGTCTTGCCAGAGATGATGGATAGCTCGCCTGCCGGAAATGTGACGTTGAGATCGCGCAAAATAAAGTGCTCGCTATCCTCCAGCTTCTCTTCCGACGGCCACGCAATGGTCGCGTTTTCAAACACAACGACATCGCCGTCCTTGGCCACCTTGTCGATGTCTGGCGAAGAGAGGTAGTCTTCGATACGCTTGATGGAGACCCATGCGTCAAGGAGATCGGTCGTCAGCTCAGGCACGACCGATAACGTCGTCTCCAGCGAACGGAAGATGCCCAAGCTGACAAATGCAACCGACGGAGTCAGCTCGCCGTGGATATACGCATACACAAGCAGACAGATCGCAGACAGGGCGATCGGACTGGTGATCCAGCAGGCCATGAGCGCCGTGTCGAACATGAACACGTTCCACACGCTCTTGAGCTCGCGGTCGCGCACCTCGCCCACCTTCCCCTCCCACTGCGGCTCGAGAGCGGAGAACTTGATCTGGCGGATGCCCTGCAGCGCCTCAGTCACAACAGCAAGCTTCTCGTCCCGGAGCTTCATCAGCTTGTCCTGCGCATCGGAGTACTTCTTTGAGAACTTGATGTTCACGGGCATGATGATGGCCATGGCCGAGAATCCGGCCAGAAGGGGAATCCAGCCGAGAAGCTGCACCAGGAATGCCAGGGACACAAAGAGCTTGAAAAAGCTAGAAGGGAAGAGGAACTAGAACGAGCAAAAATCGGACACCCGCTTTCCGTCGACGCCAATCAGGTTGACCGTGCCCTGCTTGGTCTTTTTGGCCGACTCGAGCTCATCATCCCCAGCCTCACCCTCGTCTTCGGCCGACGCTTCGGTAGGGTTGGCTGCGATGCTGGAATCAGCCACGGCAGCCTTTGCCGCCTTTTTGTTTGACTTGACGTCTTTTCTCCGCATGGCCTTCTCGAAGATCAGGGCAGATAGCTGAGCACGAATCGGAATGGCGAGCTCGGCCCACGATAGCCAAAAGACGTACGACTCCACCAACTGTTTCATAAACAAATTGTGCGATGATGGACACTCCTAGCCACAGGACCCAGATCCAGACATCTATACCTCTAGCCTCGTCGCTGCTTCGAGTCTCAAGAATACGAAGAAGCTGGAGGATAACCCACTGGGGAGCAAAGTTGAGAAAAGCACCGATGATGGTGAGAACCCACTGCATGGCGAAATCGAATGCGTGTGCCTGAACAATGGAGAGCCAGAGGCGTTCGGACGAGTAGCCGTTTTCCTTCCAAACACGCGCAACGTCCTCGGACCGGGTGTTGTGGTCAGGGCGAGGCAGATCGTCAAGATCCAGCGTCTGCTTCTTCGTCGACAGGCCGAGCAGGTCGTTGGACCAGGAGAAGGTGAAGCGGCCGTAAGCGCTGGTGCTGTACATGCGATCAACCATCTCGTCCTTGAAGTAGACATCCGGGCGACGGGGCAGCAAGATGCCTGCCATACACACGCCGACGATGGCGACGATTTCGGCGACACGGAGGCCGAAGAGCACCGGGTACTCATTCAGCACTTCATCCAAAACCTGAGAATCTTGGGTGAGAACGACAAAAGACAGCAACAGGCCGGACGTGAAAGTATAAAGTCCATAGCTGTACGCCCGGGTCGAGTTTCGGGTGAACACGATGGCAATGGCTTGGAGGAGGATGAGGTTCTAGCATTGTCAGCAACACAATCCGACGTCTTCTGTCTGGACTAGGAGCGACTTACCCAGGCAGCAGTAGCCAGCCAGTCCTCGACGAGGAAGCCGTCGTGGGCAAGGTGGAGGGTGACGAGGATGGAGGCCGATAGCGAGACGGCAGAGCCGAGGACGGCCGACAGAAAGATGGCAGCCTTGGGAAGCTTGGCAGTGAAGGCTTTTACCGAGGCGGCCGTAGCCTTGCCATCGGCATCCTCATACAGGGCGTCATCGCGCGGCTGGCGATTAAAGACCTGCAGGACCAGACCGGACACTGCGGGATAGGTAGAAAGGGCAATGACAGCCAAGGCGGTGCCAACTCCAACAATCATGGAATCATCGTGCATGATTGGCGAGGACGGTGTGGTTCGCCCAGAGGCGACAGGCCACGTTTTCCCTTTCCGATCTATATCGTCTTTTGTTTTTCTCTGCTATGCTGCTATGCTGCTATTCTTGCAGATCCAATGCAGTCTCTTGCTGCTTCGGTGAAGGACGAGCCTGAATGACCCGGACTGGAACTGGTCTACAAACGAGAGGAGAGAACGGAGGTTGATGCAGATGTAGAAGCAGATGCAACAATGGTGAAGGAGTGCCAGGAAGGAGCATGCCTGGGCCAGTAATATGGGAGAAAGACGAATATGCGAAGAGGACCGAAAAAAGAATTGCCAAGGCGAAGCATCAAGCGCGACGCAGATTGGGTTACTTATTCAGTCAAGCGTGCTCCACTGAGAGCTGGAGTGGATAGATAAGATCGTCAATACAGTACACAATGATGGCATCAAACGGGGGGGGGGTGGTGGTAGATCCAGACAAGAGCTAGATGTGCCGCTTGAGTGCCACGAGAGGCAAAAGAGCAAAGAGGCAGGAGACTACGATACAAGCGGTTCGCCATTGACTCATCGGCGAGATAGGAAGGGGCTTCCAGCACCATGTCGCATAGACATTCAGTCCGTGCAGAAAGCAAGAAGACTCGACGGCGGCTTTGCGTCTCAAACTCGTTTGGGTAGGGAAACCACAGCAGCTCACCTGCATGTATCGTGGCTGCCCCGCTAGGTAAAGGGGGGTGGGTGAACTTCCCTCCACGGCAAGAGCGTCCCGCCACTTCGCCGATGCCTGCGAAAGTACGAATAGTCACGGACCCGTTGCAGACATGAGTGAAAAGTCTGTACTCCGTACGGTCTTACAAATCGAGCCTGCGACGGTTCCAGGCACCGGCGCAGAGCCGGCAAGCTATCTGGCAAGAAAAAAGTTGTTCAATACGAGACAAAGACGTATCTTAGCCCGGCGATAAGACCCGAAAGTCGGTCAGGGTAAAATGTGCCCTTGCCCGACTGGGAAGGAGCGGTTGAGCACTGCGACTTCAACCGGGGATTTAGGTTTTTTTTGCCGTCCATCCCTCCGCCTTTTCAATCCCTTCCTCGTAAGGACATCAAGCAGCAGGCGCGTCTGGATCGCGTCAGTTGCGGCTGCTCGATCCGACGCTGTCTCTGTAAGATGCATGGGACAATCGGGCGGTTTATCTTACGTAGAAGCGTCTCGCAGCGGTCGAATCCGGGGTTTGTACGGAGTAGGCCGGAGCAATTGACTCGTGGCCAACCTGTCGAAGTAACAGGGGTCTTGGTCTGGCTTGCCGTGGTGTGGCCCACAGTCGGCACGGAGCAGCGGTGACTTGCTTCCGCGCTGGAGCGAGAGTGTGTCCGCGCGTAAGTCCACTGTATGCTCGTATCTCCTCGGCAAGCCGCCATGTTGCGAGTCATTCGTCTATCTGACAGGCGTACAGAGTAAGCACGGAGGATTCATCGTCCACCCGGCACGACAAGATGGTTGCAAGAGGCTCCTGCTTGTAAGATGCATACGCACAATGACTCCTGATGTGTTAATGGCAATCACACCTTCTCGAGTCAGAGCATGCTGCAGTCATGCTTTGCATCATCTCGTGACCCTTTTCCTTTTGTGATCGCGTCTGGCGGGCGGGACGGCCAGGATCGCAGACGGCCGGGCGAGCCGCGAGCAGGTCTGAGCAGGATCACGCTTGTCTGCAGGATATGCGTGATCGGGAAGACGGAAACAGGGACGGGAACAAGGAGAAGTGAAAGAAGCAAAGGGGAAAGAGGCAAAGGACAAGAGGAAAGTAAAAGAGAAAAGATTAGAAGAAAATATGAAGGGAACCCGAGGAAAAGAACGAGACCAGAAACACGAGTAAAAAGGGATGACCAGAATGGAAGACTAGGCGCTGCAGTCTTTTCTCGGCGTCGCGATTTCTCGTTGGCCTTGCGCCAGCTCAAACGAGGCAAACGAGGCTGCAATGCAGAGACGCGCCGTCGGACCAGAGAGGAATCCGTGCTCTGTTGCCGTGTCGTCTTGCCGTAGGCAACTGTTGCTGTGCAGACGAGCTGCCCGCGCCTTCAGCTGCCTGTAGGGAGGCGCTTGTTGAACAAAACAGCACGTATGGAGTACAGAGCACAGAGCACAGAGCAGCACGGGAAACACGCATTTTCGGACCAATCACGTCGCCTGCGCCCACTCTCTGCTAATCGGTTTACACGGCCCTGACGCGACGCCCTGCTGCTTGGGCGGGCAGGAGCGAGCCAGCGCTAAAGACGCAGCAGCCAGAAGCCAGCAGCCAGCAGCCAGCCAGCTAGCATCCAAGGCCAGCTTCACGTTTTTTGTCCGGTCCCATCCACTTGACGGCATCTCCACCACACCAAGAAAGTGTCTGGCGGTCGCTCAGCTCCGTCTTGCATCTCAATCAGCGTCTGTCTGCGCACATCGGGGCCGTCGGCAATCGCATTCACCCGTCGACCTTGCCGTTCTTCAACAAAGCATCCCTCCTCTTTGGCCGGTTGCGAATCCGACAGCAAGCCAGCCAGCCAGCCTCGAACGTCTCTGTCTCGACTCGCCCCGTCCGACAGCCTTCTCGTCCGGCCATCCATCGTCACACTCACGACGAGCTGCGCTGCTGCCGCACCCGATGCCGCCATGAAGAGCACGCCTCTGATCATCAATTGGCATGACCAGAATGCCCCGATCTATTCGGCCCACTTTGAGCCGCACGGCAAGAATCGTCTGGCCACGGCTGGGGGCGACAACAATGTTCGGGTAGGTGGACGTGTCGGCAGCGCCAGCAGCGACTGGCAGCTCCGGCGTCCGTTCGTTTGGGTTCAGAACGGGCAACTGACCGGGTCGGTCCCATGTGTAGCTCTGGAAGGTCGAGTCCAACGGCGAGAACAGAAAGGTCGAGTACCTGTCGACGCTGGCAAAACATACGCAAGCCGTGAACGTGGTTCGCTGGAGTCCAAAAGGTGTGTCTGCTCATCGCTTCCCTTCCTTTCTTCTCCTTTCTTCTTCTCTTCCCTTTCTCTCCCTTCTTCTCCCTCCTCGTATCCCCCTGCTAACACCTCAGGCGAGCTCCTGGCTTCTGGTGGCGATGACGGCAACGTCATCCTCTGGGTGCCGTCGGAAAGCTACCACCCGACCTTTGGCAACGACGGGTACGAGGACAGGGAGACGTGGCGGACAAAACACATGTGTCGGTCGTCGGGGGCCGAGATCTACGACCTGGCCTGGTCGCCAGATGGGTCGCACTTTATCATCGGCAGCATGGACAACATTGCTCGCATATACAATGCTGCCAGCGGCGTGCTCGTCCGCCAGATCGCCGAGCACAGCCATTACGTGCAGGGCGTGGCCTGGGACCCGCTCAACGAGTACATTGCCACACAGTCGTCGGACCGATCGGTCCATGTCTACTCGCTCAAGGCCAAGGACGGCCAGTACATCCTGACGGCCGGCCTCGACGACAAGGCCCCCAAGTTGGCCAGCCACATTAAAGCTGACCTGCCGCCACGTCGTCTCGCGTCGCAGAGCCCGGTGCCGCCGGAGCCGATCCTGCCGTCGTCGTCCAACGGCCACCGGACCCAGTTGTCGGTCATGGATGCTGTACCACCCATGGGCTCGCCAGTCCCGTCCGCTCCCGGCACCCCTACGTCTGTGGCCCTGCCGATGAACCCTCCCAGTGTCGTCAGCCACAGCCGACGCTCGTCCTTCTCTTCACGGCGGTCCGTCTCGCCGGCACCCTCGACCATGCCGCTGCCGGCTGTCATGCCCATGGAGGCGTCGCCGAAGCTGCACATGTCCAGCTCCAACATCGGCCTTGGCTCGTCGGCTGTCGGCATGAAGAACGCCAATCTTTACGCCAACGAAACCCTGACCTCCTTCTTCCGCCGCCTCACCTTCACGCCCGACGGCAGCCTACTGTTGACACCCGCCGGCCAGTACCAGACCCAGCACCACCACGAGGGCTCGAAGCCGTCGTACGAGATCATCAACACCGTCTACATCTACTCGCGCGGCGGCATCAGCAAGGCTCCCATTGCCCATCTACCCGGTCACAAGAAGCCGTCGGTGGCGGTGCGCTGCTCGCCCATCATCTACACCCTGCGTCCGTCGGCCGCGTCGACAAAGCACATCACCATCGACACATCCTCGGCCGAAGAGCCCATCATCCCTTCGCTTCCCGACCCCATCTCCAATCCGACCTCGGTGCCGACCTCGACAGCCTCCGTCATGGATCCGCCACCACCGCCACCACCGCCGCCACAGTCTCACGCATCCGCCGCAGATCCTGCCACCCCAAACGCCAAGATACTCGGCAGTGCTGAGACGGTCGCCACAGCGGCGACGCCCGGTCCCAAGTCTGCCTTTGCCCTGTCCCATCGCATGATTTATGCCGTGGCCACACAGGATTCCATCTTGCTGTATGACACCCAGCAGCAGACGCCTCTCTGTGTCGTTAGCAATCTGCACTGTGCCACGTTTACAGATATAACATGGTAAGTTTGGAAGCCGCTTTCCTGGATGAGCTTGTCTTTCAACCCATGCTGACCCGAACAGGTCGAGTGACGGCCTGACACTGCTCGTCTCCTCATCAGACGGCTTCTGCTCCACACTCTCCTTTACGCCTGGCGAGCTGGGCCAGCAGCACATGGGCGAGACAGCACTGGTCCGAGAGTGGAGCCGGCAGGCTGCAACCGGCGCGTTTGGCGATATGACCGTGGTAGGCACACCTGCTTCGGCTGCAGCGACGGCGGCGGCAAATGCGGCAACTGTGGCGGCTGCAGCTGCGACGTCGTCCGCTCAAAATACGCCCATTCCCACGCTCACGTCGATATATGTGCCTACGTCTCCCTTTCCTAGTGGCAGTGGCCACCAGCATCGCAACTCGGCCAGCTCGTTCACGGCACCATCGCCGCCGGCCACGGCGTCCTTTGCTAGCTTTGGAGGGAGCAGCAACAGCAGCGCGAATGGCGGAAACAGCAACACTGCCGCTTCCACCGTAACGATGCGTCCCTCATCGCCGGCCCGGTCGAACTCGGCGTCGTCCGTGCTGACACAAGCATCGCTGGCCGCCCTGAACAACCCGCCGCTGGTGGTGGGAAGCATGCCGAGCCTGGCTGCCACGGCTGCTGGTGGTACTGGCAAGACAAGCTCAGCTCTCGCGGCTGCAGTTGCCGCAGCCGCCACGCCACCCGAAACGCCACGCAACCGTGCTAGCAGCGTCACAAGCAGCGTGGCCGGGAGCGTGACTGCTGCAGCCACAGCATCGTCGCTGTCAGTGCCGGTGACGACGGGCACGAAGCGGGAGGCCGGCGCCGAGGGCGAGAAAGAGGACGTGTCAGTAGTGACGGGAGAGCCGGAGCCGAAGAAGCGGCGAATCGCGCCGACGCCTGTAATCAGCGGTAGTGACGGCGGAAGCAGTGCGTGACGGCGACAGTGAGGATGCGAGTCGAAAGCCAATTGCAGAGAGATATTGATTTCAAAGCAGGGAGTTTTTTTCGGGGAGGGGAGGCGCTATCAGTTTCATTCGGATTTTGCTCGTCTTTGGTGCGCTCTTTCTCTCCTTCTATCTCGTTTCCTCTCTCGTTCTTTCTCGTTATTGCTTTCCTTGCTCGTCCTTGTATCCCTGCTGCCAGGCAGATGAAAAGTATGGGGGCAAAAGAGGCCATGGCCAGGGAGTCCTACAGTTACCTAATCGGGGTTTTATTTTTGCTTATGACATACGGAGTACAGCAGCGCCGACTCGCAGGCGGCCTTGCTGACCAAGATTGAACAAAATCAACACCACTCCGTCCTTGTGCGCACGTGACCTCTCCGATGTCTGTCCTACTTCTGCTGCTGCTGCCAGATGACATAGATCAAAACGCTCGGCCAGAGCACAAACTGCAGCACCATGGTCGCCAGGATGGCCCGTCGCTGCCGCCGGCTCAGCCGGGCTACTTCGCCGCGCGTGTACCACGAGAGTCCACAGTCGAGGCGACCCATGTGCACCATGACCGACAGGAAGGGGAGCAGCACGCTGATGGCCATCATGTATGCAAACCACACCCGTCGCCGCCGTCGGCCCTCCTCGGAGATGAAGGCTTCCGGGTCCGTCGGCACGCCCGTTCGCTCCAGATCATCCGTGTTGACCGATGTATGGGCTACAATGTCCCGCAGCTCGGGGTCTGTCCCCTGCTTTTTCAGCGTCGGCTGGCCGTTCCACTGCCGAGACGAGATTCGCTGCTGTTGATAGTCCCATGGGTACAGTCGCGGTGTGTTGCTGCGCCTCTCCGGCGTCGGGCATAACTTCCTCTGCACTTGTTTCTGCTGCTGCTGCTGCCGCTGCTCGAATCGATACACGATGTTGTCCAGCCGGAGCCGTGTTGCTGCGGACTTCAGAACCTGAGAAGCACTCCGGGAACTGTCGAACGGCGTCACCGTCTCCCACGACGTATCGGGTACCGAGGAGCCCATGTTCGATGTTTGGGTAGAGCCACGGGCGATGCCATGACGCTGGCTCGAAAGCTGCTGCATCCGCCGATGGGCAGGGATCGGGGTGCCGATGGACGGGAAGCGTGATGTCGGCCTTCTCAGCTCTGGGAGTTCTTGTGTTCTCTTGATGGCTTGAAGTCGTGCGGCTTCTGGAAGCGGTATCAGACTGAACGGAAAGCTGTGGGTGGTGCCGCTCGAGCTCTGAGACGAGCCGGACTCTCTCAGGTCAACGTCTGCATGGGAACCTGCAGCTCTCCCGTCAGGCGATGCTGTTCCATTGTCCGAATCGCTTTTCAGTCCCTCCACATCTGCAGTGTCGGCACACAGCCCTGCGCAGTCCGACGCCTGCGAGACGCGAAAGTCGAAGCGAGCCCTGGACCTCTCGGACTTCGTATGCATGGCCTGCAACGGAATGGAAGAGAAGCCGTGGGTCCGTCGCGTGCTCAGCCGGCGAAAGGGGTTGGGCACTGCTCTGGCCAGAGCGGCTGCCGTCTCGCTTCCCGAACGTGGGCCGGGCGAGAACCTGAGAGACGGATCCTGGGAAAGTCCGTTCACACGGTGCACACGTTGCTTTGGTACAATGACAGGAATCTTAGCACCGTTCAGGTCGTGGATCCGTAGGCTCTCCTCAGATTGCTCGTCTTGGCCGCTCGACGGTTGCACAATCCTGTCCGTAGACGCGTACTCGTCAAACGGTATGTCTTCGAAGCTGCTCCCGTCTGAAACATCGGCCAGGCTGCTTCCAGTAATCTTAAAGTCGTGAAAGTTGGCAGAAAGTCGGGGACCGACTGCCGCCACCAGGCCAGAGGACTGGCCAACGCTCCCGAAGCCGGCCGCGCTGGTCACCACAGTTTCCCACTCGTCCCTTTCCCCAGTGGTATTCTCTCTTCCCGCGTCGTAGAGGACGTCGGTTCTCACTGCGGTCTTGGTCTTGGGCGGGTGCTTGCCCTTTCGGCCCCCCTCTGGAACATCGCTCACGCTCTTCAGGTTGTGTCTGCCCGGCAGCTGAGGCGAGTCTTCGTCTTTCGAAATCACCCTCACTTCGTATGTGCCACGTTCCACCTCCCAGTTGGGCTGAATGATTGATGTGTCGTAAAATTCGTCGGCGTCCTCTGGTGTCAGTGCCCGGTCGCACTGCCCATCCAGTGTAGATTCTGGCCGGCTATGCTTCTCGCGGTACTCTTTGGGAATCGGAGGCGGCCTAAGAGAGATCTGACAGGCGGCTGGCGTCGTACCATCGTCCTTGCTGTACAGGGTCGCTCTGCTGTGCGAGTCCAGGCTGCCTATGTGCTTCAATGCCGCGCTCACCTCTCGCTCCTTTGATGGTTGTAGGAATATTTTGTAGGGATTCTTGTCATACCGGAAAGGATCATCATCCGAATCTTCTGTCATCCCATCCGCAGACACAATTGCCCCACTTTTGTAGCTCGTCGGACTGTTGTCGCCTCGGATGGATTGCACGCGCAGAGGCATGGGAAACAGCATGTTCTCACGGTGGGCCGAGGCGAGATCTCGGGGCTGGTATTCATCTCCGGGGTCACCATGGTCCTCCACAATCTTTGGCTCAGATGAAAAGCAGTCTCCTTTCGTATTTGCAGAGATCGACCGCCCAGTATCATATGTATGAAAGCCTAGACGGGTGGTGGCCCCTTCACGGTCAGGAACAGCTTGTGGTGTGTGCAACGATAGCCTCTCTTGGTATTCTCGCGTACTTGTCTCGACTTTGTCGTCTTCGGTCGGTGAAAGGTCCATATGCGACTGGTAGAGCTTATAGATTCTCTCCACCATGCTGTCAGGCGTCTCCGGCTGTCCCAACGACACGTCGTCAGAGGAGTTCCCGTGAAGACCAGAAGTCGGAGTGCCGTCCGGACCACAGCCCAAGTCAGCCTCTCTATCATCGCTGACCAAAGACCAGGAGGAATCGAATATGTCGTGTGAAGCAACCTCGTCGGAATAGGCAACGCTTCCGACATCAACACTTTCGGCATTGGACGATGCACGATCCTGCGATTCGCTGCTGTTGGAACAGCTCTGCGACAGGCTGTCTGAGCAGCTGTTCGGAATGTTGCGTCCTGTGATGTTTCTGTGTGCTTCGTTGAGGTCCTGGAAACGGCAGCCACGCGTCAGTTTGCCTCGCAAGTGGGCTTCTTCACACTGTTTGTTCTCTGGTAACTTTTCAAACAGAGAGCTGGTGATATTCCCGTCTTTCTGATCACCCAGGCCATCGAGTCCATTTTTCACACTGTTCATCGTTCCTGTTCTCTATCTTTAGGCCATCAAAGCGAAGATTGAAGATTGAGTGAAAGACGGGGTGAAATGGGACGGTTGCAGATTCAATTGTGTTCTCTTTTAGAAGGTGCAAGAAGGGGTAAGAACTTTTAGGCAAACAAAATAAATACCCCGAAAGCAAGGACCGAGATTTGGAAAAATACGCAGGTCCCTATAGCTACGCAAATGGAAACGGGCGGTCACAAAATAGCAAAGATGTAAGCAAAGGGACCTCAACGGCCCGTTTAGAAAATTGGGCGTGGGCAAATATACAACTCAAGGATAGGGATTTACCGCTCCCAACTCTCTTAAGGAAATCATCGGCCTTTTGATACAACAATCCTGGCCACTCGGATTTTGCTCTGGCTTCTAATGTGTTACTGTCGAGCAAAGTACATAGTTTGGGCCGCTTTCAGAAACGCCTGCGATTAATCGGGGAAAATCGTGAGATCACGACCTTTTGGCCCAATTCAAACTCGTCTGTTTTTTTATGGTAATCCAAATACGCTTCCGCTCATACTTCATAGTATACCAGAAGAGCATGGCAAACTTTATGTGGCTTTTAAAAATCGTTTAGGCTGTTATAGTGTTGTATTTTGAAAATTTGACAACATTTTATATTACGTTGTCTGTCATACTGGCGTAGACAAGAATAAGCAGACCAAAACAACATAAGCTTTTATTTTGTGTTATACTAATAAAAAATTATCAACCTGTATTAGATTTACGGAAAAAGAGTCACCCTACCCCAGCTTGATTACGGAAATCATCAACCCTACGAACTACTTGAACGGAAATTTAACAACGGAATTACCAAGATTTATACGTAACAACATGCCGGGTTTCATCCAGAAAAATCGCGTAAATCACTATATTTCATCTGCTTCAGTCTAAACACAGTCACCCATCAATTGCTGGAGATGGTGTTTTTCCTCCCCTGCTCTACTCCTCGCCGTGCAACCGATCCAGGAGCCGCTGCCTCAAGCTTCTGCTCCAGAGTCGATATCTGCTGACCGAGGGCCATGTGCCACGCCTGGAGATGCCGCTCGAGAGACTCCTCGCTAATGTCGTTCCATCTCGACTGGGCTTGCGGCTTCATGGCCTGTCGTTTCAGCTCCTTCAGAGCTACTCTGATCCCGTCGGTCTTGTCTTTCACCTCGATGACGAATGCGACAGCTTTGTCTCGGTGTACATCAACACTATCTAGCAGCCGAAGCTGGTCCTGGAACTCCTTCAAGACGTGTGTCTTCTTAAGCCATTTTCGCTTCTCATCCCCCCGGGCTTGGTTGATCTGTTTCTCGTCGGCTCTCGTGAGAGTGTAAATTCGTTTCGTGTCCTGTCGGAGAATCTCCAACTCGGCCAGTGTCCTCTCCGTGATCTCAAGGACCTCGTCGATTCGCTCGATGGAGATGCTGAGAAGCTGCAGGTACTCGTCGAAAATGGTCCTCAACGCTTCCGCTGCGGGTGTGTGGTCTCCGCTGAAGATGTTTAAGAAATTCACAGTCTCCGTCCAGATGGACGGATTCAGGTTCAGAGAGGTGAGGCGCCGCATCATCGAATTGTCGACGTTAACGAGAGCCTGACCGCTGGACTGCACCTGGGCAACGAACTCTCGAAACGTCGCAGCAGCGCTGTTGACATCACGGTCGAAGATGCCAAACTCGGTGCTGAGCTCGTCACGAGACGGCAGGTTGCTCTGTGCCACTTCGACCTGCAGATCGGCGGCTTTGTTGGCTGAGCGCAAGAGATCGAAAGGGATTGTCCGGCGCTCGCCGACAAACTGCAGGATTTCACTGTAGTCGCTCTGCGGCTTCATGATCTCCTTGACTCTGGATGTCCCAACCTTGGAGGCTTCGGCCTTCAAGGACACTTGGCAGACATGCAGCATCGGCATAAGGGGTAGACGGCAGCCGAAGACTAGCGCCTGCTCGACGGCAGGGAAGATAAAGTGTTGTACTGTAGCGATCAAGAGCCACACAGCGACCAGAGCTGTGAGAAACGGTTTGGCGAGGCGCAGCGCATTGCGGACCAGGTCGCTCGTGTAAGAGGCTATATTGTAGCTGACGACAAGTGCATCCTCCAGGTTCGCTCTGAAGATTACCGGCTCGCTAGATGTTGTCGGCCCCTCCCTCTTTGGCTCCCTGATCTGGCCTTCCCTGACAATGGCCAGGCTGGGCTCATCGTCATCGGTAGTTGGAGCTCCTTCGTTGTACGAGGTCCCTCCGTTTGGTTCTCGTGCCTTTGGCGCTGTTTTCTTTGGTGTAGTTGTGGCAGGCCCATAATTGTCGACGAGCAGTACGCTTTCTGCAGACGACATTCCATGATCAGAGAAGGTAACATCGTCGTGTGTGTCTTCTGCCTGTTTAGACTGCCTCCTCGAACGGGCTGCCCTGGTTTGTTTCGGCTTTCTAGTTCGTAATCGGGACTGTGCTATAGTAGGAGGCTGGCTTTTTGGCACTCCATAGAGGTTACGGTAAGACGATTCAGAGTCCATATTGGGCCTTGTATGCTGTTAGTGGAAACCAACTTACACGGCAATGTGCATGTTTGACACCAGCTTACCAGGGTGCAGTCTTTGCCTTGGGAAAGATCATGTACAAGCGGAAGTATGCGAAGAAGGGGTAGTAAGTGTGAAAGTGAAGAGCGCCAGGCCCAACGACGCATCCGGCTCAAAAGAGCATATGTCCGTTTGGGTCGAAATCAGGGAGAAAGCGACCCTTGTGGTTTAATCACAATCACGGCGAGTCATATTTTTAGCAGTATGCGAATGGTGAGTATGTATGGTTCCGCCACTTGCCAACCTCCACCAGGTAGGGTCCTCACAAGGTTGTGCATGCAAGCTCTAGCTCTAGGAAGAGCGAAATCAGCTTGGGCTGATGCTGTCATTTCTCAGATCATTTGCTGTACGAGCATAATATCAATATGTCATGTGACGGTAAAGCAGTACTGGGTACACAGTGCTAGTATAAAACGGCTGAGCTGTCATTACGGTGCTGATAAGTGGGTATGCTGTAACATCACACAGCCCCACCTCGGCCATCTGCTGCAACATACTGCAGCAGTGCCGGCAGTCGCTGCCGGATTATCTATCCCGTTCGCTCCTTTGCCTCTTTGCATCTTTACCAAGATCACCAGCACAAGCATCGACCTCCACTGTTGCTTTCTATCTGCGTCGCGCTGCCTGTTCTCCTCAAGCTGTAGTTCCGGCCTCGGCATCCTCACTCGTTTTAGTGGTCGGATTCTATTTAGTTGTAATGAGATCGACGTTTCGGCTATAACAGTTGTGCTCGCCACAGCTCTGCTTGCTGTCCGGTGGCCGACATGGCTCCCAGCTTAGAAAGTCTCCCAGTGGAGATCTTCCTCCAGGTCATCTCGTGTGAGTGCTTCCCAGAGTCCCGCCTGATGCGCACGCATAGCTCTGACAAGTAGTTCAGATCTGGAAGTATTGGATATAGTGAGGCTGCAGCTTGTGTCCAAGCAACTGCTCCGTACTGGCCGGGATGATGGCTTCTGGCGACTGCGAAGCTTCGACGACAGCACGTATCTCGAGACACTCATGCGGCGTCGCATGTTGTTTGGGCAGCGCAGCGTCGGTGTCGACGAGCAAAGAGCCCCTGCATCGCCAACGTCCGTGGAACAAGAACGCTCTCGCGAGAGGTTCCGTATCATGGCTAACTGGGACCCGGTCTATCCGGGCGAGAAAGTTTCGTGGTACGACGAATACATCCAGCGGAACGCGCCCATCGTGATGAACTGGTTCCAGCTGCCGCGGCACAGCGACAGCAGCTCTTCCAAGGAAGTGGCCGTGGAGGCTCGTGGCGTTGCGCTGTATCGACCAGACGGTGCCGATGGCAGCCTGCTGGCTGTCTCGCCTCTCGACGACGGGTCTGTTTGTCTCTGGGACGTCAAGGGGACCAGGGGCCAGGCCGGTGCCATCGTTGCCCAGAGTGCTCCCGGCATCCTCTTCGGTGGGCTGCTTTCCGACCTAGGCAGGGCGACGAGGAGGCAGAGGCCTCAATTCACCACAACTGAATGCGTCAGCGTCGACAGCCAGCGACATCTGGCCTTTCTCTCTGTCCAGAACCGTTGGTTGACTCCGTGCATGTCCATGCATACCGTGCACAACGGCGGCTAACTCTAGGTGGCAGGTCTGGTCGAAGTGGATCTACAGAGGCTCGTCGCAACAGGCGAAGAGACGTTTCCCTGGGCCATCACTGCTCTATCCACATCGCACCCTACCGTGCCTCTGTCAATCGGCATGCACCTAGGAGTGCACATGCACGATACAAGAGTGAGAGCAGGAAATGGGACGTCAAAGCACACTAGCCGAAACTACGGTGGCGATGACGACGACGACGACCGTTGCCAGCCCCGATGTGCCCCAGCACCCCATCCGGAACCAGGGCCGATATCGATTCTCCACCTCCAGCGCCCTGGGTCAGAGGAGGACATGTCCGACGACATCTACACTGCCGGGCGGCTGCCCATCATCCTCCACTACGACCGGCGGAAACTCTCGTCCATCAAGGGCACGATTTATTCGGGGGCCAGCCTATGCAGCATGACGTCCTTTCCGTATCCCTTTTCCGCACTGGACTCGGATCTCCGACACGAAGGGGTCCTATCTCTGGGCCAGGTCGAGAGGGCCAAGGCCGTGCCGGGCGGACGTACGATAGTGGCATGCGGCGAGTACAAGTCCAAGGGCTCGCTGGAGATGTATGGCATCGGCATGGTGCCCGAGGCCGCCACAACCAAACGGCCAGAAGGGGTGCAGTACCGCGAGAACTCGACACTGAAGAACCGGCAGACGTCGTCGTTCTCCAAAATTCTGGCCGTGACCACTCACGGCACGCGGCTGGCCTTTGCAGACGGGGCAGGGCAGATCAAGTGGTTTGAGCGGGACGGTGTTACTGAAGTGCGGAGTTGCGCCATCGATGGGGGAGAGAGCAAAGAAATGGCGCCGTCTCTGTTTGGCCCAGCAGCACAGGACTCGGGCGACATTGCAAGGAAGCTGCTGCCCACCCAACAAGCCGGCGGCTCCGGGGACAACGAGCTGCTGTTCTGGACGGGAGAGCGTCTCGGACTCGTCAGCTTCTCGTCCAAGCCCGGCTTCGAGACAGACGACTTTGTCGACTTGGCCAAGACAGCCCGAGAGCGTGCAGCGGAGACGCAAGAGCGGGCCTACAGCGCTAGGATGCGCCAGCTGCTCGAGAAGCAGGCTAGCGATGTCCGGTTCGTGCGCAACCTTGGCGTGGGGAGCGGCCGGAGAGACTGGTGACGCAGGCTCTCGCGCATATGGAGCGGCAGCATCCGTCTGGCGCTGCTGCAGACTGACACGTAACCACAGCGCAGTGCTTTGCTGTACATTCGGGGGCCGACAACAAGGCGCGTCGATGCTACGCTACCACATCGCGGCTACTGACTGGATGTTTCGGGCTACGATGGAGCAGGTGGGCAAAATGGTAGACCTGTCGTTCGGCGACGTCGCTCTCTTGGTGGAAATGGATGGTCGGCTCGTCGGTTTTGCCCTGTTCGTTTTTGCCTCTTTGACGACACGGGAGATGACACTTTCCATGGCATCGGTCTGTATTCGTTCTCCAGTTTTCACTCAACAAAAAAAAAAGGCCTCATGGCGTTTTGGGCTTCCGGAGCGCGATGGTGTGTACGGGCAGAAATGGAAAGAATGGGCCAATCGTCGAGATATCCTTGTGCTCAGTGCCCAGATCCTTGGAAGCCGGCATCGTCCCGTCAAGAGGAAGGATTCGTACCCGGGTTCACCTGACCGCAGATCGCCCGAACAGTTGAGTTGTAGCACGTCTTATCTCGCCAGCAGAATGTTGATTACGTCGTAGAGCTGTTTTTTTTTTTTTTTTTGCTTTCTTTCTTTATTTTTTTCTTCTTTTTTTTTTCTTCTCTTTCTCCGGGCAGAAGACGGGGCTCAACACTCGCTGTAATTGGCTGCCCTATCTACTGGCTGGCCGCCAATCAGCAGGCTACACAAATTCGGTGCAATGCAGGGCCAAGCGTGCTAGAAAGCCAAAGGCCAGCCAAGGGAATGGCGAGCCTGTGATTGTGTGAGGCGCACTCACCGTCTCTCAGTGCGGACTGTCTGTCTGTCCGTACTCGCACTCACCGCTACCCAGGACCGTCGTAAAGGAGAAGAGAGAAAAAGAAAGGCAAAAAAAGAGAAAGAGAAGTAAAACGGTAAAAGGTACAGGCAGAGTCCAAGAAGGCAAGACCCCCCGCGGCCGCAGCACACCGCCACGCAGCTTCCTCTGTCGCTCTTACCAGAAGGAGAGATGGGTGCTGCAGCTGCTCGCTCGATAAGTGTGCCCTTTCTGCGGCAGTTGTTCGTTGCCTCGAACCATTGCAACCAGTAAATCACCTTTCCAACGAAGCCAGCCCCCCTTTTCCATGCACGTCCCAGCATCATCACTTGGTTTTGCATACACGAAAAACAGGTGGCAACGATGCGCCTTGCCACACTCCCCGCGTCCTATTTGCCAGCCTGCACAGAAAATATGGAGCCGCCCAGGAATGGAGCGGACGGGCCCTTTTCACAACAATAGGGGTCCTCTTGTGGCCTTTGTTAACTGGAAGCCCACAAAGTCGAGGAGCAGGGCTGACAGCGAACACACGGCCACCGGAAGCATATCGAGCATGTATCACATGCGGCTCACGAGTTCAGGCTGCCATTTGCACACTCTTCCTCGCTGCTCCGTCGGCTGGTGCTGATCATGAGGGCTTTGGCTATGGAGACGTGAGGCCGACGGCCGGAAAGACAGTAGACAACGCGGAAGCCATCGTGGCTACATTGACAATTGGTTTGGCCTCTTTTCCCATTTCCCTTCTCTATTATGTAATACGCATGCCTGCCCTCTCCCGATTTTACCCTCATCCTGCCTTTCTTAAGTCCTTCGCCACACCCGCGCACCAGTTCGGCCTCCTCGAGCATCGCTGCCCAATGTCTGCCCCAATGCCGTTCTGGGTTCGAGGGGGAGGAGGCGAGCCTCAGGCTTCGGCCCACGAGGGCTACGGCGGCTATCACGACCGAGACAAGAGGCCGAGGGAGCTGGCCCCATTCGACAGCCGGCAGCCAGACAGCTATAGCGGTTGGCGCGAGGCCCAAGGCATCAACCACCCCTTCACACGACCGCCAAGCGCTTCGCAGGATTTCCGGCACTCAGTCAGTTGCGCGGACCCGCCGATTTCCGGAGAAAGACCTGTACTGCTGACACTGATCTCCATGATAAGGACCCCTACCCCCTGCCACCACCGTCTCCGTTTCGCGTCTCAGCCACGCCCTCGCCACACCCCGTAGCCAGACGATGGAGGGGTGGCTCGGACTTGAAGGCCTCGTTTGCGGTCCAGCACCTGCTGGCCGAGCCTTGTTACGGCTCTGCACCGGCGGACACGACCTATGCCGGTCTGTACCGCAGCGAGCTGGAAAGCCAGGGCAGGGCAACGCCCGACTTTGTCGACTTCCGGCATCGTGATCCGGGCCGCCAGGCGATACATCCGACTCTAGCACAAGCCTTCGAGTCGTGCTATCTGCCGAACCCGCCGCATTCCCGACCGTCGTCCCATGTCCAGCCGGCTTCGCTGCCGCGGCCGACGCAGAGCTATGCCGACTGGCAGAAGCAGAGGGAGGACTTGCAGTTTGCCAACGCCGCATCACGCAACAGCCCACAGCCACAGCCACAGCCCGAACAGCTGCACCTACCGTACCGGTCGCACTTGCACAACACGGACACGCCTGAAGGTAGTGACATTGGCTGCGATGCCGACAGAGACCTGGACGGTCGGCTCTTGTCAGACGACGAGGCCGTGAGCAGTGTGACCCGCTGTCTGTTCGGCTTCAACAGCCGGAACCCCGCGTCTCGACATGCCCGCATCCTGCTGGCGCTCATACATCCCAAGACGGCCGGGGCCGAGTTTGAGCTGGACAACTGCGCGCTGGAGAGCATCTTCCTGGCGGCAAACGAGATATTTTTCAACGGGCGGCTGACACACCGCGTGCGATGGGGCTGGTCGAAGCCCGGGTCGAATGCCGAATACGACGGCAACATCATTGGGCACACGGCCCTGCGCAAGGCCAAGATCGGCGGGTTCGAGACTTTTATCCTGCTGTCGACGCCGATCCTCTGCAACCCAGAATACAACCGGCGGCTGCTCATCTCGGCATTCCTGCACGAACTCATCCACTGCTATCTCTTCATCTGCTGCGGCTGGAGTGCCAGGAAATCCGGCGGCCACACGGACGGCTTCCGGGCCATCGCCAACATGATCGACGAGTGGGCGGGCCGAGAACATCTCCATCTCTGCCACGTAGAGGCGGACTTGGAGCGGTTCCGCCAAGCACCGGATCCGGTCATCGAGCAGGACGGCCACCCGACCAAAGGCGGGGGGTCGTTCTGTGACAGACTCACGGGGTGTTTTTCCCGACGGAGCTGCCCTCAGAAACTACGTTGAACGTTGCTCTCCTACGTACCTAGTCACCCTCCCTGCTTGGGGTTTCTCTCCTGTCATTGATAGTGTTTGCGGCATTGGTCTTGCATCAATGTGGCGTTGATTAGTTTCTTATAGTTCTGGCATCGGAAAGCGTGTGTTTCTTGGATTCTTGGCATAATACCGTACTTGTATACCCAGGTATAGGATCAATGTAACTGTATACTATTATATGCGCTTGTCTCGTGTCATCATTACTATGTGGTAGCTTGTATACAACACCAACAACAAACCGGTCTCTGCTCCTGCACATGCTATGGGCCGGCGGCCGAGCCGTCTTCGGGGGAGTAGATGGCGTCGCAGCAGAGCTGGGCCATTTTTTTGAAGAAGCGACGCCACTCGAGCGGATCGCCCTTGTACTTGATGAAGCGGACCTCGAGCAGCTGGGACGGCTGCAGCTCGGAGCCGTCGTCACCGTAGCCGGGAAGGGCGAGCTGGCACCAGTCGACGGCGATTTCGCCATGGAGGGACTGTCTGCGGCCGTCAACAACACGGACGTGGATGCGGGCGACAGCCTCGCTGCGAGCGGCCGTAGTGGCGGCCATGGCAGCCTCAGGTGCGGGTGCCGAGACGTTGAGCTGGTGGAGGGCAGCGCAGAGCATCTGGACGAGCAGTGCCGGCGGCACATGGGAGAAGAAGCGGGTGAGCGAGTAGGACGGCACGATGTCCTGGAAGCGGCGAGCGTGCTGAGTGAGAGAGAGGGGCAGGCCACGGGTCTGGGAGAACTGGCTCATGGCAGGTTCCTCGGCCAGGGCTTCGCGCAGGCTGTAGATGTTTGTGTTTGAGTGTTTGTTCTTGGCCTTGTTGCTGTCGATCCAGTCGGCCGGCGTGACGTCTGCGCGCGAGACGGGCTGTGTGGCCGAGACAGCAAAGCGGCCGGCAGCCCGGAGGCCTGGGCGCTCCCAGTCGTAGGCGACGTCGTGGATGGGCACCTCAGGCTGGGTGGAAGCCAGGGCTGGGCCATGGTTTGTTTCTGCGGCTGTTGCGGCTGTTGCGGCTGTTGCGGCAGCCTGGGCGATGGAAGCCTGAGTTAGGTCGATGTGCAGGTTGCTGAGCATCTGGGTGGCCAGCTCGAGCGGGTCGGAGACGCGGCCATCGGCGGTGAGCAGGCGGTTCGGACGCGTGAACCAGGGGTGCTGGCGGATCTGGTGGAAGCTGAAGCGACGGGCGGTGTCGATGCTCATCATGCCGCGCAGCAGCGAGACGGCCGACGGAGGGAGTCGCTGCCAGAGCGGATCGGAGCTGTGGCCACCGGTGCGGGCGTACTCGTGGAACTCCCAGCTGGTCGTCACCGGCTCGTCCCAGGGTGTGTTGCCGACGAGGAGGACGAAGAGGATGACGCCGGCGGACCAGATGTCGACGAGGTCGGGCGCGTACTTTTTGGTCGGTGGCTGTTCCTGAACGGAGCAGGCCAGCACTTCCGGGGCAATGTACGGCGGGCTGCCGCAGGTGGTCGAGCTCTGCTTGCGGCTGCCCTTGTACTCGAACATGGTGGCCATGCCGAAGTCGGCCAGCTTCAGGTCGCCACGACCGTCGAGCAAGATGTTCTCGGGCTTGAGATCGCGGTGGGCCACGCCCTTGGAGTGGATGAAGCTGATGCCGCCGACGAGCTGCCGGAAGTAGAGGTGGGCAATGTCTTCGGGCACGCCGACGTCGGCCTCGATCTTGTCAAACAGGTCGCCGCCCTCGGCGTACTCCATGGCGATCCAGCGCCAGACCGCGTCCTCGCCCGTGGCAAACCACTCGATCACGTTGGCGTGCTGGCCGACGTGCGAGTGCAGCGCCACCTCCGTCGTGATCTGCTTGAGCGAGATCCGCCCCTTCTTGACCGCGTACGCCTTGTGGATCAGCTTGACCGCAAACACCGGCTGGCTGTCCGCCAGCGGCATCGCCTTCTTGATCCTGCAACGTGTCAGCCGGAAGTTCAGCAAAGAGCCGCGACCGAACGGGACCTACGAAGCAAAGGCGCCCCGTCCGATCGTGTCCGATACGATGCGAAACGGCAGGTCGCTCGGCAGCGGGTCTAGCTGCGATTGTTGCGTCTGCCCGTCAGCCTCGTCAAGACGATGCAGGGATGCAAGAACTTACCATCTTAGCCTGTTGCGTCTGCTCACTTCGTTCTGCCACCTTCTACAGGTTGAAAGGCCCGAGAAGCAAGTCCTCACGTCCTTGACCTGGGTCTGGTCACGTCGTCGTCCTTGCGAATACGCCGTCATCACGCCGTCATTGGCCCAGAGCGACTGCCCTGGAGGAGGGGCTGGCGAGCCCTATCGCACTGGCCCCGTCCTTATCGTCGTTGCTGGGAGAGCCCTGTGGCGGAGGAATGTAAACAACCAACAGCCCCATGCTCAGGCACCGATCCACTAAAAGTGCAGGTGCGAACCGCCCCTCACGCCAAGAGGCATGAACAGAATGTGTCTTTAGCGCTTCACCTCTGCTTTCTGTCTGTCTTGGCTTTTTGTGCATGCAATCGAACAAGGAGCTTCCCCCCCCACGACCCGCTTTCTTTCTTGTCCGGTCTTTTGGTCCATCGTTCCACGCCAGCATGAGCTTCAGCATGGACGACTCGCAGAACACGGCATCGGGCGGCCAGGCAGGCGCCAAGCTGGGCGCCAAGAAGGGCCCCGACTCGCAGAGCGTCAAGAGGTAAGATGCATCGGATCGGGAGATACAGCGTCTCGCCGCATCCCTGCTGACAGGCGGCAGGTTGCAGACGGAGCTTATGCAGCTCATGACCTCGCCCGCACCTGGCGTCTCGGCCTTTCCGTCGGCCGACGGCAACCTGCTCTCGTGGCGGGCCACCATCGAAGGCCCCGACGACACCCCTTATGCCGGCCTCACCTTTAAGCTGACCTTTGCCTTCCCGGCCAACTACCCGTACTCGCCGCCAACCGTGCTCTTCAAGACGCCCATCTACCACCCCAACGTCGACTTCTCCGGCCGCATCTGCCTCGACATCCTCAAGGACAAGTGGACGCCGGCCTACAACATCCAGACCGTCCTACTGAGCCTTCAGAGTCTTCTGGGCGAGCCCAACAAGTAAGGCCCTGTCTCTCGGCCGGCCCGGACGTCTCTGCTAACCCCTACGCGCGCAGTGCCTCGCCCCTCAACGGCGAAGCCGCCGAGCTGTGGGACAATGACCACGACGAGTTCAAGCGCAAGGTCCTGGGCCGTCACCGCGACGTCGACGACGAGTAACCTCCACGACCACGCGACTGACAGACGCCGAGCACGACACACCTCGGGGTGGCATTGGATACTGCAGGGAAATGGCGAGCGGGGCATCATCTTCTTTTTTATCCATCATCTTTGTTTAGCACAGCGGCTGGCACATGGGGCCCATTGGCCAGAGACGGAGTATCAGTTATGATGTATTTCATCCGGCCCAGCATCCGTGTTGGAAAGAAGAACGGGATATCCAGCAGAAACCGAGTATGGATTGACCACGGCGTCGTGCTTCGGGCTTGCATATGCTACACACACTTTCATCAAAAGACTTTACCTATTTCCATTACCGTGCCTCTGCGTTCCTGGACCTTCTGGGCAACAAAACAGAAATAAGAATGACCTCTTTCTCCGAAGAGAAAAGCATCTGTGGCTTCTCCGAGAGCGCGCGGCCGTTCGAATGTCGTATATTGGGTACGGGGAAGCTACCATGCCATGCCGTATGCCATGAGAACTCCAGGTTCGAAAACACCCTTTCCTCCCGCGAAAAGACCGGTGAACTTTTTCTCCATTTTTTTGCTCCGTTTCTGTTTAATTCGTTGTCCCAATCGTCCCGCACACCAAAACAGAATATCCCCTGTTCCGGTCCCAGCCCTCTTTACTCCTCGACCACAACAGTCTGGAGACCCTTGGCGTTCTTGACGTTCACGGCCTGCACGAAGCTGTACAGCTTCTCCTTGGCGTCCTCCTCGTCATTTCGTCTCCGGGAGATGCGCACGCGCAGTCTGAAGGGAACACCCTTGACACCAGCCTCCCAGACCTTCTTGTTGAGCTGGGGGTCCAGGCGGACATCGGTCGTGCCCTGAAAAGAGAATTTGGTCAGCACCCCCACCAATAGGAAACTACAAACAGGCAGAACCAGAATCCATTGCACCGTCGGGAGAGGGGTGAGGTCGTACCATAGCCTGGTAGGCGAACTTCTTGATCTCCTTGATGGCCCGCGGCGCCCGCTTCTTGAAGGTAACGCCGTGTAACTAGAAAATGCCCCAGGTCAGCGGTCGCGTCCATTTCCAGCCCGATGCTGCATTGTCTGGGCGCAATCGTCATCGTCGGCCCATCGCAGCCGCCCTCGGCCTTCGCATCGAGATGGGCGCATCATAAACATACCCTCTTGTGGAGGTGGATCGTGTACTCGCGGGCGACAACGTCGGCAATGGCCGAACGGCCAGTGGGCTTCTTCGAGGACATTTTGCTGGCGTGAGAGCTGTGGACCTGGTTAGATGGCTGATGGAAGCGAGAAAGAACGGCTCGAATGCAGTATGTCGACGAGCAGCAGCGTACCTCGGATCCCGTCGAAATTTTTGGTTCGGGGTTCGGCGTCGATGTGAGGTATTGGAGGGGAGGAAAAGGAAAATAGATTTTAAAAAACGTCGAGGAATTTCGACTAGCCCTCAGAAATTTCTTGTGTGTGCCCTGCGAAATGCAAATGAGGGCTTCGAGCACCAATCAGGAAGTAGACGACCCACTATTGTGCAAGCCCAATGCCTGATTCATCAGGTCCACGTGACAGCTAAGCACATGATATTAATACAGGCCAGCACTAAGCAGTGGAAGCTTCAATCTTAGTAATCCTACGTTATTTGCTTTCATAATTTAGTGGCTTGGCATAAAACGTGTGGCTCCCCTGAAGAGAAGATACGAGAATACCGCGTAACGCGGCCCAACACGGCGCTGTAACATTGCTCGCTTCAGTCGCAATTTCCTGATCAGCAAGAATTCACAGCATCTGTGTTCTCGATCCCTTCCTTTTGCCCAACTTTTCCCCATTGCATTCACTGTTCGTCTGTGTCCGCCCCAAGCTCCACGCTTACACAATCCGCAGCATTCTTCTGTTTACGTCTCGCAGAGACTCTTCTATTTACGGCCCCTTAAGCACGACGGTCTTTTAATTGACCCCCCTTCTGATTTCAACGTCGGGCTCCCAGCCACCGGCAGACAAAGACGAAGCCAGCAAAAGCGACATCGAAGACAAGGAGAAAGAACCCACCCCGGATTTGTCGCTTGCGCTGAGAAAACGGCTGCACATTTAATCGAACTCCGTTCGTACCCGGTCGCTCTTTTCCGTCACCATACATCGCTGCCAGTCACGCCAGCAAACAACGCTCAGCGCGTCGATCGCCACCATGGCAGACCTCCCCGACCACAGCGCTCATTCGCCGTCCCCGCAGCCCGATCTCAATCGGAACCGGCTCCCGTCCCTCTTTGAGGTGCTCAGCCGCCGGACGCTTCCTCCAGTCGATCTATACTCATTCTACATCTACATGCGAGACCAGCAGCGATCTGTAGACTACCTCGACTTCTGGTATGCAGCCCTCCTTGCTATCTTCTGTCTGGGCCAGTCCTTATTTTGCTCCTACTGACGCGTGATCCACTCCATAGGCTCGATGTTGCCCAGCACATGACACTATGCCGTCACTATGTGCGGGAGCTGCGTCGGTCTGTTCTGATCAGCACGCCAGACGCATCCAAGCGGTCCTCGGCCATTCTTGACAGTCTCGGCGACATGAGCCATCCGGTGGCCGGCCCGTCCAAGTACCAGACCGACAAGGAAAAGGACCAGGATGCCCAGATGTCTGCATTTCTGCGCGAGGATATGCAGCGCCCCATGGAATCGCCTCGCAGCGCCGGCACGGCTGCCATCCTCCAGAGTCCTGCCGTCAGTACGTCCCGCGACATCACCGACTCCAGCTCTCCCGCCCACACGGTGGCGCGTCAGGATATTCGCAAGTCTGCCGAGAAGATCCTGTACACGTTTCTGCTTCCCGGCGCGGAGCGTGAGATTGTGCTGCCAGGACCCATTGTCCAGGAAATCACGGCAGCCATAGAGGAGTATGGACGCGACGATCCTGAGGTGTTCGACATGGCCAAGGACTACGTCTTCCAGGCCATGGAGCGTGATGCCTTCCCCGGATTCCTGCGCATGAAGGCCCTTGGCAATCTTATTCCCCCCACGCTCATTCTGCGTCTTATTATCGGCATGGTGTCCATGTTCGGCGCCTTCTGGGCTGCCTTTGTGCTCATTTTCCTCGACAAATCGCGGCTCACGCGGCTCTATGTGTGTACCTTCCCGACACTACTTTGACGAAACATGTACTGACAAGTCCCAAGCTCATCATACCTTTCACGTTCGGAGTGTACTTCCTGGCTTCGTTCCAGTACTCTCTCGATCCAGTACTTGCTCTGCTAGGCTTCAGCGAATACACCCCCTTCAGTTTCTCTCGCGTGCGAGAGCCCTTCGTGCGCAAAATGCTGGCCAAGCGGGCTTTAGTTGTTCTTGCCGTGACAGTTTTTGTCGATGCTGCACTTCTGGTGCTGTTCATATTCGTTCCGGGGAAGATGCTATAGGAGCAGTCGACAGTGCATCACTCTGAAAGTTCCTTTCCCCCCCCCCTTTTTTTTTTGTTTCATTTTTCAAGTTTTTGGCCACGACATTCACGAGGCGTCTGGAAACGGCGTGCACTGCTATTTTATTTCTTTTGTTTCTAGGATACCAGGAGTTCGAAGATATCCCATATTGGAGGGATATGGATCGGAAGAAGGCGAAATGGGAAGGCATTAGCCACCAACAGAGATGGATCTAGCCAGTTTTACACATGGGGACAAAATAGACACGAACGATGTCAGGACTTTGATCCGGCAACCGCTTTGTCCTTGACTCAAGCAGAAGGTGACATTCGTAAGCGTGGAAGTGCCGGACTGTGACTGCTTCAGAAAGCGAGACCGATGTATACGCGCTCGCTCTGTTACGCTCCAAAGAGAGCAGTGTGTTTCCCTGAAGCCGTTGTTATGTATTCCGTAGACCATTGCCATAATCCGTATTTTACAACATGTAAGACACAAGACGGCTGGGACTCTAACATCTCCGAGAGTGAGGCAACCAACTTTAGGCCATTATAGTTTCCGCCGACTAGCCCTCTTGTTTGCTTCTGTATCGCCGTCCTCGTCATCAAGGTCCATGCCCTCGTCATCATCTGCCGCAGCGCTGCCACTCAGTGCACCTGCAGTGTCGGTGCTGTTACCGGCTGCACCATTACTTCCGTTGTCCGTCATCAGATTGCTGCTTCTCTTCATGAAACGCGGCTTGCCACGCGGCCCGCTGGAATTTGACATGTTCAGCGTCATCGCCTTCTTTCCGTAGGTGGACGCAGAGGAAGACCCACCGGAGAGAAACGCGCTGACGCCACCACCAGCGCCCAGCTGTGACGATCCCATCAAATCGGACTGCTTCATTTTCGCCCTCTCATCATCTAGGGCATTGTTGAACCGGGCATCCCAGCGGCGCTCTTCCTCTGCTTTGGCCACGGCAGCGCGGCGGATAGCTGCGATCTGGGCGTCCAGATCGGCCAGAGTCGCCTCGCAGCGTCCGGACCAGGTCTGGAGGGCAGCCCGCAGCTTCGGCACGGCACCCGGGGCCAGGTCACGCAGCGGAGAGACCGAGCTGATGCGCACCACCTCGCGGGCCGGGTCGAGCGTGGCAGACACGAGGCCGGCATAGACAGCTGTCATGACGAGAGTCTCGAGCTCGCGGGCGCTGGTCAGCCGCAGTTCGGTCACGAGGTGAGCATAGGCCAAGCTAGCCCGGTCGGTGGCCAGCGAGATCAACGACAGCTGGCGAAGCTTGCTAGCCTGGGTTTCACTGAGCGGCGGCAGTGGGGCGGATGGTGTCGTTGTTGCTGCCTCGGAATCCGGAGAGAATGAGCTCGGTAGCGATCCACGCTCGTAATCAGCGTAGGTGCCGTAGCTAAAGATCTGGAGGAGGGTGAGGTAGACAGCATGCTCGGGATTGGCGTTGGCTAGAGCCTGCACCTCGGGCGTCTGCAGTAGCTCGGCGAAGATGTATGTGCCGGGATGGGAAGTGGCGCGCACGACCAGGTCTACGGCAGCGCGGCTGGACGTGGCCGATTTGGCGAGGGCCACAAACGGCTGTCGAAAGAGTGAGCAAGGTCAGATTTGGATAACGAGATCTCTTAGGCTTCTAGGTTGGGAAAGCCAGACGAACCTCCAAGGCGTCAAGGGCCTTGACCTGCGCCATGGCGGTATAGAGCTGGATCGTTGAATCTTGGTTTTGGAGATGCTCTCTGTTTGGCGCCGAAAGCTTGTTGGCCCTCCTTTGGGTTGTCGTCAGAAGCGCGGAGCCTATAACGACGCCCGGTTCGAGTACTCCATAATACTGTCGTGATAGCTCCCTTGCGGGGTGAGGCTGGTGCGGTGTGGCTCAGCACGGATCGATTACTAAGCGATACGCAGCCTCGTGTGGTAGCCTAGCAAACTGCGGCGACAAGCTGACTTGCTATAACGGGAAGGAGGAAATTTGCTCATTCAATAGTATGGATACTCTTATTGCCTGGCTCCCATTTCCAAGTCAGCCCCTCGTCTTTTGGGCACCGACGTTGCTATCGGGTTTGAAGCGGTGTCAGGAGTGTTTGAAACTACCCACTTGCAAAGCGCCCGGATCCCTTTACTGCGGAGTATTTACTCCTGGATTTGCAGTTGTAAAGCTTGAAACAAATCCATGTTGCAGTTCGCTACGCGTACATATCTTATTACGGAGAACTGGAGAAAGTAAGATAAGATACAGCTCTCGTTAAAGCGGGGCTGTGTATACGTATGTTAGATTTGACAGTCCAATAATATCAACAGAGGATATCATCATACGAGTCCTTTGTTATAATCTGATAATATATTTCAATTTAGTGTCCGAAATAGAAACGTCCGAGAATAAGTGGAAAGCGTGCATATGAAGAAAAAGCGCCGGAACTGCTTTAGGAAGGAAGAATTTGTGAGAATGATTCTACATAGTAGTCCGAAGCGGCTGACAAATTAGATCGGAATTAATGAGAAGGTTTTGGGCAGGAGAAGGCTGAAACAAACAAAGCAGGAGCAAGATACAAAACACGAGACAAGGATTTGCCTCTTTGCCTTACGTGAGATGAGATTGTGAGATTGTGAGATTCGTCCTCACAGAGGCTTGTCCCGCAAAAAGAGACCCTGCCGCGACCGTCCCAGTCCCATTCAGTTTGACACGGGCCTCTTGAAAAGCGAAACGGTAGGTAGTGGACCCACGGCATAGGCCCCTGTCCGTCGAGAAAAGCGGGCTGTGGCCCAGGAGCGACAAAAGCAGATGGGCTTCGGCCTCGTCGGATTCCCAGTGCGGTAGGATGGAGTCTTACTTCGGCGGTTCCCCATAAGCTGACCCAAGCGCCTGCAGAGCCACGCCTACACCCGGCTGGGCTTTTGATTCCACGACAGTATCTTACTCGTCGTGACATTTGTTTCTCCTTTTACCGACAGCCAATATATGCCCTCTCAGAAGCCGGCTTCTGTTCCTTTGACGGAAAATAATAGCACCAATTTCCGACACCTCCCACACTGCATCCCGTCCTTTTTCCCCTTTCTTTTCTACGATTCGGTCTGCGATGCGGTCGGAGAAGTTGGCTTTCAATTGACTCCTATCTCACGACGACAATCCGGAGGACGGAGAGAGAGGCCTTGCGCTGAGCACGCGAAAACCCCGGTCTTGCGCAAGCTTCTCGACTATCTGCCATTGATCAACTCACAATCGATCTCGGAATACGGCAGAGATGGCGCCTTCCTACATAAAAGTCCCTCCAAGGGACGCAACGCTGTTGAGCGCGACAAATGGTGCTGCGACACCACACATGGCGACTACAACACTTAAAGTTGACGGCATGACGTGAGTTTTTCCCCCACTCGCATTAAATTCCTCTCCTGAGACAGGTCGGACTAACCGATGGGCTTTAAAGCTGCGGTGCATGCACTTCCGCTGTTGAAGCCGGCTTCAAGGGCGTAGACGGAGTGGGCAGCGTTTCTGTCAGCCTTGTGATGGAACGAGCGGTCATCATGCACGATCCACGACGCATAGCCGCAGACCAAATTCGCGACATCATCGAAGACCGGGGCTTCGACGCCGAAGTTCTCTCGACCGACCTTCCGTCGCCCGCCATCGACCGGTCCTACGACGATGCCAACGATGCCGAGGCCGCTGCGGGCAGCTGTGTGACGACGGTGGCTGTCGAAGGCATGACCTGCGGCGCGTGTACCTCGGCGGTTGAGCGTGGCTTTGATGGCGTTCCTGGCATCAGGCACTTTAGCATATCGCTGCTCTCCGAACGGGCTGTGATCGAGCACGATTCAACACTGCTGAGTGCAGAGAAGATTGTGGAAACCATTGAGGACTGCGGGTTCGGCGCAAATGTCGTGGAGACGAAGCAGATGCGGCCTGAGAAAGGCGGCGGCCTGGGCGGGCAAATGGCAATTCCAGCGCACGTAACGACGACCGTGGCCATCGAGGGCATGACCTGCGGTGCCTGCACGTCCTCCGTGGACGGGCTCTTCAAGGGCGTGGACGGCGTGCTGCGGTTCAACATCAGCCTGCTGGCTGAGCGGGCGGTCGTCACACACGACCCGGCCAAGCTGTCGACGGAGAAGATTGTGGAGATGATCGAGGACGGTGGCTTTGGGGCGACAATCGTGTCTTCGGTGCCGGATGACGCGACCGGTGGTGGCCAGGCCAAGGGCTTCGCCACGGCTCAGTTCAAGGTGTACGGGACGCCCGATGCAGCTGCGGCCAAGAAGCTCGAAGAAGGCCTCCTCGCGCTCGCGGGCGTGCAGTCGGCAACGCTGAGCATGGCGTCGTCACGTCTGACAGTGGCGCACGTGCCGAGCGTGACGGGCCTGCGGGCGATCGTCGAGGTGGTTGAAGCAACGGGGCTCAATGCGCTTGTGGCGGACAACGACGACAACAACGCGCAGCTCGATTCTCTGGCAAAGACGCGTGAGATCAACGAGTGGCGGCGGGCGTTCAAGTTGTCGCTCAGCTTTGCGGTGCCGGTCTTCCTGCTGGGGATGGTGCTTCCGATGCTGCTACCGATGCTGGATTTGGGTTGTTTCACGGTGATTCCAGGCCTGTACGTTGGCGACATCATCTGCCTGGTCCTGACGGTGCCGGTGCAGTTTGGCATCGGCAAGCGGTTCTACGTTTCGGCATGGAAGTCGGTCAAGCACGGCTCGCCGACGATGGACGTTCTCGTTGTTCTGGGCACGTCGTGTGCCTTCTTCTTCAGCATTGTGGCGATGCTGATCTCGGTCCTCATTGCGCCGCACAGCCGTCCGAGCACGATCTTCGACACGAGCACGATGCTGATCACGTTCATCACGTTCGGGCGCTTCCTAGAGAATCGTGCCAAGGGCCAGACGTCCAAGGCGCTGTCGCGGCTGATGTCTCTGGCGCCATCGATGGCGACAATCTACGCCGACCCCATTGCGGCAGAGAAGGCAGCGGAGGGTTGGGATACGGTGGCCGGCCGAGGCGGACCGAAGACGCCGCTGGTGGACGGCAACGCGGCAGAGGAAAAGGTGATTCCGACGGAGCTCATCGAGGTGGGCGACATTGTGATTCTGCGACCGGGCGACAAGATCCCAGCGGACGGCGTGATGGTGCGCGGCGAGACGTATGTGGACGAGAGCATGGTGACGGGTGAGGCGATGCCGGTGCAGAAGAAGACGGGCAGCTTCCTGATCGGAGGCACGGTGAACGGCCACGGCCGTGTGGACTTCCGGGTGACGCGAGCAGGCCGCGACACGCAGCTCAGTCAAATTGTGAAGCTCGTGCAGGACGCGCAGACGACGCGGGCGCCGATCCAACGACTCGCCGACACGCTCGCAGGGTACTTTGTGCCGACGATTCTGACACTCGGATTCCTAACGTTTGTGGTGTGGATGGTGCTTAGTCACGTGCTTCCGAACCCGCCGAAGATTTTCCTACAAAACGCGAGCGGCGGCAAGGTGTTTGTGTGTGTGAAGTTGTGCATCTCGGTGATCGTGTTTGCATGTCCATGCGCGCTGGGCCTGGCGACACCGACGGCAGTGATGGTGGGCACGGGTGTCGGGGCCGAGAACGGGATTCTCGTCAAGGGTGGAGCAGCGCTAGAGACGGCGACCAAGGTGACGCGGGTGATCCTGGACAAGACGGGCACGATCACATACGGCAAGATGAGCGTGGCAAGCGTGATTCTGGCGGCAGCGTGGCAGGAGAGCGAGCAGCGGCGACGGCTGTGGTGGACGGTGGTCGGACTGGCCGAGATGGGCAGCGAGCATCCGATCGGGCGAGCAGTGCTGGGAGCAGCGAAGACGGAGCTGGGGATGGACCAGGAGGGCACGATTGACGGCAGCGTGGGCACGTTCGAGGCAGCGGTAGGCCGGGGCATCAGCGCGGTGATCGAGCCGGCGACGAGCGAGCGGAAGCGGTTCGACGTGCTGATCGGCAACACCCGGTTCCTGCGCGAGAGGAGGGTGGAGGTGCCGGAGACAGCGATCTCGGCGTCGGAGGAGAGCAACACACGGGCAGCAGCAGCGTTTAAGCGATCGTCGGCGCAGTCAGCAGGAACGACGAACATTTTCATCGCGATCGACGGACACTTTGCCGGCCACCTCTGTCTGGCAGACACGATCAAGGAGGGGGCAGCAGCAGCGATCTCGGTGCTGCACCACATGGGCATCAAGACGGCAATGGTGACGGGCGACCAGCGATCGACAGCGGTGGCGGTAGCGGCAGCGGTGGGCATCGCAGCCGAGAGCGTGTTTGCGGGAGCGTCGCCGGAGCAGAAGCGGGCGATCGTGGCCGAGCTGCAGGCACAGGGCGAAGTGGTGGCGATGGTGGGCGACGGGATCAACGACTCGCCAGCGCTGGCGACGGCAGATATCGGGATCGCGATGGCGTCAGGTACTGACGTGGCGATGGAAGCGGCGGACGTGGTGCTGATGCGGCCGAACCGGCTGATGGACATCCCGGCCTCGCTCGACCTGGCGCGGTCCATCTTTGGGCGGATCAAGCTGAACCTGGCGTGGGCGTGTGCGTACAACATCGTGGGGCTGCCATTTGCCATGGGCCTGTTTCTGCCACTGGGGCTGCACCTGCACCCGATGGCGGCCGGTGCGGCCATGGCGGCGTCCAGCGTGAGCGTCGTGGTCAGCAGCCTGCTGCTCAAGTTCTGGCGACGGCCCGGCTACATGGATGTCGATCTGTACGACGAGCGTGGCGTGCCCAAGGCCAGTCTGGGCTGGCGCTGGAAGACGCGTAGCATGGCGGCCTGGGCCCGCGGCGGGCTCGAGGACGTCTACCTGGCCGTGCGCGGCCGGTGGTGGGCGGACAAGGAAGACGGCGGATACGTGCCGCTGGCGAATTTGGATGGTATGTGAGTTGGTGAGAGTGGGTGAGATGTGGAATGGGTGAGGGTGTGGGTGCGCTGGGATGCACAGCTGTCAGACAGCTTCCAGGCTGCTATCTGCCTTTGCTTTGTTTATTCTTGGCCGGCGTTGCGGTATAGCTCTGGATGGATTTACGATCGATACCTCGTAAGGATGCTGTATTCAAAGGAGTTAATTAGGGAGTACTTTACATGTTCTTATTTACATAGTCGGTGTTATGAGGATATGCGTTTATTCAAACTCCCTACGTACATAGTACTTCATATTATTACATTATGAGTACTCCGTATTCTGTGACCCACCTGTCACAATGACGTCGCTTACATCCGGCACGTGGGCCTAGACCTCCAAATATTCTGCATCTACTAGTCTCGAGCAGTCCATCATTTACTCCGTACTTCAGCAGCTCTTTCGACAACTGACGAAAGGCGAAGATCGGTCATCTAAGCTTCTCTTATTGATTGAAAGCCGCCCGGAGCAGATGCCACCAAAACGAGATCCATCGGTTCTGGTGCGTCGATCCCAACCTCTCTTTGCGTCCGTGTCCTGACACCTTCATTTACAGGTTACCGATGCACGTGAGCGTCCGCCATCGAGCCAGGGCAGATCCGGTGCGCAGCGGCCCAGCTCTTCGCAGGGCAATTCGTATAGCGTCTCCTCGTCCTCGTCCGCCAGCCAGCGACATTCGATGCGCCACGTTTCTGTCGACAGCATCCTCCAGAACGCGACGGCCATTCCGTCTGGTCAGCCACGTGGACCGCCGGGGTCACAACGCCTGGTGCCGGCATCCGGTCTGCCGGCAGCCGCAGCCGCAGCTCGACGACGCGGCCTCACGAGACGGGGCAGTGGCTACGGCGGTGCAGCTGGTGTCGGCAGTGCAGCCGGACTGCTGGCCGGGAGTACCGGCGTAGGAGGGACAGGCATCGGGGGGTCAGCTGGAATCGGTGGTGGGCCGTTGCTGTCGCGGGCGGTGCTACCCAACATGCCGTCCCGCACGACCAAGATCTCGGAGAAGTTGGTGCTGCTGCCGGAGACGGGTGACGAGACGACAGGACCTGGCTTTGACGATGAAGACGAGGACGAGGACGAGGAAGAGGAGGCAAACGAGGAGAACGGCCTGGATGTGGACATGACCGACGCGGCCGAGAGGGCGCTGGTGGCGGCGTTGGCCAGCGAGAATGCCGAGGCAGCACAGCGGGCGCTGCACCGGGCACGCATCGAGGAGGGCGGCGGGCTATACGACGGGGCACGTCCGCCGCGCGACGAGGAGCTGGACGTGCTGCGAAAGCGTGGCGGGATCCGGGGCAAGAGCTATGCCGAGCGGCTGCCCAAGGGCCAGCGGACGGAAAAGGTCGCCCGGCTGACAGCCTACTGCACGGCACAGGCCTTCAAGATGCGGGCGACGGCCGAGTTTCTGCGCGCGCGCCACGCTGCCAAGGCCAAGCTATACGACGACTGCCTCTACACCGTCTACCACCTGCCGCTGCTGCCCGGCCACGACGGTTTCCGCGTGCGCAGCCGGCCGATCCTCAAGACGCCCGGCACCGGCAAGACGGTGCTGGACCTCGAGATCGAGCGCAGCGAGCGGCGTGACGAGCACATGGGCTACGACTACGGGTATGCGCACGGGCACGAGGGACACGACGAAGGACACGACGGACGGCAGCACGCGGACGGGGCTGTCAAGAATAGCCACAGCGGCCAGGCAACGTCTGGTGGGGACGAGGATCAGCAGCAGCAGCAACAACAGCAAGAGGAGCAGCCACAGCGCATGTACCCCGTCTCCTCTTCTTCGGCGACCGAGGCGGCAGAGATCTATCTGGACAGCCCACGACCGCCGGTCAACCAGCTGGCGCCCGAGGCGAAGCATTTTGCCGAGATGTTTGTCTTCTCGTATGGCGTGGTGGTGTTTTGGAACTTTTCCGAGCATCAGGAGAAGGCCATTCTGGCCGACCTGGCATTTGCTGAGAGCGAGACGACGGGAACGGGGACGAGCAGCGAGAGCGGCAGCGGCGTGGCGCTGGCAGTGCGGCCGCTCGATCAGGCCGACTTTGAGACGGAGGAGTTCCACTTTGAGTACAGCGGCAGCGTGCAGCGGCCGCGGGTGTTCAACGACATGATCACGCTGCTGCCACGGTCAGACCACATGGTGAAGCTGACGATCAGCCACGCGATCGCGCAGAGCACGAAGCTGTGCTTCTTCGAGGAGAAGATGTCGCAGACGATGCAGAATGCACAACACGTGCCGAAGCAGCTGGCGTTGACGGGTGAGCTGAACATGTCGCGGACAGAGATTGTGAAGATTCTGGGGCTGTTGTTTAAGAGTCGGGTGGACATTAATCTATGTGAGTATGGGGAGAGAAGAGTGGGAAAAAGGAGGAGTGGGAGAGAGAAGGAGTGGAAGAGAGAGAAGGAGTGGAAGAGAGAGAAGGAGTGGAAGAAAAAAGAGAGAGGGGGGGCGGAAGAAAGAGAGAAAGAGAGAGAAAGAGAAAAACGCTAACTATCACAGCCTCAAACATCCTGGACGTCCCCAACTTCTTCTGGGACGCTGAGCCGACACTGCATCCACTCTACGTAGCCATCCGCGAGTATCTCGAGATCGATCCGCGCATTCAGGTGCTCAACGAGCGCTGTCGCGTCTTCCTTGACCTGGCCGAGATCCTGGCCGACTCGGTGGCCGACGCCAAGATGAGCTACATCACCTGGATCGTCATTATTCTGATCGTCATCAGCATCTGCGTCACCGTCGCCGAGGTTCTCCTACGCTTCGCCCTGCTGGAGAGGGGAAAGGAGCGCAACCGCACCTGGGCGCCCAACGGCAGCAGCAGCGACATCGTGTCTGTGCTGCCACCGGCACCACCGGCCCTCCAGATCCAGACGATTCGAAGCGGCAGCAGCAGCGGCGGCCTGGGCGACCTCGACGACCTCAGCAAGAGACCGACGCTCGACGAACTGCGGGCATGGGGTGCCCTACTGAGCTCACAGGAGCGGGCAGCCGTGTGTGGCAGCGACTTGGTCGGGCAGACGTTTGCCGGTGTCTGAGAGACAGCCAGTATTGCATCTGTTCAAGCATGGCGTTTGGTGTTTTTGCCTGTCTTTTTTCTGCTTTTTTCTGTTGTTTTTTTCTGCTTCCTTTTTCTGCTTTCTCTCTTTTCATTTTTTTCTAGCTCCTCCGGCCGGAAGCATCAGCACATACACATATCTATTGGACTTTTTTTTTTTTTTTAAATATTGGTTTACAAGCCTCAGGGCTTTGGTCTATGTTGCGCTCTCGCTCTACTGCGGTGCGGCTTCCTTGACCTCCACCTTAGCCTCCTCCTTGGGACGCACGGGGTAGTGTGAACCCTTGTCCTTTGGCTTCTTTTCCTTCTTCTTGGGCGGCGGGTAAGCCTTGAGGGCCACCTCCTGCCACTCCTTGGATTCGGCAAAGGCCGTCCGGATGGGCGCCAGGAGCTCGACAATGCCCTTGGCTACAGCCGGCTTAATAAGCTGAGGGGTGAGCTACGGGAAAGTGTCAGCACCTGTCACCAAAAAAGTACGAAATGCACGCAAAGCCAAACGTACCACATCATTTTCGTAGTCTTCGTGGATCTTCTTGATGTCGGTGTAGTCGAGAGGCTCGAGGCCGTCCCGCTCGCGCTCAACGCGGAACAGACGTGCGCCTCGCAGCTCTGACGCCGGCAAAAGCACATACTCGATGAAAGCCAGGATGCCGTTGCCCTCGACGACCTTTGGTGCGGCCTCGGCCTTGCGGATCTTCTTGCTGATGACTTCGGGAGTGTCCAGCAGGTCGATCTTGCTGTCTGCGAGCTGTCAACAAGGTATGTCCAGGAGAAGAGGGAGAGGGAGAGACCTGCCTTCTTCGCTGGAGCTCATCTTGCCACCATGCAGTCCTGGAATCATGGGATTCATGATGTGGGCACGCTAAGCCGTCAGCATGGACGAGAGAGAGGGAGAGAGAGAGTAGACTCCTACCTGGCGGTAGCCCAGCTTGGGTAGCCACTCCTTGGCGGCTGTGAACAGTTTCCGCTGGTCGACGCCTGGACAGAAGACGGGTCAGCACGGAGCACGCAGCCGGGGGGTGTGCGAGACAGACCGCCGAACTGGACATCGACGCCGAGGTGCTCTTCGTCGAGGATCTGCAGGATGGGGTACAGCAGGCCGCTGAGGGGGGCGTTGCTGGTCTGCTTGACGACCTCGGCGCCGGCCTTCTTGGCGTCGTGCTCGGACGTGACGGAACAGAGGCGGTAGACGTCCATGACATAGTCGGCTGACTTCTGGTACGACGAGCCTCGGACGAAGCGCAGCTGCTCGGTGCGCACGCCCACGGCCTGCAGCATGGCCCGGATGGTCCACTGGTAGTAGTCGGTGCGATGCTCGACCAGCTCCAGCGGCGCCTTGAGGTTGTCGAGGAAGCCGTGGATGTCGGCCAGCAGCACCGTCACCTCGCAGCCCGCGTGCAGCAGCTGCGCGATCTTGATGGCCGGCACGAGATAGCCGGTGTGTGGCCGTCCGGTCGTGGCCGTTCCTGCGAGGTCAGCGTCTGCTCTTGCTCTGCTTCTGCTTCTGTTTCTTCCTTCTCTTCTCCTGATCTACTCACCCCAGTACACCTTCACACTGCGGCCCTCGTCCAGGACCTTCTCGATAATCTCCGGGTTGATGATCTCGGCCAGGTTCTCGTACATGAGATCAAGCTTCTCCTGCTTCGTCTCGGGCACTTTGCGACTCGCCATCGTGGCTGTCGGCAGGGCGGTGCTGGTCATGTGAAGAACGGACGAGATTCTGTACCTCAGGCTGGGCTTGAACGGTACTGTGGGCGAAAACGATCACGAAACGAGAGCAGGGCTCGTCCATAGAGGTGACTCAACTCGATTTGGCGGGGGACCTGCAGAAACTGATACTGGGATATGCTACAATGCGGGGTCTCTGCCTGAGGCCGCTCTCGATAAGAGATAGCAATAGCTCCCCGCGCGATCCCGCTTTGGGCCTAATGGCTGTCCTGCCTCGGGGATGATCGCCAAGACGGTTCTGCCTCGTGTATTGGTGCCTGTGCGGCCTCGTCGGCAGCAAAACTCGGCGCTGTCATTTCACAGCCCTGCAAGCATTCTTCCTGCTCCTCTATCTGCCCTTCCTCCTGCTGCTACTGCCACCCTCACCCAAGCCGCACCATCCCGCACGAGCCGCGACCGGCCGCCCCTCCAACGACCGTTTCTGCAGCCTCATCCGAGCGCAGCCGCGCGATTCGCCACCATGTGCATCGTCTTCACCTGCGGTGAGCACACCTTCCGCCGCGAGATCGAAGGCTACGAGGGCATCATCTGCCGCTGCTACAACTGTGGCAACTACAGCGGCCATGTCATCAAGACCCATCCGTGGTTTACCTTTTGCTTTGTCGTGAGTCTCCTGTCTTCTGTCTCTGCTTTGGCTGTCCGCTGACCTGCCTCAACGCCAGCCCGTCATCCCGCTCTCCTTTCACGGCTACGAAGACATCAGCTGCCACATCTGCAACTTCTCCCAGCCGCTTGAGAGCCGCCAGGACGTGCAGGCCATGCGCAACGGCGGTGCTGGCGGACGGCCAGGCGTCCCTCTTCAGCCGCATCCGGAAGCACAAACACAGCAGCCGCCGGCGCCGGACGGAAACATGCGGTATGGTTGACTACGGCCGCCCGCCCTTGGTCTAGGCGCAAGGACCCTGGCGGTATTCTGAGGGGCAGTTCCTTTCGTCTTGTTTGTATTCTTATCGTTCTGTCCCTTCTTTCTTTGTTGGCGCAACGGAGTTTGGCGATCGTACCTTGACAGGCAAACGGCGTGGCTCTGCACGGGACTGGGTAGCATAGGATTGGATGGAAGTGTTTGGTGACTGTGTAGTCTGATAGGATTCTCATTAGCATACGAGTGTACACCTACTATTGTCACGAACCATCCTGCAGTGCTGAATGGCCGGTAGAGCGCCATTGTTTAGCGGCGGCTGCTCCTGGAGCTAATCCGGATTAGCGCTCGCACCGCCCCCACAGGCCCCCATCCACGGGGCTGCTTAGCGCATCGAATTTTTTGACCCGACAGCCTGCATCTCTTCTGCATCGACTGCCGTCCTACGCAACAGGACCAGCCGCCAGCAGACCGACGACCGAGCGCAGACGACCGGGAAGCGTCTCCATTCCTCCTCATCTGCAGGTCGTGTTGAGCTGGACGTGCGTGTGCGTTCTCGCCCGGCCGCAGGCGAGCGGAACCTCGACGCAGAAACGATGCTGTACGACCTGAGCATTGCCTGGACGCCGTCCACGACGACGGCTGAGCTGGAGGACACGCTCGCCATGAGCTCTGAGCTCGGCTATGACGTCGTGGCGCTGGATCACGTCTACGCCGGCCCGGTGCCGTCGACCGTGACCAATCCGCTGCCCTTGCTGCCAGCAGTAGCAGCATCGACAACGACATCCACCACAACCACATCCAACAGACCGGCGAGCCGGCGGCTGCCTCGCATTCTTCGCCGCGCCACCGTTGTCGTGTCCGACATGACGGTCAACCACCGGCTGGCCGCCGTGGCCGCGGCCTACGACCTCGTCGCCGTGCGGCCGACCACCGAAAAAGCCTTCCAGGCCGCCTGTCTCAGCATGACCGAGCCGGCCCTCATCAGCCTCGATCTGACGACGTACTTTCCCTTTTTCTTCAAGCACCGCGCCGCCATGGCCGCCGTCCGCCGCGGCGTCCACTTTGAGGTCTGCTACGGCCAGGTGCTGCGGGCCGACAGCAGCAGCAGCGGCAACACCAGCAGCTCGGCCAATCGTGCTCGCGCTCTCTTCGTCGCCAACCTGGCCGGCCTCCTTCGTGCGACACGCGGTCGCGGCATCGTCGTCAGCTCCGGCGCCCTCATGGGCCGCGGCAACAGCAACGGCGGCGGCGGTGGCGGCGCGCTCGAGCTGCGTGGCCCCGCCGATGTCGTCAATCTGCTCGCCGTCTGGGGTCTGCCGCCCGATCGCGGAATCGACGCCCTCAGCGGACTACCGCGCAGCATCATCGCTAACGAGGGCCTCCGGCGGCGCGGCTTCCGCGGCGTCATCGACATCGTGCAGACGGCTGAGAACAGCAGCGTGGCTGCTGCTGCAGGAGCAGGAGCACAGCTGAAACAACAGAAACAGCTGAAACAACAGCAGAAACAACAGCAGAAACAGAAGCAGATACAGGGACAGGGAAACGGTGCAGCTGGTCACAAACGGAGGGCCAGCGAAAACGGCGGCGGAAACGGCAACGACAACACCAACGGAAACGGAGAGGCTGCTGAAACGGACCAGCAGAAGAAGACGGCAACCGAGCGACAGCCAAAGAAGCAGAAGAGAGGTTCCGGGCCGTAGCAGCAGACTGATTATACCCAGGCGTCAAGGAAAAGAAAAGAAAGGATACAAAGAGTCTGGCTCTGTATTTCCTATGTAGGCCCTCTCTGGGCAGATTATAATACAAAGACTCGATATAAATGACAAAGAACAAAAACACAGAAGCGGTGGGCGAGAGAGGCCTCGGATCCAGGCCGCCGGACAGAACACCCAGTCTCCCTTTATATACAAGTTTCCTGGCTTCCTTGGATCTATTGTCGTCTTGACTTGTCCTTCTGCCGTCTCTCAGAACCCACGTTTTCAACCCCCTTGTCTCCGGCTCAAACACCCGTCGACTTTGCCAGGCTGCCCAACGTCAGCACATCGGTGAGCGACAGTCCGGAAAAGTCGATCGACACTGCTTGCGCACCGTTGGCGACACCCAAGGTTGCTGCTGCTCCCGCCGCTGCCGTCGTGGTCGCGCCCTCCATTCCGAGGACGAGTGCTGTTTGGAGGGCTATATTGTTAGCAAGCCAATCCAGGGGTTTGTCTTGTGGTCTTGTGCATCACTTACTGGCAGCAGCAGCAACGGTGCTGGTAGACGGAACAAGGGCAGCGCCTACGGCCGCCGTTGTCGTAGTGATTGCGAAAGCGGTGCTAGGCGCAGTGCTGGTTGCGGCGTCCAAGGTCGAGAGGATCGAGGGAAATGTGGCGACTGAGATGACCAGGGAGGATGAGGTCGAGGTGGTCGGGATGGACGAGAATATGGAGGTCGAGAGAGTGGAGGTCGAAAAAGTCGAGAGAATGGAGGTCGAGAAAGTTGAGGCTGGGAAAGTAGAGGCAATCGAGGATGAAGCAGTTGTAGCAGTTGTAGCAATTGGGGCGACTGAAGCAATTGTGGTCGAGATAGTTGAGGCAGACGTCGAAGCAATCGAAGCAACTGAAGTTGAAGCAACCGGAGCAACCGAAGCGACCGAGGCAGCCGAAGCAGTTGATGCAATCGAAGCAACTGGAGCAACCGAAGCAGTTGATGCAATCGAAGCAACTGGAGCAACCGAAGCAGTTGATGCAACCGGAGCAACCGGAGCAACCGAAGCAACCGAAGCAACCGAAGTCGTCGAATTGGTAAAAGTTATCGGGGCCACACTCGATGCTGTTGCCACCACAGCCGCTGTTGTTGATGTTGCCACCTCCGTTGCAGAAGCCGCTGTCGTTGTGTTCGAGAAACCCACCGATGTTGCCAAGGCTGTTGGGGTTGCTTGAATCGTAGCTGCCGTTGACGTCGCCGCCGGTGTCGATGCCACTGCCACAGTTGACTCCGTGGTGGACGGTTCTGCCGGCGTTGTCGATGTTGTCGATACCGGCGTCACGGCCGTCGATGTCGTCGCAGCCGTTGCCTCTGTTATCGACACCACCGACACACCCACGCCGCCATGAGGTCCAGTGGTTTCAGCTGTCGTTGGCGCCACTGTTGTCGCCGCGGAGGCTGTGCCCTGGGCAGCGCCATCTGCGACAACCTTGCTGGTCGAGGTGCTAGCAGTGGTAGAAACAGAAGAAGTAGGAGCAATAGTAGCAGCAGAAGTAGTAGCAGCAGTAGCAGCGGCAGATGTCGCCTTGGTCTTGGTTTTCTTGGTCGTCTTCGAGTCAGCCGTTGCAGCAGCTGTGCCGTCAGTCGCCGTTACGCTGATAAAGTCGGTTATCGTTTTCGTGCTGTCCTTGGCCGTGTTCTTGCCACCGTCTGTTGTCTTCGTACTGCCCTTGGCCTTGGTAGTTGTGCCCTCGAAGGCGATCGTAGTGAGTGCCCCGTGTCCTGTTAATCCTGCTGCCGCCACTGCCGACAATGCTGCTGCCACATCTGATGCCAGTGCTGCTGCTGCTGCTGCCGCCGCTGCGCCATTGTTGTTATGGCCGTCGTTGCCTTTCAGCTCGTTCTCTGCGGACGGCAGGTCCCTTCTGTGCCATTGTCCGGCCCGGCCAACGGCGGCGGCCTGGCTGAGCGATAGGTAGCTGAGCAGAAGCAGCGGTGTGCTGGCTATGGATGCCTTCATCCTGTATTATGCGCAAAACACAGAAACAGACGAGAAGGGAAAGAAGTAGGGTCGAACAAAAAGGCAAAGGCTGTGCACACCACAGACCAGCCGTGCGAGCGAGAGCGGAAGAAGAGAAAAAGAAACGGCGAAACAAAATTGGAATAGACAAAAAAGCGAGGAGAAGAGAACGAAAATGACAGGCTCCCAAAGACCAGCTGGGTTGCACGAAACCGATGTAGATCGGGAAAGAGAAAGAAAGATGGAGATCGCGGCGAGAGTTAAAGGAATGTGGCTCGTAGAGAGGAAACACCCAGCAGACCTAGTGCCAGATCCAAAACGAGAGAGGGTCCAGACTGAGATGGAACACAATGGGAAAAGAGAAAAAGTGTCGAGAAACAAAACAGAAAGGGAATATGTGGGCGCAAGGCTCGATTCCATTCTGCGCAGCTGCTGCCGGGCGGTCTCTCCTGGTCTCTCCACCACGGCCCCTCCTCTTCTCCGTCGCTACATTGTCAGATACGACACCGATGATGAAAATGCTTTTTTTATCGTCTGCATGCTTCGTATTCTCGCGCTCTTCTCTTCTCGGCCCAGCCCCGTCTTCGACTAGCACGCTGTCACATTGGGCGGGAGAAGAGCACAGGCATGCAGGGACGAGTGGGCCGCCGGTACTGCGTCCGGGCGGCATCCCTCGACGTGATGCAATCACTGCTGCTGTTGCTGTGATTCCTGCAACAATGGATGGTGACAAACTCTGCGCTCTGGATCGCACAAAGCTGCGCGTCACAAGAGACGCCCAGCATTGATGGAGGCTCTGCTCCGTATCTTACCACATCACCGGCGGCCTGGCTGAGAGGCGCGGAAGAAAAGGGGGCAGCCGTTGCATTCATAGGTCGATGTGTGGATACGGAAGGCCATCTGAGACGGTGGTCGTGACCGGATGCGTTTGGGAACGCAGGGGCCTCTCAGCAGCGCCGACCAACTGGACGGCAGTGGGGGAAGGAACCAGGGAGTCACTTCCCGTTTGGGCCAAGACTGCCTGCACGTGCATGAGAGACGTGTTTCGCTCGGCCGTGTCAGCTGGGATGCGAGACAACATGTGTAAGATGGGAAAGAACTATCCTGAGGCTCTGCCTTGTGCATGGCGCTTGCTTGCATCCTTGGGCCAGGTGTCAGGGGCCAGAGGTAGGCTTATATTTTAGCAGTGTCCTTAGCGGCCCATGACTACGAACGAAAATACAGGGGAGTGGTCGGCTCGCCTAGACGGCCAAGCCTTTTGCACTATTGCGGTTCTGGCCTGTGGCCCGTCCTTCAATTTGCCAGGTCCATGTTGTCAAGGTGGCGGTGTTCCGAGTAATAGTAAAAGCTTATTCTTATAAGCTCGCAGTCTGCACAAGGCAACAGATCACATCTCAGTCCAGCTGGCATTCTATACATAGTACGAACCGAGTGCAACCCAAGCGGCGCAGAATTTAAGCAGACCGCCTGCCGACGTAGATCTGTGCTGTCGATCTCTTTTGTTTCTTCCGCAGCTCTGGCGACTGTCTCAGCTCACACTATGTACTCCGTAAGACTTCTTACTTGGCACTGCTGTCGTTTCTCACCCTAGAGTATGCATACTCTTACACACATAAAGAGCAATCCATGCCACGTGATCACGCGGCATCGCTCTCGCATCCCGCTCCTTGCAGCGGGTCCTAAGATACTCCTATCGCCAGCCCGGCATGCAGAAAGTTCAATTTCAGGTGAGTCATGAATGCTCTTATGTCCTTTTTTTTCTTAATCTCAATGAATCTCAATGGCATTGCCATATAATGATAGACATCGTTGGCGCTCACTTCTGGGAGAACTCGCGTCTTTGCGTCCTGTCCAATTTACGCGACCAATGTCCAAAATCGTCACCTGATCTGAACGTCATTTTCGCATTTACAAAGGCTGCCCTGTATTATTGTTTTCGCCACAATGAACGCCCGGTGCCAGTGCGGTGCTGTCACCTTCAAGACGCCCCTCGAACAGCCGTTGGCTCTGTACATATGTCACTGCCATACCTGTCGCCGCCAGACCAGCTCTGCTTTCGGCACGAGCGCCATCTTCCCACGGTTTCCGTTGCCAGATGCGAAACTGCTGAGTTGCTATACGTGAGTGTAGTTAGAAGAGGTCCCATAATTTGTATAGTGTGTATTTGTTTGTTTCCCTGTGCACCTCTGCTTACAGCGCTCTGTTCCAGTCGCCCGACTGCGTCAGGTCAGACGTTATACTGGTAAATACAAAGGAGCAATGTCACGAAGTAGGCGTACAAGTGTTGATTTTTTCAATTTCAGCTACTTTTGCACAAACTGTGGAACACGGCTCATCCACACCACTCCCGTGCGTTCAATCCCATATCTTTCCTGGCCACTGATACGGGTTCTAAACACGGCCGACTCTCGTTGTAGGGCAAAAACGTTGTCTCCGTCAAGGGCGGCTGCCTGGACGGTCTCGACTGGGATAAGGCCGTCCACATCTGGACCAAGTCCGCGATGGTGCCTATTCCTGAAGGCAACGAGAGCCACTGCGGAGAGACTGCCTTCACCAGCTACAGCTACGGCTCGAGTCAGGAGGAGCTAGATCAGCCGGCCGAGCTGATGGGCAGTGGCAGCCATCCGAGCGAAGAGAATATGGACTCGGTGTAAAGGCCTGTCTGAACGGGACTATTGCAGGGGTTTTGTCCAAAGCAAAAAAAAAAAAAATATGTTTAAAGAAGAATGCTGTCGTTACTCAGATGAATGCCGTACACGTTTAGTGTCCATGGCGAAGGAAGCCCGTATCGCGTATGGGATCCCTCTTCCAGAATATGACAGCCTCGACAAAAATCCAGCCATGTCTGTCATCTCCTATCACCTGCCAGTCGGCGCCGACTATGTGGTTCTCGGTGACTCATTTTCTTTGGCGGTTCAGATTTGAAAATTTGCGATACGACAAAAAGCAGCGATTGATGCCTAATAAGAACTTGTTATAATACTCTCCGATACCTATGGGTTTGTAGACGAGATCCGTCAGACTGGGGCGTATTTGTCCCACTTCTGCTCCTTGATCTCAGACAACCCATCATCTGTGACTGCACGTTCTAACACGCGGCCAAAAGCCACAATTGGCGCATCCACGAATCTCCAGAACAGGTCTGCTATCCAAACAATGATGGCCCCCAGTATCATAACACCAAGAAACCAGGTCACAACGCGCTGCGTTGAGGTCTGAACGCCAATTGTGCCCTTGATACCCGAGCCCTTAAAGGCGGGCACAAAATTAGAGGCACCAGGGTCACCGCGGGCTGGCTTCAAAGGCTGGCCCAAAACACAATCCTGGAAATAGTCGAGGCCAGGGCCATGTACGAGGTAGATGGCGTAGCTGGTCCGGCCACAATACTGCGCAAACGAGCCCTCAAGGAGCCGCCGCACGACCTTGACCTCGCCGCATGACCACACAGTGAAGACGGCGGCCACTCCGAACCAGAACTTTTGCGGCATGTCAACATCCGCCAGGAAAGGCGTTGGTGTCTTGGCCAAAAGGTAGCGGATTCCTGGTGTCTTCTCGGCACCGACATTGGGCCAGCCAGCAACATAAAGCGTGGCTACCAGTATGGCAACATGGAAACTTGTTTTCAGCGTCCGGTCGCGACAATGACTGATCGTTCGCCTCCCGTGGGCATCACTGCTGTTGAAAGAGTCGCTGCCTAACAGCTTCGCGGACTTCTTGAGCACGTGCAATTCTGCCAGGAACATACCGGACAAAAATTCAAAGGCAGCCCATTTTCCAGAGCACACGCAGTACATCACCAGCAACACGTTGGTGAACTGACGTAGCCGCGCGCGCATGCGTGATAGGGCGAGCAGAACCAGGAAGAGCAGCATGGAGTGAGCAAACTCGATCGGGATCGTCCACAGGTGGATGTCGTAGCCGGGGCGCAGGTCGCGGTCCCAGGCCCACGGCCAGGATATGGAGTGGAAGAAGACGCCAGCCCAGCTCTGCAGCTGCTCGGTCACAGTCGGTGCTGCTGCATACAGGAAGCCACCCTGGCACAGGGCCGCGATACCGAGGGTGGAGACGGCGCATGGCAGAAGCAGCCGTATAGGACGGCGGAACAGGGATGACGCGAGCGTAGTGTAGCAGCGCTCCGTGTCGCGGGCGTGCAGCAGCTGGAGCGGCTTGGCCGAGAGGACAAAGCCCGAGATGACGAAAAAGATGTGGACCATAGGGCGTCCGGAGTAGATGAGACGGACATATGGCAGCTGAATGAGCGCAGATGGCTCATCTTTGTTGAGGCCGTACGTTGGCACAAAGTATGGATGGCGCGACTCGGTGTAGTGGCAGATGAAGACTATCACGGATGCAAGACCACGGAGGCCGTCGAGGTAGGATGTCGCATGAAACCTCCATGTCGGACGTCGCTCCGGCCAGACAGTATCAGCCACGAAGCTCGGCAGCAATTCTTGAAGCATGACTGTGGTGCTTGTGCTGGCTAAAGACTGCGGTAGATAGAAAACATGTTCTTTGGCGTGTAGAAAGGAGTTCCTGGTACCGTCGCTGGGTATATAAAGCGACAGTGAGTTTCTGGTACCGTGGAGCTGCTTCGTTCATCTAAAATTGCTCTTGGCCGTAATTGCAAAGTGCTATTATCCTTCGAGGATAAGCAGCAGCTGAAGAAGCGGAGAGTGACAGCGAATCAGAGCAACGGTATGATTCCATGCGGACAGCAGCGGGGAGGTATTCGCACAGCAAAGGAACTTCAGGAGGAGATGAGACCGTGAGCTCCACGACTGTGTCAAAACAGATAGCGGCGTGTTAGCGATGGGGGAAGGCTGGAAATTAACATTGGTGGGGCAACTGTGAAATAAGATGCGATGGCATTGATTCCGCCAATGCGAGCTCATCTTGCTCTTTCTTAGCGGAAGAGTGTTTCTTTCAGCATCCCAGCCTGATTCTTATCTTTGGTCAGAATTCCATTGTTGGATTGTTTCAGTAATGCCGACTAACTCATTGGGGAACATGGTTGCGGGAACTAAGAGCAAGTCGACACCTGTCACGGTTGTAGATCTGCATCTTGCAGGAGCTCGCCGCGAAAAAGAAATGAGCTTACTTTGACATCTGCATTGGGACATGCGCTACGCTTCACTTCGAACTGTAGACGCAGATACACTACCACAACTGCTTCCTTCCACGCAGCTGCGACAGCTGCAAGGGAGTATCCGCCGCACTCGAACATTAGGTGATATGCTGGCCCAGCAATGTCTCCCGCCAGTGTCACGTGATAGTACCCGTGACTGACCGAGTGGGGAACTGGTTCGACCCGCCTTCCCAATTCGTCACGACACCTGTCCACACCTGTGTGTGTTGGAGCGGTGCCAACGAGACGACAAAGCAGGCGCAACCGGCAAACCTGACCACTACAGTGTCGAGAGCTTTTCCCACCGAAATCAATCGAACAGCTAGAGGCCATCTACTGCACATCACACCCTCCCCAACACAACCATGGACGCCCTCCGCTCCCTGATCCAGCCGATCACGCACAACCTGCCGGGCCCGATCCGGGACATTGGCGTGGGCCTGATCGGCGAGGCGTGCTACCAGGCGGTGGTGCTGGACGTGGACGAAACCAACACGGAGTGCATCAAGCTGGGCGTGTCCAAGGGCCTGGGCGTGGCGATTGTGGCAGCATCGGCCGTGGTCAAGGTGCCGCAGATTGTCAACCTGGTGCGGTCACGCTCGGCGGCCGGCGTGAGCTTCCTGTCGTACCTGCTCGAGACGACGGCCTATCTGGTCTCGCTGGCCTACAACGTGCGCAACGGCTTCCCCTTCAGCACGTACGGCGAGACGGCCTTCATCCTGGTGCAGAATGTGGCCATCACGCTGCTGGTGCTGCACTACAGCGGCCGGTCGGTGCAGGCGGCGGTCCTGGCGGCGGTCCTAGCCACGGGCACAGCTTCGCTCTTTTCCGAGGCGGCCGTCAATACGGAACTGTTGGGCTACCTGCAAGCCGGCGCCGGCACGCTGGGCGTGGCCAGCAAGATCCCGCAGATCCTCGCCATCTGGCTGGAGGGCAGCACGGGCCAGCTGAGCGCCTTCACGGTGGGTTTTTGTCTTGTCTTTTTTGTCTTTTTGTGTCCTATGCATTTGCTGATGAATCAGGTGTTCAACTACCTCGTCGGCTCGCTGTCGCGCATCTTCACGACGCTGCAGGAGGTCGACGACAAGCTGATCTTGTATGGCTTTGTCGCCGGCTTCGTCCTCAACGCCGTCCTGACGGCCCAGATGGTCTACTACTGGAATGCACCCGCCAAGAAGGCCGCAAAGGCCAAGAAGCCCGCCAGCAAGAAGTCTGCCGGCAAGAAGCCTGCCGGCAAGAAGCAATAAGGCAGGGAAGGGTGAAGAAACCAAGTAGAGGAGTGGCACCACGCTCGTCGTTTGAGTCCCCGTGCCGCACCGGTGTTGCTTAACTTTGCCCGTTCTCTTGTTGGATTCATATTTCGCGTTTTAGTGCGGACGAAATAGACGATAGATTAGGGATACCGTATCCGCCTCTGCGTTTTCCATTCCTCGCACTTTGCCCAGATTAGACCATTTGTCTCCTGGACGCTAGACTACTACTTGTGCATACATCCGCCCACTTATCTTCAGCTGATGCAGTCTGCACACGCAGTCGCCCGGCGGCTTTTTCTGCCTATCTCGGCATCATTTTACGGTCAAAGGGCGAGAGCGCGTGGACAACAAACACTAGGACGTGTCTGGCCAATCATCGGAGGCGCCGACTCGTCCACCGGCACTCTATAAGAGGCGGCTCTTTCCCCCAGATTCCAGCGCGCCGTCTCGTACTGTTCTAGCTTAGTGCAAATTGCACCATCGGGACGGTGCCGTTTCTGTATTGCGAAATTGCCCCTGTGCCTGAGACAGCCATTGTATTGCGTGCTCGATCGCTTGCGTGCTTGGATCTATTTTGGTGCAAGATCCCTTCAAACACTTCACTTATTACTGTACTGGGTCTTTGGGCTTGGAGAGGGGGATTACGTGTATTTTCCGCTTCTCTCTCGTGTTCGCCGCTCTTCTTGTCGTTCTGTCTTCCAGTCATTGTTGCTTGAAAGGGGTGGAATTTCCTTGCAGACCTCTTTCTTAACTCATCTCAGTCTCACGATCTTGTCTCATTTTTCTCACCTTACTGTCACGCGACTGCTTCTCTCTCTTCTCTCTTCTCTCTTTCCTGTCTCATACTCTCTCAAAAGAAAATATTTACCTTCTGTCCTCGTGACAGCTTGCACTCGTCTCGGATAGTGGCCAGAAGACGTTTTTCAGACTCACATTGCAGCAGACGACAGCAGACATGGCTCCCGATCTCAACTCGCTGCCGACGTCGCAGTCTGGGCCCAGTGCCTCCCGGACGCGGAAGCAGCCCAACATTCTCTATGTGATGGCGGACCAGCTGGCAGCGCCTCAGCTCAAGATCTACAACGAGGAGTCGCAGATCCTGACGCCCAACCTGGACGCGCTGGCAGCCAAGTCGGTGCAGTTTGACTCAGCCTACTGCCCGTCGCCGTTGTGCGCGCCCTCACGCATGAGCATGATCACGGGACGGCTGCCCATGGCCATTGGCGCATACGACAACGGCGCGCAGATTCCCAGCGACATCCCCACGTACGCACACTATCTGCGGCTGAAGGGCTACGAGACAGTGCTGGCAGGGAAGATGCACTTTGTGGGTGACCAGCTGCATGGATACGAGAACCGGCTGACCAGCGACATTTACCCGGGCGACTTTGGCTGGGTGGTCAACTGGGACGAGCCAGAGACGAGACTGGAGTGGTATCACAATGCCAGTTCGGTGGAGCAGGCTGGCGTATGTGTGCGCAGCAACCAGCTGGACTACGACAACGAGGTCATGTACCGGTCGGAACAGTTTCTTTACAACCACGTGCGAGCCGATCCAGAAACCCGCCGGCCTTTTTGCTTGACGGTATGTATGGCGTGTGGAGAGGAAGACTAAGCATGCGACTGTTCGAATGGGAGTAGTCGTAGATGTCTGGAAGAATGAGCCTCTCCGCGTAGGCTTGTGAGGTGCAGCATGCAGACTCACGTTTGCTAACGCCATGGTTCTGATAGGTTTCACTCACACACCCACACGACCCGTACACGATCCAGCGCAAGTACTGGGACCTGTACGAAGGCGTGGACATTGCGCTGCCCAAAGTGCAGATCCCCAAGGAGGAGCAGGACCCGCACAGCAAGCGGCTGCTCAAGGTGTGCGACCTGTGGGACAAGGAGTTCACACCGGAGCAGGTCAAGCGGGCGCGGCGTGCCTACTACGGCGCTGTCAGCTATGTGGACGACTGTCTGGGCCGGCTGCTGGGCATCCTGCGTGATTGCGATCTAGAGGACGACACGATTGTCATCTTCAGCGGCGACCACGGCGACATGTTGGGCGAGCGAGGGCTGTGGTACAAGATGTCGTATTTTGAGTCGTCTGTGCGCGTGCCCTTTCTCATCCACCACCCGCACGACTTTGAGCCGCACCGCGTGAGCCAGAACGTGTCGACGCTGGACATCCTGCCGACCATGTGTGATCTGGTTGGCGCCCGCGTGCATGTCGACCTGCCCATGGACGGCACGTCGCTGCTGCCGCACCTGCAGGGCCTCGCCGGCGGCCCCGACACTGTCATTGCCGAGTACACGGGCGAGGGCACTGTGGCTCCGCTCATGATGATCCGCCGTGGTCCCTGGAAGTTTATCACCTGTCCGTCTGACGGGGTGCAGCTGTTCAACCTCGTGGCCGACCCACTCGAGCTGCACGACCTGGCCAAGAGCCTGCACAAGAAGCGCTCCGCCAACGGTGGTGCCGTGCTCTCGGCCGCCGATGCCGACGCACTCAAAGTGCTCGTCGCCTTCGAGACCGAGGCGGCTGCTCGCTGGGACTTTGACCGCATCACCGCCCAGGTCCGTCTGTCGCAGCGCCAGCGCATGTTTGTCTGGCCGGCCCTCAAGATCGGCAAGTTCACCAGCTGGGACCATGACCCGCACGACGACGGGCGCGAAAAGTAAGTTTCGATGGGCGGAGAAGAAGATGCGGCAAAGGAGCGGCAATGCTGACAGGAAACAGGTATATCCGCTCGCACATGCATCTCGACGATCTCGAGCGCATGGCCCGGTACCCTCCTGTGGACCGTTGGGGTCGTGTAGAAGCGGCCAAGTGAGAGGCGAGCAGCGAGAAGGAAGGGCGGTCTGTACTTTGAGCGTTGCAACATTTAATGAGATATGCAGGACTTGCAAATAGTTCCATTCGAATCCGGAAAGGGCAATCATAGGCAAGAAGGCACATAGACTCTTTAATGCCATATATGCATGTATGCGGAGTACGTGTTCCTTGTAAGACGTAATGGGTATAGCGCGCTTCCTCTGACCCCACTCATCTATTGGCCAAATTCCCCGCCTGCGAGAAGCTGTCGGATCTCTCACTTTCGACTTGCGCCGCACCCAACATTGGTCGTTCTCAGCGCGATTGCACGACCGCGGCTGCCCCTGACAGTATGGCACCAACAATGGCATCCGACGACACGGCCCTCGGGCTGACGCAGGAGGACCTGAAGGCGATTGACTCGGTGCGGGGGCGGTTGTATCAGCTGACCAATAGTATTGATCGCCTGAAAAACAGTGTGTTGATGAGCAATCCGATGCCGACGCCGTACGTGGGGACAGAGAGGGAGGATAGAGAGGGAAGAGGATGCTGACCTCGTGGCAGGGAGTCGATCCAGGCGTCTGCGTTTGTGCTGCAGCAGAATCTGTCCTCGCTCAACGAGGTGATGGCCCAGCACGCCGAGCTCTTCCGCCGCATTGTTGTGCACCCGGACCCCATGTTTCCGGGCCGCACGGCCGAGCAGGTGTTGACGTCGCTGCTGCGCAAGAAGCTGGAGCCAGACGTCGAGCAGATTGCCGAGACGGCGCGCGAGACGGCAGCAGCGCGCGGCATCGGGCCCACGAGCTTTCTGGGCAGCGGCGCGGCCGGCAAGCAGGCCCGCCACGACGAGGAGGAGGAGGACGACGACGACGACGATGATGATGACGACGATGACGACGACGACAGCGACAACAGCGACGACGACGACGGCCACGGCAACCGCAACGGCGACCCGCGCGAGCCGCTCGGCCTCGGCGACATCTGGGCCGACGCCCGCGCCTGGTGCATCGACCGGATCGGCGACTTTATCCGCGAAGAGGCCTCGGACCTGTACACGAAGCGGGAGCGCGAGGTCATCGGCATCGAGAACGTCCGGACCGGCCTGCGACGGTCGCTGGAGGAGGACGACGAGGACGACGAGGACGAAGAGGACGAGGACGACGAGGACGAGGACGACATCGCCACACGACAGGACCAGGACGTCGTCATGCTCGACAGCATCGGGACAGGCACATCCACGGCGCCCGAAAAGACAGAAAAGACAGAAAAGACAGAACTGCCCAGAGGACCACCGGTCGAGCCAGAGGTGCTGCTGTGGCTGGCTGCCCGAGGCGATGCCGAGCTGCCGCGCTACGTGGACATCGAGTCGCGCAAGGCCGCTGCAGCCAAAGCGGCGGCTGCGCAGAGACGCTAGCAGCCGGAAGAGGCGAATGGGAAACGAGAGGAGAGGCAGTCGAGCACAACGGACGCATGGTCTGGGACATTCGGCACAGAACGGGGCGTTTTGGAGCTACAGAGGGAATTTGCATACTGCAGACACGTTGCCATTTTTTTCCGATTGACTACAACTCCAATGGATGGCTTTGCCGGGGGTGTTACCTATACTTACCCCTGATCTGCTACAATGCAAGATGCAAGTGGTGGGAACATACTCTGGTGATCCCAGCGAACGCACATTAACGGCTCACGCCTTCGCAAACCCAAAGTATCAGATAACTAGCGGCAGCAGCCATGTCGGCGATCCTCTCGTCGCCGATACTGTCAGTCACCTTCTGGCTGCTCGACTGGACTACTGATGGGTGACTTCATCGGCAGCGGCCTGGAAGCGGAAGAGAAGAAGAGAAGAAGGCGGGAACAGAAACGAGTCCGGAAAGGCGGGTACGTATGCTACAATGCGTGAGAACAGCACACGGAAGGCGCGACCGAGGGAAGCCTGTCCAGTCAAGCAGCAACATCATCTTGTCAGCCAAGTCATGGTACAGACAGAGATTGGATATATACGCTACGCCTTCTGCCTGTCTCGTGAAGCACATACAATGCCGTTCTCCGCGCCTCCAAAGGCTAAACACCCTGCCCCCCATTCACGGTCAAACGGACGATCTATCTGGGCGTCCGGGACGCACAGCAATGCCGAACCGCGTGAATGGGAATACCCAATAGAAACGAGGCCAAAGAGGAGATAATGACAGAATACAAGAGTCGAGTAGCGAATATAGAGTTTTCTTCTTGTTCTTATAAAGGGAATGGGAGGCAGCATGAAAAACCAGCAGAGCAGACAGGCCCCTTGTCATTTTCGTCATTATAGTCGTCGTTTGTGTTGTGTTGAGCCAAGGCTACCCAGAAGAGAGGATATTGAAAAAGGGAAGCGGCAAAGACACAAAACCACACAGAGAGAAACAGGTAGAGAATTGAGCACAACGGCAGATACTCCAACACTTCTTTCTGTATCCTGAGAAGGGCAAGAGAAGGGAAGACGAAGGAGGATGAGAGGAGAATCGCCCCGCAGCCCTCCTTCTTTTCCCTGCCTGTTTCTTGGTGGCATGTTCTATATTAGTGTGCCGGCACATCTTGAGAGAAGGGAACGGGGAGCTCTGTGCGTTGACGCTGTCGTCGTCGTCGTCGTCATCGGCATGCTCAGAGCTCCTCGTCCTCTTCCTTGACTGCTGGTGCTAATGATGTTTGGCTCTGCTGCTTCTGCGCAGCCTCTGCCTTTGCGAGTATGTCGCCCAATGCCGGTGGAAAGGAAGAACCGAGCCCGGACCGCTGCTCGCCTTCGAGTCCCTCGGCCAGGCTGGCCCGGTGCCTCTTCAGTGGACTGCCGATGATCGAGTCGTCTGGCAGGCTCTTGCCAAACAGCACCGACGTCCCTAATGCACCCGACGCGGCGGCAGTTGCACTCGATGCTGCGCCTGGCGCGGCCATCGACATGCCGGCGCTGATGCCGGCTGCTGCTGCCAATGCTGCTCCCAGTCCTGACACCCCCCCTGGTGCTGCTCCTGCTGTGCCGGCCGCATTCAGATCGGGCGTCTGATCGCCGGTGCTCGGTGACTTGCGGAAATCGCTTGGTGAGGCGTCCGGCTCGGCGGAGTGCCGTCGCTTAAGCTGTTGCTTGTTAAAAGATGCAGCGAGACAGGCTCACACCCATAAGACACGTACCTGAATGCGGTTGACACCGTCCGCAAGCTCACCCGTGAACTTGGCGTCGTCGGGCCCCAACCGGTCTGATGCTTTGATAAAGTCCTTGTCGTCCTTGTCATCCTTGTCATCCGCACCCGAGATCGTTATGATTTTGTCGTCGTCATCGTCGTCATCGTCGCTGTCTTCATCCATCGTCATGGCCCCGATGCTGCTCCTGTTCTTCTTGTGTTTGATCTTCCGCCGAGCCGTTTCCGCTTCCTGGTCCCGGAAGGCTGAGAAGTTCACGGTGCCGCCGGTCTTGAGCGATCCGATGCCAGTGAAGTCGAGCTGCGTAGACCGGCGCTTGTTACTGGTTGTCGACGCTGTCTGTTGGCCCTTGGCTGATGGTATGACGCCCATCTTTTGTAGTTGGCCTGTCATTGTTAGGGAAAGACGAATAAGAAGAAGAAGGAGAAGAGGAGAGTAAAAGAGGAAGAACAGGAACTCACGCTCGCCGCGGTAGAAAAAGGTAAAGGTGGCATAGGGCCGGTCTGGCCCGTCGATGCCGGTGACGGTCTGCGTCGAGATAGTCTTAGGATCAAGGCTCTTAGGCTTGGCAAAGCTGGTCGTATGCTCGACATCGGACTCGACGGCGGCACCGCCCGATTTTGCGGCGCCCTCGGCATCGTCGTCGTCGTCGTGGGCATCGAACTGGGGCGAGTATTCGCCCTTCTTGATCTCGCCCGAGGCGAGCACGCGGAACATGGCGACCTTGATCTGGCCGGTGGCTTCGGGCTGCTCGTCGTCCGAGGGCGAGTCGTCCGAGGCGCAGTCCGAGAGGTCGACGGGATCGAGCGCATCAGCGCCACCATAGCGGAAGGTCGACTGGTGGAGGCCGGTGCCGCTGGTAATGCGGTGGGTGCCGGTGGCGTCGGCGGTGCCGTTGCGCTGGTCTTCCTGGCGCTTGCGGCGGCGCTCAAAACGCTGCCTCCGCTTCTCCAGCTTCTTGGCGGCGTCGTGGCCCTCGAGATCGAGCCCGTTGAGCCAACGCTCCAGGCCGACCTCGCGGAAGAGAAACTCGCGCTCGGCCAGGCCGCCGCCCTCGGACTCGGGCACCTGCACCCACCGGCTGTTCACCCACGTCTCCTCGCCCGGGCGTAGTAGCGTGGCCACCTCCTCCTTGGCGCGGCCGTCAAAATAGATGTAGGCCGCGATCGTCTCGTTCTCCGAGTTCGTCATCGGAATGTAGGGTGCGACAATGCCATTGACGCGGCCCTCTTCCTGGGCCGGCGGCAGCTCACCGACTAGCTGCGGCCGCGGGTACGGATTCGCCTCGGTCGGCTTGGGCGTCGAGTATGGTATGGGCAGGCTCGGCGTGAGGAGGGTGATGGAGATGGCAAACTTGGCCGCCTCCGGCTTGTTCGAGTCGGGCGAGAGCTGCGGCTGCGGCACGGGAATGTAGCTGTTGATACGCGAGACCCGGGACTGCTTCTGGATGCCGTGTTCGGGGAGCGGAGCGCCGTTAGCATGGATGCTAACGGCGATGCCTCTGAAGCAAGGCATCGTCAGGAAGGCGGCGGTGTGATTGTCGTGTGATGCACAGCACACGACCCGGCAGAGGGGATTGTGTCCGGTGGCCGATTGGCGGAAGGCAGAGCAGCAGCAGGGAGCAGCAGCAAGAAGCAAAGGAGCAGGACAATCCAAGCCCACTGAGACGACAGGAGAGGGGTAGAAGGAGAGAGCGAGAGCGAGAGAAAGAGAGGCAGAGTCGGTATCGGCTCGCGGAAAAATCGCCGCAGCCTTTTCAAGTCCGATATGGCTGCTGTCCAGAGCGGCCCCAGTCAAAGAGAGAGAGGGACACAGAGAGCGGTGGCTTGATACGGCCGGACTGAAAGAGGCGTCTCTGTGCTGTTTCTGGCTGGAGTGGCAGCGACTGCAGCTTCGTCTCGCCGTTCGGGAAGGGGGCAGGGGGAGGGGGGACTGAGAGAGACTGAGAGGGAGGGGCGGTGTCAGAGGAAGCACGGCCTGGGGTAGGAAAAAATCCAACAGGAAAAAATAAAGAGATGTGCAGGGAAGAGAGAAATCGAAGCTGAAGGGGTTGGGTGAATAGCGGAGCTCGTCCGCTAGGCGGGGCGGGAAAGAGAGAGAGAGCGAGCGAGGAGAGTCAAGCCGGAAAGGAACAATGTTTAGCCTCGGCGCTTTCCTCACGTCAATGGGGGAATCTGGCTTTCTGTCTATTCTGTCGTGTCCTCTGCCCTCTTGGCTCTGTTGTCTTTTCGTCCTTTTTCTGTTTCGTCTTTATCCCCTTTCTCTTTTTCCTTTTTCCCCTTTCCCTTTTCTTCCTTGGGCCCGGCGAGGGTTGGTCTCAGCGCGACGATAATGCCGACCTGCACCTTGTCCTGGGGAGGGCTCGGATTGGACCGACGGTCGGCAAAACGACGCTGTCTGTTCTTGGTGCTGCAGAGCTGTCCCGCCTGTTGGCTGGCTACGGCATCGGCTAAGCACTCGAGCACCGCTCAATTCGCTTTGTGGCCGTTTCTTGTCGGCCGGCCTTGGTACTCGTACTCGGGGCTAGTGGGAAACTCCCAAAATGCATGCTTGAGAGCTTGAAGAGAGCTGATAAAGTTACGGCAAAGATCCGGTAGGAGAGAATCTCGGTTTAAGGGCAAACATATAGCTGCAGATGTGCGGGCAGACCAGACGGCCGGAAAGCTGCTGTAGCTGTGACGAGCCAGACAAACAGACACTGGCCGATCCGTCTCTGCTCTCCGGTCTTTTCTGTGTGTCCTCAACCGACTACAGCTTCCAGCCAGCTCCTCCCCCCCCAAGCGCAGAACAAGAGGGCGGGGGGTCCTGGGTTCCTTCCGTTCTGGCGGTGAGTAGCACACGCGCTGGCAGCCAACGCTGTCAGAGGGGCAGGCTACGACGCAAGAGGCGGTCTTAGCGAGCCTGTTGGCGGGGAAGCTCTTCCGTGACTGGCCTATCCACACAAGTAAGACATTACAGCGTGTTTTATTGCTGCTAGGCCGCCCCGCCCCTGTCTCTCGTGGCGCGGGGCATGGCCCAGCGCCTCAGCACCACTGAAAAAGGCGAGATCCCGTTTGCTATGCGGGCGAAGCTGGACCTGCAGACGGTGCACATTGGATTGTCTGCCAGCCTTCTTATCACAATGCCTGTTTGTGTGTTGTCTGTGTTTGTTCACCTTCCGATCTGCCCATTCTCGGACGGTCTGTTTGTTGCATGGTAAATCATATGCATAAATCAGAACTAAATCACTCGTTATTTGCATCCATGTGCATCGCCGTTGTCTGCCGCTCCGGCCGTCCACTGCGTCTTCCACCAGGCGACCATCTTGTCCAGCAGCCCACTGCCGATGATGTCGAAGCCGTCCTCCATCGTCTTGCTGGCCCGCTCCGTGCGGTCGGTCTCAAAGACCAGCCCGGAGCGTCCCGGCCGGTCGTTGTCGTACTTTTCCGAGAAGAAGTCGATCAGCTTGATCGTCGGATTGCGCGTCGGGTCGGCGTCCGAAGCCCGCAGCAGTTCCACCCATTCTCGCTGCGGCACCGTTTTGAACGGCAGACCGGCCGCCCGCAGAGCTGGCAGCAGCTCCTCGGTCCAGTCGAAGAGCCGCCGGTTCTGCACCTGGTAGACGAGAGATTTGTCCGGCTCTGGGCCGCGAGACCCGGACAGGCCAGACAGCTCCATCACAGCGCGGGCCATCTTGTCCACTGGCATCCATGAAGGTGTCTGCGGGAGGATGAGTCAGCTATGAAGCAATGAGAGCACAGAACGGTCGCCTACCTCGCTCAGAGCCGGCAAGGCTCCTATTGTCAGGGCACTTCGCAGCATTAATGGAATGGCCTCGGTCGTGTTCCAGATGCCCTCGTCTGCGTCGCCCACGATCTGGCCGAGCCGCAGTACCCGTGCGGCCATGCCTGTCTGCGCTGCTGCCGCCTTGATGATGTGTTCCGTCACTACCTTGGACCGTGCGTAACCCATCGGCTGTGCGTGTGCCAGGTTCTCAATGTACGTTTCTGCCACGGTGCCTGGAATCGGCGTGCCCGCACCCGCCGAGATAGACGAGCAGAAAAACAGCCGTGCGGGGGCACCCTCGACTCGGAGACATGTGTTGAGCAGGTTGTATGTGCCGCGAATGTGGTGCCCCTCGAAGCTGCGTACGCCCAGATTGAAGTTGACGGCCCAGGCTGCATGCACCACTGTCGTCAACCGACGCCGAAGCTGTGCCAGTATGTCGTCGTCCAGTCCCAGTGTCTTCTGGCTCAGGTCTGCCGGCAGGCATACTACCTTATCTTGGGCATCTTGCGTCAAGGCTGGCAGGCCCTTGGCTGCCAGCGTGGCGTATACCCGTTCCTTGGCTGCCGGCTGCGACGATGCCCGCACGAGGCAGAAGATCTTCGTCACGTGCGGCTTGTCCACCAGCTTCCGCAGAATGTGTACGCCCAGTGAGCCCGTTGCCCCCGTAAGCAGAACGGTCTCGGCCCCCTCCCTGCCTTCCGGACACACGTGAGTGCTTGCCGGCAGGGACGTAAAGGAAGAGAAGTCGCTGTACTTGGCAATGAGATCTCGCATGGCCTGAATCTCCCCCGCGGCGACGTCTCCTTCCGTGCCGTCGGCAGCCCCAGTGCGTAGAGACACCAGGTGCTGAGCCAACAGCCGCACCGTCGGGTATTCAAACACCACGTTCTGGGCTGGCCGCTTGCTGCTGAGGTCGATCTCGCGCACGATCTGAGCCCGCGCTATGATTGCCTGCAGGCTGTCCACGCCGGCCTCAAACAGATCCGTCTCGGCCTGCAAGCCCACAATGCCCAGCTTGTTGACGAAAATGTCGAGGAGATATGTCTCAAGCTCCGTCTCATCGAGCACGCGCAGGCCGTCCCCCCCTTCCTCTGCCGCTGGCGCTGCCTCGAAGCGTGCATACACGGCATCAATGACTGAGACAAACCGGCTGTAGAAGGCCGCACGAATTACTGTTCCTTTATCGGTTGCCGGATATACCGTGTCGCCGTCGAGGATCTCGATCATCTCCCGCGAGATGCGCCCAAAGGCCTCTGTGTGCGCGTTGGTGGCATCCACAACCGGCATCAGGGCGTCGAGCAGCGCGCTCTTGGACAGACCTTTGGCCTTGTCACTGGGAATGATGGCCAGGCCCGGCACCGCCCGGTCAATGCCAAAGACGACGCACTCGCGCACGAGGTCGTGCTGACGAATCTGGTGTTCAAACGGAATGGGCAGCACCTTCTCACCATTGATCAGCGTCACCCGGTCGTCGATGCGGCCAAGGTACTTCCAGGCATCAGGCAGCGTCGGGTGCGGCTGAAAGAGATCGCGGGTGTAGAACGAGTTTGGCGGGTCTTCCGAGTTGGACAGCACCTTGGATGGCAGACCGTCAAGAACGACACATTCAAACGTATTGTCGCCACGTGGGACCATGCGCAAGAAAGGCTTTGCCGACAGCACTGGACGCATGTAGGCCCACTCCTTGTCGACAACCGGGTCCCGGAAGGAGGTCATCAGCTGGCCCATCTCCGTTGCCCCGTAGTGACCGGCCAGGTAGATGCCGGCATCTTCCAGACGGTTGCCCAGCTCGTCAGGGCAGCTACTACCGCCGTAAAGAACTAGCTTCAGCCGCTTGAGTGTGTCGATGCCGCGCGCGTCCTCAGCCATCAGCTTGAGTGCGTATGGTACGCAGTGCAGGCTCTCGGGGTCCACAGCTCGTATGGACTCCACCAGCGTGCTGCCAGCCAGAGGAAGGCTGGCGTTGTAGAGAGCAGCCTTCTTTCCAGCACAGAGGGCGCGGAAGAGCGTCGAAATTCCGTGGTTGTGGTACAACGGCAACGTGATGAAGGCGCGAAAGGGGATGCCACCAGCATAGTTGGCCAGACAGGCACCGTGTGTCTGAGAGATGGGCTTCGGCAAACCGGTAGAGCCAGACGAGTGGATGATGAAGGCTATTCGCCGTGATGGGTTGGAAATAGCAATTTCCGGCAAGCTCTTCTGCGAGGCATGCGAGGTGTAGTCGGGGTGCCCAACGATCGGAAAGACCGAGACAGGGCACTTTTGTTCGTCTCGCAGCCGGTCAGCCATGGGTGCGTGATTCGCCGACACGATCAGCTTGGTGCATGCCGTCTTCCGAAGCAAGCTGGCAATCGCATCAGGCGCTAGGCGATTCGACAGGAACAAGATGGCGAAGCCCAGCCGCGACAACGCGAAGATGGACACGACATAGTCAAAGTTGGATGGCGCCAAGATGGCCACCACCTCGGCCTTGCTGGGACTAGGATGTTCAGGAATTAGTCCCGACTGCAGATATCGCCATGCAGCAGTGGTGGCATAACGGTCAACGTCCTGAACTGTGTGGTAGACGTAGTCGGCCCTGCCTTTGGATGTGGCAGGGTATCCCAGAAACTGTGTTTCCGGGGAATTACGAACACGGCTGAGCAGGAGGTCGTTGACCATTTTTGGCGGGCTGCTGTCGTCTGCCACCGACATGGTGTATATTTCGACGGTATTCTTGGCTTCTATGCCAGAAGCAAAGTGCTGAAGGGGGGCGAGAGCCTGCGCAGTAGCTGCCATGATGAGGTCAGCGAGTCCAGGACTTGTGCTTGACCTGGCGATCTTTGTCTGTGTCTGGTAGGTTTGTTGCTGTGTGCTATAGGCATCTCTGAGAGCGGGAATTTATAGGATGCTGTAGCAGACCTGAGAGCTGGAATAGTAGCCATAGTGAGAGTCAGCCGAGCACCTTCTTCGGCCGCATTTCTGCATCTGGTCTTCTCCGCGTGGCGTAAACCTGTGCCGAGCAGAATCTCTCTCGGATAGGTCCCAGTGGAGATCTTGTTAGTGCATCGGAAAAGCACATCGGATAAAGCGCAGCGCCAACGACCCGTTGTAATTTGTGCTAATGACACTAATAAGCCAAGTTGCGGGGTGACGATCTATACTCCGTGCAAGCACAAGGTTGTGTATGGTTCGGCAATTGATCGTTTGCGTTCCCCAGTTTTCTGAAAGCTGTCACATGCGTAATGTACGGTCTTCATTGGCTATGGAATCAAAAGGCCAGAAGCCGGACGAGACCATGGAGTCAAAGTGGCCCCAGCTGGTAAAATCGGCCAGAGAGCTGCTGGGGCTCTCGTTCCAGTCCACCATTCCTTCGTCCAAGGGTGCGCCAGACAGATCAAATGGATCATTGACAATGCCTGCAATGCCCATGGAACGAAAGCTGGCCTCGACGCCGGCAGCATACGGAATGCTGCTGCTGCTGCTGCTACGACCGTTTTCATTCCCGCCGGCATGGGGAGTCCGAGTGGGCAGCATAGAGGTCTGTCGCTGCAGTCCGACCTGCTTGACCGTCACAAGGCGCAGCTCCTCGAGGACGAGCGTGTAACGTTGCGCCAGCGATCCGGTCTCGGCGTGCTGAACAATTTGGCGTTGGCACTCTATCGCCGCTGAAAGATACTGTCCGTATGTCTCTGGTGGAGAAGACCGGTGCTGAATGACATAGACGTAAACAACAACGACGGCAGAAAAGGCAAAATACATAGTGAACTGCTTTGTCAGCTGGATTTGACAACGTGAGACGAGAATGGGACAAAGCATACCCAGAAAGCTTTGAAGAGCTGACCGCCCTGAGATATATTGTCCACAATCTCAATGATGCTCATGGCGGCGTCCAGACACCGGTTTGTACTCTCCTGGATGTAGACGCGGTCTGACGCGTTACGCGAGTCGGCGCCGTAACGCTGGAGGTAGGCAAAGTTGCTGAGCAGTAGCGGCCGGTGCGTGAGCAGCAGGGCATGCCAGTAGGCCAAGTTTAGCACGTTGATCTGTCGCTGGAAGACGGGCATCAGCAGGGAGGCGCCATCGCGGTCGGTATCGAGAAAGCGAGATATTTCTCTGCGCCATGCTGCCAGAGCCTCCGAGTGCTTGCGCGACAACGACGCGCGTGTAGATGTGGATATGGGATGGATGGAGTAGAGATCGCGAAGAATGACGCTCACTATCCGCGCAAGCCTGGGAAGAAGATAGAGGGTCAGCAGAATATTTATGCAGGAACATCAGGACAGCAGAGGCTGCTCACCGCACATGTGCCACGGGTGCCAGCATCGTGGACTGGCCACGGGGCTGGCCGGGCCTGATCTCGTCGTGGAAGATCTCGCTGTCTTCCAGGATCGAGGGCAGCTCCTGATCGATGTCCTCATCATGAAACGTTTTCGGGCGGCCGAGAGCGGCACTCAAGTAATTATCCAGGTTATATGTGCACCAAAACGTGCGGCGACGACACTCGACATCAATGTGCCCAAGGCCAGAGGCAGGGTCGGCACGCCGGTTGCGATTGAGACCAATGGCCAGGGCCAGATGGGCAGTGGTGCCGAACAGGCTCCAGCAGTGGTTGATGCGTGACTGGGCCAGGAGGTAGAAACACTGGCAGAGCCGAGCCTGAACGCTGGCCAGGCGCACAGAGCCACGCTCCTTGGACAGCTGCTGCTCTGCAGCGAGAAAGTACTGGGCACTGGAGACCATTCCTGGAGCGGCTGAGTCTGGTGACATGTACTCGGTGGCCATGGCAAAAACCATGAAAAGCACGGCGATGCGGGCGCGGGTGTCTTCGTGGCTGGCCATGCTGCCCTTGGTGGCGTAGAACTCGGCTAGCCAGGCCTCGACAGTGGGCCGGTGCAAGAAACGGTGAGTAGGGACGGCAAAGTCAAAATAGCGTTCCAGAAGAGAGTTTGCCTCGGATCGGGTCAACAGCAGAGGAAAGGAAGCGTCATACTCCGGCAGTGGTGCGTCGCCAAAGGTGAAGATGGAGGAAGATGCGGCCTGGGAGAAGGACACAGTCTCGTGCAGGCGTTTCTGCACACGAAGCAAGAAGGAGACGCCAGAAGACGGACCGACGTAATGTCCCTGCAGATCTGTTTGCGAAGGCTCGGGAGAGACGCGGGAAGACGTGGCTACGATGGCATAGGCCGGAGCTGTAGCTGAGGCAGAAGTTGAGATGACGGCGTTGATTTTGTTGGTGGTGGTGTCATTGTCGGCATTGTGGTTGCTGCTGAATTTGGTATTGATGCTTCCAGAGCTGGGCGGATTGGAAATGCTCGAGTTCGACGGCTGTTTCTGCTGCTGCCGGTCCATCCTGGCTGTTGTGGCAGCCTCAGACAGAAAGGACAGCCGCTCGCCTAGGCCAACCGGCGCAGCCGCTATAGGCCTGCTGCCTGCGGAAAATGAGAAGCTGCGTGTATGCAGTGGAGCGGAGACTTCATTGAGGGACGGCCCCGTTGGAGAGAATTCCTGGGCCAATGGGATCGGCGGCAGACGACCGCGTCCATAGGTCAGGTCGTATGTGCACGTGGATTTTGCCTCGGTGCAGTGCAGGCATGGCTTGTCGCCCGTGCAGCGGACCTTTCGTCTATCCGGGTCTTGTTAACAGCCTTCATCCTACTTGAAGATAGTGGAAAGACGAGAGACACAGCCGAGCCTTGCTCGCTTACCTCTTGCACCGGTCGCAAGCACGTGTAACGCGTCGTCGTAGCTCTGGTGGCACCCGCTTCCGCTTCCTGGAAGACCCTTCGACTGGCGTTTCGGAAGGGGAAGCCAGATCTGGGAGCTGTCGTTGTGGCTGCTGGTTTTGCTGCTGCTGTTGGTGTGTCTCGGACGGCTGAGGCTGGCGGAACAGCTGGTGTGGAGAAGGGTCGGGAGAACGCGGCGGCGGAAACGCGGCAGCAGGCTCTGGCTGGTGCTCCATCTTGGCCGGCATGGGTCGTTCGAAATGGAAGATGGGTGACGGAGCTTTGCAGACGGAAGTCGGAAACTTGGCCAGCAGAATAAAGAAGACGGGAGAAAGACAGGAGAAAGACAGGACGGAAGAGTCTGGGGGAAGAGCGGGTCAAGAAAAATGGGGCGGGCGTTGGGTCTAGACGGGAAGGAACGTTCCCCGCAGTTTCCTTTTCCGTGGATTGTGGGGCCCAACACCAGCGCGGTTTTAGGAGCTGTCAGCAGTTTTCTCAAGTTGGCCCGAGACCCCTCTCCAACGAGTACGAGTACGACCCGGCAGCACAGCAGCAGAGTGGCCCGATCGGACTGCATCTGTATGGAACCGGCTTCTGTGCATAGCGGTCATGTCGCCAACGCCCACGCCCGTGCCCGACCGCCCGCCGTTCGCCAGCCTGCCGCTAGACCCGGCCGGCCCTCCTGGCAATGCCTGGGGGTTGTACGGCCGCGATGATGCGCTGGGGGCGCTGAACATGCTCACGCCAGCCCATGTGGCAGCATCGGCAGCCCGGGAGATCCGGACGGGCGAGCGAGTGTCGTTGGACTGGACGCTGGACAAGCCGTCGCACCCCAGCTTCGGCCGGCCGGCGTTCCGGTGGCAGCGCAAGGTGCTGCTGGATGTGCATGGCCAACCTCGAACAGTCAATGACGACACGATTGAGTTCAACACGCAGTGCTCGAGCCAGTGGGACGGCTTCCGCCACTACGGCTACCAAAAGGCCAAGCGGTTCTATGGCAACGTCACGGCTGAGCAGCTGGATGGGTCCAACGTGTTGGGACTGGATGGTGGGTGACTAATTGGACCGAGACAGAGACAGGGAAAGGACCATAGACCATCGACTGACTCCTCGTGCAGCGTGGGTGGAGCGCGGCGGGATTGTCGGGCGTGGCGTGCTGCTGGACTATGCCGGCTTCTGCCAGAAGCACGGCAAGACGATCGCGCCATTTTCGTCGACCGCGATCACCGTGGTTGAGCTCGAAGCTGTGGCAAGGTACCAAGATCTAGAACTGCAAAAGGGCGACATCCTGTTGGTGCGCAGCGGCTGCACCGAGGCGTACGAGCGTCTGTCGGCCACCGAGCAAAAGGCCCTGGCTGACCGGCCGGCACCCGATTTTATTGGAATTGCCCCGACCATCGACACGTTGCGATGGATGTGGGATTGCGGCTTCGCCACCGTGGCTGGAGATGCGCCCAGCTTTGAGCGCGCGCCCATCGGTGGTCTTCATACGCGGATCGGCGGCATCTGGGCCGGCGAACCCTGGGAGGCCGAGATGCAGGGCGGCGGGCTGCTACATCAGTGGATGCTGGCTGGCTGGGGCGTGCCCATCGGCGAGCTATTCGACCTCGAGGCCCTCGCCCGCAAGTGCGTCGAGCTGCACCGCTGGTCCTTCTTTGTCAGCAGCGTGCCTCTCAAAGTTCCCGGCGGCGTTGCCAGTCCGCCCAATGCCATTGCCATTTTCTAAATATGGGGTGGGTGCTGATGCTAAGGCTACAGCTGCTACAGAAAACGGTACTCGGCCAGACAAGGAATGTATATACAAAGTACGGAGTACTGAATGCGGTTCCTATAGCCCAAAATCACGCTAGGCCAATTCAGGACACATGATCCTGTCTGCCAAGATGCCATTTCAAGGGCGTGTCGATAAAATAGTGCGCCACGTCCTCTATTTAATGACTCATCTAGGGTCGGCTCGGCTCTAGACTATCATAAAAATTATCAGGTACCTATAAAGACAGTCGGCATGCTTCGACCTGTACTGTATCTTTGTACGGCACTTTCGCAGTCTATTTTGTGGCTCACCTCTCTAATTGCCTGTCATGGCGTCTGTCAAATCACAGCTTCGGGACTGTTCCTGGAAGAAAACCGGATTCCTAGTGTCTACCGATCCCAATCTGGTGCCAGTATCAACACTCGTCGATATCTTCGCATCCGGGGCTCTGTACTGGGCGAAGCCGCTGCCATCTGAAGCAATGCAGGAAATACTTGAGAATTCGCTCGTGTTTGGCTTGTATGAACAGCTCGCGCCCGGCGAGTCGGCAATCCCTTCCTCAGAGCTGAAGGTCATCGGCCTGGCTCGATGCGTAACCGACTATACGACTTTCTCTTATCTCACAGACGTCTGGATCAGCCCAGAGTATCAAGGAAAGGGCCTCGGTCGCTGGCTCATTGGATGTATCCGAGAGACCTTTGAAAACTTGCCTCATATGAGGCGCAGCATTCTGTTTACCGGAGATTGGGAGAGATCAGTTCCGTTCTATGAGAAGTTCCTTGATATGACACTCGTTGAGACGAAGCATGGCGAAGGGTTAGCACTGATGGAAAGCAAGGGGAAGGGACATCCTGCTTATGGCCTTGAAGGAAATGGCTATAATTGACGTTAAGACACTTTTTTTTTGTGTCAGCACAAGCTAAGCTCGACTATGCTTAGAGAAGAGTTGCTAATAAGACACCTTTAAAGAAGAAAATACGTACGACAGATAACAAAATTAGATTAAATCTATAAAAGCCGCCATAACAACCAAATATAAACGACGAAAACTATCATTGAGAATTCCCTTCTTCGGAGGTACACCTGTGCCTTAGGGTGTGCCTGCTCTGGAGTAGATCCTGATGTTGCTTCTGGAAACGACCCTGGCTTCGCCACGCCGGCGGGCCCTCCACAAATTTCACACGAAACCAGGTCGTCACCAAAAAGTCGATGGAAGAGGAAAAAAAGACATAAGACACGACGAAACAACACGAAAGCTGTCGGGGAGCTTTACCAAATGAAACGACGTCTGAAACAACAAGCGGCCAAACTACGAAACACCAAAAAAACCGATGGCTCTGTGGCGGAAGAAGAAGAAGAAGGAGCTGGCCAGTTTTCTGATTCTGATTTCCAACACGACCTCCCAGTCGAAGTCAAACATAAGCTTCTCTTACAACCATCCTCCCCATTCAAACGCTGGTCACCGATCTAGAGCATCAGACTCTAGCCTAGCACATTCTGTATACGACATATCCAGTTGTGGAGGAGAAGTATTCACTTGCCTTGACATTCTCCAAGACGAGTACCTGGTTGGCCATGGAGGATCGTCTATTCTCATATCTTCTAACTGAAGTCAAATGGGCAACTTTAAAGAAACAGCCCCGAAACTAAAATCCCTTGAAAGAAATATATGGCGCAGCCACCTTCAAGATCGATCATTCATGTCACCTTTTATCTGGTCTACTCCAGGTAGTCGGAGTTTTTGCTCCTAGCCCTTGCAGAACGTGCGAGAAGGACTTTGGACACTGGGCGACGTGTTATATCAGCTACGACCACTCTTCCATCGATATTGCAAAAGGGGCATGTACAAATTGCCTTTACACCTCTGCTGGAAAAGGCTGCTTATTCAGAAACTTGTTGCCCCAGGACACGAAACTGATACGAATCCCAAATTGAAAGAGCTCGAGGGGAAGGGGTTTCTTACGCACTTCGCGGACAGGGAGGCTTCTAAACAAGCTTAACAACACAATGGCTGTTAAATCGGCACGATGTCAGGGAACCTACGTTCAGGGAAACCCATTCAGGTGGCGTAAAAATAGACGATCCCTGCTTTCGGTTCATCCAGGTCGACCTCGTCGATAGCTCCTAGGTGGTTTAGCGTACACACAGTCACGATGCTGTGGACTATAGTATGCCTAAGCCCCGTTGGAGATGCAGTGTGTGCGAGCAATACTTCTGCTAGTTTGAGAAGGACTCTCACAATTGTCCGGGGCCCTATAGCAAATGCTGCAAGTGCATCGTCCGCCTCCCGAAGAGCGACATCGCGGTACACAGGCTCACATGTCCGTGGCTCCTTTGCGGTGCTTGCCAAATGCCAAGAATCGAAGACATGAAACAGCATCGCGAGGAATGTCCTGGTCGTCTTAAGATCAGCAACAACAACGGCGAGTCTATAGACGAGTAGTTTCTATAGGCAGTAATTCCATCATACCATGCTTAGCTTACCTATGCGCGACGTCAATAGTCTACACCCACAGGAGAAAGAACATCGCAAGAGGAGGAAAAATAGGAAGTGTCTAGAGTTTAGCCAACATTGCTATAGATCCGAAGTCGCCTGTGTCTGCCATTGGCATTCCTCACGCAATAGAAGTTACTCTGTATATAGAACTTTACAAGTGTAGGAGATAAGGCTGCACAGAGGTCGCTGCAGATGGGATTAGCTATCAAACCCCTAATCTAACATAGCCCTGAGTACCTGGATCTGCTCCAGCACGCTTGATCGGCTAGTACCGCCTTTAGACGATTTTGCCTCAACACTCGTTTCATACTCGAATGCCTCCGCAATGTCTGCTGTGAACCGAGAATCAATGGCTTGCAGTTGCTCAAGGGTCAGCTTGTCCATCGAAATTTCCAGCTTTTCAGACAGTGCAACGACGCGTCCAGAGATGTGGTGAGCCTCTCTGAACGGACATTTCCTCCTCACCAACCACTCTGCGACATCAGTAGCTAGCATCGTTTTGTCCAGAGCAGCCTCCATCCGCTCCGGCCGCACCTTTAATGTAGACAGGACCCCATTGGCTATACCTAGACTGTCCGACACAGTCTGAACCGAATCCAGCATAGGCTCCCACCCTTCCTGGAGATCTTTATTATAGCAAGATGGCAAGCTTTTCAGAGTCTTTCAAGTGAACAGTTAGTAGCTACTCTCGATACACTCCTGGTCACCCCCAAAGCCAAGGCAACTATCTGAGATGTTGATATGAGGACTCACCATCATCAACCCAGCCATTTGACCGAAAGCACGGCCTGACTTGCCGCGCAAAAGCTCTAACGAGTCCCCGTTTTTTTTGTTGGGCATCAAAGAGCTACCCGTAGAATAGGCGTCGGCCAGCCGCACGAAGCTGAACTCAGATGTCGAATATATGATGAGGTCCTCAGCCCACCTGCTAACGTGGTTGGTGAAAATCGAGTTCCAGACAAGAAAGTCGAGTAGGAAATCGCGCTCGGCCGAAGTATTCATGGAGTTCAAGGTTATTCCGCTAAACCCAAGCTCCTCAGCTATCATATTTCGATCAATCCCGAATGGATTGCCAGCTAAAGCGCCACAACCAAGTGGACTTAAATTAACCCTTTCGAAAACTTGGCGCAACCGCTCAAGATCCTGCTTAAACGCAGCGGCATATGACATCAGCCATTGAGAAAACCGAACTGGCTGGGCACGCTGGAGATGGGTGTATCCAGGCATGATGTAGTCGCTGGGGTTGTCAGTCAGCAGGAGGCTGCTTTTGGCCAGATGTGGGGGGCTAGGCTTACATTTCAGACTCGGCACGTGTGACAATGACTCTGAGGAATGCAACGAGTTGGCTGTCGATTTCGCGGATCCGATCCCGTAACCACATGCGCATATCACAGACAACTTGCTCGTTGCGGCTGCGACCTGTGTGCAGCTTACCCGCGATGTCCTTGCCGATAACCTCTCCTAAGCGACGTTCGTTTGCCGTATGAATCTGGTCCATTGTGTTAGCCTCGAGAAGTTGAGTAGAACGGGGCGGTGTCTCACATCTTCGTCGTTCGGCATGATAGCGAAAGTTCCCTGCTTCCATTCTTCCATCACTTGGAGCAAACCACGCTCAATCGCCTGAAATTCGTCTTCGCTGACGATGCCAACCTTTGAGTTGGCTCTGGCAAAGGCAATCGATCCAAGGATATCTTCCTTGTAAAGAGCCTTGTCGTACTGGATGGAGGCATTGTACTTATACATGAGAGGATCAATCGCACCTGCGTACCGTGAGGTCAGTATACTACATCTGAAGCTTGTTTCCCGAGACAATCGAACCTGTGAACCTGCCCCCCCAGAGCATGCCAGCTGCCGGGGCGTCCGCCTTTTTCTCGGCCATGTTGGAAATATTCGTGAGTGGCGTCCGTTGCGTTCTCAAGGCCAATGTAATCAATGGGATGGATGAGGCCAATGGAGCATATGGCGCGGAATTGTATCAATTGACGTTCGAGAGTCGAAAAATCTGTTGAAAAGTTAAAGTTGGTCGATCAGTCATAGGAAATGTTTGTAAAGCCGACACCGGCGTCATGTGTTACGTAAGGACCCCGCGTATCCTTTTGTAAGTACGGGGCGCTTAGGGCCGGAAATAAGGTATAACCTGAGCCCGAGATACGCACATATTTTGTACCAGAACTTAGGGTTAGACACATTTTATCAAATTATCAAATTGTACGCAGTCATGAAGTTGTGTGTATTGGTATATGTACAAAGCGCTTGGCATTAGAACTTGACCGTTTTGGTGACGGCGTCCTTTTCTTAGCAATAGTTCTTCATGACGGAGCAGCGTGCATCTTATTTTTCTCAAGCGGATGTGGCTTCTTAATATGGAGTACAGATATGGAGTACAGATATGGAGTATATAGAGATCTCTACTCTGTTTATATGTCTTTCAAATCTTAGGAGCTTCACTGAAAAAAAGGGGACTGGTGATAAGGCTAATCTCTGTCATGTAAATGGTTTTGATTTCACTGAACTGAAGAAAGGTCTAACAGCTAATCTGGATAGGAAGGCCTTCCTTTATACATGAAAAGGGCCAGCAAAGGCTGCAACTGCGTGCTAGCACGCAGTATCTCGAACGTGCTGTAGACCCATTTGTATCTTGACTATGGCGATACATTTGTGCCCACTACATCCATTTTAACAAATTCGCTTCCCCATTTCCCAGTCAAGAACAGACGACAGTGGACATACACAGTAATTCCCGCCTCTTGGTGTACCGATCCCATGAAATGCAAAAGAACACCACAGCCAAGACTTTACAGCAGAAAGCGAAATCCATCATTTCCAGCAGCCCCACTGGAGCTGACATCACGTACGTGCTCGCCGCGATCGAGTTTCTTGTTCAGACGAGCAAGGTAGAAGCGCAAGCCGGTGGCGGCAATGACAGTCATTGCGGACATGGCAATGTTCACCCCAAAGGCAGTGGCATAGCGAGGGGCAGCAGATTCTGGGGATGAATGTGAGCCTGAGTTTTCTGGAAGCTTTCTAAGTTTCACACTTTACTTACTTGGATAGAGGTATGGCGAGTAGATCTGGCAGACGTTGCTAAGACTGTTCATAAGTGCAAGACAGGCGGCACGCTTGCTGGCAGGCCGGGGAAGAACTAGTAGGTCAGCAGGTGTAGGCAGGGGAACAAAGATGGGGAAAACCTACTGTTAGAGATGTAGCCAAGGGCGACAACGTAGCCCGAGTACGTCGATCCTACCATGATGCACATAGCGCTGTGCTGTCAGTCACTGTTAAAGAAGCAAGAGGATGGAGGAACGGGTACACTTACAAGTAGCGAGGCGCAAATTTGGTGGTGGAGATGGCGACGATATACATAACCATAGCTAACAGGGGAGACAGGGTAATGTGCAGGTACCGCTCGCCGGTGCGGTCGGCATGCCAGGCGTTGGTCAAGCAGGCGGCGACGGCGATCAGGTAGGGAGGGGTGGTGAGGAGTAGGGTGGTGATGTTTCCCTTGCCAAGGGTTTTGACAACACTAGTTTGTTAGTCTTTCTTTCTTTTCTTTTTTTTTTCTTTTCTCTTTTTCTCCCTCTCCCCCCCTCTCTCTTCCACTCACGTTGGAAAGAAGGTCGTCATGGAGCCGCTCGCGGTCGAGCCATAGATGACGACCAGGATGAGCCACGTCTTGGCGTCAGTGGCGGCCAGGCGGAAGCCGTGCAGCGGCGACTGGTGGCGGCTATCGATCCAATCGTCCTCGCCAATGTCGGCCTGCAGCCGCCAGCTGGCCAGCTCGCGCTCTTCGGCCGACAGCCAGCGTGTGGTGCGTGGCAGGTTCGGCAGCAGGAAGAAAGCACCCAGTGCCACGCCGACGGTGAGGCAGGCCTCCAGAATAAATAACCAGCGCCAGGCGCTGAGGCCATGCAGGCCGTCCATGCCGTCGAGGATGCCGGCGGCGATGAGCCCGCCAAAGGCGCCCGACAGCAGCGAGCCGCTGTACAGGATGCCGGTGCGCAGGGCCAGCTCGCGACGCGTGTACCAGCATGAGAGGTAGTAGAGGCAGCCGGGGAAGTAGGCGGCCTCGATGAAGCCGAGCACGAAGCGGGCCGCCAGCATCCCGCCATACGACTGCGACGCTGCCGTCGCACCCGAGACCACGCCCCAGATGAGCATGCAGCCGGGCAGGTACAGCGCCGGCCGGCCGAGCTTGTTGAGCAGCATGTTGGAGGGCACTGTTAAGGGGGGGGATGTTTGATTAGTAAGCATCACACACGACACCACAACGCCGAAGCTCACCTTGCATCAGCAGGTAGCCGGTAAAGAGAATGCTGACGACGGTGTTGAACTGGTAGCCCTTGAGGTGCAGGTCGCGCTGCAGATGCGACAGTCCGGCCGCGGCAATGTTGTTGCGGTCGAGTTAGTTCAGAATATACATCAAGACGATCAAGGGCATCCTGTCGGGTCAGCACAGATCAAAAGCAGCAGCAGCAGCAGCAGCAGCATAACCTACAGCCGGATGTCAATTTTGCGCCGCAGACGCGTCTCCTTGGCCGCCAGCTCCTCAGGTGAGGCATCGCGGATCCACTGTGGACACTCGCTCTCTGGGCTCTTGGTGGCAACGGCCTCAAGCGTCTGTATGTCGATGGCGAGGTCGTCCTTCTTGTCGTTTTTGCTGTCTAGGGCAAAACTGTTCTGCATGTTTGCTGCCATGGCGCGTGGTTGCAAGAGGAAAGAGAGAAGGGCAAGGACATGTCGGACACAATCTTGGACAAAGACACAAACGAGAGCGGCCGCTCTTATGCATCTGGATCAGGCATCAAAGAGGCCTTCTCTCTTCACATGTGGCGATTTGACCTCATCTGTCCACATCTCCCCCTCTTCTCTAACCGTCTCCGCAATCCCCATGGTCGGATAAGCAAGACATGGGGTAACGATGGGGAATATCATGGGGCTACAATTTGCGGGGAAGAAGCAAGGAGGTGTCATACGGCGACAAGGAGACGTCAAGGACGGCTGGCAGTGGGCTTATATTCGGATAGGAAGTCGGAAAAGGGGTGCTGTCACCCGGCTTTAGGAGTGTGACGATTGAGGTATCATACGACGGCAGCGATTCACTTTACCATGAATTCCGGCCTTGAGGCGTTAGCCCCATCTCCTTCAGTGCTTTTACGAGACCTCAGTCACGTCGGTCTAGTTATCGCATAGAGTGTATGTCTTGTCTTTAATGAACTCTATAGACATACAACAGACGCTTAGTAAACATAGCGAAAGTTCATGTTTTCCTTGTCCGTCAAGTCCTCGAAAGCGGTGGCGTCCAAGTTCCTTCTCTCTGGGCCCTGCAGCCGGTCGCGCCGCCTGTTCTCGGCTGCCAGAGCGAAGCGCAGGATCAGGATCATGACCGTCTCGAGCAGAAGGACAGCCACCATGCTCCAGATGCCCAGAGAGTAGACGGGGGCCTGCTCGGCCTTGTAGAAGAAGGGGCCAGCGATGTTGCCGGTGCAGTATCCTAGTCGTGTCAGAAGGTGCGATGGAGGCGGAGGGGAAGACAGGCCTACCAAGAAACAGACGCGCCGACGTGATCATCTTCTTTGAGTGGCCGGCCACGTTGGCCGTCTGCATGGACAGCAGCAGGACCCAGGTTGCGGTGACGGAGCCGGTGAGCTGGGCTTGTGAGCAGTTGATGACTAAGCAACGCGTGGACAGGCCCGTCTTGGGACACACGTACATAGTAGCAGATCAGACAGCCGACGCGCTGGTCGCTGGGCACGTAGTGTAGGCCAAAGGCGCCGGCGATGCTGGGAAGAAGAAAGGCCACCATGACGAGGCAGCGGCTGTTGGGCGGCAGGCGGTCGTTGATGAAGACGCTGCTGAGGATGAAGAGAAAGATGCAGGCACCGTAGGGATTCTGCAGCAGGGTGGTGACCACTGGGAGGGGGATGGTCAGAACAAGAGATCTAGCTGCTGCCGGGCTGTGCTCTTACGTGTAGAGAAGCCGAAGCCTTTGGTGATGATGGTGCCAAAGTTGGTAGTTCCGCCGTTGGTGGTCGAGTGAAAGAGGGCGATGAGGAAGAAGAGGACGGTCTTGACGTCGAAGAGGGCCTCGACGACGTGGTGCCTCTTGAAGGTGGGACTGGCGATGCCGGTCTGGTTGTCGCGGAGACGGTAGACGGCCAGCCGGCGCTTGCGGGCGGTCAGGGGAAGAAGGATGCGGCTGATGCTGAAGGAAGAGAAGCCGAAGCCGAAGCGGTTTTTGGTCCTCGGGCCCCCATCGACCGGGCTGTCCGGCAGGGCGATAGCGACAAAGAGGCCTCAGAGCGAGCAGCAGGCACCGATGAGGAGGAACTCGTAGCGCCAGGGAGCCAGAGCACCGCGGATCTGTCCGATGGCATAGCCGAGAAGACCGCCACCGGCAACACCGAGGCCGTTGGCACAGTACCAGAGGCCGATCTTGACGGGCTGCTCGCGGCGGGTGTACCACATGCTGGTGACGAGGATAAAGGCGGGATCGGCGACAGCCTCGGCCGCACCGCCGACGACGCGCAAGACGGCCAGGCCGGCAAAGTCGTGGCAGGCGGCCTGGGCCATCAACAGGACGCCCCAGAGAAAGATGGTGCTGAGATAGCGGCCGACGGGCAGACGCTGCAGCAACATGCTGGCCGGCACAGCCCAGGCGAGAAAGCCGAGATAGAAGAGCGCCGACAGCCAGCTGTAGTCGGTGCCGTGCAGGCGCAGGTCCTTCTGGATGCCAAACACGGCCGCGTACGAGAGCGTGGTTTTGTCGACCTGTGGACAGATGCATCAGACTCACGCCCATTCGGCTTCTATCTCGGGACTAGACACTTACATAAAAAAACATAAACGACATGGCAAACAGCGGAAGCAGCACCCGGTCGATCTTTCGCACCAGCCGATGTTCCTCGGCCGGGTCAATCTCGCCCATCTCATCGGTCTCGCCCAACACAGCCAGCGCAATGTCGCCTCCGTGGCCGAGTTTTTGCTTCGCCTCGTTCTCGGCCAGCGAGCCGTCATCGCACATCTCAACCTGGTCCACCGTGGCCTTATCGACGGCGCTGTTCGTCTTCGTCTGTAGCTCTGTCATCGTGGCAAATACAACGGCGATGAGCCCGTCCTCCCCGTCTCACCGTCTTTCCATCTTGCCCTCTCCGCCTTATATACACTCTGACCATCTCCACTTACACTTGGCGTCGAATACCCCATGGGGTAGGCACGACTACTGTGCCAGCTGCAGCACTAGCGGTCACGTTGCGGAGTCGCTGCCGGACACATATCCGACGGCTCGGAAAAGCGACTAGCTGCAGCGTCGGGTAGCAGGACGTGGGAAACGGTGGGGCCACACCTCTTCCGCCGAAGCCGCAGCTACAAAAGGTGTCCTGCTGAAGAGGGACTGATGCATCTTGCCGTTTCGTCTCGTGAGCAAGTAGCATGATGGGCCTGCCGACGTACTTCCAGCTGAGCTCAGGACATGCCATCCCGGCCGTCGGCCTGGGCACTTGGGTAGGTCTCTGTCCACACGCGTGTCGTCGTGTTCTCGTCTGCTCACCAGATGTAGCAATCCCGGCCGAACGAGGTCAAGAATGCGGTCGAGACGGCTCTGCGGTTGGGCTACCGCCACATCGACGCCGCCGCCTGCTACGACAACGAGAAGGAGGTGGGCGATGGGATCAAGGCCGCGGGCGTCGCCCGGAAGGACATCTTTGTAAGCCGTGGTGGTGGATGCCAATCGTCTGAAACGCCTGCATCGCTTCTGCTGACCGCCCGTCCCTAGCTGACAGGAAAGCTGTGGAACACGCACCACAAGCCAGAGGACGTCGAGCGCCACCTCGACACGACCCTGGCCGACCTGCAGACCGACTATCTCGACCTCTACCTGGTCCACTGGCCCGTGGCCTTTGAGCCGGCCGGTGAGGCCGTCCGCTTTCCCGTCGACCCCAAGACGGAGCAGATCGCTGTCATCGACGTGCCCATGGCCGACACCTGGAGGGCCATGGAGGCTGCCGTGCGCAAAGGCAAGGTCCGTACCATTGGCGTGTCCAACTTTACGCGCCAGCACATCGAGGACCTCTGGCAGACCGCCACCATCCGCCCGGCCGTCAACCAGATCGAGGCGCATCCGTATCTGCAGCAGCCTGACCTGCTAGAGTGGTGCAGACAAAACGTATGCGCCCCTGATCAGCTGCTTTCTTGTCTTCTGTAGCCCGACTCCTGCTCACATGGCGCCTCTAGAATATTGTCGTCGCTGCCTACAGTCCCATGGCCAACAACATCTACAACCTGCCACGGTAAGAACTTGGAGTCTGTCGGGCACGGCGTTACGCGAGTCTAACCGCGTCCACATAGGGCCATCGATGATCCGGTCGTCATTGAGCTGGCAAAGTCCCTCGGCAGAGAGCCGGCACAGGTGCTCCTCAGCTGGGCAGTCCAGCGAGGCACCGTTGTGCTGACTAAGTCGGTCACACCAGCACGCATTGCGCAGAATCTTCAGGGTCAGTGGGAAAGTTCAAGACGAAGAGAGTCTGCAGCTGACATCACCGCAGTCTCGGAGCTGCCCAAGGACGTGTTCGACAAGTTGAACGCGCTCGACCGCCACAGCCGTTACAACTTCCCCAAGCGTCTCGGCGTCAATATCTTTGGCGAGTGGACCGAGGCCGCGCTCAAGGCGGCCGTCGAGGAGTGGAAGGAGGCCCAGAGGGAGCTGAAGGCGGCAGCATCGTTGAAGGCTTGATGGCGTCAATAGCGACTAGCAGAGTACGGGATTTGGAAAATACAAGATGAGGAGGCGGCATAGAAAGGGAATCGTTTTTCGGAAAAGCGCACGCTAGCAGCAGTCCGTCGGATAACAATGTAGCAGTGCAGCCGTTCCTGCCGCGTTCGGAACTGGGGGCTCCGACCCCGCAGCCATCGCTGCGTATGTATATGGGATTGGGTAGCAGCTTCCTCTGCTCGTAAGCTGCCATGCCAGCCTGCTTACCTCATCTGCGTCTCTTCTCTCCCACACCTCAGTCCCGGATTGCCACCATGGGCAAGATTGCAACGATGGAGTGGTTCCGGGTGCCGCCCCGCTGGCTCTTTGTCAAGATCACGGACGAGGCCGGCAACGTTGGCTGGGGCGAGGCGTCGCTGGAGGGACACTCGCAGGCCGTCGAAGGCTGTCTGGACGCCTGGTTTGCGCGATACAAGGGCATGGAAGCCGAGTGAGTGGATGATGGACCGGCAGCCGGACGGAGGACGCGAGGCGCGTGCTGACCTGCGACACAGCGACATTGAGCACATCTGGCAGCTGTCCTGGCGCACCAGCTTCTACCGGGGCGGCCCGGTCTTTATGAGTGCGCTGTCGGGCATCGACATTGCCTTGTGGGACCTGAAGGGTGAGTTGTCTGTCGTCGGCCGATCGTCTCTTGTCCGAGAAGCTGACTGGCAGCGCGGAAACTCGGCGTGCCCATCTACCAGCTGCTGGGCGGCAAGCTGCGGACGAAGCTGCGCGTGTATGCGTGGATCGGTGGTGACCGTCCGGGGGATGTGGTGAACCAGGCGTAAGCAAGAACCGGACAGCGTTCCCGTCACGGCGAAACACGCACACCCGCTCACAGTCCCAGGATGGCACGCCGCGAGCAGGGCTTCCGGGCCGTCAAGATGAACGGCACCGAGGATCTCGGCTGGCTGGACCGACCGGCCGCTCTGGACGACTGTGTCGAGCGGGTCAAGGCGGTGCGGGCACTCGGAATAGATGTCGGCGTCGACTTCCACGGCCGCGTGCACAAGCCGATGGCCAAGCAGCTGGCACGGGCGCTGGAGCCGCATCGGCCGCTCTTCATCGAGGAGCCGCTTCTGTCGGAACACGGGGCCGGGATCGAGCAGCTGGCCGGCCTCACAACGCTGCCCATTGCCCTGGGCGAGCGGCTGCACAGCCGCTGGGACGTCAGGGCGCTGCTGCCACACATCGACGTGCTGCAGCCGGACGTGGCCCACGTCGGCGGCATCTCGGAGCTCCGCCGCATCGCCGCCATGGCCGAGACCTACGATGTCGCCCTGGCACCGCACTGCCCGCTCGGACCCATCGCGCTCGCTGCCTGTGTTCAGGTCGATGCCGCGTCGCCCAACTTTGCCATCCAGGAGATGAGCCTCGGGATCCACTACAACAGCCAGCTCGGCCACCAGGATCTCACCAGCTACACGACCAACCCCGAGGTCTGGACCGTCCACGACGGCTACATCCATCTGCTTGAAGGTCCTGGCCTCGGCATCAACATCGACGAGGATCAGGTCCGTCGCCTGGCCAAGGATACCGAGCCCTGGGTCTCGCCAGGCTTCCTCGGGCCTGGTGGTGAGGTGAGGGAGTGGTAGGGTGAGAAGAGTAGGCAGACAAAATGACAAAGGACAGCAGGACAGGCGTATTCATGCAAACTCCACTAGTCTCTCAACAAACAAAGCTGCCCAATCCATCTGCCACGTCACGCCGCAATTTGTTGCTGCTGTCGCTGTCGAAGCGAGCTTTCCATCGCCACGGCCGAGCTGCCCGTAGTGATCGCAGCAGGCCTGTCTGCCTCCTCGTTCACCGGATCGTCCACATGGTCGTCCGCTTGGTGGTCTGCATGGCCGACGGCCCGTGCAGGGATCGAAGCCAGCAGCGACCGACCCAAACGACGGCCGCCCTGGTCCTCCTCCTTCTTGATTGATACATCCTCGTCCGCCCGTGTCTTGACGACCGTTGGAAGCATGCGTCCCTGATCGCTGCCATCATCGCCACCCTCTGCCTTCGTATCCGCATCCGCATCCACATCCGCGCTCCCAGCCAGGAACGTGCCCAGAAGGGCGCAGGCGGCGGCCATGAAGAGCACCTCGACGAGCCAAAAGGCCGCCGTCAGGACGACAAACGAGGCGACCGCGTGGTGGTACATGAGCCAGCGCAGGCCGCGCAGACGGGCCGCAAAGACGACATCGACGCCGTACGTCTGTAGCTGCCGGTGCTGGCCGGTAGTCGGCGGGACGCGCAGCTCCAGATACAGCGCTGCCGGCAGCGCGTCCACGCCGGCAAACGAGAGCGACTCGGCCATGGACACGACCAGGCGATCGGACTCGGGCGCGGCGGCCGGCGCGAGCAGGTGGTAGGGCAAGAAGACGAGGCGGCCGGCCGTGGCCACGAGCGGGTCCACGTAGGCCAGCAGAGCCGGTCGAGTGGCCGCATAGACGACACGGCGGCCGTCGGCGGCGAGAAAGTCGCGCGGGCTGTCTGGTGGCAGACGGGCGGCCGTCGTGATGGCGTCGGGCGTTGAAGACGAAGACGAAGCCGAAAACGACGGCAAACCAGCCGTGACTAGCGCCAGCTCCAGCATCACGTTGCCGACCGCCTGGTTCGCCGGCGATCGCGGCAGCCGCACGCTCACCGACACGTCGTAGGCCTGGTCCGTCTTCAGGCTGAGACCGCGCAGATCGGCAATCGCAAACGGATGCTGCGCCGCGGTCCTGCTGCACACACCCCGTCAGCCGGCCGCCTCGGTCGGTCTGCCCTCCCGCTCACCCACTCACCCGTATTGCAAGTGCAGCGGCGACGTCCGCACGCGGTGCGGCACGTAGTCGTGGTAGAAGCCCAGATAGCCCACGACGGCTACGCCGTACAGCAGGGCCGAGGCCGTCGCCAGCAACACCCCGTACACGAGCGTGCGGCGCACCGCCTTGGACGTCACCGTCCGGTAGGCGTCCTCCAACATGAGCATTGCGACAGGCCAGACAGAGACAGTGCTGAGGCTCCGACAAAAGACAAGCTCAGTCCAGCTCGATCGATGCGATACGAGTGATTCCGAACGGTGCCGTCGCCCACAGGTCCTTAGTTACAGATCGGCAGTGGCCACAATCGCATGGTCGTCCAGTTGGCTTGTTCGATTAGGACCGGTCGCACGTTGGTTCCAGCCTGTTCGCAGCGTCTTGCTTGTTCGTCGACAGAAGAAGAGAAATGAAGCTTGCCATGACGCTATGGAGGTGCGTGAGCTGTCAGCCAATCACAGTGCAAAGGCCCACTACATTACCTCATTCCAGCAGGTACGGTGGTGCTCCTGCCGTGTAGCCACACTTCATAATAGCATCTCTACGGCGTACAAATCTTGCGCATCATTTTTCAATATTGGACATTGTCAATCTCGTATCTGATCCGTTACATACAAAGCGATACGCCCTCCAGATATCACAGGGATTAGAAAAACAGGGAATCAAAAAGGAGTAAAATAAGAAAGCAAAAGAAAGCGGAAAGAATCCTGAAAAAGAACTGAAAGACAAAACATGCCAAAAGAAGCCCAAACGTGATCAAAAGAACATCGACGTAAATCGGAATGGCCCGAGATCCGGACCACAAGAGTAGAAGAATGCCGGCCAAACATGAAATCCGCACATATATACCACATCAAATCCGCCGGCCACTGCCTCCATGAACCATCGTGATGGCATGTATCATCGTCTTCGTCAGTCATGCACATCCTCATCCTCATCCCCCATCATTACCCTAACACGGCTGCAGGTAGTTGCTCGGCACCAGCCCGACCTGTCCGCTGCCGCCATGCACCGTCGCCTCCCACCAGCCGTCGTCTTGGTGCCGCAGTACCGCCAACACGTCGCCCTTGCCGAAGCCGAGCTCCTCGGGGATCGCAGCCTGGTACATGTAGAGTGCACGTGCTGTTTTGGCTTTGTCAGTGCATGGACAGCAGGACAGGTCAGAGAGGAAGTAGGCTGACTCACCAAAATGCATAATCGGTCGCCCGTCCCGCGTGTACTGCCGATTCTCGGCCAGGCTCTTGCTGCGCTGCCGCAACGTCCCTGCACCCTCATACAGGCCCATTGCCCGCGAGTTGGAGCTGCTGGTCCCCGGCCGACTGCCACGACCGCGTTGAGACCCATAGCCGTCATCCGCTGATGTCGGGCCGATCGGTGCCAGCTGCACTGCCATGTCGCCATTGTGACTGCCACCCATGCTGCTGCCAGGACGACCACCACTGCCATAGCTGCCACCACCATAACCGCCACCTCCACTGCCCACGCTGCTGCCTGGCTGGAAATCGCCGCGATATGGTGACGGAGACACAGCCCGTGACGGCATGCTGTTGGACGACTGGTGGCCGTACAAGCTCTGTTCAGAGCCTCTCGGCTGCTGCTGCTGCGCTTGGTACGATGACTGCCGTCGTTGCCGTTCGGCCTGGGGGTTCGGCGATGTCGACCGCCGGTAGTCTTGCTGCTGGGGTGACTGCTGATACTGCTGTCGCGCTGCTGCTGTGCCTGGCCGTGGAGACGTGTCTCGCGGCATGTCGTAGCTGTTGCGACCGCTGCTGCGACCGCTGACGCTTCCCGCTCCCATACCACCACCTCCACTGCGAGACTGCGGAGTTGTGTATGCATTGCTCGACATCGACGCCGACGCTCCGTGGCGGTTGCCACCCGGCGGCTGGCTGAACAGATTGCGCGTCTGGTCCACAAATTTTTGCGACGTCTGCTTCATCGCCTTGGACGTCACAGCCGCCGCCGGAACGCCCAGTCGCTGCACTTGCTGATCGTACGACGGAGGCGGCGTGCCGCGCATCGCTGCTGCCACCGCGCCGTTGCTGCCGCTGCTGGCTCCAAGAGTCGAGCTGCGGGCTCCCGGCACCGGCGTCGAGATGCCGTGGTAGTGGTCGGCCGACATCCGTCCCGCCGACTGCTTGCCGCCAACCGTGACGCCCTTGAGCTCTGCCAGCGCCAGTGCAATCGGATCTTCCTCAGCAGCTTCGGCCGGAGCCGACTGTCCATTGCTGCCTCCCGCACCCCGGCGCGCCGGTGTCGCTACCGGAAACACGTTCTGGCCCACGTTCAGGGCCAGGCTCGCATTCGCGTCAATGGGATCTGGGCTGGCCGTGCGGTCCGTCAACAGGTTTCGCGGCTGTTCCATCGCACCCACACCCATGCTGCTGCCAAAGCGGCTGCTGCTGCTTCCACCATACACCGAGCCGCGATGTGATCCGGCACCGCCGCTCTGCTGCTGCTGAGGCGGAGGCTGTGACTGCTGTTGCTGAGGGCCACCTTGAGCCATGGATGAGTGCCACGTATTGCGATGCGTCGCTGCCGTCGCGCCTGCCGAAATGTCCTTGGTGCTCTTGCGCCGGAACGGACTGTGGTTCTGGAAGAATCCGCTCTTCTTCTTCTGTGCTTTCGTGTCGTCCGCTTGCACCATCATGCCCGGGTCACCTCCGATGGCAGCCAGATCGCTGCCTCCACCTGGGCTCTTGACCGGCGACGCCGAGCCGCTGGGCACCTCCTGGCTCGAGAATGGTGCCGGGATGGAGTAGTCGCTGTGCGAGTCGCGGCTGGACGGCCGTCCCGACGAGTTCGAGCTGACTTGCGAGCTGATCTGGGAGCTCACCTGTGAACCCGGGTCCGACTGCGGCTGTCCTCCACCACCGGCGCCTGTGCGGCATAGCATTGTCATGCCTTCCGCCGGGTAGGGATCGTGTGGCACTGCTGAGAATTCATTCTGCTGTTGCTGCTGTTGCTGCTGTTGCTGCTGTTTCTGCTGTTGCTGCTGTTGCTGCTGCCGTTGCTGCTGAAGCTGCTTCTGCTGCTGCTGTTGTTGAAGTTGCATCTGCTGTTGTTGCTGCTGCTGTTGTTGGAGCTGGAGCTGCTTCTGTTGCTGTTGCTTTTGCTGCTGCTGCTGCTGCTGCTGGAGCTGGAGCTGGAGCTGGAGCTGCTGCGCATGCCCACTTCCACCGTACGGATCCTGTCCCATCAGTGCCCGTGGCTTCTCGGCCGGTGCTGGCAGTGCAGCCTGTACGGGCGGCTGCTGCTTCGGCTGCTTCGGCTGCATCGGCTGCTGCAGCAGCTTCTGTGACGGCACGGCCGCCTCTCGTCCAGCAGATGGCACCCCTGGCTCGCGGTCTGGCTGCAGACCCATGTCACGGGCCACTGCCATGTTGTTGGGGTCGTGGTGTGACTCATATGTCGACGGTTGTGGCGACGAGGTGCGGTAGGCCGGGTTGATACTGCGCGGAAACTGGGCCACGGAGTAGTTGTCATCCTCGGATGTCTCCGACTGCGAGTCCAGGTCGCCCCGGCAGAAGTTGATGTACTTGGGCGGGTCGGGAATCTCCTGGCCCGTGCCCCTCTCGCTGATGAAGAGGGCAATGTCCTTCTCCACCTCCATCTTCTCCAGCGACAGCCGGATCTTCTCGCATGAGGCGTCGTCGCTCACGCACACCGTCGACGCAATGTTGGCAAACGACCAAAGGCTGCTCTTGGTGAAGTCCAGCCGCTCCTCCTCCAGGTCCTGGAACTTGTCTGCCGCCGCTTTCCACTCGCGGTTCCACCGTGCCGTCGTCTCCTCCAGCACCTTGACTGCATTCTCGTACTCCGTGTTTGTCGTCGCCACGTTGATCTGTGTCTTCTCCAGCTTCGCCTTGTTCTTCCTCTCCTCCTGGCCCATCACCATGTGGCCCTGGGCCAGATAGCCTTTGATCTTGAGACATTCTTGCTCGTATTTATCGCGTGACTGTGTATTGCGCGCAAATTAGCCAACGGCCGCGCCAAACAATCCAAACTTCGGGCACACACCTTGTTCACATGCTGTGTCTGCTGGGTCTTCACCTTGTGCAGCTTCTCAATGCTGTTCTGCACAATTTTTCGCCGCTCCTTCATGGCCCCGGCAAAAGCCGCCAGCGGCTCTTCCAGCTCCGTCTTCATCTGTGCTGCGATCGACTGATGTTGCTTAGACATCGACTCGACCTCGCCGCGCATCACGTCCAGCGACGACCTGAGGGCGCCTGTCTCCTGCGATCCCAATGGCTTGCGACACAGCGACAGCAGCTTGCGGGCGTAATCATCCTCAATCGATGCTCGGGCTAGACGCAAAAGAAGAAAAAGGGGTTAGCCACAGTGCTATGTCGAAAACAGCTGATCACAGCAGGGGCGAAAAGGTCGACGCATACTGCTGTAAAACGACTTCAGTTCGTCAGACGTCTGCTTGGCCGCATGCATCCGCTCCAGAAGCGGACCGACACCGGCATCGTCTTTGCCCCAGAAGTTGTTCGCAACTAATCCGGCACATGCAGTCAGTCAATTTGCTCGGTTGGGGTCGATATGCTGCTTCCTCCAAGTAGAAGACGTACACGACAGGGTCACGCTTGGCCCTTCGGCCATTGCTGTCAACATTGTGCCCGGCTACCAGCAGCGGCGGTGAAGAGGATGGTGTGTAAAGAATGTGTGTTGTGTCTGCCGAATGTATGCTTGTATGCGCGTGTATGCTGATATACGCTCGAACGTGTCAGTTCCAGCTCAATCAGGTCAGTCGGATAATATTAGGATGCTTTCGTGGAATGCGCGGCAGGAACAGAAACAGCAGGACCACAATATTAAAGACGTGAGCGAAACGGGAAGGCGCCGTCGGTGTGCAGCCAGCTAAGTGGCCTGGGGCGATAATCTGTTGACTGCGAGCGTCGCCCGGGCAACAAATTCCAGCTGGACCCCACAGCCAGCGATCTGGATAGCGACTGGGCTGGCCGCTAGCCCAGATAAGGTGTGCTAGACCCACCATCCCCATCTTGGACGCCCATTCGCTGAAAGCCCCGTTCGATGGCGGAAGGCCCGACGTCATCGGGTCTCGGCCCTGCCTCCAAGGAAGAAGTCACCACCCACAGGATGGTCACGCCAGTGCCTGCCAGCTCGTCAAGTCAAAAATCCTTTTCATATTCTTCCCGCGAATTTCCTGCTCTTGGAAACTACTTTGTCTTCGTCCATACCATTTCTCCTCACCATTCCACCATCTTGCCGCCTGCTGTCGATTCTCTCTCAGCATCTCTCTTTGACGCCCATCTGCCCACAGCGAGCTGCTCTTTCCAAAAATTTCAGCACCATATACAAAAACCAACTGAGCACGAGTACGAGTAAGTTCCTTATCTTCGGCACCGTTTCGGCAATGCTCAAATGCCACTTTTCCCCATCCCCGCCTCCTCGCTTCTGTGGACATCTCCAGATCCTTTGTTAGTGGGGAGGAGGGGCTTCAGCTTCTCTTCTTGGTATCATTAGCTGACTCTGCGTCCCTGTAGTGTCGTATGCAGAGATTGCTGCCAAGGGGCCCAAGCAGTCGCCTGAAGAGGTATGGTACATTTTGGACGATTTTTGACAGACGCCTGCACAAAGTACCGCACAAGACCCTCTACTTTGTCCTCACCTGTTCCACCCCGATAGAGACTTGCTGACACCCATTTTTTTCTTCCAGGCTGCCGCCCCCGCTATGCCTGAGATCGAGCCGTCTGAGTCGGCAGCCTCGACTGTGTCACTGATCGATGTCGATACACCTTCTATCCGGACGGTCCCATCCGAATTTGGGGAACAGTCCGTGACGACGGAGACACAGGCAGAGCGTCTGGAGCAGGAAGCCGCCGCCGCTGCCACCGAGGCCAAGGTCCATGCTAGCAAGGCTGCCGCTCGAGCCCGATCCAAGACCGAGGGCACGGCCAAGAGAGCCGCCTCACAGGCACGCCGCGCAGACCGCTGGATCACGGCCCATTTTGCCGCCGTGCAGGAGGACCACCCAGTCGTTGCCCAGGCTGCTGTCGTCGGCAACTTCGCTGCCGTTATTGGGCTCGGCGCCCTGCTAGGATTTCGTGCGTGGGGCCTTTACGACCAAGGCCGCTTCAGCTGGAAGGCCGGTGCCGCAGGACTCGGCCTTTTCGGCGCCGTCAGCCTATTCGAAGGCTTCCTGGCGAGGTAAGTCTTGTTGCCTTTGAAGGAGAACCCCCCATGATCTTCTGCTCTTGCTGATCTCTCTCATAGCTACTTCTACAAGGGCAAGCCTAAGCAACATTGAATTGGCCTCGGCTGGTGCCTACTATCCTCCTCTTCCCGCTTTGCTGCCACTCCAAGCTCTCTATATTCATCTCTTCTATCTACCGTACTGTCTATAATTCTGCCACTCTGCTCTTGCTGCATCTCATGGCTTACACTTCCACTCCCACATATACATACATCCTTGCCTCTATTGGGTTGGAGCAGTCACAGGGAACATGCCGGTTGAAGTTGTTCGACTGCTAGATGTTTTCATATCAGATATTCGTCGCTGGAATAAATATGCGCTGTGATCATATATTCGTCATCACGTTCCCTTTCATTCGTGTAAAGTACTGTACAAACATATCCCGGTAGCTGTCATTTAGACTACCCGTACAGTTATCCATCTTCGCCCAACCCATAAAACAACGGCGTCGTTAGATACATTTCGTGAGTGCCAACACTAACGGGTGAAAAGCGGCGACGCAAGGACTCGAAAGAAAAAGAAAACACCCAACTCCTGTTGCCAAGCTTTGCTGTCCCCGACACGAACGTGAAATAATGACAGGAAAGAACAAAAGACACTGTAGCATAGAGGCCGGTATGACAGAAAGATGAACGAAAAGTAGACGTGGAAAGAGGAAGAAGGAAAAGGAAATACAAGATGGATAGACAAAAGGAAAAGAATAAAGAAAAAAAGAAAAATTGTAAGCTATTCGGAAGAGGGAAGAATGCACTGTTCCATCTGGCAGCTGTTTGCGGTCCTTTCCCTCCCGCCCGGATAGGGCAATCAATGCTTCCGCGTGTCTCTGCAGCCGTCGCCGGTCCGTATGATCCCATATTGTACACCCTCCAATAATACACGTCTATCAGCTGCCGAGCCGGTTGCTGACCTCGCGTAGACGCTTGACCCAATGCTTGCGCAGGGTCGACGGCATCTTGCAGAACATGACGGCCTTGCTAGTGTCGGTCAAGATCTTCTCGGCTATCCGCAGCTGCAAGTCCATGTCTTCGTCGGCAAACTCCTGGAAGAAGATCTCCAGTGCCTGCTCGGGCCACCGAGTCGTTGATGCCAGCGATGTGGCCGAGGCATACTTGGTCAGCACATCGGACAGCAGGCCGGCGATGCCGTCGATGCGTGATGCCGCCGTAGACAGGCCCCCGGGCTGCGCCTGGCGCATGCCGGAGAGTGCCGCATCCACCCCCTGACCGCCAGCAGCTCTCGCCACGGCGCCGGCTGCGCCAGCTGCTACGGCTGCAACAGACAGTGGTCCGGTACCGCCAGCACCGGCTCCGCCACCGACTGCGCTGGCATACGTCTCGCTCCGATTCCGGTGAGCGGCGCTGTTGTTACCCGCAGCGTTGATGCTGCCCTCGGTCCGTCGCCGTTTGGACAACGTCTGGGCTCCGTCCGTGCCCGGGGCAAACCGTTTCTGTTGGCCCACTGTGCCGACCTCCTCCGGTGGCGTTAGAGCCGAGGCTGACACAGCATTGCCGACGCGGTTCGTGCCGCCGCCGCCAATACCACCAACACCGCCGATACCGCTGCCACCTCCGGGAAGCTGACGCGTCGTTCCCGGCGGTGGTGGCGGTTGAATAGTCGTAGAAGTAGGGCCAGACACGCCGCCACTGACAGAGCCTTGCGCAGACCGCATCTGCACAGCGGCTCCGGTAGACGCGGCAACCTGTTGGCGGACCTGGACGTTGGACGGGACGGGGATGGGAGTCGAGCCCACAGTCGGCGTAAGGATGTTCTGGTTCATGTGCACGTTGCCGGGACCATTCTGCAGTCGCATGATGCCGGTGCCGGGTGCTGCCTCATTGTCGGGCAGGCTGTCAGGACCCTTCCTCCGCGGACGGGTGACACGCTTCGGATGCCCACGGGACCCGACAACGTCGGGAAACAGGACCTCGAGGTATTCTGCGTTGTCAAAGGGCCGCTCTCGAAATGCGCGCGCCAGAGGCTCTTTCTGTCATCCGGGACAGCCGAGTCAGCTCGCCGTCGCCACAAGGGGCGGTGAATGCGCCTACTCACCTCGAGATGGGCTTGCCAGGCTTCCTCGCTGCCGGTAATGGTCTTGGTCACGGGGTTGTACGTGAACTGGGGGTTCTCGACGAGGCCGCGCCAGAGGCGGAACTTCTTGCGCGCATTATCGGTCTTGTTGATGAGATGGGGCTTGGTGGGATAGGCTCCTTGTTCGCGCAAGGCCACCAAAGCACGGTTCCAGGCCTCCTGCTTGAAGCTCTGATTCTCGCGCAGGCCGAGCTGAACGGACTGGCAGAGGGACTGGAAGAAGGTGGTCTCGTATGCCGGCGTCCAACTAAAACGGGGTTTCTTCTGCCATGGTAGAAGGGCGGCAGGAACACTGGAGTGCGGGTCGCTCCTCGGCGACTCGTCCTCCGACATGGGTGGAGAGGAGAGCACGGTTCCGAGAGGAAGCAGGATGCGTGAAGGGGGAACCCGGCTGGACCGACCCTTCTCCACGGGCGTCTTGGCAAAATGCAATAAAAATAAAAGATAACAGACAGCTGGAGCTAGCCGGTGGCGACGGTAGGAATGGGGTGAAGAGAGGGGGGAGAAGACGGAGCGATAGAGAACAGCCGGCACTGGGCGAAGAACGAGAGCACGAGAGCACGGGACGGAGCACGGGACGGAGTGGCCGGTGGCAGCAGTTGGCAGCAGTTGGCAGACAGCGCCGTTCGACAATCAGCGTCGCACTCCGTAACGTTGTGGTGGAGCGGCGTGAAATGGGAAGGTGGAATGTGGGAAGTGGAAGAAAGGGGAGCAAACGCGCCGTTGGCCGTCGTTAGCAGAGCTGCTGTTGTCTGCTTGACGGTGGGGAATCGGTGCCCTTTGCGTTTTCTGAGAGAAAGGGACGATTAAAAATTAAAACTAAAAAGAGGAGAAGGGAGGGGCGGTCGTAGTGTGATGCATGGGTGGCAGTGAGTGTGTTTTGAGAGGCACGAGAAATGGGAAGCGAGGGGAAACGGAGGCGTTTGGGGGTGAGAAGAGGGAAAAACTCGACAGGAATTCAGACGGCCGTTTACGAGAAAGGAGCAATCCGACTGTTAATATGAGAAAGGGGGGAGGCCAGATACATAATAGCTCAAACGGGTTTGGGTTGGGAAATGTGAGTGGCTGGTTGGCAAACCCATCAGGCAGGAGCAGGCCACGAGACGGTCGGGTGGTGCCATAATGCTGCGTGGGTTGCTCTTATTGGTCCAAGTTTTTATTAATAGCACCTTCTCGTGTCTATCTTTCTGTTTTTTATTGTATTTTTCTTGAAACGGAAGTGGTGTATACTTGCATTTTAGTGTGGAGGACACCGAGTTGCAGGTACAGTATCTTATCTTACAAACGTGTATCTTATCATTCGTCGACTCCGTCTCGACGGCAAATCTTGAATCTTGATCTAACTTGCCATGCTGGCTGCACCTTTCAGCCGCGTGTCGGCGTCATCGTAGCTGCCAGCACCCGGGATTGGTGGATCAGGCCAAGACGAGGGGGTGGATTTCGCGGGGACTGATTTTATGTATCTTACTCCCGTACGGAGTAGATGCAGTCGTTGTACGAATATCTTACAAAGCCGCCTCGTAATCGCATATACAGACTATTGCGCGTGTGCGTGTGCGTGTCGGCGCCGTCTGGCCTCCAGCGTTTCTCCATGGGGCCGCGCGTCCTTAGCCTACCCTCTGCGACGTTCTAGCGCCGGCGGGCGAGCTTGATTCCGGCTGTGCGTTTCAAGATCCTAGCCGTGTTTCAGCGTCGCCGTGAAGGCTGAGACAGAGCACGTACTCGTAAGCCAGCAGATGCATGCGAGTACATGTCTGCAACACTAGTGCATCTGTGACTCGTATCTTTGCCAAAGGTCAGTCTGCTCGATGCTCGCATACGCGTATGTTCGCAGTCCAAACATCCGCAGCATAACCCATACGACGTACATAGTAGCACGCCGAAAGCAGACCCTGATTTGTCATTCTGCTGTTTTGCCCTGCCAAGAAGTGACAGAGCACCTCCGGAATGCAGCTCACTCCTTCCTGTCCCAGAAGAGCCCCGCAAGGTGCTGCGGCAGCAGTAACAGTGGGGCCTTGAACGGCCTGTGAGCCCAATCGCAGGCTAGAGATCCATTCTTCAAGCCCCTTTCGCTTCCCCTCGTCCAAGCTGGACGGGCAGATCTTTGTTTCTCTCTCTCTCCGCGCGAGAGGATCTTACTCCGTGCTCGTATACAAAGCAAGATACGAACAGGAGACGACCGGCCGGCCGTGGTTCACCCCACCTGGGCCCGCCGGTCCCAAACAGGAGCCGCTTCGCTATAACTATGTACACAGTCTCATGAGGGCAAAGCGCGGCAGTTCTTCTTGGTCTCAGTGGATCGCTCGTCTCCTGTGCCTGGACCTGTCGATCCTGGCTGAGGCAAGGCGGGACATGTGGATATGCGGATAGTACGGAGTACGCATACAAGCTTCGCCATCTTGTCTTTCAAGACGGCCCCCTGGGTTTATAAAACCTTGGCGGTGCTCCTGTCAATGCCTCTGTTTCCCTCTTCTTTCCCCCTTCTCTCTCTCTATCCCTTTCTGTCTTTCCACACCTGTTTCTTTCTCTTCACCTTTCGCCTGTGGCGCTTCGTTTCTTGTCTATCCTCATTTTGCCAACAACCACCTGGCGTGGTTGCTGTTTCCGTTCTCTCCCACCGTCTCTCATTCACTCCCCATTTTCCATCTCCCCCTCCTCTCGACAAGAAATCTCACGATGCGTTCCACACTCAGCATCATCTGCCTGTTGGCCCTCGTCGTCTCGTTTGTGATGGCAGCACCTACACCGATCCAGAAGCGGTCCTTCAAGGTTGAGCGGGTGCGCAATGCCAATTTCCAGGGCTACAACGGTGCGGCACAGCGGATGAAGGCGCTGCGCAAGTTCCGCGTTCATCCGCCACAGGACCTGATCGATGCTCTGGCTGCGCAGCGGGGCGGCGCCGGAAGCAAGGACAAGGGGCACCGGCAGAAGGGCACAGCCACGGCTACGGCCACGGGCGCCAAGGCGACATCCGGCAGCAGCGGTGTGCTTGTGGGCAGCGATGCGACCAACACGTCGAGCTCCAACGTGGGCATCGTGACCAACACGCCGACGACAGACGACACCGAGTTCCTGTCGCCCGTCACGATTGGCGGTCAGACGCTCAACCTGGACTTTGACACGGGCTCGTCGGACCTCTGGGTGTTCAACACGCAGCTCTCAGCGCAGGAGTCGGACGGCCAGACACTGTTCGACCCGACCAAGTCGTCGACCTTCTCATCGGTCAAGGGTGCTACCTTCCTGGTCTCGTACGGCGACGGTTCCGAGGTGGCCGGCAATGTTGGCACCGACACGGTCAACGTGGGCGGCGCGACGGTGACGAAGCAGGCCATCGAGCTCGCCACGGCCGTCTCGGCGTCCTTCATCTCGGACACGTCCAGCGACGGGCTGATGGGCCTCGCCTTCAGTGTGCTGAACCAGGTCAAGCCGACGCAGCAGAAGACGTTTTTTGACAACGTCAAGGCTGACCTGGCCGAGCCGCTGTTCGCAGCTGACCTGCGCCACAACGCGGCCGGCTCGTACGAGTTCGGCGCCATCGACTCGTCCAAGTTTTCCGGCGCGCTCAGCAACGTGGCCATCAACACCACCCAGGGCTTCTGGCAGTTCAGCAGCGCGTCCTTTGCCGTCGGCGACGGCAAGACCCAGACCATGGCCGCCTCGCAGGCTATTGCCGACACCGGTACCACGCTAATGCTCGTCAACGCCGCCGTCATTGACGGCTACTTTGCCAACGTCACCGGCGCCGAATACAACCAGCAGGCCGGCGGTGTGACCATCCCCTGCGATGCCAACCTGCCCGACCTGAAGATCGATGTCGGCGGCGCCACGGCCACTGTTAGCGGGTCCAACTTTATCTTTGAGAACATTGGTTCCAACACGTGCTTCTCTGGCCTGCAGCCGATTGACTCGGACCTCATGATCTTTGGTGACGTCTTCTTCAAGTCCAACTACGTCGTCTTCAATGGAAACAACACCCTGTCGTTTGCGCCTCATGCTTAGACCGGAACAGAACATGGAGAAACGGGCGTAATCTAGCCCTGCCGTTTCTGCCTCGCGCTTTATGTTTTCTTTGTCTTTTTGTACATACTAGATATACCTGTCTGCATGATAGCAATGGATGGCTTCGCTTCCCGAACGGAAGGGAGCGTGTTTTATGGGACTCTCTGCCTGCAAACGTGCATATGTATCTGTTCACGTGATCCGGACTTAACAGCTCCACCTTTTGTATTAGTCTTCGTCGAGGCGGATCACATACTTGCCTTGGACCTTGCTCTGGCCGACCTCGCGGACAATCTGTTCCATGTCCTCGAGGTGGCCTGGCCGGGTGAGTGGGACGACGAGGCGACGGCGGGTGAACTCGAGGGCCTCGAGAATGTCGCCGCGCGTGCCGACGGCGGAGCTGAGGATGCGCCAGCCCTGAGCGATGAGGGCAGACGGGTGGAAAGCGACGGTCTTGTCGAGCGGCATGAGGCCGACGCACATGAGGGTGCCAAAGGGCGCGAGCATGCCAAAGGCAGCCTGATAGGCGGCGGGGGCACCCGAAGCGACGATGACGGCAGCGACGCCGAGGCCGCCAGGTGTGAGCTTCTTGACGGCATCGCCAGCGGCGGAAGAGAAGGGAGTCGAAGCAGCCGACGACGACGCCGGCAGCTGTGAGAGGTCGACGTAGTGGTCGGCGCGGCCATGGGGACCGCATGCGATCAGGCCCTTGTCGGGGCTGACGTCGACGCCGACGGTGCGATAGCCCATGGCGCGCGCATAGGCGAGGGCGAGCAGGCCGACACCACCAACACCGCAGACGGCGATGAAGCGACCAGGCGTGACGCCACAGGCCTTGACGGCCTTGTAGGCAGTGACGCCGCCGCAGAGAATGGGCGCAACCTCCTCGTCCGACACGGCATCGAGGTCGGCCGGCAGCCGGATCAGATAACGCGCCGGAGCGACGGCGAGCTGGGCAAAGGTGCCGTCAGCCACGACACCAGAGAAGAGCCGGGCACCACAGCGCGTCTCGCCTTCGTTCGCCAGGTCTGCGCAAAAGGCACAGCGGCCGCACACGTCCCGGTTCCAGGCCAGGCCGACGCGCTGTCCCGGCTCGATGCTGCCGTCCAGCGATCGCACCTGGCTGCCCAGCGCCTCGATCCGGCCTACACCCTCGTGTCCCAGCACGGCTCGCGTCGGACCCATGCTGCCTGTCGCCAGCCCAAAGTCGGACCCGCACACACTCGTCACCGACAGCCGGATCAGCACCTCGTTCGGGCCCGGCTCCGGTCGCGGGAGCCGGCGCATCGCAAACTTGGGATCCGCGCCAATCTCCTGCTCCGATACACCGATCCCCGTGTCAGCGCCGCTCGTTGTCCGTCGTGGATATGCATCTTACCGTGAGCACGGCCGCCTTGTAGGTAGGAACTTCGACTGTCATCTTGCCTGCTTCTTATTGTCGAATTTATGTGGTGACTCTTCTATCGAGTATCATTAGGTTTCACATATGTGTACGAGAACAACTTGAAAGCAAACAGCCCTTTACAAAGGCATCTCTTTAACTTTGTTCCTACTCGCTTTCTCGGCACAAAGTCAGATTCCCCGCACAGATAGCAAGTCTAGACCGGTCGGTATAATGAGTCCAAGATCACAAGGCCGAGATGGGGAAATTGCAGTGCTCCGCATTACGAGCTCATTGCCGAAACAAGAAAGATGGGGAAATAACTTACTATTTGTTATGTCTAACTTCACCTTACAGAAAATAAGGACAATGCTTTTCAAGTCCCTAAACTCTGTTGTTTAAAGTTAGATACAGGTGGTAGTTGCGATTAGGGGTTACGACAAATTCGGGAAAAAAATTCATTACAGTGTAGTCAGTTCAAGTAACTACAGTAAGAGTATTTTTTACTTACTTTTTTTATACCAGTATTGTAGTATCTCGTGTACAGTATTCAGTGTCCAGTAAAGTTGTATTTAGTGCCTAGTCCAATGTCCAGTGTCCGTGTTTGTGTCTAGTGGGTTGCAACTAACTTGTGTATCATGTACAGTGGGCATTTCGTAGTTTACGGTTGGTCACAGGGGGCTAACAGAGTTCTCACAGTGTTTGGATTGGTGGTTTTCCGGTTCAGAGCGGGAATTGTTTGATTTATTTCTGATTTATATTTAAAGCTTTGTTTTACAGAGGATTCGAGTGCGGATGAGTCAGTGTAAGACTGTGCTCAGAAGCACGAACGGTCGCGCACACAGTACATCATTGGATTTGAACCCGAGCACTTGCAGTGTATGAGTAAGTGACATTGGATCGTCACACTCATAACCGCTCGACCATTCGGGGACCTATTGTTAGTACAAGAGGCGTAATTTTATTTTCCTCCATATAGCTTTTGTCCAACAATACGGAGTACGGACTCCAGATACTCACGATTTTATGCAAAGTCCAATTAGTCAATATCCACTTGCATTCGCCTATGGATTCGGGTATATTTCACTAGAACAAGTCTTCCCCGCAAAGGACTAGCCGTGTTCGTCGACACATATCCAAGAGCCAGCAGCCTGCAAACTCCTCTCCGCCAAATCAGATAAACGCCAAACCTACAATGCGGCCTGACCGAATGGCCGACGGCCAAATAAATCCCAACATCGCCATCCAACCAGTCGGTTGTTATGCAAATGCCACCTTTTTTGTCCCGTGCTGAACACGACAGACTGGTAGAGACATGATGCCGAAAAAAGGCGCAAGGAAAAACGCGACAGGAAAAAAGCAATGCAAAACGCCATGTGCAACGCGTTGATTGCAAGTCCAAAATGCCCGACTCAAATCAGTAAGTGGAAGTCATCGATATGCCAAAAAAAATAAAGGTGTGTCCATAGGCCCCGAGATCATGGGCCAGAACATCTGGCTAGGCCTACTCATTTCGCAAGGACGGACGTGCCAACGCCAAGTCCCGTCCATCACATTCCCACCTGACCAGCCCGCCGAACAGGAATGAGAATCTCACTGCCGGAATCAGACGAGTCGTCGGCAGAAGCGGCCGCAGCACGGTCTAGCATCTTTTCAATGTCATCTTCGCCCAGGACGGGCCTGGGCTTGGCTGTGCCGCTCAGTCCTGACGGCATGGACAGAGGTATCTTGAGTCGAGGGGTCGGCACATCCGTCATTGGGTGGCCGTTGTCACGGCGCCTTGGCGTGCCTCGAACTGTGCTGCTGATGCTGGACTGTGGTGTGCCAAAGGGCTCATCAATGTCCATATCACTGGGGCTGCGGTTGTGGCCGCGTCGGCTGGATAGCGATTGCGAATGTCGGTGACCCATGGGCCGCGATGTCGGCAAGCTCTTGCGTGGCGCCGATGGGAGAGCGTGTCGTTGCGGACTGCTCATAGGCGGCAACTGGTGGTGTAACGGGTGAGACTCGTGGTGTCCGTTTGGAAGCGGCTGCGATGACATTGAAGGAAACTGCTTCATGTTTGCCGAGTTGCCCGGACTGCTCATAAACAGCAGGGTTTCGATAGCATCCTGCTCGCGCACATTCTGATGAGGAGAAAACAAGATAGGGTCCATGTTCGGTGTCCGCTTCACCGGGCTCATGTATCCTGGGGACGGCGGACTGGCGTAGTGGGAGAAGGAGGCCAATGCTGCGAGGCCGAACCCGGGATTGGAGTTTCGGCGCGCTGCCAAACTCGGACGGGCTGGCTGGATAGAGACTGGTGGAGCGAGAGATCGCGGGACACCGGAGTCGTTGGATCGAGACACAGCTAGCGGCGAAGCCAGCAACGCCGGTGAATTGTTGTAGTATCGGCCGCTGCTCTGTGGCAGCCACCCGGACGTGTCGATGGCGGCGGGAGTCCGGCCCGCCAGGCCGGCTGTAGACCCGCTGATCTGGCTCATTTGGCTGGCCTGGCTGAGTCGGCGCTTATGTGATGGCATGCCGGCGAGACGCGGACTGGCCGATGATCCATGCCGGCCATGGATGGTTGATGTGCTGGATGCAGGCGATGTGGCCTGGGATGCAAAGTTCTCAACCTGGTCGATCGAGTGGGCTTGCCAGCCGTTGTTCACTTTGACCATGGCATACGACAGCTTCGCTTTCAGCTCGGCCGAGAGCTATTAGTGAGCATTAGACACTGTACAACGAGAAGGATTGTCAAGGCATTGACTTACCTCGCCGATGCGGCCGCCGGCTGTCGAAGCAACGCCCACGGTGCTCGTGCTGCGTGAGTGACCGCCAGTAAAGATGGGTGATGCGTTGGACGTTTTACGCATGGGCTTGACGCCGCCGTCGGCAGTCCGCTTTCGGGACAGGGCAGACGTGTCGGGTGCGTCTAGCGCGTTCAGATCGGCCATTCTTGCGCTGGCTGCTGCGAGCTCGGACAGCTGGAGCAGCTGCGAGTCCTGGCCGGAGAAGTCGTGCTCAAAGCCGTACGAGTTGCCGACAGAGTTGCTGTTACTGTTCACGCTGCCGCTACCACCACCGACCCCGCTGAGCCCGCCTTCGCTAATGGGTGGGGTGAACAGACGGTCCGTGTCCGTGCTTGCTGTGGTGTCTGTGCTGCTGGTCGTGTCCTGCGAGTCGCTGTTGCTAGCTGCTGGGTTGTACTGGGGCTGGTACAGATGGAGCCGGTCGTCCTGATGCTGCTGGTACTGCTGGAAGTAGTGTCTGCTGCTACTCTGGAAGGATGCAGATGCAGATAGAGGAGGCTGCAGCGGATGCAGTTGTTGCAAATCCTGCAACTGCTGCTGTGGGTGTTGGTTGTGGGGTGGCAGCAATGAATGCGCCGCGTCGACGGCATCAAAAGCGCGATTGACGCGAGAAGCAGTCGCGTCCGACCGGTCAGAAAGACGCGGCAGCACATCCCGGACGTCTCGAGTGCTTTGGCCGTCCCGGGCGTCGCGAGCGATTCTGTTCATTGTATCCGACGACCTGGAGGACAGCTAGAGAGGCAACGGAGAGGGACCGAGTGACAACGGGTAGGCAGAGGGGTGTCAAACCGAGCAGAATAGGCTCCAAACAGGAGAGGCAAAGAACAACCAATCAATTCAAACAAGGGCAAACCGAGACACCAAAACGGTTCAGAACTGTTGTCGGCCTGGGGCAGAGGCCGTCTGGCTGGGATGCTGCCGGTCTGTCTTTGTTCCCACGACTCGAGATATCAATCGGGTGTACTGTGATAGGCTATGGTTCATGGCGGGAGCAGAGACAAGAGAAGGTGGCAAGAGGACAGGAGAAAACAGCACGCTGGTAGCGGTGGCCGCGATTTGTCACTAGCAATTGCGCGTTCTGACGGACCAGGCAACACGAAAAAACAATGGTGCTCCGTACGGAGTAAACGAGAGGCGGGAGGACTGAGGAAGCGGGGGGGATGGATAGGACGTGGAATAAAAGATCGAGGAAAACAAAAGAGAGCCCACAACTGCTAGCGCAAGACGGAATAGGCCTTCGTTTTGTCACGTATTTATTTTCTCTGCAGTGTGCCTTTTTTTTTTTTGCGAGATTTTGCGGAAACAGCGGCCAGGGACACTGTGGCCTAGCCACACGCCCAAAATCACAACGCGGTTCGCGACAAGACGCCACCATGACAGGACTAGCCAGGTAGTCCGCCACTAGATCAGTCAGCGGGAAGGCGCCGCCAACTGGGGAACAATCCCCCGTACGAGCTACGATTTAGTCCCTGTACGACACATCGCTTGGGTACTGTGAGGAGCTCTGGCAGCCTGGCATGGAAGTCGCGGAAGTGGTTCGAAAGGCCCCATAGACCGGCTACGACACTCGAGCTCAGTGAGCAATTGCAGGCCAAGGATGTCGTAGAAACGCCTGGACAGCACAGATAATCCCGGCATCAGTAAGGTCAGTCGCAAAAGGCTATGTTGCCGCCTTGCTGTTTACTTTAGGCGACGACACGAGCCAGAAAAAGGAACGACAGGGAGGATAGGGCAGAAACAGGGAAAAGGAACAAAGACTCGATACTCCGTGCTGGACCGCAAAAGCGGGACTTCTTCAAAGCGCGAAGGAGAGACCTGATGGATAGGTCTAGCCTGACCTGGAGGTTGACCCGCTGGTCGAACGCGACATCACGTGTCGTATCCTTATAACAGAGGAAGTCTCATTATGTAGGTAGCACATAATAAAACGGCCAAGATGCTGCATTATGTCCCTCCGAAGAGCAGTGGGTGATTAGTCACTGAGTTTCGTCCCGCTGTAGTGACGCTGGGAATTTGCATCTCAAGCCATGCAAGGGTCCGAGGGCGTGAAATCTGTCTTGGCGGAGATATGAACAGGTCGGCAAAAAAAATAGGTCTTGTCTCTCACTTGAAGCGTGTAGGCTGTCTATATGTATAGAGGAGTGCTGTTAGCGTAAGGTCAAACAAGAACAGAAAGTACCGGGTGGTTCAAGCGATCTGAGTGGAACCATCAAACAGCTTCTACAACCAGCCAATGTGCTGGTTTTTTTTCCTCCTGGATGAAAAGGGTGCAAGATGAAGATTTGACGGACATACGTATGTGCACCACGTCCTGTTTCTCTTCGAAGTTGATAGCTCTGATAACCTGCTCGCTTTTCTACGTGCTTAGCTCATTAGTCTTCGCAGCGGCTCACCACACGTTTAGCAAACGCATGCTAGCCATTGTCTCTAAAGTGCGGCTACAGCTCACAACAAGATTGTCCAATGCCTCCACGGACGGCAGTCTACTCTCTCTTTTCTGCTTTGCTTGGGTTGTCCTGCTAGACGTATGTTTGTGACTGGTGGCAGCAAACACGTAGTCCGGGTATGCATTGGGCAGCAAGAAGGCAGAGATGAGCAGTACAGACGATAGAGATAAGCACATTGTCTTTGCGCAGCAAGTACGGATGCGGTAGTTCCACTGACGCTGGGCGTTTACGTAAGTCTAGCCGAGCTGTGGCTCCTAATTGAAGTACCACTTGTGGACGGCCTGCATCTGTATAACAGGAGTTTTTCTTTTTTTTGGGTAGTGTATCGATAGTGTACAGAGTATTCCGTACAACGTTACCGTCCAGACAGTGCAGCGTCAACCTAAGCCTTGTATTCGGCGGGGCCGACCATCAGCTCCGGCCGCACAAGGGCGTCGAACTCCTCCTCGCTGAGGGCGTTGAGCTCCAGGGCGCTCTGCTTCAGCGTCAGGCCCTTCTTGTGGGCGTTCTTGGCCACCTTGCTGGCCATGTCGTAGCCGATCTTGGGGTTGAGGCAGGTGACGAGCATGAGCCTGTACGATTAGTAAGCAGTCATGTGACGAGGGGAGACCGGGAGGGACATACGACTCTTTCATGATGCTAGAGATCTTGGCCTCGTTGGCCTGCAGGCCGACGACGAGGTTCTTTTCAAACGAGCGCATGCCGTCGGCCAGGAGGCGGACGCTGTGTAGGACGTTGCGGATGATGAGCGGCTTGTAGACGTTGAGCTCGAACTGGCCGTTCATGCCGCCGATGGTAGTGGCCACGTGGTTGCCCATGACCTGGGCGCAGACCATGGTCAGGGCCTCGCACTGGGTGGGGTTGACCTTGCCGGGCATGATGCTGCTGCCGGGCTCATTTTCGGGCAGGTTGAGCTCGCCGAGGCCACAGCGCGGGCCGCTGCCGAGGTAGCGAATGTCCTGGGCGATCTTGTTGAGCGACGTGGCGAGAGTGTTGAGGCTGCCGGACGCGTGGACGAGGGCGTCGTGCGTGGCGAGGGCCTCAAACTTGTTCGGGGCCGTCTCAAAGTGCGTGCCGGTCATCTTGCTGACCTCGGCCGCGATAGCCTCAGCGAAGCCCTTGTACGTGTTGATGCCGGTGCCGACGGCCGTGCCGCCTTGGGCGAGCTGCCGCAGCGCCGGCAGGACCGACTCGACGCGCTGCACACCGTAGTCCAGCTGGGCCACGTAGCCGGAGAATTCCTGGGCCAGCGTGAGCGGCGTGGCGTCCTGCAGGTGCGTGCGGCCGATCTTGATGATCTTGCGCTCTTCAAAGTGCTCGACCTTGGCCTGCAGCGCGGCCCGGAGGCTGCGCAGCGCCGGCAGCAGCTCGCCCTCGATCTCCAGCACGGCCGCGATGTGCATCACCGTCGGGAACGTGTCGTTGGACGACGCGCTGCGGTTGACGTGGTCGTTCGGGTGCACCGGCTTCTTGCTGCCCATCGTGCCGCCCAGGATCTCGATCGCCCGGTTCGAGATCACCTCGTTGGCGTTCATGTTGGACTGCGTGCCCGAGCCTGTCTGCCACACCACCAGCGGGAAGTGGTCGACCAGCTTGAGGTCCGCCACCTCGGATGCCGCCTGCTGGATTGCCGATGCGATCTTGGGGTCTGTCTGGTCAGCTCTGTCTGCGCCCGTCTCGCCGCGGTCCGCTGCCACGCCCACTCACCCAGGCCATACTGCACGTTCACCGCCGCTGCTGCGCCCTTCAGGATGCCAAATGCCCGCACAATCGGCGGCGGCATGCGGTCCTGCGGCTGGTTGATCCGGAAGTTTTCCAGTGACCGCTCCGTCTGTGCGCCCCAGTACTTGTCCGCCGGCACCTGGATCTCGCCAAAGGCATCACTCTCCGTCCGTGTGGCTGCCGTCATTCTGCTGGTGCTCGCGTGGAAGCTCTGGCGCTGTTGCGTCTGGAATTGGGATTGCGTGGTTCTCGCGGCAAATCCGCTGGTGCTTCTGCCCTGAACAGCAATGGCACATGCATTCGCTGCCCTCGGCCCATTACGTAGCAGGCCTCGGGCGGCTGGTGCCGCACTTCGCACTGATCGGAGCATGACTGCTGACCTGACTGCTGACTTTGTCGGGGTAACGGCTCTTAGTGAGGGGATGGCTTTGTTGCAACCCTCTCAGCGTCCTTTTCGGCTTTTCAACTTTCAAGGAGAACTGTTCTCAGACGCTGTATGAAGAAGAAAAAAACCACCCGTGTCCTATCGCTAAGCCGAAGTTATCCCGAAAGCAAAACCCTTCTAATTATACCAATTGAACAAAAATAGCTCGTCCGCAGGCGGAGTCCAGGAAGCTTTTAATCCTGCACAGGCCCCTCCAACCGAGCTGCTCCCCTAAACTTCCGATGTCTTCCGAGCAAAATGCGCACGTGACCACTATATTGGGTGGGGTGCTCATGTAATCTTGCCGACGACTTGCCGTCGGTTCAACGCGGCATCACAATGATAGAAGATGGCAGGCTTTGTTTTGTAATGACGGCTCAAACGCAGTACGATACTTGCTACATCCTTCTAATGCTAAACCGAGAAATTCGATACACAAGGTATAAAGCCCGTTAGCATAGCTCTACTACGAGAACGATCCCACCTCAATTTCATCACACCTGCGATCTATATGGCAAAATTAGAGGCAAAGACAAGGCTCTGAAGAGCAGTTTGTGTCATTAGTAGATTCTCCGCGTATATGATTATCATATGCTATCCCACAACTATGTCTGAATGGGATGAGAAGCATCTTCCCAAAAAAAAAACCCATGCATGCTGTGTTATGCGCCAAAGTAATCCGATACCTTCACTTCAGACTGCAGGTTGGGCTTGGTTGAGTTACATTATGATCTCTAGATCTTTGAACTGGGATCGTCTGATTATTCCAAGACAGCTCAGACAATCCTCATTCTCAATTTAGCCTGGTCGCCTGCACCTGCCACATTGCTTTGACTTTCAACACTAGCCAACCAAGATTCTACCCAGTACTATAGAGCTCTTTCCTTTGCTAGATTTCCGAATCCTAATACAAAGGCAATGTGATTTGGGGCTGAATCTGAGCGAGTATTGAATTTATCTATTCTTAGACGCTCTTCATCATTTTTACTGTCCTCCAGTTACTCGCTCGTTTCTTCTTTGGACACTTTTTTCCGTAATTTGCTCGAAATGACAGACCTATACCGTCGTGGCAGCAGGTATAACTTGCGTCCACGAGCCAGTCTTCGTCCGGAAAACACAACATATGGATATGGCCAGCCGTTATGTCTACATCCCGATCCGTTTCAGAGGACAGCTGCTCAAAAACCAAGTACTGCAAACTTCGAGGCGACCTCATCATCACGTACCGACAACCCGCGATATGTTAACCTTCCAGTGCTCTCTGCGCTGAGAGCAAAAGCAAAGAAGCAGACGAATCCTTTAGTTTCCCCCGAATATCAAACACGTACCGAGAGATGCCAACAGGAACTTGAGCTAGACGAATTTTACCCCCATCATTGGACAGCATGTACGCCTGTCGATTTTGATGACAGGTATTGCCGAATCAGCGAGGCTTTATCCATACGCAAGCGAAATAAAGAACATGCCACCGAACTTCGCATCGCTTTGGAACACGTTGTGTCTGTGCGAAAATTGAAATCATGGCAACGTCACCAGCGACGGCTGCGCGAAAAGAAGATACAAGTACTCGAGCACATGCAGCGTCAAGAACAGCTACAATACGGACAGGACTAGGAGTCATCACATAACTGGCAATACAACTGGTATCTACAGCATTGCCTAAACGAGAGCCACCAACCTCCGTATTGCCATGATCAATATTATACGTATCAGGTGCAATTTCAGAATATGCATCTTTACCTTAGCCAGCCCCATGGGTTCCTGATTGCAACAGAACAGCCTCGACCCGTTACAAGAAGGCGACGAAGAAATATTTGGGCCTCTCAGAAACGCGCATAGGGCTATTGGTGGCGGAGAGTGCCGGGGAAGAGATGAGCTTTCTTTTTGATGAAGCTAAAACGGTTATGGCATCCTCTGAAGACATAATTGTATATGGGGCCGCTCTCTGTCCAAATTGCTTCCGCCAATTTGATCGCAGTGCTAGACGACAGCACACACGTCACGCCGAGGTTCACGTCCTTATATCTTGCAAAGTTTACAAGGCGTTTCGTAGTGAAAAATTGGACATCATTCATATATCAAGTGCGGTGTTGCTGAATTATTTTCCTCACGTGTATATATGCTACTAACTAGAAGTGGCCAGCAACCTCTTTGGCTTTCCATACTCTTCTAGGTGTTTTTGTTCTTTAGTTGTCAATATTTTCCTCAACTGGTTGATATGACAGCCCGTGAGAGTCCAAAGCGGTTCTGGTAGTCTTGGACGAGCAGATGGATTTGCATATATAGACATTGCACCCCTAGATGCTAGTCTACGGGGTTGAGAAACTTGATCAGGATCACCACCTTCTCTCGCGAAGTTCCATACATACAGCGCCTTGTCCCGTTCGAGTACACGTTGGCCATGTCCGTGCGTTCAGACCTCGATCAAAGGCCAACTTGAGCAGCGGCAGTGTCCGAGAGCTGCTCTCAGCTTCGTAGTCTCTGGAAGATTCGAGACTTAGCTTTGTCTGCGTCCATAACTCCTTTTGTTCTTGCCCAAGAGATGGTAGCTAATTTTCCTGTATAAATCGGTCCCTGTAGAGTCGTAGAATGCTGTTCATTCTCCTAGACACTCATCATAGGGTGATTGGCTTGGAAGACTGCCGTCTTTCAAGCAAGCACTGAATATGAGACAGGAAAGAGGAAATATTCAGAAACACGTCTTCCTCTCTTTATACAAACTCGGGAGCGGAGGCGGGAGCGGAGGCGGGAGCGGAGGCAGAAGCCGATAAGCACTGATTCTACTTCTCATTCTATGAAGATTGTCTAATGGCAGCATTTGATGGTATATGCTTGATATGTTGGGTGTAGATAGTCTCACCAAGTATGCCGTGGAAGCCATTCAATGCCCGTTGCCAGTCGATACAAACAGCTATCCTATTTCACTACCGCTTCTTGGTAATCAGGTGGCAATTCCATGTCCGATTACACCATTTCAGGTCTTTCTGTTCGGTAGATGACGTTCGACATTGTCACACCTCAATGCGGGCTTTGCTTGCAGTATTAAACCCTGAGAAGCACATCTTGGAATATCAGAAATAAAGAAACGGAATATCACAATACCGCAAGCCAATGAATGACAGAAGCAAAGGGAAGAAAGAAGCTGCTATGAGGTCAAGCTTTTGTGGGGTAAGGAGGTGGCCCAAGCTCCTACGAGAAAATAGAGGGACTGACTCAACGTCATCCTTTTTAAGCGGCTCGACTCGGAACAGAAGAGCAGCGACATCAATCGGCCCTGAGCGCATTTATCGTCTTCCATTCCATACACAAGACCAGCAGTGAAACTTGACGCCAATTCATACACAATGTTCCGTTTTGTGAGTAAAGCGTCATGCTGCTGTTGTTGTGGACTTGGAGAGAGCCGATCCCCCAAACAAACAGCATAAGCTGACCATTTCCACAGCCGAAAACCCTCGACATTGTGACGCTCTTCCACAAGGCGAGCTCGCCTGCGTCGATCCGCGTGTCCACCTTGCTCAAGCAGGCGTCTGCCCACGCCTCGCAGACGGCCACAGAGGACCAGGCCAGCGACACGACCGCGCAGACTTCTGCACCGACTGCGGGTCGCGAGACGTTTGAGCTGGAGATCACCGAGGAGCCGCCGACGACGGACCAGCTGCGCACCATCCTCGACTATGTGGGTACCCCGGCCATCCCGACGGTGATGAAGGGAGCAAGCACGACGGCCGAGGCGCTCAGGAAGTTCAGGGAGAGCGCAGACAACTTTCAGCGCCCAGTGGTAAGTTCTTTATTTGGGGGGGAAAGGACAGACAGACAGCCTCACATAGTCAATCAGCTGACGCTCTACCCTTTTCCTTCTGTGCAGGTTGTCGATTGGAACAACGGCAAAGCAATTGCAGGGGAAAACGAGTCGGAGATTCTCAAGCTGTTGAACTCAACTAAGTCGTAGCCGGGATCTGCAACGATACACGATGGTATGTATATGCAGGGAAACCTTGTCACTTTGTATCTATATCTTGTGTACGCCGTCCGAGTTGGAAGATAGGATATGAACGCATTGTCGCATGCTGTCTCTCTACCACCTTTGCTCACTGCGTGGGGAAGAACAAAGTAAAACCCCGAATCAGCACATACCTCTATCAGCATGCTTTGATGAATACCGCATTACGTCGTTGTGCTCTTTCGAATAGGTCGGTCATGTTCTAGTCCTCAAACCTTTCGACTCTACGGCCCTTCGACGAGGTGACATGTGCTTATGTAGCCAGTCAACTACTATGCTTTTGCACATAATCTTGCTCACTATGAAAACCCGCGAACAAACGGCAGCTTTGATTTTTTTTCGGCATTATGCGTTCACAACTTGTATGCCTCTGGATCTGCGTCCCGCATCCATACTAAAGAGGACGTCTGTTTGCGTCCTCGGACTGTCGTTCTATATACAAGAAAAGGGACTGCATCCGTCATTTGCTGTTTAGAGCATGTATGTGTTTGTATGTACGTGTGTGCGCGCCGTACTAATATTGTCTAGCGGCTGATGTTCTTGCCTCATTTTTCGTTCCGCCCGACTCTTGAGCGGGCATGCACGGTCGTTCACTTCGCCTCGCTCTTGACCAGGCCAGTCACCAGCTCCTCGATCTGCTTGTCGGACAGTCCTGCACCAAGTCAGCAGCTTCTTCAGCCTGGCAGGCGGGACGCATTTCTTACCCTCGAGAGACTTGCTCGTCTCGCGGCCAAGCTCGTAGCGGGCAAACACCTTGGGCAGGGTGCCGGAGGCGTCGCGCAGCAGGATCGGCGTGTGCGGGTTGTTCTTCTTCATCGTCGGATAGGTGCGGGTGAGAAAGGACCTGCATCCGGCAGCGGAGTTAGCAGAGCACAGAGAATCGGTGGGAGGAGAGCTCCGGCAGGCAGGGCCCCGTCAGTAGTGCCAGCCTCAGCCGAGCAAGAGGAAAATGAAGCTGGAAACAAAAAGGGACAGACACGTACCGCGTGGCGGCGCTGTGCTCGCCGGTCTGGCAAAAGAGAAAGCGGATCTCCTTGAGAGATTTTGTAAAGGCGTACTTGGCCGACATCGTGGGCAATTGGCGGTGGCGGACGGGCGGACGGTGGACGAGGAGAGGACGGGTTGGCGATCGAGTATTCCTGTCGGATGCCGGATTGCTGGAAAACGCAAGAATTGGCCGGGGCTGAAATGGAGTGGGTCTGATTGGCTGGGGCTGCTGGCAGCCTTTCAATTAGTAAGATGCGGGTGGAACGTGCAAGGTCACGTGCCATAACAATGGGCTTTGCGGCTGCAGGGCGTAACCTTCCCCACCAAGAACCAGAGGGAAGCGCTCCGGCTTCCCCAGCACGCCCCGGCTGCTCAGCGTGGCTTGAACGGCGTTCCACGGTGACGGTGCCAGAAATGCCAGGAATCGCACGCATCTTGCCATTTTCGCTACCCCGTTTTAGTAGAAAATCTCCACTCTTTTTTATCGCCCCGACTCGTGTCAACGCTGGCCGAACTTCTCTCGTCCAGATCGGTCACATCATCTCTGCACAATTTCCCCATCTCTGAGTCATTGAAGTCAATCTGGGACGGCCGTGCAGCTCCATACCACGACAATCCTTCACTTGTGTCCCTTTTTGTCTGTGCCCCTTTGCACCGCCGATCCTGCAAATCCGAATCGCCTCTCCGTTCTAGGAGTAAAGGGAAAGAGAAGAGGGAAAAGAGAAAAGGGAATACCCCTCAAGTCATGTCTCCGTCTGCCATGTTTGCGCGCACCGCTCTGCGGCCGCTGTCCGGCGCGTCCGCTTCGGCCTCGTCTTCCTTCTTCCTCGCCTCTTCCGTCACCCGTCACATGGCGACGGCTCGTCCGGTCGCGGCAGCAGCAGCGCGCACAACGGCTGCCGGCGCCAAGACAGCCCTGCCCAAGTTCTCGACGGCTTCGTTCATGGCAGCAGCGTTCCGCCGGGCGTCCAACCGCAGCGGCAGCCACGGCGGCCGTCGCTATCAGAGCAGCACAGCCGGCGCCGATGCCGGAGCCCATAGCAACCCCAGCATCTTCAAGCGGCTGTGGGACAGCCCGGTTGGCGTGAAGACGGTGCATTTCTGGTAGGGTCTCGGTCTATCGCTTCTCTCGCTGTCTCGCTGCTACGAATGCTGACATCTTGTAGGGCCCCCGTGCTCAAGTGGGTTCTCGTCCTCGCCGGCATCTCCGATCTTGCACGTCCGGCCGAGAAGCTGTCGGTGACGCAGAACATCGCCCTGACGGCCACCGGCGTCATCTGGACGCGCTGGTGCCTGATTATCAAGCCAAAGAACTACATGCTCGCGGCCGTCAACTTCTTCCTCGGCATCGTCGGCATCATCCAGTGCACACGCATCTTTATGCACAGCCAGCAGGTCAAGAAGGCAGAAGAGGCCGAGACTCCCGCAGCCGTGGAGCAGTAGGACGGGAAAGACGGAGATCGGTTGCAACCGCAGGCATGTGGATGTCGGCCTGCAAACCGATGATGCTTTTCATCTGTATCTGTATACATCTTATTTACCACACGTTACATTGAATCATTTTCGTTTCTCTCGCGACTACGCCTAACGATCTGTCTGTTCGAGCTACTTGCTGATAAAGTAGTAATGAACGGTAGATCTTGGTTAAGAGTTTCAAGACTCTCATCATCTGTATAGGTTGAATTGGGGGTTTCTATATTCTACTCCGTACCTTCTCCTTAAACCCGCTAAACAAAGAAGACTGCCAGAAGTATTAATGACTTGGTTATAATATACAATGCAAATAATGGACTTCCTAATAAACGAGCGAACCGCCACAATTCAGAAAGTGCACGGAAAAGTGCATAAAATACGAAAGACAGACACATGTCCAAAAGAGCAGACAGGCATATCCACCCTTGCCTTGGAACGAACATTCCGCCAAAAATAGAAACAAGATGCAATAAGGGAGAAGAAGCGGGAAGAGGGGAACTGAGAAGAAACAAAAGAAATAAGCAAGATCAGTATGGCGGCCGGGATACATTCCCGAAACTGTGCTCCCCTGCTCGGCTATCAATGCCCTTCAGCAGCGAGTCAAGGTCGCCTGCCGAAGCTGGAAGCTCGTCGTTAATCAGGCTCGACAACACACTCTCGCCTCCACGGCTCCTGACGTTGCGCCGCGACACTCCTCCCGAGGTGGACGTCCTGCCTGGCGATGCAGTCGCCGGACGGCCGTCAGACGATACAAACGTGACGGGAGGATAGCCGGCATAGCCACCGTTGGCCTGCTGGTTCTGCTGCCCCCGCAACAAAGGTGATGGCAACGGCGGCACCGGTGGCACGGCCTCCGCGTCTGCGTCGCTGTTGGTTCCGGAAGGCAGTGACCCCAGCTGACCCGAGCTGGCCGTCGAGTTTTTCCGAGCTGCTGCCGACAAGCTGCGCTTCACGCTTGCTGGCGAGCTAGACGGTTCTCGATCCGACTGCTGTGATGGTTGAGCCTGGCCAGCAGCAACGCCCAGTGGAGGATTGAACGAAACCTCGGATGCCGACAAGTCATAGCTCGCCATGCTGTCGCTGCTTCCATCGTCGTCGTTCGCGTCGCCGCTGCGCTCACGGCCGAGACCTGGCGACGTCAAACCGCCCGTGAGCGCCAGCTTCAGCTGGTCCACAGATGTGACAAAACCGCCGCCGCTTCGAGTCGAGCTGCTCCCTATCGGCGACGGAGACAGGCCGCTGCGAATGCTGGTCTTGCGAAGTTTCGACACAACCGGTGCAGCCAGCATATCGTTGGCCGTCGAGCCGTTCACTGCTCGGGCCGGCTGCGAGATGGGCCGTGTGTTTTGCTGGGCGGTCGGGGATGTTGGCCCATTGCCATTGAAGTAGAGCTGCCCGTTCGACAGCCCGTTCAGTGTGTTGATGGCCAGACGGCTTCGTGCCACCGTGTTGCTGGCAGTGGCCATGGTTCCCGAGCGCGATCCGCTCAGCGACACCGACTTGCTGCTGTTGTGCTGTTGCATCTGCTGCAACACGCCGTCGCGCGACCAGTCCGACAGCATCTCCTCCCTGACGGCTGCCGGAACCTCCCGCTGCGTGTTGGCAGAAACGGTTGCGTTGCCGAGACTAAATCCGGGAAAGAGGCCACCGCTGCTGCCACCTCGGCCAGGGTTCGTCGACGGGCTCTGTGGTGGCGAGCCTGCAAAAGCCTCGTAGTAGGCCGTGCTGACGCACTCAACCAGCGAAAGGCGGTCGTCGAAAGGCAGCAGCGCCTCCGACTCGATCTCGTGCAGCGGCATTCTCGGCTGCGGCCGCATCATGCCCGGTGTACCTGCCAGCTCCACAAAGGTCGGCGGCACTTGTATGCCCTCCAACCAGAAATGCTTGGAGCGTCGTCGCGTGATCTCGTTTCGGATAGCCCGGCCCACGACAGACGACTCAAAGTTGAATCTCTCCGTGAGCGTCCAGAAGTAGCCATGCACTACACTGCCGAGACGTACTTTCTCCTGTGGCGTCTCCACGTCCTGGATGGATTCCTGAAGCTGGAAGATCATTGGCAGGCCATACCGCACCGCGTTCACGCCCAGTCGATCAGCGAGCTTGTTCAGGAGGACATGCAGCAGCACCAGGTCGGTCTCATACTCCACGAATTCTAGCGCGTTGTCGTATATGGCGAGGTGCAGCAGCGACAAGAAGAAACTCCGCCGGGACCTCGTCTTACCGTTGCTATTGCTGGAGCCGCCATTGGAGATGATGACGCCGTTGCTGTTGCTGTTGCCGACGTTTTCACGCTGAGATGTGCTCGACAAAGCGCGCTTTCCAAAATCCGATCCTGTTGGGCCAGACGCCGCTTCGCGGCCACTCCTCGTTGCCGGTTGGATGCCGCTGGAGGCTGTACCAGTACCAAGCGCGACAGTACCATCATCAAGGACCTCTTGGTCTGCCGCAGTCGTCTCCCGATCAAGCCATGTCAGGAGAGTGTCGACATACGCCTTCCGCACCCCACCGTCAGGGTCACGCAACAGCCAGTGTGTGCCCTCCCATACTTTGATTGGTACCCGGTTCCGCGTGAGCGTCTGGCTGCCGCCGTGGTTCGTGCGCGGATTGGCTACCAGCAGGATGGCCTTGACAGACTTCAGCATGGCTGTCTTGGTTACGGTAAGCGAAAAGAGGGACTCGACCACGTGCTGCTTTGTCCTGTCCTTGTGCTGCTGTGGCGATTGCTGTGGTGAGTCTTGTCCGTCGTCGGACTTCTCACCGGGTGGCGTCGAGCTGGCCAAACCGCCCGTGCGAGCCGGCTTCAGGCGGAACAGAATAGTCGAGACCATGTCGGAGATCTGGTCGGCGTAGTACACGTGGGTAGCCAGATCGCCAATACACTGCTGCAGGCGAAGTAGAAGCTCCTTACGCTTCGATGACACAGTCACTGCCGAGCTGGCCGCTGCCTGCGTGGTCGGAGAGCGCAGGTCTTGTTGGCCTGGCAGCGGGCCTTCAGACGTGGCCAGAGCAGCGGCAGCAGCAGGGTCGCCTGGCATCTGCACCAGCTTCTTGATGTGATGGATGAAGCTAAGCAGCACATCCATGACGCTCAGGCCGATCAAGCTTGCATCCGACCGCAGCAGAGAAGCAATCATGGCGGCTAGGGTGATATGCTGATCAAGGGTCTCGTCGGTGAGCGGGGAGCGTGCTAGGGTGTCTATGGTGGTGACGAGGATAATGTATCGCTCTTGAACCGGAGCCCAGCGGAGAAGGAGGCTGCAGATCTTGACGGCCCAGCCATTGTCCTTGCCACTGTTGAAGTTGCCACTCACGACGGACTCGCCCTGGCTGATCCGGTCGTTGACAAATTCCAGCAAGGATGTGGTAGCCGAGTGGATCAACGAGCGGCTCGGGGCGATGAAAATCTGCTTCAAGCACTGCATGGCAAGAACGCCAATGTCCTCCTCGGCCAGCTTGTCCACATCCGTAGCCGTGCCGGACAGGGCAATTGGATTTGTGTCGCCAGCGATGTCTGCCGTGCGGACGGTAGCTACACTAGTTCGGCGCTTGAGCAGCCGATCTGTGTCGACCTGCTCCTCGACCTCGACGCGCTGCAACAGCACATCGAGGAAGTCTTCGTTGTCAGTCCACAGATTCTCCAGAACCATCGGCACCATCATGTCGTACTGGCGGCCGGCAATGGACGAGAGTGCATCCGATGACGCCACGGCGCGGATCGCTTCGAGACCCGAGTTGCGCCATCGCATCGTCACCGGCTTGCTGGGCTGCGTCTTCCCGGGAGCAAGTCGCGTGGAGGCAAAAGAGGCATAATGACGCACGACGGCCTCGAACTGGGCCAGGTAGGCCTGATCAGCTAACAGGATAGACGCGTCGTGGTGCGTGCAGAAAGCCTTGAATGTGGGAATCGAGGATTCGACCATGGTGATGTCATTGGATCGTAGGATGAGATCGAGGATCGTTAGGATGTTGGGCGCAAACAGCGGGAGATCTTTGGGGTTCTTCTCGATCAGAGCTTCCAGTATCTGAAGGGTGACCTGGACATTTCTGTCGGGTGCGGGGGAATATTAGTTTGAACACGGACTCCTCTGGAGACTGCCGATCTCTCCATATCAGGCCCCGTCGAGAAAGAAAGGACGAAAAACGTACCCGATGCGCAGGTGCCAGACATCGCTTGCCGTCTTCCGCTCGAGAAAGCTACCGACCTTCTGGATCTTGGTTCGCCGTGAGGTGGCATAGTAGAGCAGATAGCTCAGCTCGCTCGAGTTGGGCTTCACATCGACCGCACCCTTAGTGGTTCGCGGATAGCACTTGAGGACCAAGACCTGGTGTTTTGGCCGGCATCGCTGCTGGATGGCCTGCATAGTGCCGGTAGCACAGGTAAGGTGTCGAGAAGATCTTGGGACAATGGCGCGAAGACGGATGCAGCGGGTGCAACGTGCCCACCGATGCAGGACCTTCCGTGGGGGTGGCGAGGCTTCTCAGCTATCGAGAGGCCAGGGAAACACTTGACCGACGTTGCAAGGTCCCGTGCACAAAGAAGGGCAAAGACACGGAAGATCAGTTCGAAATGGGGATGGGCAGAATGCGGGCAAACGCAGGGCGCGTATAAATTGGCGACTTGAGGGCCTGCCGAGGGTTCGATCCAGTTATCAGGTGCGGCAGAGTCCGGTCAAGTTCATAGTCGGAGCAAGAGACGAAATTGAGCTTTGATGGGCAGAAAGGGGGCTGGCGGCAGAGCAGAAAGATCGAGGCGCGTCCCGTGATCATTCGGTGGCCGGCGATGACAAGCTGTTTCGATCGAGGGCAGTACTCGTATAGGATCGAAATTGAAATGGAGCAGCACGACAAACGAGAGCGCAGATATGGAGCAATGCAGTGGCGAGTCAATACTCAAGGTACTCAAGGAAAGGGGCGATGGCAGACAAGGTGAGCAGAAGTGACCAAGAAAAAAGAAGGCAAAGCAGAGGCGAAATTAGTATGGACAATGACGGTCAAAAATTGGCGGAGCTGACTTGTCGTCAGCCGTTTGCTCTGTTGGCATCCTGCCGGGCAACACTACAGTAATACTAGCAGCAGCGCCAATAGGGGGGGAACATTAGCGTGGCAGGAGCCACCTGCAGATTCCAGATCCGTCCAATCATTTATGGGACGCCGCTTAGAGGCCGACTGCTGTAATGCCGTTGCTTCCTTATTTTCTTCTTTTATCGTGTCCGTCCTGCCCTCGTTCGCCCTTCGTTGGTGCTCCTGCCCTCCCGGACCAGAAAGGCATTGATCAACCAACAGACCGAAGAAACATCAGCTTCGTAGTTCCTTCCTCCAAGCAGCTTCGTTCCTTGCGACATTAACCAGCGCATACGGAGTCTACGGATAATTAACTCACCGACTCACCGATACGAATCCCGTATTGCAACACAACAACTCGGGTGATTGGTTCTGTTTGGCGTCCGGCTGCAGGGCCGTCTAGAAAACAGCCAAAACTTCATCAGCCCGTCGTAGGACAGCACGTCATATGCGAGAAACGTACTCCATAGTCTTGCGAACATACAGCGAGCAGCTAAAGAGACCTTGAGCCCGGATGGCCAAGACGACCAAGACTCGTACTAAGGAAGCAGGACGTTATGCATGCATCTGGCGACTTCGTCAAGAAAGGCGGCTGGTAGGTATACCGCACACACGGTCGTCAGTACAAAATGCCACCTCACTCTTAATACCGTAAGATATGCCTACGGCACGGCTGCACGTCATGGGTAGCCCCACAAGAAGATGAGACGCCCAATCTGTGACGAAGACCTAATTGCGCTGCTCCCATATGGCCTTATTGGATTTCTGCGATACTAATTTTTCGACCAGATTGTCTGACCGTACGACGTCAGCGTGCCGACTTCCGAATCACTGCTACTTCTTGGCAGATATACGATCGCGGCTGTAGTGTAAGATACATGGCAAGCATCGTGTCTTAGACGTTTATTGTATACCGTCGACGCCGGTGGTATGGGCCCAAATAATAACGGGTGCTTATATAAATTCGATTTTCTGTGAGTCTATGATGCACTCGATCAACCACAGTCCTGCAATCAGTAACGATGCTTGGTGCAATTCTGTAATTTGCGTTTGCTGCCCTCTCTTGATGAGCCCTATTCTCGCCACTACTCGGAAGGAAATCTCTATTAATATTCTCCTAATTCGGCCGTTTCGCGAACATGCCCAACCATCTGCTGTTTCCATACAGTAGAGTCGTGTGCCAAGTTGGGTTCTTGCAAGTCCGAACTGTTGTTGATCCACGATCGTAGCTGTTCTGGTGAGACTTCAGTCTCGCTGTGCCTTTGGCGAAGGAAGTTGCGATGAGACCTGGCTATCTCGCTGTTGCTTTGGTCGAGCTGTTCTTCCGTCATCGATTTACTCGCATTTTCTATAGACCCCGGCTGGGCATCCACACAACTCTGCTGTGAATAGTTGCTGCTCGAAACAACAGAGTCATCTTGCGCGAGACTCGCCTGCTAAGCTTGCACCCGAGACCATTGACTGGCACCACGTGGGTGAAGTAGAGGAGCATCATCTGCATCATTGTTTGTGGAAACAGTCTGGCTTTTCTCATAAGAGTCTTGCCAGGATCCGCCCCGGGACGCTGCGGTTGTGATTTCAGATAGTTTCATGCTTTGCCGAAGAGCACGGCGATAAGGACTACCTCTCCGAAACAAGTACCGAGGCGTAAATGGCTCAGAATCGGCATATATCTTTGGTTTCATGGCCAGGTTGTCACCTTGTTCGACTGCCGCTTCTGGGGTTGTTGGCGTTGACGTAAAAGCATAGCGCGTGTTCCCGGGTTTTCCTTCGTAAAACGGATCATTGGGAGCTACCTTTTCCCCTATTGCATAAACGTTCGTATCGGCATTTTCACGGCTGAGGCACGCTCCTTGTAGTCCCAAACCTAATTCTTGAAGACGCCAAAGAGCGCTTGGGGTGATCCCTTGCCTTGGAGTATCGCCACGTCCACTTCCAGCCAAAGAAGGAGAGGATGTGCCAGAAGAACGAAAGGACACCTTGGACATTGATCCTGGCCGAAAATCTATCGGCGTTGCTAGATTGGGTTGTGACTGAGCAGGCAGTATGGTGATAGGAGAACGGTCAACGACGGTTCCACATCCAGGTGTGGGAGTTTGAAAGACATCCGAAATAGCATCTGTCTTAAATTGAGGTTGTGCTGGTACTGAAAGCAGTCGGCTGTTTTCAGCAATTGCTGATAGATTTTCGTGCGCAAAATCGGCTGGATGAGCCAGTTGGCTTGCACTAGAAGACGTCTGCCGCACCGAGCTGGACCAACTTGTGAAGCGAGATGTGTTTGTCCCACTTCTACTCCGCCGGCCATCGTAGTTTTCTTCTGCACAGCAATCGCCAACGTCCCGGACAACAGTGATTCCATCTTCAATATCAGAGTTATCAGGAGGAAAGCTTGGCTTCGTGGATATTCCGCTGTTGCTGAATGACAAGGATCCGTGAGACCTTTGTGCCCGAATGTGCTGTTCTGGAAGCTCGTCTGTGCTATCTTCACTTTTCGAATGGCTCCAGAGCTCCTTCAATCGTGACCTGACAGCCTTTCCCATCTTGCTTGCCGTTCTCCGCAAGCTTCCGCTGGTGCTAGCAGCACTTGTGGGAATGGCAATTAGATGGTTCACATTGGTCTTCCGAGTAAGAGGACGAGTGTTGCCGGTGGTTGTGTTGCATCTCCGCAGAGACTTCCTCAGCTGCACTTCGGAATGGGGAGCTGTATGGAAAGTTGTTCTTTGTAGAGACGCTTCGTCTCCGTATGAAAACGAAAGGCTAGGCCGTAGATGTGGTTCGTGGGCTGGCTTTGTCGTTTCTGATAAGGGGGATGCAGCCATGGTACCCGAACGGTCGTTTACAGAGTCCCCGCCGGATTTCTGACCGTTACGGCCATCTAACGCTGGTTCGGGTGTCAAAATATAGCTACCAGTGAGACGGAGTAGAGAGATATACGGAATGAATTATAGTCGTTGCACTCATCTTGATAGTTTATCGCGTTTTCTGACGAATATGATACAGGAGCGGTGTTGTTGCTAAATGCGGATCGTAGCCCGTTGTTAAAGCTTGATGGCATAACATCTGTCCGCCGAAGACGACCTGTCGAGCTTTCCGGTAGCCGCGCCCTAGATCGAAAACTGGTAGAGGCCAGTTGTGATCGTTTGAAGGGTTTCGCAGTGTTTGCAGAACCGATATTGGCTTGGCTTCCGTCTGCTGGCAGGTTCTCTTTGTTGTGTGGCAAGACACCAGACCAAGTTTGGTTGATGTTCGTGATATAGTCATCACCGGCAACAAGTGAGCCATACTGAGCATGGGCATGGTCGGACCGGGGTGGTTCTGATTGTGCCAAGCTGTGGGTCGTTGATAGAGACAAAGACTCCTGGCGATCGACTCCCTTTTTCGGATTGCCGTTGCCTGGTGATGTGGTGCGGACAAAACGGATGCTACGACGCGGCTGCAGGTCGACTGAGTGAAGGCTAGGCCTGTCGCCTGTCTGCATTGTGCTGCCAGAGGAGAAACTCTGAGAAGTTCTGGAAATCAAAGTTGACATGCTTTCGGGAAATGTCGCAGACATCTCAGAGCTGGACCGTTCCCGACTCAGTACAAAGGCCTTGCTAGCGGCGATTTGGGCGTCACGGTGAGCATCGGCTGGATTGATGTGTTGCAGCTGGATACTGCGAGAGGCAGATGTTACCGGCCCGCGGTTGGCAATATCAGAGCGGGACCTGGAGCCTCGGAGATGAGGCATGCTGGCTGACGAGTGCTTGAGACACTGTCAAGCTCCAATTCTCGGGAGTATTGCTGATCATAGAGGGGGAAAGGTGAGAGCAGCAACCAAATGATGACAGACGGTAAATATCGTGAATCAACCAAGAACGTAAAATAAGTTAACTAAAGCTCATGGTCCTCAGACTGCAGTGTATGAATGTCTAGTCGGTGGCATATGTATGTCTGGACGGCCTGAAGGGAGAGACAACGACGACGAAAGCAGATGGGAACCCTGAAACGGTTTCAAGGTAGCGTTATAGATGCGACTTAGGTTACTAGGCAAGAGCTAATCACTAGCTATTAGTGAAGGCAAGACAGAAAGCGGCAGGAGCATTCACGGACAGAATCGAAACAGGCAGGAGACGGTAATAGAATTATCACACATATTATGAAATGTCGCAGTTTGGAAACAGAAGTTGCCAGAACAGTACTAATATAACTCGATCCCTACAATACAAAACCCTGGAACACTGGCGATCTCCGTCTACTAGCAAGTGCCATACTTCGGCCACACTTATCAACGGTGGCAAGACACTGGGGACCAAAAAGAGCAGATGCGACTAGGCAAAAATGCAAATAGAAGGGAGAGATAACACCATAAAGACCGCGGCGCCATGGCGAGCTGCACAACCGGATTTATCCCGAGGAGCAAGCCTTGGCGCCCATGGTCTGTTGACAGCTCTTAGGCGACACAGACCATCTAAGCAGAGGCCTCGCCGAGGAACTCCTTCAGCTCCTCGTCGACCAGCTCGTGGATCTTCTTGGAGAACTTCTCAGCCTTGCGGCCAAAGGCCGAGGCACCGCCAAGGGCCTTGCCGGAGACAATCTTCAGGTCAAGCTCAATGGCCTTCTCGAGGTCCGAGACAGCGCCGAGAACATCAGCGGCCTCAGGCTCCTCGGTCTTTTTGTCAGCAGCGGCATCATAGCTGCCACGCTCGACGATGGAAGAGTAGTTGCCGCAACCGCCACCGTTCCAGGCAAGCAGGTTGGGGGTGTTGGCGGGCAGGTCGGTGAGGGCGCCGGTCGTGGCCACAGCCAGCAGGTTGGACTTGAGCTTCTCGGGGCTGATGGGAGCAACAGAATACTCGGACTCGGCCGCAGGCTGAAGAGACAGGTAGTAGGCCAGCAGACCGGCAATGTGCGGCGAGGCCATGGAGGTACCAGAGATGGTGTTGATGGCGGTCTCGCTGCCAATCCAGGTGGACTGGATGTTCAAGCCAGGGGCGAAGACATCAGTGCACTTGCCCCAGTTGGAGAAGTAGGCACGGCTGTCATCAATGGCAGAGGCACCGACGGTGAGGGCCTTGTCAGCAGCAGCAGGGGAGTAGTTGCAAGCATCAGCGTTGTCGTTACCGGCAGCGACAGCAAAGTGCAGACCAGCAGAGACAGCAGCGTTGACGGCGGCGTCCAGCGGCGTCGTCTTGCCACCGCCCAGAGACATGTTGGCGACAGAACCCTTGAAGCCCTTGCGCTTGCCCTTCTTGGCGAGTGCAACCTGGTCGAGATGGCGCTTGGCAGCAAACTCGACGCCAGCAATGACATCCGACATGGTGCCAGAGCCGTTGGAGCGGAGAACCTTGACAGCGTAGACTTTGGCCTTCTTGGCAACACCGTACTTCTTGCCGGCGATGGTACCAGAGCAGTGAGTTCCGTGACCGTTGCCATCAGCGTCCTCATCACCAGAAGGAATGGTCTTGCCCCAATGGGCGCGGCCCTCAAAGTCAATGTGCTTGATCGAAGTACCGGTGTCGATAACGTAGGCATCGACACCCTCGCCACCCTCCTCGGTGAACAGGTACTTGTTAAAGGTACCAAAGTTCAGCGACTTGCGGTGGGAGAGACGGGCCAGACCCCAGGGGGCACCCTTCTCCGTCTCTGGGCTGCACTTCTCAGTGCCAACCTCCTCATACTTCATCGTGTGGACGACAGTGTCGCGGTGGATGTACTCGACCTGTTAGGTAGCATTATGGTTAGCACGGGTGGACTTGTTGGAGTCGCGTGATAGCCTGCTGCCTTATCGCCGAAAGGCCGCCCCATTTAGAGATAAGGAGAGCTCTAGCTCTGTTCATCTCACGGACGATAATGTGAAAATGACATCGAAGGGGGCTGGTCTACTTACATCCGGATGCCGGCGGACCAGCTCGATGATAGAATCATCGAAATGGCCTGCATAGCCGAGAAACTCATCCCCAATGTTGTAGGTGTGCTTGAGACCGCGGAAGAGCGAGTCTGCCACTGGCAATACGCCGCGCTTGCGCAGCTCGAGGTTGCGCTCCTCGTCGCCCTCCGGGAAGGACTTCACCCAGTCTGAGTGGATGGACTGCACCCACGTGTGATGGTCTGCGGCCTTCTTTCCGTTGACATTGTTCTTGAACTTGATGATGTAGGCGCCTGGGATGTCCACAGCTCCTGTCGATGACAGAATCGGAGCAGCATCACCGTGGATGGTCTCAGTGTTGATGGCAGGCGCGGCGTAGGCGTACGCCGCCAGAGAGAGGGTGATGAAGCGCTTCATGGTAGAAAGCGAAGCAACCCGATGTCGGAAGCGCCTGCGATTCACGGGCCAAGTAGGGGTGGAAGAGGGAAGGGGACCAAGGGGACGACAAAGGCCGTCTTTAGATATGAAAGAGCAGCTAAACTGTGCCCCCAAAATAAAACAGAACGGTTTGAGGCTGGATTGGGGGGAGGGTTGGATGAAAGAAGATGAAAGAGGAAGAAGAAGGGGGAGAGAGAGAGGAAGGGGAGGAGAGGATAGAAGTAGAGTCAGAGAGCAGTCGGGATCGATGGTTAGATAAAGAAAAAGCGGACAAAACCCCCCACTGTGAGTGAGTAACATAGGCCAGCCAGTAGCGCCTTACCCCTTCCGCCAGCGCCCCAAACTTGCGCATTCGGCGGCCAGTGTTGCCTCATCATGGGCGTGACAGAGCTAGGGGTCCAAACCCAAGTCAGAAGGTGGCTGAGACACCGAAAACGGGTTAGCGGAAGCACTTGAACCAATGGGCTGACTCGACGGCGTGACGGATGGTTTCCTCGGCAATGCGATAAGCGTTTCGCACAGTGTGTATGTGCGACTGGCCTGCAGCCGATAGTACGGCAAGCTCTGGGCGACGATAAGATACTATTAACAGAGATTCAATCGGAGCAGAAGAAACAGATAACGCAAGTCATGTGCGGGATCCTGTTCCATGATGGGCTGTCTTTGCGAGCGTCGAGGCAGATGGCAGGAGAGGTCATACGTCCACAGTGCATCTCCCAGTTAAGATACGACGTAATGGGCATCAGGTATCTAGGTACGGTGGAAGAACACTTAAGATACCCGTATACGTAGAGGCAAATCCCTGTGGGGCGCTGATCCACAACAGCTCTGGTAAGAGACGGCCAGGCCCTCAGCTCTGGAGACACACATGACCTCTTGACGATGCCAATTTCATTGCTTTTTCCGGGCCTCGTCAGGGTGCGCTCGGCATTTACTCGGAGCTCTATTCTCGAGTAGAGATAGCTTGTAGACTGGACAGGCGGATGGCATTTGAAACAGACCGGTCGCTCTCAGATTATAGTGAGATTCTTACCTACGACGTATGGTTTCTACGGAGTAAGAATAGTAGACCCAAAGCCGGAGCTTCCCCACTAAATCACAAGGCCCCTGTGGAGTCCGAGATACAGGAAGCGATAACAAGTTGGCAAGGACGCTTGAGCAGCACAAGGCGGCATAAATCTGGGGTGGGTGGAGCAAGGCAGGACACATCACCTGCCTGGCTGCCTGTGCCAATGCTCCTACGTCTGTAAGATACGAGAACGGAGCAGAGGCAGCCGTCCGGTCAGGGACAGTAGCCTTGCTCCCTAGCCTAGGTCGCCCATGGATGGATGACATCGGCTCCTGCTGTGAGATACGAGTACAGAGTAGGCTGCCATCCAGGCTTGCCGGCCCAGCTGACGTGGCCACAGTGGCCAACTACCTTCTCCACCGCCACACCGTCTTTAAGACGCTGGTTGCTCACCGGCAGTACGAGCATGTAGCCCCCCAGATCGGCGGGCAGCTTGTCCGCAAGACGAGGCGACTTCTCGTACGTGTAGATGGAGACAGGGCCGTGCCTGAAACAGACTGGCACCAAATGCTGGCATTGCCAGCGTAGCCGTGGGCCGCGTGACTCGTGTTCACGTCTGTGCATAAGCAGCACAAAACGCGCCGGGCATACCCTACCTATACCCAGAACCGAGGACAGCAAACCGCGTCACTGCCGTGGGATTTGGACAAGATGCAGGGAATGGACCAGAAAATGGACCGCGTAATGATATCCCGTAGTTTGTATCTTACTCCGTACGCCGCACTTGCCATATGGAGTGCTGTGTTCTAGTACTCCGTATCGCCTGTCGATTGGGCCTTCCTTCAGTGAGTGTCTAGTCATGTGACCGCCAGGTGCCTCCAGCGTCCTTGGCAGGCTGCACTAAAATCAGGAAAGAGCCCCTCAGCCCGAAGCGGTGGTGGCCCACTGAGGAAATTCTGGTGCACGATTGGCATGTGCGCCATGTTCCCAGGAGTCCCTGAAGCAAACCAGCCTCCGGTACGAAAACGGTGTATCTGCAGCTATCCTGCCGCCTGGACTGCTTAATTGACAAGGTACGAACTGGTTCTGTCCCCAATGCAGGGCCCCCCTCGCGTGGCTGACCATATTGCTGCCCGGCCTAGCTTAGAATAGACGGCCCCAAAACGAGAGACGGAAGGGAATGTGCTTGGCCTCGTGAATGGGGTGACAGCAGGCCAGCATTCTCGCGAGCAGTCCGCAAGAGGATGAGAGGAGGCAGAGGGACAGGTGGCCGGGCGAGTACAACAATCGCCAGCAGCAGAAGGGCAGAAGCCAGAGCTCGAGGCAGTTGGAAAACGAGATAAGCAGCACCTCGTGACGAGATCGAGACGACCACTACATCAACCCTCTTCCCCGGCGGAGCTGCTGTTGCTCACGGGAAGCTTTAACGGCTAGCCCTGGGCCGAATCAGGCCATACGGTTCCGGCTGCGATCCTGCTACGATGGCCACACGCCCGAGCCGCTACCGCTCGTCCACTTCGGCCTCCAACCCACCGACGACGACCAAGGCTGCCGAGGTGCTCCAGGACCTTCTGAACGGCACTCTCTCGGTGATATCTACGCCGTCGTCCGGCTCCGGCGGCTACCCCGACATCCACTCCCTCCTAAAGTATGTCCGACAGGTCCATCAGCACCTCACCGCCCTTGCCCCACCGAGCTCGGCGCAGGATGACTTCCGCCACCTACACGGCTTCCAGCTGCTGCTGAGCATGCTGCGGTCGTTCTCGGGGTTTTACAACCCGCAGAAGCGCAGCGACCCGGAGAAGAAGGCCCTGTTTGAGCTGCTGCACGCGACCCTAGCTGTCTTGTCGGCGGCGTTTCGCGGCCACCAGGGCAACCGCCGGTACTTCCACCTCCGCGTCGAGGGCGGCGGGTGGGAGGCACTGGATCAGATCATTGCGAGTATCGGGCTGGGCGTGAGCGACTCGGACCTGTGGAGCAACTGCCAGCTTTTTGGCAAGCTGCTCGCCTTCGCCCTGGACGACCAACGGATGGACGAAGTGGCCCAGTGGATTGCTCAGGACCGGGAAGAGGGTGTGACGGTAGATGTGGAGGAGAAAGAAGAGAAAGAGGAGGAAGAAGAGAAAGGAGAGAAAGATGGGAAAAAGGAGACAGAGGAGGAAGAGGGACAATCGGAACATACCGAGGAGAGAGTGGAGGGAAAGGAGCCCAAGACGAACGGGATGAACGGGAAAACTGCTCCGGATGCCCAAAGCAGCACAGTCGACATCTCGCAGTTGAAGGCCAAGCTTGGTGTCATCATCGGGCCCAAGACGGTGCTGCAAAACGCAGAGGTGATGCGGACAGTGATCGGGTTCTGGGAGTCGATTCCGCGGAGCCATGCCGGCGCATCGGACCCGGTGTCTCTGCTCGTTCTCGAGACGGTCGCCGCAGTGCTCTCGATCTCGTTCTCCAACCTGTCAGCGCTCCACGAGACCGGGATCCTCTCGCGGTTCATGCACCTCTATTTTGCGGCGGACTCGCCGCTCAGTGCGGACGAGCGCGCACGCATCCTCCCGATCTGCCGGTCGATGATGTGTCTGGGCGTCAACCAGCTGGCAGATGCGCAGTTTCTCCTCTCCAGCACCGATCCGGCCGCGTCCGAGTTTTGTCTGGCGATGGCGGCCAAGTACAGCGGCCCGCCGTTTGTGCAGTTCGACCTGTCGCGCCGCGGCTACTCGTCCATCGAGCTACCCACTCTCGGCCGCTCGTTTCCGCCAGCCAATGCGGGTTACACCTTTACGTGCTGGCTGCGTGTCGACACGTTTGACCCGCGATCGCACACGACCATCTTCGGCGTCTTTGACGCCACGCAGACCTGCTTCCTGCTACTCTACCTGGAACGAGACACGCGTAACTTTATCCTGCAGACGTCGGTGACGTCGTCCCGTCCCAGCGTCCGGTTCCGGTCTGTGGGTTTCGAGGAGGGCCAGTGGTACCACGTTGCGCTGGTGCACCGCCGGGCCAAGGCACGGGCGTCCCTGTATGTCAACGGCGAGTTCGTCGAGCAGGTCAAGTCGGCCTACCCACTGCCGCCACCACCAGCACCGGGCAGCGGCAGCGAGCCATTTGTCTCGTTTGGCGGCAGCAGCCGGGTGAAGCTCAATCCGGTGCAGGCGTTCCTGGGCACGCCCAAGGACCTGTCGGTGCAGGTTGGGCCGGGGATGATCTTGTCGAAATGGTCGCTGGCGTCGGCCCACCTGTTCGAGGACACTCTGAGCGACGACTTTCTGGCCGTACACTTCCGGCTTGGCCCTCGCTACCAGGCCAATTATCAGGACAGCCTCGGCGGCTTCCAGACGTACACGGCATCTGCTAGGCTGGCCCTCCGAAACGAGATCAACGCGGGCAACGACGACAACTCGGACATTCTGCGGGCGATTCGGGACAAGGCGTCGTCGATTGTGCCCGAGTCCAAGATCTTGATGAGCACGCTGCCGCGGTCGACGTTCCGGACAGACGGGACCTTTCTCGAGTCGCTGCTGTTCCGGTCACTGTCGCGGCCATCGGCGGCCAACCTGCTGACGCTGACGGCGAAGAGCGGCACGGCCGTGGCGATCAACGGGGCGCTACCGTGCATCAACGACGCGCTGCTGCGGTCGCATGGCGTGGCAGTGCTTACAGGCGACCCGGTGCTGGCGACGCCCTTTTTCTTTGACGATAACCTCTGGCGGCTGGCCGGATTCACACCACTGGCACTGAAGCTGGTGGAGCGTGCGACCACGGCCGAAGACCTGCTCCGGTCGGCCGAACTGGTGTTCCTATGCACGAACAGCAGCTGGCGCAACAGCGACGCGATGGAGCGCGATAACGGCTACGCCATCCTGGGCATGCTGCTGCGTGCCAAGCTCGGGGTCAGTCCGGTGGCAGCGGCTGGCCTGAGTTCGGACAGCTCCGGCGGCTCCGGCTGGCGGGCTCCGGCTGTGACGGGCGACCGACGGGCGACCAGCCTGCGGCTGCTCCAACTGATCCTGTCGTTTGTGGGCTACAACCACGGGGATCCGCTCGAGTCACTCATCATCAACCCGCTGGCGTACCGCATTCTGCTGATCGACTTCGACACGTGGCGCAAGTCGCCGGCACCGACACAGCAGCTGTACTACGAGCAGTTCAACACGTTTGCCGTCATGAGCAAGTTTCATCAGTTTAATAGCCGCAGGCTGCTGAGGATGAGTACGTTGTGTTGCGGGTGGCAAAGGCGCGTCGGATGGAGCTGCAGCTAACCAAATAGGGATCACCAAGCGACTGCTGGACGCAATGAAGGTCGAGACGGTCTCGGAGGAGATCATGCCGTACTTTATCAAGTCGTTTGAGAGTCTGATCCGGTGCAACTACAACGCCGAGGTGCACCGGGCCCTGGCGCTCTACATCACGTACGGACTCCACACGCCCAGTGCGGCGTCTTTTCTGCGGGCGGCACGACCACCGACGGCGACGGGCAGGCCGCGGAGCAACACAACAGGACGAGTGCAGCGAAGCGCGACGCTCAGCTCGGCACGGAGCATGATGTCGTCCGAGTTCGTGGCGGCGGATGGGAATAGGCCGCTGCCGAAGCGGCGTCTGGGGATTGAGATCCTGCAGTTGTACGAGCAGCTGCTGTGTGAGAACGGCACGGTGGCGAACATTCGCAAGTTTGCGCGCACGGTGACGAACAAGTGGCTGCTGTACCTCCTCTCGGCCGACGACGCGGTAGTGGTGGTGAGCGGCGGGCGGATCTTGTCGCGGCTGCTGGTGACGCAAGGCGCCAGCTACACGTCCAAGTTCAGCAGCAAGACGGGCGGGTTCTGGATCATGGCCCATCGGCTGCGGCCGTGGTGGCACATGCCGGCGGTCTGGATGAGCGTCTTGGGCGTGCTCTTTGGCAAGGACGTCGTGGGGATCAGCGCGGAGGAACGGGCGTTTGACGAAGAGGCACTCGCGTCGATCTTTGGTCCGGGTGCCAAGGTGGTCTATCCGGACGCCCTCTTTGCCGTCGTGTCGATGCTGCAGCAGGGGCTCAACGACACGCTCAAGTGCGAGGGGACACCGGACAGCGAGGCGGACGGCAAGCGAAAGGCAGCACCACTGGAAGCGATTATCCGGTTTCTGGGCAGCTGTCACCGGCAGTCGGCCGAGTTCCGCGACTTTGCTCTGTCGTCCGAGTACGTGCGGCTGCTCCTGTCGGCACTCTTCCCGTCGGTGGTGGGCATGGAGGCGCTCGCGGCCGAGACCGAGCTGAACGCCAAGGACACGCCACTCCTGTTCGACAGCGGTGACAACAATAGCAGCCGGCCGGCGGCGGCGTCTTCGTCAGCGATGGTGCGGTCGTCCAGCACGACATCAAGTCTCGCATCGAGCGTGCACTCCAGCATTGGCGGGTCGACGGTGGACTTCACGTCGGACTCGACGGTGCTCGCGTCGGTGGAGTCGTCGATGCACTCGACATCCGGGCGGCCGGCACTCTCGCCCCTCACAGGCGGGACGACATCGCTGAACCGGCGGTCGTCGTCATTCATCCTGCTGACGACACAGGCAGCGCCCCCATCATGGCACGTGGCACGACTGGCAGCACACGCATCACCGCGACGGCGGCTGGCGGTGCCGTCGCAGGCCAGCCGGAACAGCGTGCAGCAGGGGCTCCTGGGGCTGATCGTGGACGTGTTCGTCGACCAGGTCGTTGCGCGCAAGGAGTTTTTCCGGGGTTTGGACTGGCTGCACGGATCCCGCCGTCATTCCAGGAGCACCAGACCTTCTTCGAGTCGTACGTGCTGCGGGCGACGACACAACAGCTGGAACAGAAGCTGCGAGAAGACATGGACGTGGTGTGCGAGCCCAAGGTGCTGACGAACATGGGGCGGTTCGCAGTCAACATGGTGGAAGCGGTGCTGGACGGGACGTTTGTGGACGGGGTCGACGTGCTGCTGGACTTTACGGGGCGACTGCTGGAGCATCTGCACCGGCCGGACGTGGCGGCACTCAAGAGCGTGCGGCTATGCAGCCAGGCGGTGACGACGATCCGGACGTCCTTTCTCAAGCTGGTCCTGTTCCGGCTCTCAGACGTGGGCGAGGGAGATGGCGAGGACGAGAACGAGAAGGAAAACGAGGGCGAAGGCCAAGGGAACGGCGACCTGGACGGGCTGCCGGTGCTGGAGCGGATCTTCTACTGGCAATCGGTGTTTGTGGACTGCCTATCGATGGAGTCAGCAGCGGAAGAGTACTACCTGAAGCTGGTGCTGTACCAGCTGTACGCGCGGCTGCTGGACGCCGATGAGACGGCACGACTGGCAGCAGCGAGCCTGTGGCGGGCTGGTGCTGATCCAGAAGCCGACAGAGTCAGCGACAGTGCTGCGACAGTGCGCGACAGCGGATCAGCCTGCCACCTGGCGCGGTCGTTCCGGCACCTGACGGAGGTGGACGATGGGGCCTTTCTGGAGTGGGTGGACCAGCACCGGCCGTCGCTGGACGCCTTCTTCCTCGGCGGCATGTCGCGGTTCTGGGAGGACTTTGTGGCGTTGGAGAACGGGCGGGCGGCCGAGGGATCACGACAGCGAGCAAGCCGTCGACGCGACCGACTCAAACAGTGGCACACGGAATCGCTGGAGCGCGGCAACGTGCTGCTGCGGCACGAGATGGCCAACAGCGCGTGGATGAAGAGCATCTATGGGACAGAGCACGCCAAGCTGCAGCGGCTGCTGCAGGACCAGCAGGACGACCTAGCCTACCTGGCAGCGACGTTTGGCAAGATGGAGCGCGATCTGCGGCGGCCGGGCGCGGTGTTCGCCGAGGCCGGGGCACCGATCAAGTGGAAGCTGGACCGGACAGAGGGCCGCAACCGGATGCGATTGCGGCTGCTGCCCGACTCATCGGCACGGACCAAGGAGGAGCTGCAGTCGCGGAAGAAGGCGTTGGACGTGGCAGCCGGAGGCGGTCTGGCAGCACGGCCATCGTCCGCGAATCCGTCAGGGAGTCCGTCAGGGCTGTCGCCGGTGGTAGGAAGTGGACGGACGGCACGACCACCATCAGCATCGATTGGGGGGTTGGTAGGAGGAGGAGAACGAGGGGAACGAAGAGAAGCGGAAGAAGGAGAAGCAGGAGAAGCAGGAGAAGCAGGAGAAGCAGGAGAAGCAACAAAGCCAGACATGGGGGTGGCGACGGCCGAGGACGACTTTGAGCTGATCGATGACCCAAACGAGCCGGAGGCAGATGACGGATTCGAGGACAAGAACCGCAAGGTGATGCGCCGGCTAGAGCCAGGTGACGTGGTGCTGAGCGTGAGCAACGTGTCGCGGATCATCGGACTGGACGCGTGCGAAGGCATCCTGATCGTGGGCAAGGAGGCGCTGTACCTGATGGACAACGTCTTCCAGTGCCGGGACGGAGAGATTGTGAACGCGTGGCAGGCGCCGGCAGATGAACGAGACCCGTTCTCGCAGATCATCACGACCAAACCAACAGGCAACAGCGGGGACGAAGGCGGCGCCAACAGCCGACAGCAGACACAGACGCAAAAGGCCAGCAGCCTAGAGCAGGAGTCGCGCAGCTGGCGATGGAACGACGTGATCAGCGTGTCGAAGCGGCGATTTCTCTTCCGGGACGTGGCGATCGAGGTGTTCTTCCGCGACGGGCGCAGCTACCTGCTGACGATGATCGACAATGGCAAGCGGGACGAGGTGTTTGGGCGGCTGACGGGCAAGATCCCACACGCGACAGGACCGACGAGCGCGCTGACAAACCCGGACGACGCATGGCGACTGGAAGCACTGCGAGTCGTCGACGAGGGGCCACAGACGCTGGGCAGCAAGTTTGGCAGCATCTTCAACACGTCGCCGTGGAACCCGGCGATGCGACGGTGGCAGCGCGGCGAGATGTCCAACTTCCACTACCTGATGCTTGTCAACACGATGGCCGGACGGACCTTTAACGACCTGACGCAATACCCGGTCTTCCCATGGGTGCTGGCCGACTACACGAGCGAGACGTTGGACCTGGAAGATCCGGCGACGTTCCGGGACCTCTCGAAGCCGATGGGGGCGCAGACGGCGCAGCGACAGGCAGACTTTGCGATGCGATACCAGACGCTGGCCGAGATGGGCCAGCCGCCATTCCACTACGGCACACACTACTCGTCGGCCATGGTGGTGTCGTCGTATCTGATCCGACTGCCGCCGTTTGTCGACTCGTTTCTGCTGCTGCAGGGCGGCCACTTTGACCATGCGGACCGGCTGTTCAGCTCGGTGGCGGCGGCATGGCGGTCAGCATCACACGACAACGGCTCGGACGTGCGCGAGCTGATTCCCGAGTTCTTCTGTCTGCCCGAGTTTCTCGTCAACGTCAACGGCTACGACTTTGGGCGGCGACAAGACGGCAGCACGCTCAGTCACGTGGAGCTGCCACCATGGGCCAAAGGCGACGCTAGCGTATTTATAGCGCGGCACCGCGAGGCGCTGGAAAGCCCGTTTGTGTCGCGCCATCTGCACCGATGGATCGACCTGGTGTTTGGCTGCAAGCAGCGCGGCGACGCAGCGGTTGAGGCGCTCAACGTCTTCCACCACCTGTCATACCACGGAGCCATCGACCTGGACAACATCAAGGACCCGCAGGAGCGCGCGGTGGTGACGGGCATCATCCACAACTTTGGGCAGACGCCGCGACAGGTGTTTTCGCGGGCGCATCCGTCACGTGACCCGGCCATAAGTCCGGCACGGCGACTAGACGTCGGGTCCGTGGCCGCGCTGACCCGGCTGCCGCACGCGATACTGGAGAGCCACGAGCGGGTGGCGTCGTTGACATACGTGCCGCGGTTGGACCGGCTGCTGTGCGCGTCGCCGTTCCGGCTGAACCTGCCGCCCTTTTACGACAAGTACCTGGAATGGGGCTATGCGGACAACAGCATCCGGTTCTACTTTAGCGACAGCCGGCGGCTGGCGGGCCTGTGCGAGAACCTGCACACGGGGCAGATCTCGTGCGTGGCGTTTGCGGACTCGAAGACGCTGATCACGGCGGGCGAGGATTGCGCGGTGTCGGTATACGCGGTCGAGCAGGGTGGCAGTGGAGGAGGGAGTGGGACGGGAAGTGGAGGAGGAGGAGGTGGAGGAAGTGGCAGCGGCAACAACAGCAGCGACAAGTCGGTGGAGCTGTTGACGCGCAGCTCTCTCTTCGGCCACAAGACGCCGGTGACGACAGTGGCGACGTCGAGCGCGTTCAGCACGCTGCTGACGGTCAGCCAAGACGGCGTGGCGATGCTGTGGGACCTGAACCGGCTGGAATTTGTGCGCAAGCTGCCGGGCGTGCGGCCGGTTGAGTGTGCACGCATCAGCGACGTGACAGGCGAGATCCTGCTGTGCTCGGGGCCGAACGTGGTGCTGTACTCGCTGAATGGGGATCTGCTGCTGGACCAGAACGTGTGTGGACGGACGGGCGAGACGGGCGCCGACATGGACAGCGATGCGGACGAGGGGGATTACGTCCACTCGTGTGCGTTCTACGAGGGTGCGGCCTGTGAGTGGCTGGCCGACTGCCTCGTCTTTACGGGCCACCGGCGCGGACGCGTCAGCGTCTGGCGCAAGGCCGTCGGTCCGCACGGTCGCTGGCTGCTCGAGCTGGTGCGCCACCTCGATCACGTGGACGTCCGATCTGAGGCGGGCGCCAACGTGGACGCGGCCATCACGTGCATTGCGCCAATGCCCCAGCTGGTGTACACGGGCGACGACGGCGGACGAGTGGTGAGTTGGGCTCAAGGGTGTTGGGTGCAGAGTGCAGAGTGCAGAGTGCTAACGGCGAACCTTGTAGTACGAATGGAGCTTGGTCCAAAGGGACAGATGAGGGGGGATGAAGGCTGGGACCGAGAAGATCCAAGGACAGAAGACGACCCTGAAGAGAAGGACCTGAAGATAGGCGACACGGGAGAGCGCATGAAAAATAGCCGGCGTCAGATAATTTGGTTTGGTCATCTTGTCCTGCATGCTCTGCGCCACCGTCTATGTACACGTGCCGGTCCGTTGGTCCTCTGGCCGGAGCATGTCCATCACTCCGTCTCGTCGTCGTAGCCGGTCAACTGTTGCCGCGGTGTCGTTCGGGAACTGACGGTTAGCTGAGCTTGTTTCTGCCATCCGGACAAGCAGGACTGGTCATTGAGTCTGCCGACTACACCTACTCGGATACGTCATCGGGACGGGTGCCGGGTTCTCGTCGCCGACCAGCCGGCGCAGCGGCGGCGCCACGACAAACGTGGCCGGGCAGAGGGCGGCGATGGCGACGGACCAGAAGTACGCCGGCCGTTCGCGGGCAGCCCAGCGGCTGTAGCGGAGGGGGGCGGCCCAGAAGCGGGGGGCGGCGGACATGGTGGGAGGTGTTGGCGGTGGTGATGTCGACGGCTGGAATGGTGGGATCGTGATCGTAGCGGGTGCCCGTGGTGGTGACCGTGGTGGTGACCGTAAAGCAAGAGGATCATAGGATGGAAGCAAGAATCGACTCGTGGTCATCGTGCATCCTGAATGGGTCGAAGCTGATTCGCCCGGCACGGAAGAACAAGGCGCCGACCACACACGCTGCCGCCCCGCTTTTTGCCTCTTCGGGCAGCCCTGCCAGACTACCAGCTGTGGCCTACGTATCCCGATCGAGAGGTTGCCTGTGCAGCGACAAGGCAGTTCCGGTCTGGACCATCGTTCTGGACATTGTTCTCTGGCTTTCTGCAGCGATTGACGGCCTCTGCAAGCGCACCGATTGTGCTCTCTCCCCGACCTCTTTGCTCCGCCTCTGTGCTCCGCCTCTGTGCTCCGACCTCTGCACTGCTCTGCAACAGCGGCATCCGGCCTCACCACCTCACTATGCCGTCGCTCCGGTCCTGTCTGTCGCTGCTCGCGCTGGCCGCCGTGTCGGCCGTGCAGGCCGTCAGCTCCAGCGGACCACGGCTGCTGGCCATCTTGGACGACGTCGCCGACCGGTCGGCATACTCCCACTTTCTCGGCGACCTCGAAAGTGAGCTCTGCTTCTGCTGTTTTGCTTCTGCTCGACTTTATGCTAACCGACAGGCCGTGGCTTCTCCATCGCATACGAGACGCCCAAGAGCGAATCGGTCGGGCTCTTCCGTCTGGGCGAGCGAGCCTACGACCATGTCATCCTGTTTCCGACCAAAGCCAAGGGTAAGCATCCCGACGGATTTCTGGCCACGCACGCTCTACCCTCCCACTTCCTCCCCACGTCCACTCACTCTCTCAGGTCTCGGCCCCCACCTCACGCCCCAGCTGCTTGTCCGCTTCCTCAATGCCGAGGGCAACATCCTCGTCGCCCTCGCTAGCGGCCAGCCCGCCTCCACCTCGGTCGTCTCTCTCCTGAGCGAGCTCGACATCGCCCTGCCGACCGAGCGGACAGGCCTCGTGGTCGACCACTTTGCCTACGACGGCCGCGCGGCTGCAGACCTGCACGATGTGCTGCTGCTGCCGGTGCCGTCGGCCCGTCCGGGCGTGCGGTCGCTCTTTGCCGACGCAGCCGACGCAGAAGACGGCCTGATCGCCTTTCCCCATGGCGTCGGCCACGTCCTCGGCGACAGCCCTCTGCTGGCCCCCGTGCTCTCGGCTCCTCGCACTGCCTACAGCTACAGCCCCCGGGAACAGGCCGAGACCCTCGACGGCGCTGACGACCTCTTCGCGGCCGGCGGCCAGCTCAAGCTCGTCTCCGTCCTGCAGGCCCGCAACTCGGCCCGCCTCGCCCTCGTCGGCGCTGCCGAGATGCTGTCGGACGCCTGGTTCGATGCTACTGTCGCACCCACCGGCTCCGACGCCCAGCCCCGCTCCACGTACAACCGCGAGTTTGCCCGTCGCCTCAGCGGCTGGACCTTTCAGGAAACCGCCGTCCTGCGCGTCAACTGGATCGAGCACGCACTCGCCGAGCAGACTGCTACCAACGAGACCAACCCAGCCCTCTATCGGGTCAAGAACGAAGTGGTGAGTCTGTCTGCTCTTCTGCTCTTCTCTCTTCTCTCTTCTCTTTCTGACCTCCAGAACTACGCTGTCTCCCTCTCCGAGTACCTCTGGGACAAGTGGGTGCCGTTTGTGCCGCCGGCCGGCGACGAGGTCCAGCTCGAATTCTCCATGCTGTCGCCCTTCCACCGGCTCGGGCTCAAGCCGGCGCCGGCACTGTCGACCGCCACCGCTGCCGCCTATAGCGTCTCGTTCACGTTGCCGGACCAGCATGGCATCTTCAACTTTGTCATCGACTACAGACGGCCGTTCCTCACGTACCTCGGCGAGAAGATCACTGTGTCGGTCCGCCATATGGCCCACGACGAGTGGCCGCGCTCCTTTGTCATCTCGGGCGCCTGGCCGTGGATCGCCGGCATTGCTGCCACCATCACTGGCTGGCTTGGCTTCTGCGCCCTGTGGATGTACTCGGCACCAGTCCGGCCGACGCCGCCGGGCAAGAAGAACCAGTAGACGGTACCAGACGGCCGGACGGTCCAGGAGGACCAGGATGGAAAAAAGTTACATGGGAAAAGAGTAGGCAAAGTGTCTGTGATGAGAACGTTGAGAAAGGCGGGTATAGACCGGGTTTTTGTTCTTTTCCATTGAAAGTGAGTATCTGCGTTTCTAGTATCCGCTGTATTCCATGTACTCGTATCACAACAGAGTGTTTTACACTTGGGATCTCTGCTTGCGTCACTCGCGATGGGGACGAGACTGTGCAAAGGATGCCCGGCTGTGCAGACTGTGCAGACTTCCGCTGTCTTTCGTCTGTAGACCGAGTGGGCTGTGAGGAAGCCCAGCCGCGTGGCTGCATCGACGGGCCTGTTCGTATGGGCGTACTTTCTGTTCGTCTGTCTCTTTTCGTCCTTCAGCTGGGCCGGCCGCTCTTCTTGGGCCGCTTGGCGAGGTTGCTGCTGTCGCGCCGATCACCGGCCGAGGAGGCGCCTCCGCGCTTGCGACTGCGCGAGGACGAGGAGCCTGCGTTGCGGCTGGTTTTTGCAGCGGCAGCGGCCTCCTTCTCCAGCTGGCCGAGCTTGGCCCGCACATCCGGGTCATCCATGTCGGCCTTGACGAAGCGGATGGCGGCAGCCTTGTCGAGGCGGCTGGCCGGGCCGTCGTCGGCGGCCGACGACTTTTTCTCGACGGCGTCGATCTTTTGCATGTACTGGCGGACGCGCAGCAGCTCACGAAAGACGGCGTGGCTGCGGGCGTCGACGCCGGCGAGGCCGAGACTGCAGAAGAGCGTGGACTCGAGCGCATAGCCGGCGAGGACCTGCAGCTTGGCACGGTCCAGCAGCGGCAGCCGCTGGCTCGTCGTCGTCTGGTGGCCGTCCAGCAGCAGCGGCGCCACCGCAGCCTCGAGCCGGTCGATGTCGGCCGACAGCTGGCTCAGTCGGGGGGCGAGATCATCCATGTGGACGGTGGGAGAAGAAGCGAAGAAGAAAGGAGGCTGAATGCAATGAGAAGCGTGATGCTGGGCAAAGGAAGGTGCGGCCGATTGCACTTCCCTGGCAACAATTTTTGGACAGCTGCAAGAACCAGCGCTGCAGCCAATCACAGGACGGGCATTCGCCCCCGACAGGATGCGCTTGCCGGAATGGAAAAATCGAGAGCGAGAAAATTAAGAGGACCCCCAAAACAGTCCCCGACTTTTTGTCTGTTTGTCTGCTATCCTCTCAGCTCAGCGCCCGGCTCTGGCTTTGAATCTGCTGTCGACGACGACCATCCCGACGATGCGTCTCTGAAGCGAGACCGTGCGATCCTGGTCTCTTTCCCGACGTCTCCCTGCCGTTCTGATCGTCCTGATCGTCCGAGGGCCATGATATGACCGGGCAGTAAGGCCTGCAAGACAGAGGAAAAAAAGAAAGGGGGACAACCGAACGCACAGCTCAGAGGCGTCTGCTCTCGACGCCTCGTCCGCCAAGCTGTTGCCCCTGCTACGCTCCCGACCGCCGGCATGGCCGGTGTCTGGGCCGTGCGGCTGCTGCTGTGCCCATCGTCGTGGCCTGTCGATATGGCCTCTCGCCGGCCAGCGAGCTTCGGCTCGCCAGACCAGCTCGCCCTGGTCCCGGACAGGTCGCCAGCAGACAGTGCGGACGACGACGACGTCGGCAGAGTCCCTCTCGGCGCAGCAGCCGCCGTCACTGCCGCCATTGTCCCCACCTGTCGACTATCATTTTCCCTTTGGCAATCCCTCGCTGCTCATAGCCACGCTGCCGAGCCGGCAACACGCAGCCTATGAGAGCACAGCCAGCTCTTCCTCGGCCGGAGTCGTTCTTTCTCCGCGTCCATCACTCTCCACTCTGCGTCCAACGAGAGAGCGGTCCCGACAGTCCCGCGAAAGTCGCCGTCTGCGAAAAGCAGAGACGCTGCCACTAGCACACAGACACCACCCCCCACGGCAGACGGAACAGCAGCCGGACGGCCGGCCTGATGCGGTGTCGCCGACACCAACGGCTACAACAACGGCCGAAACAGCCACAGACGGAGACGCCCCGCCTGCAACGACAGCAACCGAGCAGCCGCGGTGGTCGGAGCCGGTGTACGTGCTGGGCAGCGATCCGCGGGCGACGTATCTGGCTCACATGTTGTCGGGCTTGCCACATAGCCCGCCGGTACGACTGCTGCTGTCGGGCCGGGCGATGACGAACTGGCTCGAAGAGGGCCGGCGGGTACGGCTGGTACGAGCAGGCGTTGTGCAGCCGCGAGCCCGCGTGGTGGCCGAGCTGCTCGAGCAGCCGACAGATGCGGCACTGCTGGCGGCAGCAGCAGCAGCAGACGCGCCACCCAACACGCAGCGCCGGGTCAGGTCGCGGCACCGGCACATCGAGAACCTGGTGGTGACGCTGCCGTGCGCGCGCAGCATCAGCGCGATCCGCTGGCTGCGGCACCGCATCGACCATCGCACGACCATCTGCCTGCTGCAGTCGGGCCTGGGCGTGGCCGAGCGGCTCAATGAGCTGTTCTTCGCCGACGAGGCATCCCGACCGCGTTACGTCCTCGGCTACATGACGCACGACCTCGGCTACGGCAACCATGACCGCAACTTTTCGCTGACAGAGCTGGTGCCCGGAATCCTGCGTCTGACGGCCTACTATCCGGACACAGGAGCACACAAGACGGGTGGTGCAGACGTGTCTGGCGGCGAGCTGCAGCTGGTGCGGCTGCTGGGCCTGACGCCGACACTGGGCGCAGGCGGCTACGAGGTGGACGAGTTTCTGCGGTGGAAACTGCCGGAGATGGTGTCCACGGCAGCTGTAGAGCCGATCGCGACCGTGCTGGACCTGGCGCCCAATCTGGTGTGGCGGAACGGCGAGGCGCGGGCGCTGGTCGAGGGCCTGATACACGAGATGGTGGCTGTGGTGGCGCGGCTGCCCGAGACGCAAGGGTCAGCGATGCTGGCCGAGTTTGTGCAGAGCGGCATGCTGGCACGACAGGCCCAACAGGGACGGCAAAAGGGGCCACCACCAGCACACGAAGACGTCGACGGCCTGGCGGCCCAGCACCGAGAGACGAGGCTGCGGTCAGTGCGCGCGACGACGCAGCAGTCGACCGTCGAGTGCCGGATGGCGAAGCTGGTGCGTGAAGGCCGCGTGACGGACATTCACTTTCTCAACGGCTGGTTTGTGCGGCGTGGCCGCGAAGTCGGCGTGAGCTGTCCGCTGAACGAGATGGTCATGCGGCTGGTGCGGGCGAAGCAGATGACGGGCCGTGCGCAGATGGACAGCTACGTCCCGCTGGTGACGGAAGACGCGGCCGCAGCAGAACAGCCTGCGTCTCCACGACAGCCGGTAAGCACAGATTGGTCGAATCCGCAAAGGCAGAGGAGGACGACAACAGCACCGCAATGGACCGGCGACGAGGACTCTGGAGAGGCTGAGGACAGATGGACAGGACCGGGTGAAACGATGGAGCCCATGGGCGGGTACTATTATTAAAGCGCGGAAACGACGGTGTCTGGTTTAGAGACTTTATAGACGTTTCTGGGAGCGCTGCAATGGACTTGTGTATGTATCAAGAGAACCTGTATGAATGACATTGGTGAGTCAGCTGATGGCGCTAAAAAAAATCCGCTGGAATTCTGCCGGTAATTCTACCCCGCTGTCACGGACGCTCCACGACGACGTGTCTGCACAGCAACGACGGTCAGCGACGAGCAGAATGGAAGACGACGAACTGAAGCGGGTGAGTGGATGGCGAGGGAGTTGTATTGCATTGCAAGGACAGGTACTGACACGTTTCCCGACCAGATCCGTGAAGAGCGTCTCCGGCAGCTCAAGCAGCAGGGCGCCGGCGGAGGATCGGATCAGCAACAACAGCAACAACAGCAGCAGCAGCAGCAGCAGCGCCAAGAAGCTCGCAAGGACATGTTGAACCAGATTCTCGAGCCCGAAGCTGCCGACCGGCTGGCGCGCATCCGGCTGGTCCGGGAAGAGCGCGCGACCGCCGTCGAGGACCGCCTGCTAGGACTCGCCCAGTCCGGTCAGCTGCGCGCAAAAGTGTCCGAGGCCCAGCTCAAGGACCTGCTGCAGCGCCTGTCGGACGCCGAGGACGCCAAGCACGGCTCCGGCAGCATCGTCGTCGAACGGCGGCCCAAGGGCTACCTCGACGACGACGACGACCTGGACTTTTAGGCGGGAACGGATCGACAACCGAACTGTCCAGCAGGACAGACGGCAGTCGCAAGACGGCGACTGCAGACGGCAGACTGACAGGACAAAAATGTACTGACTGCATCCATATCATTGATATCACGTGAATCAATGCAAAGAACACATGACCAAAACAACGTTTCCATCCACGTGACCTACAATAGCACCATCCACCTTTTAGCATCACCATCAAGACATCCACTTTCCACCTTCCACCCCTTTCCCCTACGCATTCCGTGCCAGCTGGACCAATCCGTTGACCTTGCGGCCGATCGTCTGCCCGTAGCCAAAGTCCACCAGGCCCTGCACAAAGGCCCAGGCGCGGCGCTGGCTCGGCACCGGGTACTGGACGACGGGCGGCAGGGCCGTGCGCAGGCCGAGCCAGCCGAAGCGGTCTTCGCAAATGCTCTTGGGGTTGGAGATGGCCTGGAGGCCCTCGGCCGCGGCAAAGCGACCGAAGCCGGAACCAGCGACGCCGCCAAACGGCAGCTGCACGGCGTAGTACGTGGCAAAGTCGTTGATGGCCACCATGCCAGCCTTGACGCCAGCCACGACGGCAGCCAGCTCACGGTCGCGCAGCTCGTCGCCAAACACTGACGCGCCCAGCCCAAAGTTGGCCGCGTTGGCCACCGCCAGCACGGCTGCGGCCGTGCTCGCCTCCGCCCGCATCAGCACCAGCACCGGCCCGAAACACTCCTCGCGCGCCACGGCCATCGCCGGCGTCACGTCCGCCAGCAGCGTCGGCTGGAAGTAATGCCCGTGTGGAAAGCGAGGGTGCTGGTAGCGTCGTCCGCCCGCCAGCAGTCGCGCGCCCGAAGCCACCGCCTCGTCCACCAGCCGCTCCAGCCGCTCGAAGCTCGCGTCTGAGATCATCGCCCCCATGTCGTAGTGATCGTCCGCGTCGTCCGCGTCGTTCTTGTCGTCGTCGCTGTCGTTGCTGCCGTCTCCCTCTCGCGTTCCCAGCCGCAGCGCCCGCACCTTGTCCACCACCAGCGCCAGCAGTGGCTCGTACACGCCTGGCGTCGCAATCACCCGCTCCACTCCGATGCAGTTCTGTCCGCTCGCCTGGAACGTGCCGCGCAGCAGCGTCGCTGCCACCGATGGCAGCCGTCCAGCCCCGACCGAGTCCAGCACGATAAACGGATCCTTGCCCCCCAGCTCCGCGCATAACGGTGTTAGAGCCGCTGCTGCGTCAGCAGCCACGTGACGCGCTACCGCTTGTGATCCAATAAATGTCACGTGCGCAATATCCGGATGCCCCGTCAGCCGACCGGCGATGGCCGGCCAGCAGACCACGGTTTGAATCAGTCCGGCGTCGAAGCCGTGCGCCACGAGTGCTCCCCGGGCCAGCGATGTAAAGTACTGTGCGCTCCACGCTGTCTGCTCCGACGCCTTGACCACCACACCGTTGCCCGCAAAGAGAGCCGACACCATCGGCGCCACCAGGTTGTGGAACGGGTAGTTCCAGCTGACCAGCGCTGCCACCACGCCCAGCGGCTCGTAAATCACCGTGTTGCGCTTGTGTGGCATCAGCAGCGCGTGTGTCGGCCGCCGCGACGGCCGCAGCGCTGCCTCGCCGTGCAGAATCGTCCATCGCAGCCGCTCCGCCACCACCAGCACTTCGCCCAGCGCTGCGTCCACCGCCAGCTTGCCTGAATCCACACACGCAATCCGGCAGATCTCGCTCTGATGGTCCAGCACGTGTTGCAGCAGTGTCCGCAGCACCTGTCGCCGCTGTCCAAATGTCGTCTTGGCCCACGTCTGCTGCGCTCTCTTGGCCGCTGCCACCGCCTCGTCGATCTCTTCTGCCGTCGCCGCCTTCACATGCCCTAATAGCTGGCCCGTTGCTGGTGCGTAGCACTGGATCATCGTCGATCCTGCCTCTCCAATTGTCGCCTTCTCCAGGTACACCTTGTCCTTGGGCACCTGCAACACTGGCACCGAATACCGTACTGCTTGCTCGCTCGCCGCCCGTCGCTGCCACAAAAACACCGCGAGACCTGTCGCCGTGAGCATCGACCACAGCGCCGCCCTCACAAACGGCCACATCCTGTCCCCTGTCAGACCTATGCCTCAGACCTCCAATTCGCTCATACTTACTCGTCCGCATGCGCATCGACCCATAGCAGCCATGCTGCAACCGCCTGAAGAGGAGCCATTGCTGATTCTTGTCGCCGCTGCCTCCAAGTCCCTTTGTTCTTTGTCTCGTCGGTGAAAGCTGGCCTCGACAGCTCGACAGAAAAGTGAGCTGTTAGCCGGTGGAGCTGCCCCCCTGAAATTAACATCGGCTCACTTTTTAGCGCTCCTGCCCGCTGTCTCCCAATTCGTCCAGGCTGCTCTTTCCCTTGTCACGTCACAACCTCCTGCATCACCAACATCGTGTCAATACTGAATTACGTAAGTTATGCATATGCCATGGCTCAAGACAACATATATACAAAACACTCTCCCCTCTCTCTCTCCTAAACTTTATACTTGAACGCGGCTGTCCCAGATTCCGACTCCTGCAACGCCAAGATAAAATTGCTCCATCAACCCAGCAAACAGGTTCACATGGCAGACACCGACAGAATGCTTCCACGGAACCCCCTCAGGCCACCCAAGACTTGTGTAGAGAACCATCCCGCCTCTCGCTTCTGTCTGCTTGCATATTGGCGCCTCTTCTTTTTCCTCTCCACGCAAAACAACAGTTGTAAATTCATCAGCACCCCCGTACCAGAACAGAACAAAATGAACTAGAAACGAACAAGAAACGCCACTTGTAATGGAAGGTACAGCAAAAGACAGAATGACAAAATAGAAAATAATGTTAAAGGTGTAAAACAACAGCAAGGAACAGAAACAGGGAAAAGAAAAAGGGAAATGGGAAAAGAAAAACCAAACGACATTGGGTGAGATAAAAGAACATGGATTCGGTTTCCAAAAGCGGTTGCGGCATGCCTCTGCTCTGTCTCACGTTCGGTCCGGTTCAGTGTCCAGTGTTCATAGATTGATCATGCATATCATGAATGCATGGAAACATTCAAAGGGGAGGGGAGACGGCCCAGCAGGCCCGACGGTCAAAGAGTCAAACAGTAGTACAGTAGAACAGAGAAAAAGGCGGAAACCTCTCCGCCAAACAACACAAAGTAAAAAGAAAGATGGGACTTTAGACTGAGGTAATTCGAGATTCGAAAGCAGAGAGGGTATGACACGAATTTTAAAATCAGCTCATGCTTGCTGCCGTTCTGCACACCGGAGACGTCTTTCAACTCTGCTTGCCCTTGATAGAGAGCCCGCGGAGACGGCCCTGGATAAACCGGCCTGCTGCCGTGCCGCTGCCACTGGCTATGTTGCTGCCGTCCCCGCCCGCCGAGATACTGCCCTCCAGCATCGACAGCCGCTTTGCCGACGTGAACTCGTTGCTGGCCTCGAAGCTGGGCCGCACCCGGTCCATCGACATCCGCATCCGGTCATACGACGGCCGAGCACGGTCGATCGACTGCCGTTGCCGTCCCAGCTCGTTGGACGTCACCGGCATCGCCGGGCTCATGTCGTCGATTGACGACAGCCGTCCGTGCCGCCCGCTGTAGTTCGTGTCGTCGCTGCCGTTCTGCGTCCGCGTGTTGTGCGTCGCCACCGATGGCGGGTAGATCGGACGTCGGTCCTCGTCCACGCTGGCGTATGCCGTATGCGTCGGCTTCTTAGTCTTGCGCGATCCTTCGGACGAGGAGCCACCGGTCGATGCGCTGCCATCAACCGCCTTCTCTGCCGCATCTGTCGCGTCCATCTTGCCGCCGCCATGTGTCCGCTCCACGTCCTTGAACATGCCCATCTGCACCTGTTCGCGGATGATATCGACGTCGTACGGGAAGTACACCTTCTGTACCGCCTTCAGAGCATAGCGCGGGAACAGACACATGATCGGCGTGATGAAAAACACCGCCCAAAACGTTGCCTGTCCGTAAATCTGCGGTGCCGTTTTGTAAAAGTACTCGGCGTACGATGTGGACGAGTACACACCGGTCCAGAAGAAGACGAAGAGGTCACTCAGGCTCACAACCAGCAGCATCAGCCAGTCCCAGCGGTACGTGTTGATCAGAATGTACATGTTGATCGTGAACACGGTCGGATGCGCAATGTAGGCACCCAGCTGCAGACGGGACGACACGTCCATTCCGTTAAACGCGCCAGACGTCGTGCGAGACAGCGTCAGGTAGGGAATGAAGAAGCAGAGAACCGACTGGTACACGCCATCGATCATGTATAGCCTGGGAATCGTTAGCACACCGTCGAACCCACGATACAGCAGCCACGGGAGAGAGCCACGTACCAGAACTTCTTCTGCGTCCACTCGAGCCGCTCGATGCCTCGTCGATACAGCTGCGGCACCGCGAGAGAGACCGCATCCGACACGTCCTGGTCCAGCACGCCCATAAGGATGACCGGCACCGACGTGAAGAAAAGGTTGAACATCAGAATGTACGTGTAGTCGAAGACATATGTCATGTCGAAGTTGCAGTAGATCTGAAACCAGAAGATGGAGAACACCCAGATGATGTTCTTGTAGAAGAAGTTGGCAATCGCCTCGCCCATCCGCCGGTAGGACCAGCGTCCGTGAACCAGCACCAGCCGCTGCAGGAAGCGGAACTGTCCGATAGCATAGTCCGAGGACATGACGGCTTGACGGCCTTCCACACCGGCGATACCCACGCCGACGTCGGCCTCCTGGATCATAGCCACGTCGTTGGCTCCGTCACCGATAGACAGCGTCATCACGTCGAGACCGTTCTTGACCAAGCCACAAACGGCCGCCTTCTGCGCCGGACTGACACGACAGCAGAGCACAGACTTGCACTGCTTGCACAGCAGCAGGAACTTCTGGCTCAGGCTGTCAGACAGCACCCACCGCAACGTAAAACCGTCAATCACGATCGCGTGGGTCGGTGCTGGCGGCTCGTGATTTGCCTTTGCCGCCGCCAGGTCCTCAGCGCCACCCGTCATATTGAAAATCTGCAGGTAGCGGTCTAGTTCGGCCTCCACTTGCTTCATGAACTCGCCGTCTAGTGTCTTGCCGGACTCGTCCTCGTCCACCTTGAGATGGATCAGCTCCATGTCGTTGTTCAGCAGGTTGCACGAGAAACCAATGTTGATAGCCGTCTCCACCTTGTCACCAGTCAGAACCCAAAGCTTGATACCAGCCTCAGCCAGCAGCGCAATCGTGTCGGGGACGCCGTCCTGCAGACGGTCCTCGATGGCCGTGCCACCAATCAGAGACAGATCCTGTTCAATCAGCTCCGCCGCCTCTTCCATCTTCTCCTCGCGGTCGTCGAGGGCAGTGGCGGCAGCGTCGTGAATCTTGCGCCAAGCATAGTATTCTTCCTCGGTCAGGATCCGTTGTGCAATGCAGAGAGTACGCAGACCCTCGCGCGCAAACATTTCCAGGTGTTCAGCCGTGGTCTTGCGTAACTCGGCCTGCTCGCCGCGCTTGAGTCGGGAGTAGATGATACTGTCGGCGCCCTTGCAGAAAAGCACAATTTGGTTGTCTGGCATCCGCACGATAGCCGTCATCCGCTTACGCGTCGAATTGAACTCGATCGTCGTCAATACAGGATAGTAGCGCTCCTCGCCCATGACGTTCAGCCGGATGCCATCGCCAGTGTTGCCGAGGACGGTGAAGCCCATATCGCGAGCCGTGGAAACCAGAGCAGCCTCGTCGGGCGACTGTGCCTTGAAAATAATGCGAGGCGGAGATCCGGGTTGCTTCTCAGAGAGGACAGTGTGGCAGAGAGCGAGGGCAAGCATGAAGCGCTCATTCGCCGCCTGCTGCTCAGGGCCGTGCTTGCCGGAGATATCGTCGACGAAATCGGGAGCAATGAAAGTCACATCCTCGTCGTGTAGGAATGGGTTGTCGTGCAGCGACCGGAGTCCAGCCAATGCACGAACCTTGGCATCAGCAATATCGGCGCGGGCGCGTGCAGCTTCCGCAACCACGTCAATACCCAGACGCTTCCGCATACCAGCCTGGGCTTCAGTATATGCCTCGCCGTACGGCTGGCCGTTAATGGTTGCCTTTTTAAATTCCATAACGTTTTGAGTCAAGGTGCCGGTCTTGTCCGAAAAGATGTACTCGATCTGGCCGACGTCGTCGGAAATGTTCCATGACTTGGGAATGCAGGGCTGGTCGATCACGTCGTAGTACATCTCCACATCGCTGTAAATAAATACCGCTTGCAGCGTTCGGACGATTTCCAGCGAGATGTACAGCGAGATAGGCACCAAGTTCTGGAACAGAATGACAGCAGCCCAGAACGTAACGAAACCGGCCAGAGGCGCAGTACCTCCATATGGGCCCATGTCGAAAAAGTTCAGCGAGGCGTCCGTCTTGGCCCATGAGACGCCGTTGTCGATGGCGGCAACCAGGCAGATGACGAAGAGCACAACGAAATTGCAAATGACGTTGAAGTTCAGCTCACGAGCAACACGGGCGCGCTTACTAGGAGTCTCGCCAGCGTTCATCATGATCTTGGTGTCATGTCCAGTAAACAAGACGACGCCCAAAGCCCACTCGGTGTTTCGCAGGTTGCAGCCGCGCAGCAGAACATTGTCAATGGTAATTGGCTCGGACATCTCGCGAGGCTTCCCAAGCGGGTCGTTTTCGAACTGCTGGGACCAGCGAATAGCCCCACTGTACTTGTACAGGTTGGCATGCGGCGGTTCGCTTTCAATGTAAAACTGAGCACGTTCACAGTCACGCGCGTGCTTGATGTTGCGACCACAGCGGAGGGCCTGGCGGAATTTCAGGTTCGTCTCGCCATCCAAGTTCTTGGTTTCGATATAGCAGGCGCCATCCGGATCAGAGGTAGCAAGAATGACAACATCGGCGGGCAATTCGTCGTCGTTGAAAATACGCACATAGTCGCCCACTTGTAGGTCCTTCCAGGCACTGCGGTGAAAGCGAGCATCGCCAGTCGGGATGAGGTCGTGGTTGATCACATCAGTCGTAACATTGCGCAAGTTAAAAGCCTCCTTGCCGTCCTTGCCGGGTACGAAGGAGAACGCAGAGATCGGGCGGTTGGCGTTGGCGTCTTGCCCCGGAGATAGCATGTCCTGCATCTGTGCTGGCGGGTGGCGTGGTGACGGAGACGGCACAGGCGTCATCGGAATATCCTCGTGGGCAGATACGTATGATGTGCGGTCGGTATACGGAGACAGCATGGTCTCAGGACGCGTACGGCGAGTCTCGATGGACATGCGCGGATCGTTCTCATTGCCGAAGGAGACAGGCCTGTTCTTCTTGGTATCCTTCTTCCACAAGCGTTCCGTCGAGTGCCACATGGCCGAGATGAAGCGCGAAGTAGCCTTCTTCACTTTGCGCCAAGGCGATACGCTATCCTCGCGTACATTGACGTTATCATATCCCACAAGGCGGTACACAGGCGAGTTGTTCAAAGTCTTATCCGAAAGGGTTCGGCGAACATCTTCGACAGCATCTCGGATAGCAGTGATCACGACAATTGCTATCAAAGGAACGGCGTTCAGTCCCGGATTCGAACCACCGAAAATGGGGAAAATCTAGCCAGATTAGAATGCAGCCAATGAAGCAGAGGAGGCCGCTGTGCGCTTACAGTGAGAATGACGAGGAAGAGGAAGAACATGTTGGCAATGGCCTGGAATTGCCAGTACAAATTCTTGGGAACAAAAGACAGGGGCGTGTACTTTGCGGTCCGGATCTTGTTCCGCGCATACGACTGGACTGGCAGGCCATCCTCGTCCTTCTGGTCCTCGGGCAGAGGGATATTGAAGTACAGGTTTCTCGGGCCGGGGCCATCGTGCTCCTGGTCATCTGGGGCATCTGGGGCGTCGTCGTCGTCGTCGGCCTCTCCGTCGTCGTCGTCGTGGCGGAGAGTCCCAGAACCAGCAGAGATACGTTTGTCGTGAGCAGTTGACTTGTTGTTCGCGCGTCCGATGATGGACATGCGCTTCTTGTTGCTGCTCTTAATCGTCATCTTGCGCGTGGCCCATCGAGACCGCTTCGTTTTGGACGCTGCTTTTTTGGGGGTCGGACCGGTTGGTATCGGTGGCGTCGGAGGAATCGGCAGGCTGTCGGCAATTGAGATCTTACTGTGCCTACCAGCAGCGCTGCTGTTGCCAGCTTCGGTGGGCGCATCGGACACATCACCAGGCGCGCCGCTTACACTCAGTCGGTCATGCTGCGCTCCGGCCGAAGCGGCCTCTGGGTCTAATGATGCCATGCTTGCGAATGGCGCCGAGCAGGAGCCGGACGTGGGGACAGAGATATGGACAGTTGTGCTGATGGTGGCACACTCCAGAAGCGGAGTGATGATCGAATGCTGCTCTCCACCCACGCTCCGATTTCGTGATGCTGGGAGATGCTAATGCTGGTGTTCCCCAGGGCGAAGCCGTGTCGTCCCCTCCTCCAGCTGCGGGGACAAGCGTCTACCGGCCGGATGGCTCCAGGGTGGACAGCGTGCTGGATGGCTCGTACTGGACGTTGTTCTGTGCAGGAGGGTGTTCCCAAGTCCGCGGCCGTGGCCGAATATGAGGAAGCGATGACGGGGGTCCGGGAAAAAAAGCCTCGTCTCTTTCGGGTGCGCCGGGTTCCGTCCGGCTAAGTGGTAGGAACGGGAAAGATGAATGGCAACGGTCGACGGCCTTCGCTTCTCGGGGTGGGAGAGAGAAAAGAGTGTGACGGAGTATTATCGTCGACGGCGAAACAACCCCTTTCTGCCAACGCGAGAGGGCTGGAAAGAATTTGGGGAGGAGGCTAGGTTGTCTTGCGATTGCACAGGAATTCCGCACAGGACACGAAAACAGTCCACAAGGGGGTGCAATGAAAAGTGGGCCACGAAGGATTAAGCCGAAGGGAGGAGCCACCCATAAGCAGGAAAGAAGGGAAGTTCGTGGGAAGAAGCGGCGATTCGAGTGACCGGGGAACGGAGGGCGAGACAAAAAGAGGAAGGCAAAGAATTCGCTTTTCTGAATTGGTTAAAGCTAGCCAGAGTGCTAGCAGTGAACGGCCATTCGGATGGTCCGGGGGCGCAGAACGGTATTAAAGACGATTGCGCCCAAAATACGATATGGGGCTGGTGCATGCAACAGTGCATTGCTGTTGTCTTGCAGGGAAGGTGCCGAGGGGCGGAGTCGCTGGCGCGCTGGGGGAAGGGACCACCTACTCGTAAAATCGGTGACGGGAAGTATCTTCCGTATCGCTCGTAAAATACAGAACAGCGAGAGAAAGGCATAAGCGGATATTTGGGTGGAGAGGCGCTAGCAAAAGTATACATCGCGCCCGTCTTGAGGATACGAGCGACAGTCAAGTCGAGTGAATGCAAAGCGGCCTGGCCATGGTCACGACCACGAGTATGTAACAAGGTGGACATCTTCGGGGATTACACAGCCTTGCTGACCGGAGCATCTGTGCCACTCGCGGTGGAAATCCTGCGAGAACAAGTCCGAGTTACAGATTCCGTAAGCTCTGGTGAGATATCCTACAGTTCCAGGGTAGATACGGTACTCAGAAAAGAAGATCAGCCAGAGATGGCGACTTGCAAAACGGGGAGCTCGGCTACGGAGCATGATACGCTACGATACGTCAATGGGAGGTGCCCCCCTGTAGCCCCTGGGCATCCCAGGGGGTCTCGGGGCTCTGGAAGGCCTGGCGCCATGCTGGAAGGTCCCCTGAAAGAACAGACGAAGACTTGCGTTCCTTGGCAATATCACGCTAGTAGAGTTGCACCCAGCGATCCAAGTCCACTTCTCGTCTCGGCGCGTCAGAAAGGGAGAGAGACTGAAGGGCTGACCTGTGCATATCCGTACTACGGAGTGTTGTATCTTAGTAACGTACTTCCCGTAGTGTCGGGTTTTGACGTGTCCGATAGCTCCGCCACCGACAGCACGATGTTGAGCTAAGATACGTGCGACGTACGTCGTAGTCAGATACTCCTTGGAGGAATGCTGCTGCTGCTGCTTCTGCTGGCGTGTCGTCCAGCGGTCGTGTTCATCCTCGCAGAGCCTCTAGCATACTACGTCGTATGTATTCTTCTTGCAACCAGGGGTCAGGCAGGGGCAAGCCGCGTTTTGCAGGTGCTGGCCTTGTGGTCCTTAATCCCTTTCATGCTCTCTCCTGCTGTCTGTCCGGTCCGTTCTTAATCTGGCCCGCACATCTCGAAGGAGTCCGTTCGGTCGCAACAGGATTCCGCAGACGGCGCACCCACGGATGCAATTTCGAGATGCACCCGAACTCGTGGAGTGTGCAGTAACAAAACCCACAATCTAGACGGCGTTGGTCCTGTTCTGGAAGAGCAGAGTTCGTACGACGACGGGTACAGGTATCTTATTACTCCGTACATAGTATGTATTGCCCCCCCTGCGAAACCCTATCGGCAGCACTAGCTGGTCCCCCCCGTAGCATTGCAGTTGCGGCCGACCTCTCGTAAATAATTCCATGCTAGTCCAAGCAGGCGATGGGGCTATTATTACGAGCAGCGCTATTCCCGAGCCCGAATACACAGTTATGCAGATATGGCCGCGCTTTGTCAGCAGCTAGTCGTGCCATTCAGAGCGCTGCCAAGACCGGCTTGTCTAGTTTTTGCCGAAACGACGCCAGATTGTCGCTGTTCCGTCAAGCAGAACCATGATAAGAATATAAGATACTTAAGATACTATGTACTCCGTATAATATTCTGTATTACCTGCTCTGCCAGAACACAGGCTGCGTAACAATACACAGCAGCGACACGTGGCCACCTGGACATTGCTTGGACCCAAAACGTTACGCCAAGTCGGGATTCGTTCTAAACGGAAATTATCCTGCTCGGCACTTTGTAAAGCAATTACGGAGCGCCTTACACCGTACTCCGTAAAAACTGCTCTGTACTCCGTACGGAGTAGCAGCATTCTTGCTCCGGCTCTCGTTTCGGCCGTCTGCATAATTTGTTCGGACAAAGCCTGGCTCGGCTGTACAGCCGGCGACAGGCGACAGCAGCTGCTCACGCAATCCCACCGTCCTCTTGTCCTGTTGGTAGACACAGCTTGTGTACGACGTAGCATGGGCCATGTCCTGTGACCTGGCAGCCCAGAGAGGAAGGATCAGAGGGGTTTCGCGAAACGGCACCTGGCTCTATTTTGGGTCTCGTATTACGCGCCGTAAGACGCGACGCTTATCTTATCGCAGCTGCCCCTTCCCTCCATCTGTCCCCCCCCACTAAAAAAGAGTGTCGCAAGGGTATCGCGACTTTTTGTGACGACAGTTTGGCTTCGACTTCCATCTCCTCTGCAGTATGGGCGCCACAGCACGCCTCCCACACAAATTTTCACGTCCCCGTTCTTGCACGCGGGCGGTCCAGTCGACCACCCATCACGAAATCCTCTGTGCCCCGCGATGAGCCTCTCCCTGCAGACGACAGCATAGCCGCTCGCCCCCGGTATTCAGCCTCGTCCTGAAGCCCTGAAGCCTCGCTCCGAGGACGGAGCCGGCCCCCGCCCAGAATCGAGAGATCCGGGTGGAGCCGTTCTGTGCCTGCCAGGTGCCTGCATAGGGTGCTGCCTGGGCGCGCTGCTCTTCGCGGCTCCGCCACCCAATCCCCGTCTCTACTCTTTGCTCCTGCGATTCCGGTCAGCGACAAACGATGTCGAAGAACAACAGCCTCCTCAACTACTGGTCGGCCGTGCCTGCGCCGGAAGCAAGAACCACAGGGAGCGGCAAGGTCTCCAAGCCAGCAAGCGCCGCATCGGCCTCACCGAACAACCATCCCTTACCGCTCCCACGCGCGGCTACTCCTCCCACAAATGCGGTGGTCATCAGCTCGGGCTCTCCGTCCTCGCAGTCCAGCTCCGACGACTCCTTTCCTCCCTCGCCTATCCGGATCGCCTGGCAAGCCTCGTCGCCGCCTCCACAACCAGCCTTGATTCGATCCGGCACTGCCGGTGGATCTTCACAGGCACGCCGCTCCGACAGCGTTGTGCGAGATTCGGATGACGACGACGATTGCGATGACGGCGACGACAACGACAATGACAACGACAATGCCGAGTCTCTGCAGGCGGCCGTGCGCTTCGGCCAGCCGCTCTCGTCGTCATGCGTCTCCAGCTACTACTCCAGCATCGTCGTGGCAAGATCAGCAGCAAAAACGGCAGCAATGCCGCCATCCTATCCATCTTCCGACTCCTCGTCCACACCGCCACATACCAAGCGTCGTGCCAACACGCTCCTCTCATCCCCACTTGCCCTGCGCCGGATCAAGCAGGTCCGCGTCGCCAGGCTGCCCGATCCTCCGAAGCACAAGTTCGACATGAAGGCTCTGTTGCGCCATGCCGAGCAAGACGATGCTACCGAGGCCGCCGTACAACGTGTCTCTGCCGCCTTTGCCGGGCCGGGAAGCCAGCAAGACGGCACCTCGACGGGCGACGGCACTGCTAACAAATCGGCATCCGCAATAGCGCCATCCGGCAAGCTGTCCACGTTCATGATCGACAGCTTCATCAGCCTGAGCGGCGAAGAAGCAGGCTTGGGGCTGGAAAGCAGCGACCCGCTGGCATCGATGAACAAAGACCGACTCCGGCGGGCGTTTGATCGCACCGGCGTGGCCGCGGTGTCGGAGCAGTGGTACTTTTTCAAGGAGCATTTCGTCCCATCGCCGGTCAAGAAACGGCCGTTTCCGCAAAAGGCTGCCAAGGACCGCTGGACAATGCTGAAAGACGCCACGATGCGATACGACTGCTTCAGCACAGGTCTCGTGCGCTATGCCATGGAGGCGGCCGACGCGCCTCGGCTGCCTGACGAGCTCTTTCTCTGGATCCTCGACGAAGCGAGCACGGAGACGCTGCCGTCTCTCCGGGACGAGTACGCCGGAATCCTGTGTCGCTGTCCGGAGCAGGTTCGCCGCTTTGTCGACGCTGAGCGGTTACTGCTCCTCTTCCAGAAGCTCGGCCCGCGTTGGGAGAGTATCGATCTCACGGCCCGGCTGGAGCTGGTGCCGGCCATCAGTCGTCCGTATCCTGGCCGCGACTGGACTCCGCTGCGCTCGCTGCTGACTCTGGTAGCGACACTGGCAGCAGAGGGCGCCCTGTCCCTCGATGCGGTGCGGTGTGCCAGCAAGATCCTGCTTCGACTCGGCATCGACCGGCTCATAGAAGAGAGCCTGGAGCTGCTGCAGACCTACCAGGATGCCATGCGCAAGCTTGTCTTGCGGGTTTCGGCGTCTGAGTGGGTTGATTATGTAAGATTCTAATTTTCTTGTTCTTTTTCTTTTCTCTCTCTTTCTCTTTCTCTTTCTTTCTCTCAATCCTGCTCTCCTGTCAATACTCACACTCCCTCCAGTGCTACGATGTCGGTCTGTCGCTATACAACAGCGTCCAGAAGCCGTCCCTGCGGTGGCAGGTGTTAGTTTGTCTGCCCACGGACCTGCCGGCCTGTCACGAGTTGCGACGTCGGCTCACGGCCGTCTTCCTGTTTGACGACGCAGAGAGGGCGCGACAGGATCCTCGGCGGACGGCAGCGGCCGGCCAAGGAGGGCTGGCCCGCCTCGCCATGCGCGACGACCTGGTGGTGACGGCCGACACAAACTACGCAGACCTGGTGGCATTGGTCAACATGCTCGACGTGTATGTGGACGATGCGGGCGGGGAGGCCGTGGACGGCCACACGGCTGCGGCCGAGTTCGACGCCGACGTGGACGAGCTCGCACGGAGGCTTCAGGCCATTGGGCGGGGCATCGAGGCAACGAGCGGAGGACACATGTCGCGGCTCGAGAGCAAGACGGCGCTGGACCGGGTGCAGATCCGGCTGACGCACGCAGTGCGGACGAGGAGACCAGGCCGGAGGAACATCTTTGGCCCTGCAGGGTCGGGCGGCGGAGACGCATCGCAGTCCCGGCAGAAGGACATCCGCAGCTTCTTCCAGCAGCAGCTGGCCAAGAAGAAAACGTGAGGACGGGGATGCAGCTTCGGAGTGGGCATCTGTAAATGATAATGATCCAAGCATACTCGACGCAGACAACGGTTCAACGACAGAGAGGGACAGAAAGCGGGCTTTGTAGATTTTATACAACAGTTAAACGGGGAAAGAGGCGCGGGCAAAGCAGAGCATGAAAAGCAAACAAACACCCGACTCGAGCGAGGCAGGGAGCGCCGCCATCCGTCAGCGGCCAGCCCGTCCAATCCAGTTCGTCCATGATCCGAGTCCATGCGTAAGAGGAAGGAAAGGGAAAGCAAAAAAAAAAAACGAAAAAAAACGACATAAAAAACAGGCAAACAACAAGAAGTGCTCTCAGTCGAAGAACTTGCGGTTCTCGTTCTTGCCAAAGAGGGCCTCGCGCATAGCCGGCAGGGCGTCGTGTTCGAGCAGCTTGAGCCGGGTCTCGAGGGTGTTGTCGATCTCGATCTTGCCGTTGCCGCCGACGACGGAGACGCCGCCAGCGCTGCCAGCCGGCAGCGGGTTGGCCTCGTCGATGGTGAGGGTGAGGGCAGAGCCGGTCTGCTTCTCGAACTCGGCGGTCACGTCGGCAAAGACGCCACGGACGGCGTCGGCGTCGGCCTCGCGGGCACGCACCTGGAGGGCCGGCTCCTGCATGGCGTAGGCGCCCTCGAGGACGAGCTGGACGAGCACGGCGCGGTAGCGGGCAGCATCGGCGGTGGCGTCGGCGGCCAGTCGGGCACGCGCGGTCTCGAACAGGTCGTCGAGCAGCTGCTGGCGGGCGCCCAAGACGCGCAGACGGGTCTTGTTGGTTACGGTCGAGCGGGTGATCTGCTGGGACAGGGCGGCCTGCTTGAACTTTTTCGCGTACGTGGCGTCGATGGCGTCGGTCTCCTGGCGCACCAGCTTGGACTTCTCAATGGCAAACTCCTCGTTGGCCTTGATCTCGATCTCGCGTGCCTTCTCGGTGGCCTCCTGCTGGATAAAGGCCGTCATCTTACGGAGTTCCTGGCCGACCTGCGACGCTGTTAGCAGTGGTAAAATGGCAGAGGAAGGCCAGACACGGGAGCAGGCGTGCCAATGAAGCAGTGCGGGACAATGGCAACCTACCTGGTCGTCGGACAGAGCGTGAACCTGCGACATCGTGGCGGATTGGATGGGAACAAAGTCCAACACTTCTGAGATGGAAGGTTGCGTTGGACGAATGGCACGACAGAAGCCCAATCAGACACGTCAAAGCTTCACGCAGTGCTCGGCAGAAGATGCAGAGGATGAGGGCAGTCGACGGAATGGATGCCTAGGTGGTGATCCAGGAAAGCTTGCTATCAAATGGCGCTTCTCAATTGTTGCTCCCCGCTAGAAGCTACCCGGAAGCGTCACGTGCTGCACAGCCACAGCGGTGCCGACAGTGACAGTGTGCGTCAGCCCCCCCATCACGGAGCTGGCGGGTCGCGCATCTTCGGGTGGAGACTTGGCAGTGGACACTCCCTGTGTTCCTGAGCGTCTGCCTGCTTGACCGCTCGTTTTGCTGTGCTCCGGCAGCCATTCCTGCTGTCACGCAACCCTGCCATTTCGTCTCTCTCTCTCTGGATCGCGCTTTCCCCCACAACCAGTCGGCCACGGGAAGCCCTAGTCTACGGAGTACTCGCAGCCCTCGCTGCTGCTGCTGGCCCTCTCTCATCATCTCTCTCTCTCCTCACACCGAGTCTCGTCCGATCCTCCACTCCCGCCGGCCAGCCTATCGCAGCCATCCACGCGATCGACGGCCTGCTGATAGGCCGACTGCTGGCGACCTGTCCGACATTGCTGATCGGCAAGCTGCGACCTATACTCTGTTACTCTCTTCCGGCTCGATCCAGCGAAGCCATTGCAGCAGCACATAAGCCGAGACGCGACCGTCAACCAGCGAGCATCCAAAGACGTCGAACTCGAGCAGCAATCGACAATCCTACCACGACCTATCACGGATACCTCTTTGGCTATTAGTCCTTTTTCTCCTACCTCCCCGCTTGTCTCCTGTCAATCTCCTCATTCTCATTCCTCTCTTTCTCCCCTCAACTTCCCTCAACTTCCACCTTCCTCCTTCCTCCTTTCTTCTTCTTCCTCCTCTGACCTGTTCTTCACATCCTCTCTCCCCTTCTTACCTCACCCCCTGCTCATGCTGCTGAAGCGAGAGCACTCCTGCCCGACGCTGGCGCCATGACCTTTCCCCGAGGGCTCTCCCCCGGAGGCAGCATCGCGCTCGGCATCGTGGTTGGCGTGCTGTCGACGAGCGTGCAGAGCCTCGGACTGACGCTACAGCGCAAGTCGCACATCCTCGAAGACGGCAAGGCACCGCACCTGGCTCGACGTCCTCCGCACCGCCGTCGCCGCTGGCAGCTCGGCATGGGTCTCTTCCTGGCCGCCAATCTGCTGGGCAGCTCCGTGCAGATCTCGACTCTACCGCTGCCCGTTCTCTCGACTCTGCAGGCTTCTGGCCTCGTCTTCAACTCCATCTGCGCCACGCTCATCCTCGGCGAGCCCTTCACCCGCTGGTCGCTTTGGGGCACCCTCCTCGTCTGTTCTGGCGCCGTGCTGATCGCCATCTTCGGCGCCATCCCCGAACCTGCCCATAACCTCGCCGAGCTGCTCGCCCTGCTCGTCCGGCCCGCCTTTGTCGCCTGGATGGCTTTCCAGGCCGTCGTCGTTCTCGCTCTCGCCCTCGTCGTCGAGCTCGCCGCCGCTGTCACGCCTCCGCTGCTCGCCCAGACCGCCCGCTTCCGTCTTGGCCGTGGTCTCACCTACGGCGCCATCAGTGGCATCCTCTCTGCTCACGCCCTTCTCGTCGCCAAGTCTGCCGTCGAGCTCGTCGTCCGCACCGTCGCCGACGGCAACAATCAGTTCCGCCACTGGCAGGCCTGGGCCCTCGTCCTCGTCTTCGTCGCCCTCGCCCTCGTTCAGCTCTACTACCTCCATCGCGGCCTTCGCCTCGTCTCCACCTCCATCCTCTATCCCCTCGTCTTCTGTGTCTACAACATCGTCGCCATCCTCGACGGTCTCATCTACTTCCGCCAGACCGATCTCATCGGACCCCTGCGTGGCTGCCTCATCACCATCGGCACTGCTATTCTCCTCTCCGGCGTCTTCGCTCTCTCCTGGCGCCTCGGCACCGAACAACAGCACCAATCCCAACATCAGCACTCGTCTGCTGTCGTCGCCCAGACCGCCGGCGACAACGACGACGAGGCCGGCGAGGACGCCCTCCTTCTCGGCTCGTCCGACATTGCCATAATCGAGGCTGACAACGGCGATGAGGCCGACGAGACCCAGGGCTTGCTGCACAAGAAGTACGTCTCGTCCTACCACACCTTTGCCTGCACCACAGTCCATCACGTCGTGGGAGACTCTGGCGTCACTGTCGCCGAGACGGCCTCTTTGCTGCCACCATCGCCATCGTCATCGCCATCGCTGCCTGCGCCGGGCTGCTGGCGACCGGTGCCCTCTTCCTTCCCTTCTCTCGGGGCCACCGGCCTGCTGGTCAGCAACACCTCTCCGACATCGCGCTGGATGGAGCGCGCCGAGATATGGGGCGAGCTGGAAGACCAGGCCAGAAGTCCCCGCGTTAGTAGTGGTGGCGGTGGTGCTGTCGGTGCCGGTAACAGGGCAGCAAATCTACGGAGACATCGCAGCAAGACGCTGCCAGACCTTTCGGGTGAGCTGCCAACGCGCTCGCCTATTCATATCGAGCCCGAAGACGATGTTGATGCGGAAGCGCTGGCCGCGTATCACCGGACCCATCGGCGAAGGCGGAAGTCTGCAGGATTTCCTGGCTTTCACCAGCCACGTCGCACCGGCAGCACCGGCGGCCTCCAGGACGCTCTCGGATCCGTCTGGAGGCTCGGCTGGTGGAGCGGCAAGGGGAAGCAGCCCGTGACCGCCATGCCGCCAGTTGCCTCGTCCAGTCCTAGTCTGTCGTCGTCAGCACGAGACGCCGGCGACGAGACAGCGCAGGGACTGCGCCATCATCATGATTCGCCTGTATAAACATTGGAGTTTGGACGGAGGCCGTCTGATCTGTCGGAGTTGATTATTCTTTTTTGGATGTCTTTATACCGGGTCATTACATTACCATGCTAGAACGGAGTTCTATGCTACAGTCAACCTTTCTTTTGTTCTTTCTATAGCAGGTCGGCGTTGTTCAGCTCTGCAGGATATCCCGCCAGCCTCGCCGAGGGGCGCGGATGCAAAGCTTTGAGACGCTTCGCAGAACCGGATGAGTCCTGTCCGCTTACATAAGCGAATACATAGACTAGAGTGTATGATAGGAATTTTGCATTTTATTCGTCACGCTTCGCGTCCCGGTTTCTCACCTAGAGTGCAATGTACTATCATGATATTGTTGCAGCCCTTGCGGAGAAGCCTGGCCCGAAGAAAGGAATATAGAGGGTAATATGAAACTAGTAAAGAGGGACAAGGAGAGGCCCTGGTCAAAGGGAGGGTTGAGCAGCTGCTGCAAATAACCGATAACAAAGACAAAAAAAGCAAAAAAAAAGCGTGGATATACGTGAAGCGGATGAAGTCATCTGGAGACGAAACAGAGCACAGCTGCGCATCGTCTTCTAGCTCCCCGAGTCTGCCAGTCCCACACCCGTGTCATAGTCGTCACACGTCACCCGTCTCAGTCCTGTCGTCGCGATCTCGGTCTCGATCTAAAAGGTACGGCCGAGGCCGTTCTTCTCGTCGATGTAGCGGAAGCGCTCGCGCTCTTTGCGGTCCTTGAGCAGGCAGGCAGTGGCCATGACGAGCAGGGCGCAGATGCCGCACATGCCGAAGACGGCGGTGAAGATCTCGTCGACAAAGGTGTTGCCGAAGCTGCTGATCTGCGAGGCGCAGCCGCGGACGAGGGCAGCGGCAGCCGGGCTGGAGCAGGTGGCGTCGGTGACAAAGGCGGGCGAGGTGCTGTTGAAGTAGCCGCAGCACTGGAATTGGGTCTGCATCAGGTCCTGGACAGCGGCCGTCTGGGCGTTCCACAGCGGCGAGAAGGCCTCCTTGGTGTTGAGCGTGGTGATCCAGATGCGCAGGCCGATGCCAAGACTGAAGAGCGCGGTGAAGGTGACCATGTAGCCGGACAGCTTGAGCCAGCCGCGTGTTGGCAGGGTGACGGCCGGGATGGTGAAGACAAAGGTGATGAAGTAGAAGATGCCGTTGACCACGCCGGCTGGACGGGTTAGTCTGAGGCGAAGAAGGAGCAGAGGAGCGACAACATACCTGTCAGGGGAAAGCGCGTGTACAGCAAGTTCCGGGCAGCCTCGGCGCCGTCGGACGGGGCGTTGTGTAGCGTGTTCTTGACGACGACGGAGAAGCCGAGGAGGATGGAGCCCATGATGATGAACAGGGCGTCGGCCACGACGTAGGCCACAAAGATCTTGTTCGCCATGACGACACTGTAGTCGTCGTCGGGATCGAAAGGGAGCGTGTTGTCAGACGGCCGGCGTCTTTTGGCAGCAGATGCTGTGGGTGGAGGTAGAGAGCGTGTGAGGAGCCGGTGAGAAGTTGGATATCGACCAGCAAGTGTCCAACGGCCGGTCAGCTCGAGAGATGGTGAACAGAGACAGGAGAGGAAGGTGGGCGAAGGCAGGCAGGCTTGTCCGGACAAGGAAAACAGGGACACAGGTGCTTAAGAGGGGGGGTGAGCACAGCTACAAGAGAAGAGAAGGAGATGACGACGACTGCCCAGAATAGAAAGTCCGCCGGGGACGTGAAGCACACCAGTGTGTAATAGTAAAGAAATAAAAATAAAAATAAAACTGGTGATAGGAAAGGGGGGGTGACGAAAAGCGCAGAAAAAAAAGGACGAGAAGAGAGGATGAGAGAAAAAAAAAAAAGGCAACATCCGGTCGAGGACCGACCCCACTTGACGGAGGAGACGCTGGGAAGATCCAGGAGGCCGCGTGCTTTTGGTTGGAGAAGCACATGCTTCTTTTTGCAGACGATGGCCCAGGGCACGGAACCGTGTTCCGTTTTAGGTGTGCGACGGGAAGGATGGGCTGCCAGAGACATCGCCAACGCGGGTGGCACGATGGCACATCACATAGGAGAGCAGCCTATGGGCGTGTTGGCGGTGCGAGCGAGCAGGCCCAAGAGCAGGCTGGGCGTTTCATCTGTGGATCAGGATGGGCCGACACGGCGTGAGGTGGAGGCCAGGGGAACAGCCAGAGCGGCGCTGTAGGTGCAGGCCGAGCCTCACAAACCTTATTGGCAGCGTATTGTGTAAATGGGAGGAGAGTGGCGGTGGGCCATGGTGGTAGAGGCCGGTTGCAATGAAGCATTTGTCTGTCGATTGCTGTTTCTTTGTTTCTATTGCCAATGTTGTCCCTGTGGGCGGTCGAGCCCGTCTGCCACGGTCCAGAGACACTTGCAGACCACCGGCTGCCGCTCTCTCTCTTCCAAACCAGGCCAGGCCATGCCATTCGGCGGCGGCCAAGAAAAGGAGGCCGCAGTCTCGAATCTGCGACGTCAGGAGGCTCAGGAACGGGGTTGTTGTGATGGCCCGCTTTTTTTCGGTCAGCTCCAACGAATCAGGTGCCAGCCGTCCTGTTGGAGCTGAAATTGCACACAAAGGCAACCGTCTTGTGCACGGCTGCACGATAATAAGCCGTTCTTCGTCCTGACAGGGACACTGACAGTTGTCAAACCAAAGGTCGTCCTGACGTAACGCTGTGTCCAAAATAGCAAGCAGAGGCTAAGAAGCCAATCTAACCGGAAAAGACAAGACGACGGGCCAAGGACAAAGGCCGCCGATAGTTCGCCGTCGTCGTACGAGCAGGCCGTCTTCTTCTTCAGCTGTACAGAGGTCGCTACCAAAAGTCCTTTCTGACCGCCTTTGGGCCCACTGTTAGCACTAAGCCTAATTAGGAAATCTATTTTCAAATTACATTCCGCCTCCTTTTTAGTGCATCCTTTCGTCCCTCCCTATATTCATTACTACCACCTAAAGCGATTACCTGCTGAATATGCCACGGTATCCTCTCAATCCACTCCCGAATACGGTCTTGTTTTAAGTCTGCCCACGCACGCTGCCAGTCTGCCTCTGCTTGTGCCTTTGATAAAGGCGCGCCAAACTTAGTAGTCTGCCTTTTTAAGTGCATCCAGCATGGCTCGATCATATTCAAATCTGGTGAATTCGGGCACTAAATCAGCCTTTGAACGTCTGCACGGTTGTATACAACTGCTTGCAAAGCATGTGCATGGGCTAGAGCTTGGTCTTCTTAAACTAAGAAGTTTGCACTGTACTTGCGGGCAAAAGGTATTAGCTTTAGGATAATAATATGCTTTTAGTAGCGGTACTAGTTAATACCATTACCGCTCTTACAAGTAGCTTTGCCTGTTTGCTTTGTAAACTTCTATTGCAGCTTTCGTCCTAGTAGATTTTGTAGCTTAACACGACGAACACTAGTCTTAAGCTCCTATGCTTTATAAAGTTATGGTTTTATTTGTTAATTCTATAACGCTAACTCTTTTTTTTAACTTTTGTAAGGGTATTTTACATACGCGTCCCTACGCACCGGTTCGGCAACTAGTCGCTTACTAAGCGGCGGACTTAACGAACTATCTTAACACGTTGCACGGGACTAGCATAGCCACTTAGCTGCGCCACGCCCTACTAGGTTTGCGCTACACCGCATCTTCTAGCCACGTATATATTAGCTGGCAGGCCTTCGCCTACCAATCTCCTATAGTTCGTTAAAGTTAAAAGTCTTAATACAACAGTACAAACTAGTTAAGCCTTTGTAACTACGCATTGCACACTAGCCTCTTACAACTTTGCACGCTCTTTTGCAGTCTTAGGATGCTAAATATAGAACGGTCCTTTGTTATCGTATACAAAGCATCCCTAGAACATAAATTTAGAGTATCCCTTTTACCTTTCTTAGATATAAGATTATAAAAACCTTTTGTCTAAAGCTCTTTAAACTTTATAGCTCCCTTGTTGATGGCAAAGAAGAATAGACGTTTTATTAGACTAGATTACTTTTTTTTAATTATCTAATGTCTAGTGTTTATAGCGCAAGCACTAAGCTAACCGCTTTTGTTTTATTAACTTTGTTAATCTAGGCTTTTGTGTTAGTTTTATCTTCTTTATCCTAGCGTTTCGGAGAGTGCGCCAAACTATTATTGCTAAAACGCTACCAATTTTATATGCTAAATGTTAAAGGTGTACTTAGGTAGGCTAGGTAAGTTAGGCAGGCAAGAAGGTATCTTCTTAATAGAAGGAAGCAGCCGTATATTTAATAGCTAATTCTTGCCTTTTGCACTTTAAGGGAGTGCAGGAGGCGCTCTATGTTAAAGGTGTACTTAGGTAGGCTAGGTAAGTTAGGCAGGCAAGGAGGTATCTTCTTAATAGGAGGAAGCAGCCGTATATTTAATAGCTAATTCTTGCCTTCTACACTCTAAGGGAGTGCGGGAGGCACTCTTTATCGTAGGCGCACCTCTAGCGCACCAAGTGCGCAGGATAGGCGCAACCTTGTTTCTACTTAGCCTGTGCGCTAGCACGTGCTGTGGCCTGTGCGCAGACTGCGCCACGCAGCCTACGCTACTAGCACCGCTTCTAGTTCACGATGTGCATCTAATACGCTGTGCGCATACTATGTATAGCTTGCGCGTAGCCTGCGTTAGTCCTCTTCTTAGGGCGGCGTTATAATTGCTCCTCTCTTATACCTAACTCCCTTAAGGTAGGTCTTAACAAAAGGCTTGCAACCTTTGTTCCTAGTAGTAGTAGTGCTTATCCGTTTGCGGCAGCCCTTTTATGCTTGCTAAGATTGCTGTTAAAGGCGACTTAAGGCGCTTTTAGTTTTTTTTATTTAGGAGGTTAGTCTTATAGTTAAATTAGATTATCGTAAGGTCTAGCATCTAGTTACTTCTTCTAGAAACAACAAATTTGTATTCTAGTAGCAATATAGCTGCTCTTAATTCTAACGTTCTTATGCTCGCAATAAGCGTCTTTAGCGCTCTAGTACTCGCTACGGCCCTAGCCCTTGCTTCTTAACACTCTTTGCCCTTTAGCTAAGGTGCTAGTTCTAGCTGCGCGCAACGTGCGCGTAAGGCTTACGCTAGCATAGTTCGTTGTTCGGCGCGGACTGCGGCGCGCGCCGTGCCCCTAGTTGGGCCTCTAGTAGCCCGTTAAGGTGTAGGAGCTGCCCTCGCTAGTCTAGCGCTCCTAGGGTTAGTAGCAGCTGCGCCACTAGCTTACCCCTAGGTTGCCTTAAACGGCTTGTTGTGTGTATAGTGCCTACACTACTTTTTAACAACTCTCTTTGCAGAGTTGCCTAGGTTTACAGCTATGCTGTGTATTTATAGCGTTGCTAGCGCTAGGCGCTACGACGGCTGCCGTGCTAGCAAGCATAAGTGTTGCGGGGTAAGTCCTCTTTAGTAGCTATAGGCTGCTCTAGTGGCTAATAGAATGCAGGTTTTCCTGCTAATGGTTAGCAACTAAGCTAACTTTAAGATAGTGCTACGCAGCCTTAATAAGAAGCTTTATAGCTAGGGTTCGCCTATAGTGCGCGCGGCACTTGCGCGTACTGTAGGTGCTTTCGTCGCTACCTTGTTATAGGTAGATAAGTAGTAGCGGCCTACGTTGCTAAGGGTGTTGTTGGCTGCTAACGTTATGTAGGCAGAGCTTAATCTTTGCTAGGGCATTAAGGCCTAAGAAGAGGCTTAAGAGGTAGCCTGCCGGGTAAAAGCTTAGCGGGCTTTATTAGCTTAAATATACTTGCTATTGCTATATATGCCTTTTTTGTCTTTGCTGCCTAGGCCTACTACTCTAACCTTTTAGCAGCTCTCTTAGCTGCTGCGCCTAATGCCTAGTAACACTAGTTATACTGCCCTTATTATAGCCTTTAATGCCTTTCTTAAGGCGGTGGCAAGGGCGTATGTTATAGATAAGGCTTATGCTAGGGTGGCGGCTAGCGTAGCGTTGCTTTAAGGGCTCTTTAGATAGTTTTGCGTAGTCTTTTATAAGGCCTTTTAGCTAGTTAAATTAATTTAGGCTTTTGCCTATATGTTTTTGTTTTTACGCGCTTGCTGCGCGTATACTGCTTAATTGCTACGTGCGCATTTTCTATATCTTCTTTTAGCACCTACTAGTTGTATTCGGTTAGCTAGCCTGTCTAACGTACTAGGTATTTAGTCTAGCTAGCCTTACGTCTTTTATTTAAGACTGTTTTTACTTCTTATTTGTTATCTAGGTCTTTTAACGCTAGCATTGTTAAAGGCGCTTATTCATGCTTGTCTGCCTATAGTCCTAAGGATTCTAAAGGGCTTAATGCGTCTTAGTACTAACTTCTTGTTTTTTAAGCAAAGGTTTTTTTATAGAAAGGCTTACTAGCTTTTTTACTATAAAGCTTATTAGGCTAGTAGCGCGCATTATAGTAACGCTTTTAGCGCTTTATTGCATACTCCTAGTTTGCTGCCAACCTTTTCTATATAGCTTCTAGTTTTTCTAAGCGGTTATGCACCGCTAGGACTATGTTGCGCGTATCTTACTCCTCTCTTGCGGTTGTGCCGCCCTTAGGGCAAGTTTGTAGGTTTAGTTTCTAACTATATAGCGCTTTAAATAAGCTAATTTTGGTTGTTGCGTTAATAGCGTTGTTGCAAGCGTATTATGCTAAAGATAATAAAGAGGGCTAATTTAATTGCTTCTTTGTTATAAAGTAGCGCAAGTACTGCTTTAACGTTTAGTTAGATCTCTTTGTTTGCCTGTTTGTCTAGGGGTAAAATGCAGTTAATAGCCGCTTGTAGATTCTAGTCTAATAGTAATATTTACTCTAGAATTCGCTAGTAAATATACTTCTTTAGTTAAAGACTATACTCTCTAGTGTTACGCTATACACTAGTTTTATATATTACTATACAAAGTGCGTAAGGCCTTTAGCCGTTAGGGTAGTCTATATAGTAAAAAAGAGGTTTATCTTTATAAAGCGGTTGACGATTACTAGAATTGTATTTACTTTACTACCTATGCTCGCTTTAGCTACTAGTAGCCTAGTAATTAAGTCTATAGA